CCGAAGTTGAGACTAGAAAAGGTAGTAAGGGTCGATGTGGGCGTCGACACTGTTGGTAGACCCTCGATGAGGTGGAACGAGGTGGGGAAAGATGACTCGAAAAATTGCTCGAGAAGTTCATCAGCGAGAACAACCATGCGGAACGTTGGGAGCGTCATGTGTAGCGGGTTCGCAGGGTCCAAAGCAGCGTTGGCCGCTTCTGACTGCGCCTTCGAGACACGTCGCTGTGATTGCCCGGCGGCAGGAGGTTTTTCTTCAGTCGGTGATGATGGCGACTCGGACGACGACTTCTTTGCCTTGCTTGGACTACCTGGAGGCGAATCCATGGCAAGAAGGTCTTCCTCATCATCATCATCGTCGCCAATGGCAAATGCCTCACTGTTCTCCGTAGACTTTGGCTCCTCTTCTTCGTGGATTTTGTTGTTGGGGTGGTCCGGGTCGGCGTATTCGAAGCATCTTCTGATGAATGCGCTGACACTACCCAGGAATCTTTCGTTGGTCGAGATACCAGGTAAGCTTGGCTCGCTGCCCTGGCCAGTCGGCGTGCTGAGCGTGAGCGTAGAGGCACTCGGGCTTAATGAGCCCTCGAGCCCTCTTCTTGATAGGAAGAGGAGCGCTTCAGAGATGCGCAAGATACCCTCACGGTCAACCTTGCCATCGCCATCGTCGTCGTAAAGTTCAAAGAAATACGTAATCGTTCCCATAATGTCCTTTTTGCCTTTGATTCTGGCAAACCCTGACACTACATCAGCCAGGGTTAACACACCGGCACCGCTTACATCCCATTTTTTGAACAGTTGCTGCATGAATTCGTGGTCGGCAGGTTCTGGGCCCGAGCCCCATGGGGAAAGGAGACCATTATTTTGACGACGGCTTGTGTAGGCGTTTCTGTCCTTATCGGCGAATGTGTCGCGGCGCGGTGTAGTAGGTGAGTCGGACATCGCCCACTTTGCCATGTTGGCGAGGAATTCCCTAAATGCATCGTAATCCATCAGGCTGGTGCTTGCACCGAGGGCCACTCGTCCCTTTTCGACGTGTTCGTCGTTGGGTTCAAACACATCTCGCGCTCTAGGCCGTGCGTTCTTTGCACGACGCTGCTTCTCCTGCTGAATAATGCTCTCTCGTTGTTGTCTCTCGTATAAGATTGTATAGAAGCGATCGTATAAAGCGCCTAGCTCCTCTGCGGCAAGGAGCTTGCTGTCGGGGCCCAAATTTCGAAGGGCTGTTCTCTTTGCGAAACTCTCAATGTTGCTAAGCACGGCATCCTTGTTCTTCAACCGCAGGTCCGTGATGCTGCTGTGGGTGATGCCCGAGAATTCTTTGAACGCTACCACCATCAACTCTTGGAACTTGGTTACGGCGCGCAGCTTTGGGTTCTCCGACTTTGGGTGTGCCGACTCGTCGAGACGAGCAAAATAGCCCTTGAGAACGGAGATGAAGGCGCCGTCATCTGTGGCATCCAGAAGCTCCTCACCGTTGATTCTCAAGATGGCGAGTCCTATTTGGAACAGGACTTTCGGTCCCTCAACGAAGAAGACATCCAGAACTCGGAAAGCGAAAACCAGTGGCATGGAGTTGATGTATAGTGACAGGAACCAAGGCAATGACACGACCGAAAGCTGGACATCGCTCTTCACCAGATGTTCCCACAGGATAGGCATCGTCTTCTCAACAAGTGATTCAAAGACTTTTTGGTCCAACAGAGTTCCGTACATTGTCGTAGAGTAGTATCCTGGTACTAGCCTGTCGCACATGGAAGACAGCAGGAAGAAGGCCTGCGTCTCGGACATGTAGATGAGCAATGCCGCAACGACAATGTTCATGGCCTGGCAGTACCCGACGTCGGGGTTCACCCAGCTGTAGGCTGTAAGCACACGGCGGAGACGGCCGATGCCCTCTTCGCTTTGGAAACCGGGATACTCTGGCAAGCTTCGATTTAGGTCCTTTTCGATCTCGTCGATAGCGAGAGACTCTTGGCCTTCATACTTGGCCAACGTTTCGGCATACAGTGTCGGGTGCTCGAGTCGGAGGTAGATCGATCCGGATGTCAACTCCCAAGTCTCACCTCTCAGTCGATTAGGCAGACCAACGCGGATGAGCTTGTGGAAGGTCGGCTGGCGGATAAGCGTCATGTTTCGTCCATTGTCGCGCAGGTACTCGGCCCAGAGGCGCATCTTGGCCCTGTCGCGGAGCTTCTTAGGGTCTCCAGGGTAGCGGAAGAGCATGCCCAGGCCAGCGTCGGGCGGGCTCGCATTCTTTTTGTCGTCGGAGCGGAGGAGGTACTCGGAGTAGCACTCGCCGGTAACGTTTTTGTACTTGCCAACATTCCCGACGCCGGCCCTCAGTCCCTTCTTCAGACCATCGCAGAAGCGCTCGCAGCCCTGGCGGGTACCGGCAAGATGTATCGTGATCCTTTGTTCCCGAACATCCTTCTTGTCCTTGTCGGGGGCGGGTTCCTTGTCCTTGTCCTTCTTCTCCTGCTGGTTGATGCCATTCCAGGTGGTAATCGCCAAGGCAAACTACGTGGTAGAGCAGCATGTCAGTTCATGGCCTTGCGGGGGATGGAGCACGGACTGCTGTCAATGTCACAACCCGGGGTTTGGAGCAACGTACCTGGAAGGTCTGGCTGTTCAGCCTCTCTACCCTTCTGATGGCGCAGAGGGGAAAGGTGAAGCCGTTTCCGCTGGGGCCTCCGCCGTGTGTTTGGCCAGTGAAGGCAGAGCTTGTTGAGGTGCTGGCGCCCTGGACGAAACTTGAGGGTGTCGTGGAGAAGCACATGTAGCCTTCAGACAGGTGTAGCTTGCCAGCATAATGGTAGCCTCGATCGTGGTCCTTGCCTCCATAGGTGGCATTGGCGGGCGGGATGGTCAACTCGGCATTGATCTCGTACAGCGGCGTCTGGGTACTGGGGAGACGGAACTGGTTCTGGAACAGCGACGACTTGGATGGGTTCTTGTCGGAGTTGGTCAGGTTCAGTCCCTGGGTCGGGTCGACCAACTGCTGTGCCTTCTGCACGAGGCTGGATAGAGTGAACATCCTGAAGCTGTTGCACTCAGCTGGTCATGTCGGGGAGTGGTATCTAAAGGGAGCCGCGGATCGAAGGGCTCGGCTTGGGCCGGATAGATAAAGATTCGCGGGATGCGTGAGGTAAGGTAAGGTCGGGTCTTGGTCGGAGGCTCGCAGACCTAGAAGGGTGAGGGGGGTTCGAGCCCAAAACGAAGTGCTGGCTGCCAAAGAAGTGAAGGGATGTCTTTTGGCGTCACAGCAAGTGAGAATATGGTCCTTGAAGCATCAGTACGCCTCGAGACTGAAAGGTAGTGTTCGATTCGGTAGTCGGAGAGAGTCTGGAGAGTAGGATTTCGTTGGATGATTTGATGGGGAGAGAAGCAGTAAGGTAAGCAAGCAGCTGCGCGCCAGAGGTCATGACTGGAGCTGAATGCAATGGAGTGGATAGTTGGAGGTTTCCCGCCAAGGATTCCATCCGTCCATGCCCAGAGGGTCACGGTACGTACCCACCCTACCTTTCCTGAGCCAGTCTGCCCTACCTGAACTGCTAGTGACCTGCAGCCATGGCAGCCCACCTGATGCTGATGCACCACCACTCACACCTCACATTTCCCACCTCCTAATACTTCCAGGTTCCTATTAGCTGGGCACTTTAGGTGCTCGTGAACGGCAGTCGGGCACCTTAGTCACTAGGTATCACTATCTAAGGTAAGGTAAGGCAGGAGAGGATGGCTACCCCTAATCGGACTGCACGGGAGGCACCTCATAATGGGCGGTTCGCAGCCCGGCAGTCCCCTGCAGAGGGGTAACCCCTCTGCACCTTATTCGCAACCCGCCTGCGCCGGCCATTCTTAGGTCACCGCGCTCCACCTCCCTCGTCAGTCTCATTCTCATCTCACCCATTAAACGCACCCGGCTGCTCCCTCCCCCCCCCCTTACTCAGCCAGAGGTCATACATACCTTACGCACTTTGGTTCGGAACCCCTTGATCTACCCTAGCTCACCAGCTTTTCCACAGGACGGATATGATGGCACTTATCCCACCTTCCACATTCCAGTCTGGTCGACCCTTCAGATCTTCAGATCAAGCACATATGATGTTACTTCCCTCTCTCAACTGAAAAAGAGCCTCATCGGCCCCTCGGGCACACAACTTGATCCCGCAACTTCACCTCTGTGAGTTACAATGGAAGTGCGATGAGTCTGAGAAAGGGAACGCATCGCCTGGTCCAGGTGACGTGAGATTGGCCCATCACCAGAGTGACAACCCACGAGCATGTGTCATGCCCAACTCGGCTAGCTTCTCAAGGAGCTGAGACACTCCCCCATGCTGTCATGGCAAGCACTCTACGGAGTAGTCGCTGCTCACGGGGCGCTTTGACAACCCGGTCAACCAGCAGCATCTTGCGATTTGCTCTCGTCTTTTGTCTCTTGACTTGCTTCTTTCCAGTGGGCATGGCAGCTCGCTCGCATAGGTGTGACACTGGGGCAACAAGAAGAGACAACAACCGGTAGCATGACTGCACTGTCTCTTACAGATACGAACTTTGTCTTTCTATTCCTTGATCGGAGGGAGTATCTCCTACCTCCGAAATACAAGGTTCCTGAATTCCTGAACCGCCCCCTGGTGCAGGCAGGCTAATCCTTCAACCGTAACCTAACGCCTTCAAATACCCGTGTGAAATGGGATCAAGAAAACAACGCACGCAATGCCTATCCAGGGTTTGACCAGCAGAATTTCCCTCACACACATAGTCCAGACCAAAAGCCTAAAAGCTCTTTCCCCTTGTCCAAGCTCTGCCTCTTGAGCGCCGCTGAAAGGGCCGCTCACTCTCCTGACCCTCGCTACCAAAATCACATTCAGTACAGTTACAGGTTGGAGTATCATAAAAAAACACATGAAAGAATTATGGAGGCCAACTCCCCCGAGTAAAGACCAACTCCGAACGCATGATTCATATAATGATGGGTCGAAAAGGTTGACAAAGCTTGCGTCAAAAGTCCTTGAAGTAGTGGTCGTACTTCTGGACCATGTCGTCCGTGTACGCTTCCCTCTTGCCGTCGTCCTCGGGGTAGATGTCGAAGCATTGAGCATCGCCAGGGTATCGAATTGGCGGGATGATGGGGCCCTGTACTCGTCGGTGGTACATGTCGTCCCAGTTGACCCCTCGGAAGAATGGGTGCTCTTTGACCTTGGCCGCTCCCCCGCTGACATTTCCTAGTCGTCGGGATCGGTCTACAGTGCAAAAGGATCTGATCAGATCTTGAGCTTCGGCTGATACTGGCGGGTCATGCGGGAACATGACGGGCTTCTCGACAATTCTGCAAAATTTTGTTAGTAGCTGCTGCAAAGCCACAGCTGGGGCCTACCGGCCGCGGTGTAACTCACTGCTTGTAGATTTCAATTGGGTTCTGGTGCCAGAATGGCGGGTATCCCGTCAGAAACTCGTAAATCAGAATGCCCAGTGCCCACCAGTCCACCGCTGTCGTGTGACCTTTGTTATGGATCACTTCCGGAGCGAGGTATTCGGGAGTGCCGCAGAGGGTATAAGTCTCAATGGGCTGGCCCGAGCTATTGCTCAGCCTCTTTGCGAAGCCAAAGTCAACCAGCTTGATATGGCCCTCACCATCCAGTAGAAGATTTTCGGGCTTGAGGTCACGATAGGCGACGCGACCCTGTTGCTCGTGCAGATACTCCAGCACGAGAACAATCTCTGCGGCGTAGAAGCGCGCCGTCTCCTCCTCGAAGCGCCGAAACTTGCGCAAATAGCTGAAAAGCTCACCACCAGGAACATAGTCCAGCAGCATATACAAGTGATCGCGATCGGCGAAGGAGGAGATGAGATTCGTGATGAAGGGGTGGCCGGCGACATCGCCGAGAATTGAACGTTCGTGACGGACGTGATCGATCTGTTTAAGCTTGATGACCTCTGTCTTCCGCAGGATCTTCAGCGCGAAAACGGTGTCGCGCTCCTCTTCAGTCGCATTCGCTGGGCGCACAAGACACACTCGTGCAAATGTTCCTGCAAGGCGGTAGTCCAAGATTAGCAAACGGTTTTCCAAGACAAACGTAAGCAGGTGCAGAGAGACACCAGGACGGGGGGACGGGAATGGGGCGCAAACGAACCAGTTCCAAGCGTTCTTACGACGCGGAAATCCTGAGGAGTCAACATCCGACTTGCGATAGGTCCAGCTCCAGCATCGGAGTGCTGTTGCGCCTGAGCATGGCCATTACTGCTGTTGCCTCCGCCCATCATCTTGGATAAACCCCCGCCAACCTGATTCGACAGGGGACTCGCATGCGCAACGGTAGCCGCCATATTATGTAGTTTTTTGTTGATGGCCGTTAATCCCGTCATAAAGAGTAGGGTGAGTTCGGTTCGGGTAGGCGAAGTTGTTTGGTATGGATATCGTTCAGCTGGGTAGCACGTCGATCGCCACCATCACGGCCTAAAATGGTGATCCAGTCTGGAGACAGGCCAAGGTAGACCAGCCGTCGTGGGTTTGGTTTTGGAAGATGAGTGACAGAGGGAAGGAGGTAGGTGGTGTTCGTTGCGTCTCGTAAGTGGTCAATGGGAAAGAGTTGTGGTGGTGGAAAGGGGTTCGGTTCGGATCGAGGCTTCGTCTGGTGCTGGGTCTAGGCCCAGGACTGGGGATCGATATGTGTGGTTCGAAGCTATAGAACTGGAGCTGGCGGGAGGCACCGTTTCTCCCCCTGGGGCAACGGACTACTGCGAACGCGAATAAGACGAAGAGTGGTTCGCGGCGTCTGATATGGGCGAGGGTAAGGTATGATTTCGTTCTTTCTCTCCGTCGGTGTTCTGTGTCTGTATCTGGATCGGTCAGGTATGTGGTGGGAGGAGACGCTTCTCTTCCTTCTCGTTGGTGGTGACTTCTGGGGCCTCTCAGCTTTCACATTCAGAGAGAGGGAAAACCTTCAGACGAAAGGGCCGTGGCAATGACGAAAGGCAGCAGAATAGACAGCTACATACGGTAGGAGCACTTATGGGGCAGGACCAGGAAGGAAGGGGGGGGTTGCTGCTTCCCAATTGTTGCTTGCTGGGACCGCTAGCCTCTTGGGTTGTGATTGCCGGGATGGGACGTGGAACACCACGTTATGGGCAGGCAAGAGGCGTGGGTTCTTGCCTTCTTTGCTACCCGACAACACGGGGGTACCCTCCCACGCCGCCCACTTTCACTCCTTCCCACTTTGCAACCGCGATACCTCGTGATACCTCTTTCTCACTCTAAACACCACTACCCAAAATGAGGCAAGATGTATCCCGAGTACCTCCTGCCCTCACTCACCGCGTGGACAAGTACATAATATTAGAAGGCCGTGTGGATGGGGACTTGCATTGTGCGGATGGGGCGGTCGCTCCTTCAACCTGCACTTGTAACCTCACCAGCAGCTGCACTTTGACGGGCAGCTTTGCCGCCTTTCTCGCTCTCTCTTACAGCCCTTCCAATCCCAATCCACGACTATCATTCGTACACTACCAACTACCTAACTGTGTTAGCCACCCGCCCAGATACTGCGGTAGAGTCGATGCAGAAACAAGTCTCGACTATGCAGCTTTGCAGCGGGTGCGGCGTGTAATCCAGCAGAACCACCGACATGGTCTTTCCCCTTTGGGAATAGCCTCCTGTCCACCCGGTGGAAATCCGGGGACTCCTCTGCCCATGTCTCGACTCGGCCCGCCTCGGTCACACTCGCACTCCTCTGCTGCTGCTGCTTCTTCTTCTCTACACGGTACCATCTTCCTCGACTCCTCGCGTGGTCCCCCTACACATCGCCACGACCATTCATTCCGTCTGGAACATCCGCCTGGGACCGTCAGCTACGGAGGCTGTCCGTCACCCCCCACATGGCACCGCTTCAGCTCTGGGCTCTGGCACTCAGCTCGCATCACGGCAGTATTACGGGTTACTCGCCCCGTGGCCCCCTTTCTTGCTGGTCCGTTCGCCTCTTTCTGCAACATTCGTCAACAGCACCGACCATCTACGGAGTACGGATACCTATTTCGCTTTGTTCATCATATTGAAATCTGGCCCGCCAGTCTCACTTTCTCGCTCTCGACTCTCGACTCTCGAGTCTCCTACAGTCTCCCCCCGCCAGCCCCAGACCAAGAAACCTTCGCCGCCCCCTGTTAACCATCTGCACTCGGATTTGCTGATATCAGACCAGCTATCCAGTGGACGCTCTTAATCCGATGTCTTCCACGACGAGACACCCTGACTTCCACAGCCGAGTAAATCTCCGAAACCCTGATACGCCCCGGGACTGTGGATTATATGTTCCTCTAGTCTTCAGGGGCCCTTTTGGCCAATGTCAGATACAGGGCCTTCCGAGGCAACGAGGAGATGTTCATCATGCCCACCGCTCCAATACAGAGTCCGTATCGCAGCGGACAGTATCCCGGATTCAGACACGACCTAGCTTTGCCGTACACTGATCCGTATTTGGTCGGTCTCCGTCCTCGCTGTTCTTTGGTAGTGCATCTACGGCGCTCCATCGGCCACAAACAAGCGGCGGCGGTGGTATCATGCTCTGTCTTCCTCACCATACCACCGTGGCGTAGCAAACGTGGCTGCCAGCGCGAAAGAAAAGTGGTTCTGACGGGGCCTCCGGACGTTTGAAGGCCGATGAAAAGACGGTAAAGGCAAAAAAGAAGACCTAACACCAACTGACAAGACAGTCTTAGTGTACGGAGCATGTGCCTAGACTACGGCTGATCGAGGCGTTGCTGCTCCCCCGAGGCTTTCATCGCATCCAAGACATTCAGTTTCACACAGGGCCGCCTCTTCGTTAGTCAGTTCTCGCCCGGGCCATGCGGAATCCGGTCCCGCGGGGAGGGAAAGGGCCTGATCAGTGATACACCTTGCATGCAAGCGACTCTTATCGGCGGCTATGACGCAACGTCTCGATCTCATCCCACCTCTCGCCCACACCTCACCTCGCTCACTAACTCTTTCCAACGAACATCCGGTACGACATGCTTTTCGGCTTCGCAATCCGAGCCGTATCTACCATGGCCTGGCAAGTCAACCACGTGCTGTCTACCGCACGGGGAAGCATAGCCGCTCTGCCATGCTCAGCAATGCAACAACCTCTACTGCATCTCAATATCTCGTCATGGCCGAGCTTAAAAGAAAAAGAGTGTACCGTGAAATCAATCCCCAGAGAGTTTGTCCGGCAACATGTCAAAAATGGCAAATCCGGGGGCCACGAAACCTTGGTATGCCGGCAACCAGTCAACCAGAAACACATCACTGAGATCCTCATCGGCCCTTCGTCAGCGCCATGCGGCTTGGCCTGGGTCCTGCTTCCTTTACGTCTTTTACATGAGTCGCGCCCATGCCTGAGTGCGGCAAAGGCCCGACGGTTATGTCACTTCAGCCCCCAATGAACCGTTGTTTCCTTCTCATTGAAAATTTCTTCCGGTTTTTTCAGGTCGCCCGGCCGGCAGTTCCTGAGATAAGCACCAATTTCCAGCCCCAAATACAGAGATGAAGATGTTCATTGTTGAGGTGGCACGCCCCCCGTTCGCTTCCGAGGATCGCGGCGTTCGTCGCACGCCAGATCTCGATTGCCTGCAGCAGTCTAGTGCGTTTCGAAAAGTCCTTTGACGGTCGGCGTAGGCGTAAGGCTGAGATGAGTTTCCATCACGCTCGATTAGGGCCTTCGGTCTCACGTCCTGATCCGGCGATTTATCGGATCAACTAACGCTTTATATGTCGTCCAAACGAACCTCACGCCTTGTTGAGAAGCCTCATCTGTTTTGGGGCCCGACTCCGTGCGTACTCCGGCTTTCAAGGTCTTTACTTCGGAGCCCAAGTGGATTTCAAGCACAACATTGAAAGCTCTGGCGATTTTATGTGCACTCTGCCACGCAGTGGCTCTCTTGGCAGAGTTCCGGCTGAGCCGCCGAATGCGAATGCAACGCCATACTGATTCAACAGACAGAAATGGATCGTGAAGAAATTTGTCACAAGTTACGAGATGCCAAGCTGAGACACTTTCGACTCAAACTTCACAGTCTGAACTCTAGGCTGGGTAGTCTTGACCAAAGCGGCCTCAGTGTCAGTCCGTGTTCTTGTTCAAGGGATACAGTCTTTGGATGAGGGCTTCTCCGGAGACGCGCGGCTAAGAAAAGGAACCTCCCTCCAAGACTGGCAAGAGCAACATCCATCCATGCTCGGGAGGAGTTCCTCACTTCCTATCCATCTTTCAATACGGAAAATGCGAACGGAACGGACGACCCGGACCCGGACCGGAACTCGGGACCCTTTTCTTTCTTTTGTGTCCTTTATCCTTCATCGTTCCTCTTTTTGCACAAAAGAACCATCGTCTTGACCTGCCCTCGAAAAGAATGGGCGTTTACTCGTCTCGGGATAACCCTTGCAGCCACCATCTCAAGTCCCGGTCTTCGACCCGGTTCCCGGTGGCCTGGGGAAAACCCCCCCGTCCCGTATAACGCCACGACGCCGCTGACGAAGACAAGCCCGTTCTATCCATTATGTCGGAAACACTTTGACTCGCTCCTCGTGTCAGCCGGATATGCCTTGGTCCCGCTGTCTTTTCTTGAGTTGGAGGTATACCTCGTTACTTCACAATAGTCAGCTAGAAGAGCTGACCCTTTGACTTGGTCTCATTGGCTCATGGTCTTGTTGTTGTAAGGATAAGTTATTGAGGCTGAGCCACTGAGATCGGATGACAATCAAAAGATTATGAATGTTGTTATGATACGAGAACCAGAATCTTGATTGGATCTAAGTATGTTCGAGTTCATGATGCGTTGTAACTAATGCTTCCGCTCTAAACCAAAGTCGCTTGCGGTCTTTCAACCCCGCCATCGCTGGGAGCCGTCCCCGTCCTTCGTCTTTTCGTGTACGTACATGAAGCTCCAAACGACAAACAAGGCCAGGGTATATTCAAGCTCCACTACGAATCGCCTCCCTTCATGCTGGCTCAATAGCTCTCAGCTCAAGTCAGCCACCATATGCCTGCACCCACGGCCAACAGTGTGGCTAGTATCATCGCCCCCTGCTTAGTAGACCACAGGAACATGCTCCAGCCAGCGAGGACTTCCTTCCGCCTTGCTGCCGCACGTCGTTCCCAGGCCTCGGGATCGATGGCTACGGGGAGAACGAGACGAGGATCCACCACATTGGATGTCGGAGCTTCTGTCGATGATCGGGCTAGCTCCTTTTCAGTGAGAAGGGGAACTGCAGCTCTGATGTACACGGCTCTGTGATCTGAGCTGCGGACTACAGGCATGGCATCGTAGGTCTTGACATCGACCTTTTGGGGCTTGGTCTTGACCCACGATGGGACATCCAAGTACAAGATGCGATCCGTCCAGCTGGGGTACCGATGAGGCGCAAACACCCAAGGCACATCCTCCACACCATCGACTTTCAGGCGGGTGTCGTCTGTGGGCAGGACATTGTACTTGTACGTCGGGGGAAATTTGACTTCAGCCTCGCTCATGCCGTGCAAAGTACGTCCCGCCTGGCGTTCTCTCGTGAGTTGATCCAAGGGGAAGAAGCGGGAGTAATGGTGTTCGCTGTCGGGGTCGAGACTGGGAAATGTTGCCATTGGCGGCGGGCTCGTCGTTGAGATGCGATAGTTGAGGTCGCCGCCGACAAAAAGATGGGAGCTTGGCTTGAACACAGATATCTCCTGTAGCCGTTCCTGAAGAGCGAGCGTTTGTGCGTGATGCTCGTCGTGCAAGAGGTGCACTGCTTCATCCCTGGCACCGTCGTTTTGGCCCTCTCCCTGTGTAGGGGTATTAGGCTTGCTCTTCTTCGGGTGCAGGATGTCTTCCGGGTTCTCGAATGTCAGGCCACGCATGATGGTTGCCCAGTTGGCATTTCGCCTAGGCAGATTCCACTCCATTGCTGCGAGATGGGTAGCCACGAAAGTGAGCTCCGTCTCCTTCTTCCCCTCACCGTCGCCCGTTGTGCCCTCGTACAAGACCCTTAGTGCCACAGCGCCCTTGTTGCCCATTTCTGCAGCGCCGAAGCCCACCTCCGCCTCTTGCACGCGCAAGATTGATTCGGGGTTCCGCGCAAAGAGCATAATGGCGGTCATACCGACATTGCGAGTCCGAATTAGGGTATAAGGTCGCACAGGGGTAGGAGCGGTAGGCTTAACCAGTATCGTTTCGTCGTCGGCCTCATCGTGACTGTCGGTATTCGAGGTGGGTTCGTTGGTGTATCTGGTAGCAGCGAGGTTGAGAGCTTCTTCGAAACGCGTGAGGTACGGGCTGAGGAAGTAGCCGCCGATGAAGGAGTACGATAACGGCGCGAACTCTTGCAAGGAGCTGGGGGAAGATTTCTAGTCAGCGTTGTTGCAAGATCACACGAGGGGAGGGGCCGCCGCAACTCACAAGACAACAACCTCTGGGAGGGGAGCGGCGCTCTGCTTGAAAGCTGTGTGGAGGTTTGACGCAAAGACGTGAGTATCGATAAAGTTCTTGGCACAATTGAACGTCAACATGAACAGGTCAAGCGTTGAGGGAGCCATCTTGTCGGTGGGTGCGGTGGAGTTGACGTCGACAAGGGTTGCCATTGAAAGCTGTCGGAGGTAATAGCCGCCGATGACGATTATCGAGTTTGGTGTGCTGGGATTACTCGGCTAGAGGTCACTGGTCTACCTTGTTAGTCAGCTCTCTACCCCTCCTCTTTGTTGGAATGTTGCCTCGATCGATATTATGAGCTAGAGTCATGAGGGAGAATGATGAATTGAGAAATTGTTTGGAGAAGAAGAAGAAGAAGAAGAAGAAGAAGAAGAAGAAGAATAAGAGGAGGTCAAGAAGTAGATGTAGGAGAAGACCAAGGAGTTGGAAAGAGCACACGCGACTTTAGGACTTGACGTTGTCCTTGTTCCGTCCTCACCAAGATGGTTTGGCAGGATCGCCTGAGAAGTGTTAGTTGGGGTGGTTGCAAGTGCGGTCAACACTCACTCAGCCACGCGCTAGCTGCCCGGTAGCTGCCCAGTAATAGCTTTGAAATGGCATTGATCAAAACGAGACAAGCTCACCTCACACCAACTGCTCCGCTTCCAAGCTTGGTTCTTGCCAAAATCTCACAATGAGAGGCTGTCAAATGCCAAAGCCAACTTCATGTGCAAACTAGAAGGTGATGGTTATGAAGTTGAAGGGGGATAAGGAATCTTCAGGTTGGGGGACATCCCTGACACTCCCGACATTCTAATAATCGCCGTGTACTTACCTAAGAAAGTCCACTTCGGTTTTGCAGCTACCTTTGCAAGTTTTCGTGTAGGATGGTAAGGTTTTATCGTGATGCACAACCTTACTGAGTACGATAAGAATATGCCGCGATGATTCGAACATATATATGCGGATATACTTTGCACCTGACGACATCCATTCGGTATGGCTTCTGGCGTTTCATGCAGTCAGCTGTTATACGTGCCCTGCGAAACGGAGTCAAGCGAGGCCACACCTGATCCGCTATGCTACCCAGTCTCATGACTTCGACACCATTGCACATCCAACCAAATCTAGAAGATACCCGCGGCTATGTTGTTCAGACAACATGCCTCTCCAGGCATAAAAGTCAAGGTTGTGCGGCGATGGGATATGACGACTATGACTGTTGCAGTATTCTTATGACAGCTGCGCCGCCGAGTTCACAAGCTCCAGAAGACGAAATTCGCGCAACAATGTTAAATTGAGAAGCTACCATGCGTATTTTGGTTGGTTCCGCCGCCTATCGACATGCCCACAACTACTCGTGCTCCGCCTCCACCATGTACAAGCTTGCCAGGCCGATAAAAGCCCGCGGATGAGGGAGGCGCAGTGTTGAGAGTCCAAGCACCAGTGTCCTGAGGTCAACAATCTCCGTTGACTGCCAAGGCAGCCATGTAGACGTTGTCGATATCCCAGGGCTTTGCTAGACCATCCCCTAGAGCCCATAATAGTTGCCAGGAATCAGTTTTGGCGACTAGTCACCAGCTCTGGTTCCCCCCCTCGTGCAATGTCGGAGTAACGAATTCCCAACCAACCAAACCGAACCAGAAGTCAAAGAAAAGATGCCGCACTCTTCCCCATTAGGTTTGCAACCGTCATTCCCTTGCCGAATTCTGTCTTGGCTGACTTGATAAGAGTCGTGGTTCTTGTCAGACAGTGTCGGCAGGCCCGATGTCTCGCAAAAGTTTCTCTCTCGTTGTCGACCCCTCTCACCTAAACTACCTCCCCAGAAGCGGGCCTCGACGCGTGATTGACCAAGTGCGAAGCCTCGAATGAAAAATCAACTCGTAATGCGCATAACCGAAGGAAAAAGTAGGAGAAATAGAACAGAAGAAAAAAGAAAAGTCCGTCGGTGAACGCAACTCCAACGCATCGACCAGGTGCAAGGTACTAAAACCAGGGCACTCAAGTTGGGGGTGGGGGGGGGAATGTCTCGCGGGGCGGCCCGACGACGGTGCCTCGCAAAGTTGAGGTACCGGAAGTGCCGTTCGAGTTCTTCCTACCATGGATACCGAACCATAGAGCTTCGGCAGCAAGGTCTACCGGGGCGTCTGTGAAATCGAGTGTCCTGTTATGAAGAATCGAGTCATTCGTGAAATCAACCCAAATATGTCGAAGAACGAAATTGAGAAAGCGTAAGGAGAATGCGACCAGTTCGCGTGGCAAGGCGTATCATCAAAAAGACCCTGCTGGTGAGCAGAACCCGTACCAATCGTGATGTCTGGGAGCCATGCCACGGAAGGAATGAAGCCAGTAAAGCCGGTCTGGTCATACTCCAACGTGTTGGACAGAAAGCATGTGATTTACCGCCGTCGAGGATCACTTTGGCAGAAAGTAACTTGAACCATATGCTGGACTTGCGCCCTTCGTAGCCGAGCGCAAACTAGATCATCGTCCACTAGGTCAGCATGTGTTTGTCAGCAACGGGTTCAACAGCCAGCGGTCGATGAGCTGCTTGGGCGGTTTGACTTACATCCTGTCACTTCCACCGACGGCACGGTTGGTATCTGGGGTGTTTACACCAGCACCAGATCCTCGTTCAATCACTTTGCGGCGCGAGCTGGGAAGGGCGTTAGGCTTATTAGCGCCAGACTGAGGGGTCGGCTGACCAGCAGTAGCGGCGTTCGTGCGAGATGCCCGCGCCTTTTCATCCTCCTCCTGAGTGGCTCCTGCAGCCTGAGCAATTGCCTGAGCATTCTTCTGGTACTTGTAGACGGTCCAGTCGAAGACGTAATCGTACTGGAAGCCCTCGCGGACGAAGAGATCACGGAAGATCTTGCGGAGGTAGCTGTAATCGGGCTTGTCGTCGAATCGGAGGGATCGGGTGTAGTTCAGGTAGATGGCGAACTCGTTGGGGAAGCCGCGGCAAAGGACCTCGGTCGGGGTGGTCATCTTCTTCTCCATGATGCGATCGTATTTCTGCTTCTTGGTAGCAGCCTTAAGTCCCTGCCAGGGAAGAGATCCACGGCAGAAGTAGAGCATGACGTAGCCCAGGGACTCCATGTCGTCACGGCGAGATTGCTCTGCGAAGTTGTCAGTGGCCACGAGGAAACGGGAAGGGGCCGAGTGCGTGGAAAGATAACATACCGACACCCAAGTGGGTGTTGATGGAGGCATAGCGGGCGGTTCCGGTAAGGTTCTTGTTCTCTCTGTAAGGGATGTGGAAGTGCGTCTTGGGGTCACGGTACTTCTTGGCCAAACCAAAGTCAATAACGTTGACCTGGTTGCCACGCTTACCAATACCCATGAGGAAGTTGTCGGGCTTGATATCACGGTGGATGAAAGACTTGGCGTGGATGTACTCGATGCGGGAGATCAGCTGATCGGCGAGAAGCAGCACGGTCTTGAGGGAGAATTTGCGGTTGCAGAAGTTAAAGAGATCTTCCAAACTGGGCCCGAGGAGATCGAGGACCATGGCGTTGTAGTCGCACTCTGTACCGAACCAACGGACAAAGGGAATACCGACACCGCCAGCCAGGGACTTGTAGACTCTGGCCTCATACTCAAGTTGGGGGTGCTTGGCCTTGACGCTCTCGAGCTTGATGGCGATCTCCTCACCCGAGATAATGTTGGTGCCGAGGTAGATATCACCGAAGGAACCAGAACCGATCTTGCGACCGATGCGGTACTTGTTACCGACACGAAGATCCTGCCATGGTTCGTTAGCCATGTGCAATGATGACAATTGGGATAGAGCGGTTCAGTCGACACATTGAGCACTTTGAGCTAGGGCATGTGTAGCTCCTGGCAGGCCTGTATCCTAAGTCGAAAGAAGCCGTCCCACGGCTATTCGCTTACCATTGTGGTCATCTTGACAGATGTGCGGACTCTGCACCTTTCGGATGCAGATTTTGGTTTGGTGGGTTGAGTGTCGATCGACGAGTCAAATTTTGATCGACAGCGAAGCGATGGGCTGGATAGAGGTAGAAGATTAGTTTTGATGCATGAGACAGGAGAAGCCTTTGAACTGTGTCGCTAGGGCAGTGGATGCAGGCGAGGACGATGTGAGAACAGAGAGAGGTGGGAAAGGTTGAAGAGTGGATAGAGTTGGTCGAGGCCTTGGAAGAGAGGATTGAATGAGGCAAAGCTCGGATCCACCGCCAGAACCCACGGTCAGCCCGAGGCTAGGCTGGGCAAAACGACGAAGAGTGAACCCCAGGCAGAGCGAGAGGGGTGCAATCCGAGGATGCAACGATTGTCGATGGATTGAGGGTCCAGGTAATTGAAGGTTGAGGAAATATAGCTAAATAGGAACAAAAGAGGCTCACCTGTCGAGAGTTTGTGCGTATGTATTGTCGGCGGGGGAGGAAAGAGTCGATGGCTCTGCGAGGTCGTGTGTGTGTGATGGTTTGAAGGTACCTGTGTGACGAAAGAGGTGGACGGGGATTAGTATGGGCTCTCTTCGAAGTCTTGATGGGCAGAGGGGCGGATGGATTGATGGGGGCCGGTCGGGGATAATTTGTAATTGATGATGATGGACGTGGAATATGTATGCGTACCTTAATCTCCAAATGCCAACGAAAGCCGTGTCCAAAGTAAAGGGGACGGACAGTGACGATGTGCTGTTCGGGCAAGAAGCCTTTGGCAATCAAGTGGCTCGCAAAAGAGATCGTGGGGTGAAGAAAGGAAGAGTAAGGCAGGAAGGAGGAGGGAGGAGGGAGCGAGAGAGGATGGGAGGAGGGTACCTTAATGGGATGGGAGCCCAAAAGTGGAGGCGACAAGGCAAATGGACCTTCCCTCACCTCAGGCGGCAGGCTCTCTCGCTCTCCACGGAGTACTTCCTTCCCACCTTACCTTAGTACATCCTTCCCAAGCACTGAGTTGCAAAGGGCGCAGGAGGGCTGGCGGCGGGCAGCGGGCGGCGGGCGGCGGACCACCTCACTAGGGCGGACAGGCGCTGGGAGCTAAATGGGACACGGAGACTGGGCGGGGGGAAGGGGGAAATAGAACCAAGGAAAGAGAAGGCACCAAGGAAACGGCCTGAGGTAAGGGGAAGGTACCTATCCTGAGCAGCCTGAGAAGTACCTTCTTCGTCAGAAATCCGGTGGCAGGTACATACCCATGGACGCCAATTTTGCCGAGAGCTGCACGTACCCTCTCCGTGCTGTTTCCCTCCAGCCCAAGGTCCGAATACTTCTCTTCTACCTGACTTCGGGTGGCCTTCCTCCCATCCCCTCCCCGGGTGTCTCCCACACGGCATTACATAAGGCACTTAATAGTATTACTCCGTAGGTACTTTATGCTTGACGATAAGGCAGCGAACCGATACTCACACAGCACCTGGAAGGAAGCCTCTTTGGTGCCAACTTGGTGGTTCATGGCTACCCATCCAGCCGTCCACCCGCCCTCAACCTACCTGGCGACATTCCCGCCTACCTTAACCTCCCTCGGACACCATAAACCATAAGGTACCCTGTCTTTCATCAATAAAGTCAGCCAAGGTACCTACCTCACTGGGGTAGACTATTCGTATTGTCTATCGAATCATTCATCGACAGCAACATTCGAGCTTTCTACCCGGCTCGACACCGCCATCACGAAGCATCTACCTACTTACCTACAGATGCCGGTTCCGATATCCAAGCCAGTCTGTGGCCTCAGCCAGCCTCCTGAGCTCCCGTGCTTCCGCGCTTGTCGCAGATGCCATGCCCTGGTCGCTTCAGCTCACCTCACCTCACCTCTCGCATCACCCCAGATAAAGAACTCCTGGCAAAGAAAGCGAGCCAAGTGTGACTTCACCAAGGCACAGCTTTACCCAAACGTCTTTACCAAGGCATACCGGCATACCGACACAATGCTACAAACACCGGCGGCTCAACCACTACAATCGCGACACTCGTCACATCCTGACCGGTCAACCGAGCCCCAAGTACTCCGTACTCCGTACCGTACGCATAGGCTGATCTGTGGCCTGGCCAAGCACCAGCTCATCCTCATCTTGAGCCCATCTTGAAATTGGAACACCGCATTGGCCATGCAATTCAATGCAATGAACCTCTCTCCGCCGGGTCACTGGACAACGACGGGGAAATACCTGGTCGAGACATGTAGGCCCCTCCCCTCGCACCCTGGAGTCCCACGGTCCACCCGCCCAACGTTCCACCGCTCCAAAAGGGGGAAATTTCGAAGCCTGAAAACCACTACCGCCGCCCCCAACCCTTCTCGACAACACCCAGGAACCCTGTCTCAAATCACTGCTTTCGGAAGACGAGCAGACTACGGAGCACTTCGTACTCTGTACGTTACTCCGTACCGAACGAACGTGAGTTGAACACGCTCAATGGGCCCTTTCAATGACACGGAATGATGCGAGAGGGGCGACACCATGACGGCGGCAAGGACCCTGAATCGACCACTCAACCCACCGTACAGATATTACTCTCTGAACTTTTTCTGGAAAGAAAACCTGCTGATGTCCGACCTCAACGCTCTTTGCTATGGAGACACTGCCGCGGAACAGCTTTCAGAATTTCAGAACATATCCGCACCGGTTCTTCTTCAGCATTCCCAAGATAGTCAGGGCTTTCGTCATCGCAACCCGATATCCACCATGGAATCAAGTGGCTTCCTTCGAGATAACATGCCCAACTGCAATCAGCTCCAACGTGGAAAATTACCTGCAGCCGACCAAGACCCATTTGTCGCCGGGCTACGGCTGCGGATACACGCAGGGCGCGAACCACCACATCTTCAGGATCCTTGCCGGAACCTCCCCCCTGGAGCAATGTCTTGAGGTTCCCACGACGGACCGCAAGGAGCTAGAGATTTCGGGCGTACGCCCTTGCAAGTCAACCTTGACTTCTCGACTGAGTCGACTCGACTTGCCATTTGCGTGTCAGCATCAATCTAACCTTCACCAATCTGCAATCCCAAGGCCTTTGTCATGCCAATCTCAATCGTAGCCGGCATATAGTTCCTGGACCAATATCAACCCCTCGTAATTCGACATTGCCGCATTTACCAGCAACGCCTACTAATCCCTCAGGTGACACTGCTCCCACCAGAGTAGGATGCGCTAATCACCAACCAGCGAGAGCCTCACCGCTCTTAGTGCTCTCCCCCGCAACGAGATCACGACGCTCGAACCCACCAGGAAAAATAACTCCAGACTGTCGGTCAGGAGACCAGTCATAAATCGGACGGTCGAGGGCACCAACGCTGCAAGATCGAGATACCTATTTTCAGTACTCTACCTACAAGGGCCAAACCCCTCCAGCCTCAAGTCGATATTACAATGCAAAGGTGAAAATGACCAGATCAAGCAAGTACCTTTAGATGGCATAATCATCAGCTCGGAGGCATACCAGAGTCAGCACAGTACCACCTTCTTCGTCATGCAACAACGACCTGTCGGGTGTCGCTGCTGACATCCGAGATATCATGTTCCGATACCCAGAGGCCCCCTTGGCCATCTCTCCTTAAAACAGCAAAGGATTTCCCGCAAGGGGCGGTAACAAGGGAAGTCTTCCTCGGACCCTCCGCCCCCTCGTCTACGATGCACAAAAGAAAAGGAATGGCCTGCAATGCAACCGCCCATCGTGGACAGCATCTCATCTCTGGCGTTGCCGCCTTTCAGATGCGCCGTGCGCTCCTCTAGCGCTCTGTGCCACTGTGGCGTTGGATGGGGTCAAACGCCATGGATGCTATTCGACGTCGCCCACGTCACCCTTGTCCCAGGTCTTTCAGTCGGCCCCGAACAACGAGCAGGTCAACCTTCAAAGGCCATGGATGCAGAGCAATTTGAGCAAACAAGCCAGCATTTCCTGGCATCGTCGTCTGCTGATGATGATTTTTTGGCCCTGAGTGGCAGCCAAAATCTGGATTGTGCCCTCAGCTCGCGACTCAGACGTCCGAACCGTCCGCTATTCGGCCAACTGTGTCGGAGTTGGGCACCAACCCTTGGACAACGATCCCTAGTTCTTGTTCGCTTTCTCTCCGAGCAATTGGGCTCTATCCCCGACCCTACTTACCCTGCCTCCCGACGGGACTGGTGCCTCGCGAGTGCTTGCCATGGCCAGAGGATACTTACAGAGTAGGCGATTGAGGATGGCCTAGGTATCCCATCATGAATGCTGGCCGAGGTGCCATGTCCGTTTGGCAATCATCTTGAGCCGCCGTCCTCCGCCAGCATGATTCTTTGATGGCCAGTTGTCGTTCACCAACATTTGTGAGTGAGCTACGGCTTTGTGGCGGTAACGACACCCGCGCTTTGTTAGCCTTGGATAGGTGCAGTGCCGTAATCGGCATAAACGAGCTTAGGAGGCCGCGGAAAGGCAATTAAATGCCTCTCCCCATATCTTCTCGGCTGTCAGTTGTGAGTAAGCGTGCCTCAAACCCCGGAAGGCAGCTCCAGTGACTTGCATATTGACATCCTAAATTAGAGACGTTCGAGAAGCGGCAAATGGTGGATTGGAATTCTGGAAGCTCACCGCCGTTAGCGGCGCTATGGTGCGCCCTGGCTGCATTTTGATACATTGGGCCGCACGCACGTCTCGAAACAGGAGACGGTCCCTCACGCCGTCTCCGTAGTATCGGCTCAGGAATGTCACTTGTTCTTCCACAGGCCAACGGACGTTCCCTTCGCTTTGTCCTTTGGGCTAGTTGGGACGACGGAGATGCCCAGACTACCGAAATCTAGACTGGACCCGGCCGAAAGACCAATGTTTTACTTCTTCCTAGAACCTGTCATTCGGATTCCAACGTCAGCAGAGCTTCTGGTTCCGGGGTCTGACACCAACCAACGGCAAGACAACTGGATACTGCAGGAAAGAGAGCCTAGTGTCTGGCATGTCAATTCCATTGTCCAGTATGGCTTTGAGATATCGATCTGCACCCGTCACCAGTCAACCGCCTTTCGGAAGAATTGACATACGGAATACGTCTCACCAAAACGGTTTGAAGGTGAGATATCGAGGCTAAAAGAGGCTGTTGCGTATTTGCGTATTTGCGTATTACTTGACCAACCATGAGCACACTGTTGCCGATACTTCCAAGACCCCCGCAGAGCCAAGCAATCGAGGGCTTACTGTGAGAGAACACCCTTCAAGAATAAAGGCCGATGGGCTTCTGGCCAGTGCCGATCACTCTCGGGTTTCCCGCATCGGCCAATCCACCCGCAGCTTGGACGACATCAATGGGCCCTCACGCCCTCCATCACATCACCGCCCTGCGATCGCCTGGTCTGCCCGCCCCTTGGTTCCAATGGCTTTGGGAGGCGCTTGGCGCTGTCCTCACCGAGCATCTGTGAGTTGCCTGATCTTGCCTACTTCCAGCCATTCGACTGGAACCCAAAGGTCACAAGATCTCGGCGGCTGCATGTCACGAAGCTTGGTAACAGGATAGCTCCTGACATGGTACGGCAGGCTCAGTCTGAATACCTATTGATTCGCGAAAATGGGGTAGAGGAAACCTGGCAACACAAAGCCATCACCGAAATACATTGCACTGCGGCGGTTAACGTGCGAAGCACTCACGGCGGCACTCACTCTGAACAAAGACAAGCGCCGAAGCGGCCTCCTGAAGCTGCCTCTGGATTTCCGGTACCACAGTGTGGTCCATTCATATCCCATGTCCGGTGTATGGGCCTTGAAACGCCGTCAGACCATCCCCCCTTAGGCTCCGGGCCGCAACACAAAGCCATGAACGCCTCTGCCCACCCTTCCGGATCACCGGGAAGATGGGGTCAACGTGAGCACGGCCGGGGGTCCTGACCCGGCCTGAGCCGGCTACAATGAACACCGAGGTTGCCATTTCCCTTTGCCGGCATCCGACCCTGTTCAACAGCCGACTTTCTTCCTTTTTGCTCCGCGGAACCCTTTGCGGAGCCTATTTTGTTTCTCGACGGCGATGACATCCCCCATCGCTGCATGCCCGGGTAACGTTTTCTTCGTTGACTTTTTCGGGAAAAGAGAAGGATGAGGTTGCTCATCTGCCAGATCATCTGCCGGAGACCTACTAACGTACTGACTCGGGTCAAGTCCACCGTGACACGGATCATATCCGTACCCTCGCCTCGAAACTTGAGATGAACTCTACGGCCACGCGATATTGAGGAAGGGAAAAGAGAGTTTTCATTTTGCCCTCTTTCCGTCGGGCACCGACTGATGAGGGATTACCCGATGGCCTTGGCATAGTTTGCACGGCATGCACGGGTGCTATGGAAGGAACCAAATCCACCCCGATTCCAACGTCGAACCTTTAATTAAGGCCGCTTCCATGGTTTTCTTGGATACTTTCCTAAGGACCTCGGTTCTGCCCGGGATGGCCCTACCTCTGCCTTGGGCCCTGCATATCGGAACCGCGTGAACTGGCGCGGCTCGCTGACTTACAAATAAGGTACGAAAGTTTGAGTTGCTATCGCTGATCAAGAAGGGATTGTGTCATTCTTTACTGATCTTCGGGATGCTGTCGATGACATCATGCCAGGGTCTTTGGTATCAATCCTCTTGATGGGCCTCCCAGTTCCTGTTCGTCTGCGCAAGTCGGAGAGGGTAGGAATGTCAATCCCTTCGAAATTCGATCCCAATGGGTACTTGATTCATTCCGGCATTCCATCCTCTCGACCGGTGATAGAATAATTGACCGGCCTGCAGATAGGCCCCCCTTACCTATGTTTCCTCTGCTGTCCTTATCTTATCACAGTCATCCTTATTATTGCTATCCTTACTACTATGTCAATTAAATTCCTGAGATATATCGTTCAAATTACTCAGAGAACCTGTTAGAAAAGATGATAGAGAGATTAATGGCGAAAGAAGTAGCAGCACTGGTAGCGGTAGTGGGAGGAACAGAAATCTGGTTTCTGCTAAGCGGCAGATTATCTCTCACCAAAATGCATCGCAGAAGGATCCTTTTTCATTGTAGATGTTACTTGGTAGTTGTGATATACTCAGTGTATGTCCCTCCAATCAGATGGGATTTGCAGCGATTATGATAGCCATCATCTACGTTACACTAGATGCATCCCAGCAGACCTCAAGGTACATTAATACATCGGATTTGTATTTCTTCGGCCGCTCCCAGCCAGGACAGAACCCAAAACGATCTTTGCTTTGGACGCAACTTGTCGCGTCAGAACCTGAGTCGCGTTGCGTGGCTTACACTGACATCCTGGTGAGTTCGACGTCACTCCACGCAAGCGCGCGTCTCGCTCGGTCCAACGGTCACGCTCCACCGGGGTAGAGTTTTGTGTCTGAACATTGACAACCACCCGGCGGCTACAACTTCATCGCTGCGCCCTGTCTGTGAACAACTCGTCTTCTGCGGAGCGTCCCTTGTTCACCTCTGGAGGGCAAAGAACTTCTACGAGACGTAGTCATATCATCGGCATGTCGTGTGTTTGCTTTCCCATTTTCCACCATAGCGAAGTCGGGGCGGATGGGATTGCTTCAGCAGCTCGGTAGCAGTAGATGTTGCATATCTCATGTTCATGTGGGACTGGCAGTGTTGGGCAACTCCTCACGCTGTTCAGCTATGCTTTATCATGAGAAACCCCTTTTAGGACTCTCAGGATGGACGGGTAACCCCCTGGCTCTGCTGTGATGACTGGGAATTCGCGTACGTTGCTACACACTTGTCAGTCTCGTAGCTAACGAAGGAACACCCAAAAGACGGTTACACACGCTGAGAGGGAGCGTAGCTCTGCTGCTGCGTGTAGTACTGCTGCTGCTGCTGCTGCGCCGGATATCCCGTTGCCGTCTGCGGCCGAGGCGGATACTGATTGTTCTGGTTTTGGTTCTGGTTGTGGTAGTTCTGGTTCTGGTTCTGAGGGTTCTGATTCTGGTTCTGATACCAGTTATAGGGCGGCCGGTAGTACTTGTTGTCCTGGAGATAAGGCGTGATGGTCTGGTCCACGAGCTCGGTCGTCTTGGTGAGCAGCTTTCGCGCCGTGGCGCTGCTGAAGAGGCGCGATTCGGATTTCGGCGGCGGGGCTTGGTAGTTTGGCCGGGTCGGGGGAGGAGGTCCGCCGAAGGGTGTGAGGGCACCAAAGCTCGAGTGCGGCGTGCCCGGCATGGGCGGGGAGTTGCGAGGCGGAAGGGGTGGCGGTGTCTGTGTCGGTTGCGGTTGGAAGTTTTGAGTTCCGTTGACATAGGTTGGCTGGGGAATGGGGGGCGGCATGTTGTAACCCGTGAACTGCTGTTGAAGAGGAGCAGATGGGGGACCAACACTGTTGGGAGACCAAGGGTACTGCGTCGGCGGTGGGCTCAGGGGCAGCGGAACGCCGGTTGCGTTTGGGGATAGGCCTTGCGGAGGTGGCGGCGGGGGGAGCCATTGTGTCTGTGTGGGCGAGGGTGAGGTGTTTGATAGGTGCATTTGGGACATTGCCTGGGGGTAAGAAGGCGGAGGGGAGGCATAGGGCTGGGCCGGTGACTGTTGGTAGGCCTGAGGAATTCCTTGCGATGTTGACGGTCTCGATGTGGACGCTACTGGGCTATGGTGGGCCGAGAGATTGGGCGAGGTGGTTTCCTTCCTGGCGTAGGAGGGTTGCTGGGGAAAGTAGGAGCTCACGGGGAGAGTCGGTGGCAGAGCAGCCTGGACGAAGACTGGAGACACAGGGGCGGCTTGGGTGTGAGTTGGTTGAGAATGGTTTTGCGGTTGTTGCTGTTGCGGTGCTGAAGTGCCCGGTGGCGCTGGCGAGAGACGCGATGGCGCGAAGGAAGGGGATACAGGCGGCGGGGAGCCAGCGGGACGAATGCCAAAGGGAAGCGTCGTCGGAGCCCCCGGCTGTGCTGTTGGCTGGTGCTGAGGGTGCGAGCCCGGCGTGGGGATGGACGGACCTTCGGCCGGATACGGAAGCTGGGGTGCCTCAGAGGCCGGAGCGGCGGTGATGGCCGGGCTCGGGGTCCGGGAGGGACGTTGCTGTGTAGCCGGGGACTGCGGCCGGGCGAGCTTGAGCGGTGCCGGTGTGAGCTGGGCCGTATCAGGGCTGTCCCGCCTTGCCGGCACTGCTGCTGCAAGCTGCAACGGCTTGGGCGTCACATCTTCCGCAGTACTGCTCGAGGGTCTGCTCCCCTGACCAATAGTCTCCTCGGTAGAACCGGTCTTCACGATGCGCAACGGCTGCACTGATAGCTTCTGAACCTCTGGTGGAGCCTCGTCCTTGCTCGGCGAGGGGGAGTCGCTGTTGCGTGAGGGAAGGTCATTTTCGAGAAAGAACCCCCATGGGTTTGCCTGGATGAGCGGTGGTTGCGACAGCGGCGGCGGCTGAGCCTCCTCTTCGTCCTTTTGTTGGTCCGAGTCTTCGTGTTTGGTTGCAGCTGTGGCCGTGGTAGGACATGCAGGAGGCGGTGACGTTGATGAGGGTGCGGTGACGGAAGACGCAGAGGCTATCCTGTGTGGCTTCCTATGGATCTGGGTTGCCGGTTTGGCTACGACGGCGTCGTCGGTAGGCATCTCGTAGGCAATGGGGCCATGTTGGGCTGTTCCGGCACTCGGCACCGGTGCGGATGTGGTAGTGTTGGGTGATGACGTCGATGGTGAGGTTGGTCTCGGGGCTGAGGTTGGGACTTCTAGCTCGGCGAGGAACTGCTGCTGTGCGGGGTACTGCTGCCTTTGCTGCTGCTGCTGCTGCTGCTGAGGTTGCTTGCGATGAGGCGGGTTCGGGGAGGTAGGCCTGGAGGCGTATTGAGGCTGTTTGGGAGGGTTGTAGTATTGTTGTTGCTGCGGCGGTTGGTATGGTTGGAACTGCTGCTGATATTGAGGATGTGGTTGCGATTGTGACTGCGGTTGTGGTTGTTGGACGTAGTAGCGCTGCTGCGGCGGGTAAGGCGAATGCGCCCGCTGCTGCTCTTGATGTTGCTGTTGCTGCTGTTGCTGGTTCGGAGGTGGTCGTTTCCCTTGGCCGGTGCCCATTGTCGCGTCTGGACTTGCCCGGCGCTGCTGCTGCTTCTGCAATCTCATGAAGACGAGATTTATGCGATGTTGTTGTTGCTGCTGCCCCCTCGTGGGTTCCCTCCTGCCACACTTTTCTCTCTTTCTGTTTTCTTACGGATACTTGGGCTGGAAACGAAGAATTGGGCAAGTAAGTGGAAGGAAAGAAAGGAGGAATGAGAGATGGTTGGGAAGAAGGGCCAAGGTTTATTTTTTAGCCTTACAGATCACCGTATACACAGCCGCAGCGCCGTCTACTCTTCTCGGCCTAGCTTCTGATGATTGCTGGTGCTTGGATTTAAAGCTGTGCAGCTGCGCTGTCACTGCTCGTGAATGTGTGAGGTGTGCAGCCTGGAGATCCTCCTTCGCGCCCCTCTGCCCCCTTGACCCCTTCCCAGAACCCCGGTTCAATCGTTCCCGTTACGAGCAATGTTAATTTATTGCTGCATCTTTTTCGGATTCGGACATCAGCTACGGCCGGCCCACAGTCAAGTATCCGGGGGGGGGGGGAATCTCGCAATCGCTTAGCTTCCTCAAGGGTTCGTTAGACGGTTCGTCCATGTCAATTTCAACGGGTTCCCGATGGGCCGATGGAGTTTCAATAAAGACAACGTCAGGAATTTTACACGCAAATGGTAAATGAATTATCAGAAAAAAAAAGTCCCCTAGCGCTGCCGTGTGAACCTAGAGCTGGAGCCTGGAACCAACGCAAGACACCCCAGTTGATCCTACTCTGGAGTCTTGGACCTCTTGGACTCTCCGCCCCCTGTTCTCATTCTTATTACCGTGGGATGAACGATTCCTTATTCTGCTGCCTGTCTGACTGCTACTGTCACTTGGCCAAGCCGATTAATTGAAGAAAGATACGGATAGTTACCGAAAAGGAAGATTAAAGTTCCCCCAGCTGAACTCAGCCTGAAGTGGAAGCCTGGGGGAAATGGGGATGGGAAAGCAAGGCAGGGCTTCTGACCTGCAGGGACGATCGTTCGTATCCAGGTTTTGATTGGCGATTTGTTTTCGCGGCTGTCGTCAAGGGGGCTGAGCTGAATATCAAATGCTCACCCACCCACTCACCTCAAGTACAAGCTGTGTTTTTGCTCTGCAATTGATGATGACTGAGGTGGATGATCGAGGGGGCTTATGATGGCTTAAGCTTTTACTAAGGCTGTGCCGGACCCTTGGGTTTTGCCCGCGGGTTGTACCGCGTTTCCGTGTACATTTGTCAATGCATGTCACTGTCCACCTCATGCTTGGATGATGGCAGTTGGCAGAATTGCCTCCAGATTCCGTACTGGCCAGAGAAGAGGGATATGCACGTGAGGGTATCGCAGAAATCCACTGCAGTATAAAAGCAGTCCATCCTCCCGCCCAATCCTGGAATCTGAGCAGAGCACAGAGCATGACGCCAGGACCTGATCGTGGTGTATGGTTTGCAACGATGATGACTTGCACTGGGGTTTGACTGCTAGTGGCAAGTATATGTAAAATCGTGAAGGAGGCATACAGCTCATCATTAAACATATCCCTAGCACCTCTTCCTCATCGTCAACGTATTCAACAGCCATTACGAGGATTGGACGAGAGATACTAGCGGGAAGGCAGTGCTGCGTGAGGTATTGGCTACTTTGACTCACTAATCTCTTTACGACGACTTAATTTGAGCGCCGTTCCTACTTTTGTAATACAGAATGACTGCTCTCCAGCAACTGACTCCAAAATCAGTTAGCGGTGTAAAGATCTTCGAGCGTGTTGTCGTATAATAATAGCCTTTTTATAGTTTCTAGCTCGTAATGACACAACTCAAGTGCCGACCGACTTCGCAAAGGGCTTGGCTTCGGCCCATCGAGGCAGCTCTGCAAGTCTTGTAGCTCTAAAGTTTCGAGTATTCATGTGTGAGGAGCAGTATTCACACCATCTGCCGGCACCGTTATTACTCTGCTCACTCTTGCATGCTCGTTGCGCTAGAATCTTAAAGTAAACGCTGGGTTGGTCTGACCATGAGGAAGTAGCAAGGACTCTTAGCTAACCCACGGCCTGTTGAAACCTGATACTCAATGCCTTGCTACCAATCGAGTAAGATAGGCGACCCATGGAAAACAAATAGTAAGAGCCTCGTCTTGATGATGCTGAAACCTGATCTGATAGCTGTTGTAGTCGCCGTTTGATCTCATGTAAACCGTACCTAGATAGGTATTTTGCTAGAAACCTATCTTCTTCAAAGGTCCAACTCATCTCTACTAATCTTGACATCCACCTTGCTCTATTGCAGATGTGCCTACAACAAGTCATCTCTACTCCTCCAAATCCTCCTAGTCAACCCTCTTCAAACTCAACTTAAACGGCTTCGGCAACACACTCTCAACCCTCCCATCATCCCCATACGTAAACTCAAAATGATCAAGCCCCTTATAGTTATACATCGTCCGATCCATCGACAACCACGACACGCACGACGCATTAGGAAAGAAGAACATATCATCAATCGCATCCCGCTGCTCCGCCGTAAACGTATCAAACAGCGCCCTCCACGCCGTGACATTCCCCTCCTCCAACCCAGTGGGATACAACCTCGCCGTCCGCCCCGTAGCAGGCGGCAGATCCGTCAGGTTGACCCCCAAGAACGAGTACCGGCTCAGATTCGGCACGACATCGAACCCCTTCATGTACCAATCCTCCAACAACAGCCCCCACCCGTCGTCCAACGAGATTGTCAGGGTGGAATTACTCGCCTCATCCGCATACGTCCCCGCGATCCTGGCTTTCGCCTCATCCCGCGCCGCCTCGTCGAGGGCGCGGAGCAAGGGGGGCAGGAACTCGTTCATCTTGAGCGTGTAATACGAAAACGCGGCGGCGCTGACTTCCGGCCCGGCAACGAGGATCGACATGGTGATACCGTGCTCCGGAACCAGGGCCAAACCGGCATGGTAGAGTATCAGGTCGCCGCCCTTGGTATACATCTCCACGAGCCTCCCGTCCGCCGTGACGTTATCCGAAAGTATACCCTCCCACGGCGCACCGACAAATTGGCCCGGCGCAGACGTGAAGACGGACGGCTTGAGCCACCGCCGCGTCTTGGCCGGGCTGAGGAGGCGGTTCTGGAGGACGGCGTCGCCGAAGCGGAGCATGTCGGCCGTGGTGGAGAAGAGGCCGCCCGCTGGGTCCAGGGCGCCGAGGGTGAAGTTGAACCACTCGGTGTCGTTGGCGGGGATGAACATTGTCTCCAGGCTCGCGGGGAGCTTGCCGTAGGTGGTGTTGCCCATGCCTGCCGGTTTCAGGATGGACTCGAAGAGGACTTCTTCGAAGGGCTTGCCTGTGGCGCCTTCGACTGCCATGCCTACGAGAGTCGTGCCTAGGTTTGAGTAGACTGGTGTTTGGAAGGCTGGGTAGACGGGCGGTCGGCGGTTCTTCATGGCGTCTAGGAATTCTGAATGTAGCGTGATGTGTTAGTTGTTGGGTCAGACGCTTGTAAAAGAAACTTGGATCCAAAAACTTTGGAAATATCATCCGGGAAGACATACCCTCTCTGGAGCAACTCTGAACACCCAAGAACCCTCCACACTTGGGCTTCTCCTCCTCAGACACAGGAGGCAAACCAAGAGACTCCCAATCACCAGGATACGCCGCTCCATCGGTCATCACTACACTCAAAAGTCAGCCAACAATCAATCCCCTTAAAAAGCCGACGGAAGAGAAGGCAAACGCCATTTCTTCTTCTCCCCCTTCTTCTTCTGGTTTGACGTACTATCAGCCCCAACACCAGCATAATGAACAGCAGCAGCCTCAACACTAACATCCCCCCAATCCACAAACTCAACCTTACTCCTCCCCTCCGTCCCTTCTCCCAGCTCGGGGATATACTTCACCACACTCTCATCCCACCGCAAAACATCATCCCTCTGCAGCGCAGCCAGCACCGGAAACACTTTACTCACGCTCGCGAGCCGGTACACCGTATCCCGATCCACCACCTGCGCGCCCAACGCATCGCGATTCCGCGGCGTAAAGTGGAAATCCACCAGCGGTTCCGTACCGGCAGCCTCGAAAGCGGAACTGACGCCGATGGAGACGGCGGACGCGTTATAGGCTGCTGTCTCGGCTTCCAGGGCCGCGAGGAAGGTTGCGACGGCGGCGCGGACGGAGGGGTGTGTGGAGGGGAGTTTTGCGGCGGGGAGGACGGCGCCGAAGGGGGGGCATTGGTATGGTGTCGCGGTTGCGAGGTGAGCGAGAGCCAAGAGGGAGGGTGTTGTTAGGAGGGGAAGTGAGGTGCGCATTGTCGGATGAGGTTGGGGCTTGGTTTGCTTGGGAGATGAGGTTTCGTCTTCAAGTTGTGTTAGTCTGGTAGATACATCTCGGGTGTTGTACCCAAAGTCTCAGGTTATTAGATAGAAACTCACTACTGCTCAAGAGGTGAAGAACGGAAGTGATGCTTCACTCACTCACTCACTTCGTTCCTACTTCACTCACTCACTCAATCCATGATTTCAAGACAAACATACCTTTTATACACACTTCTAGCCACATGCTTCCACCCTCCTTCACGCCGTACTAAAGCATGGAAGACAATCCCACACATTCTAGAAGTCCGCCCGCCTTCCCGCCTTCCCGACCTTCCGCACCGAGCATGGCGGCAGCGCCCAAATATTCGTACCTAACCTCGTTTACAATGCACTTTGCGTGGCATACAGCACTTGCAGCAGGATCCGAACCCTTGACGTGCTGCTGCCCGCCGCCGAAAACCCCGGGGCTTACCAGCCTTACCTCGAACAAAATGGCCACAAAACCCCACGGAAACCGGGCGCGGAAATGGAACGTCACTTGGATGCCAAGGCTGCTGCTCATTTGATCCTCTCCTGACTCTTGAGGATCTAATACCCTCTTCGGGGGGGGGGGGGGGGGGGCTCATTTTGACAAAAGGCCCGTTGGTGGCGTAGGGAATGCACAAAACGACACGATGGAAAGCACAAATATGATACAATAACATTGAGCAGCCCTTATTGGCTTCATCGATTCAATTTGATTTGTATTCTAAGGTAACTGCAGCTGAGCTAACTAACCTTGTAAGTGTTCCTCACCTGGGTTGACCATCCCCAACAACAACACCAAGGCCGCTCAATTCCCTTCATGAGAGCAAGACTTGTATTAACAAGCACCAGTCCAGCCTTCAAGCAATACTTAGGTTAACCAGGCGAGCTGCCCACGCACCAGGTTGGCAGATTCACCTTCCTGAAAACCAATCCCTTGCTTGCCCGCGACGCCCGATGCTTATGCTGACGACTGACGTACCTAGATGCCGCCAAGAAGTCATGCCCCCGGCCCGGCGGCTGCGCAACCTGTCTACTTGCACCTACCCGTCTTGGTAAGTACTTACCTAGGTGATAGGGCAGGTGATAGCAAAGGAAAAAAAGGAGGCAAAGTAAGTACCCGTACATGTCTCTCGTAAAGCCAAGGCTTTCCCATTCCATCCGAGTCGTTGTAAAATCTCCATTGACCAGAAACTGGCATGTCAACCTGTAACTTCTAGCCCATGACAGGTCGTGCGCGATTCAATTGTATGTTTAACCAAGTAAATCTCGTTATCTAGCTCAGATCCGAGGTCGCTTTGGCTGCAAGTGCAAGTCAAGGTACCAACACATCAAAAGACACAGGTAAATCAACGTGGAAATCGTCATATTCCTCCTCTACGGGGAAAACACATCCCGAGGCTATATCAGTTGAGAAAAGGTTGCCCTACTTGAACATCAAACAAGAAAAGAGGAAGAGAGAAGAAAAAAAAAAACCCAAGCCGTGGCCTGGGAAACACATGATCCGCCTAGTCCGCCACCACCGCCGGTCACCCCTTTCCAACGCACATAAAAACCCTCTCATGATTCTTGTCGACCCAAAACGCCTTGCGGTCTGCGCACAGTATCATATCCACACTCTCATCCTCGCCAGTCAGGAAGCAAACGGCTCTCTGAGCTACTTTTCTTTTTTCCAAAGGTTGTGAAATTTGCCAGAAGACATTGACCACCAGCCCAAGCATGGGACGCGTAAAAGTATTCCTCTCATCAATCATGGCATCCCGATGCATCTCGTCCGATATGAACCACCGTACTGTCCTGTTCTATTTCTCCATATGCCCGTTGTTGAGAAGCATCTCGAGAACGACCTGCACGCCGTGTTGTTCTGGGTGACTCATGGATATCTTGACTGTTCCCTTGGAGTCCTCCCCTGCGGGTGTCTGCCCGCCGAGCCAACTGTTTTGTGAGGCAGAGGCATTGCCACCAGTGGGGCCTCTAACGCCAAAGTCAAGGCACCTAACATCGCGACCTGCAATGATTTGTCTGAGGCGACCGTTCTCGGCGTTGCGCACCTCAACGTAGTCTCCGTTGAAAAGGAGAAGGTACTGGCCATACATTGTCGCGCTCATAGCCTTCTTCTGCTTGCCCGAGTACTCCATAATCAAAGTGCGACTCACGTCGCCGTGCTTGTCTACGTAGACGGCACAATCCTCGTACGCCAGCAAGAACTCTTGGTCGTTCAACCTGAACATGCCTAGAGGTCTTTGATCCCGTATCCTGCTTGCAATGTTCGCAATGGCAGGCTGTTTCAGATCCGGGATGGACATTGTCTGCTTCTTGTCGAGGGTAAGCAACTCGAACCCTTTTGCCGTTGATACGGCGATATAGCTCTGGAAGAGATTGAGAGAATAGCATTCCGTCGGAAGGTAAAATTCGTCGTAGTCGCGGAAGGAGTCGGTGCTGCCCCCCAAACCCTTGCGGCCACCAAAGATCCGAGGTCTCTTTTCTGAAGCCTTTTGGAAGACGGGTTCGAGTACCTTGAAGGTGTTGTGCATACCTTCCTTCCGCTTGAAGAATACCAACATGCGTTCCTTCATGCGCGCCGTGGCAAAGAAGGCAACGTCCTTTGCTAACCTTTGTGGCGCCCGTCTCGGGTTGTCGTGAGCAGGGGCAGGGAAGTTCGATACTGGCGCAATTACATCGAGGGGGTAAGCGATGAGAGAGCGATCTGCAATCACGAGACACACGGAAAACTCCTCCAGAACAGCTATTTGTGTCACTCTATTTGTTTGCACACTCTGTAGACTTGTTAGCGAGCAGCTATGCTATGCGTTGGAACTTTGCAACTTACCCTCATCCAGCCGCGGGGATTCGTGGCATCGGAGATGTACACGCCGTAGTCTGTTCCAATGGCAACGATCGACTTGCCAAATGCGTTGAAGCCGCAAGCACAATTGACCTGGGCTCTGCATACGGGAGCTGGTCCTCTGCCTGGTCCGTACACTTCCTCAATCTCCCGAACAGCTCGGTCGAGAGGGGTGCCGCGGATGGGAACGCCTGGTTGTCTGCCGACAGCTGAAGCCGCATCATATACGAATGCGCTGTCTGCCAGTACGCGTAGACGGAATGGCTCAGCGTTCTGAGAGAAGAGAGCTTTGGCGTGCCGTGTCTTGGCCTCGATAATCTTCTCAACCCATTCAGCGCGGCTCTGAGCAGATGTAGCATACAGTGTGTATGTCTCGTGGCCCAGGTGCTTGATCTTGAAAGGGTAGAGGATCTTGCCCTCAGGGTCGTTGGACATTGTCGGCGTAAGCCTGGCCGCTGAGGTCGATCCAACCGAAGAGCTTGTTGCGACATGTTCCAGTCCCGGACGCTCAGTGCCGTTGGTAGCAATCCTATTCAACCTTGGGTCTGAACCTGCGCCGCCAGCGCGGGCCAAAGGAGCAGTAATACCCTTCTGCTTCGAAATGGGGTCGTCGTTCATGCTGTCGAGGAATAACAGAGGCATAGGAATGGGCTACGACTGTCAGCATCAATGTTTGGGTCGGTGGTATAACTAACTTACCTCTTTTGATACGTCATACTTCTTCTCCCCTCTGACGTCTTTCGGACTCACGACCTTTGCGAGGATGAAGTAGTGGTCAAAGAGCAAGGCATGCGTGTCCACCCATCTGACACCCTTCGAGCCCATTCTCTGCAGATCGCCCTGCTTGATAAGCTCCCTACCGAGATGGTCAAGGTTGAGGACGGAGTGGAAACCAGGCCTGAGGACGAGCATTGAGTTGAGCTCCATCATTTCAACCTTCTTTTGCATCTCGGCAACCTTTGTGTCACATTCCATTGTGACATTGCGGATCTCGGCGATTGCCCTGGCCAAGTTGGCCTTCTCCTCATCGTCTCGAAGGGTCTTCTTCTCAACCGTTTCTAAAAGCAAAGAGTATCTCTGCAGACGTGTAATGGGGGTCTTGAGGAAATGCTGCCATCCCAGACGTTCGGAGCGCTTGTGTCTCATGACCTGCTCTAGGAAATTGCGGAATAAAAGATTTCGGTCAGACTCTTTCCGCACCATGTACTCTGCATACGGGAATTGAGACGCATAGTCGATGTAGATATCTTTGGCCTTCCGGATCCATTCACGGAAGACATCAGAGAATCCTGACACCCAGGGGCCCTGCTCTTGCTGCCGGTATTTGAGCTGTGCTAGAAGGTTGTCCTTGTTAACGAGCTGGACGGCGTCTGCCTTCCCAAACACGACTTGAAGGAACTTATCGATCTTGTTGGGTGGAATGATGGGAGGCTGAGAGTTCCGCAGATGGTCTCGGTATAGTACGCGGAGAACCTCGAGCTGATTGACAAAGTACTCCTCGCTGTTGACGATCTCATGGAGGACGTGCTGACGCTCAATCTCCTTCTTGGGCTTTTCGGCGAGTTCCGCGTCTTGTATCTTATAATGAACATTCCAATCCGCCGGCTTAACCTCTTCGAGGAGCATATCATCCAGGTTGGCCTTTCTGAGCGTCCTCATGCAATGATGCGAGTAGCAGCGTCCAGGTTGCGAGTCGTCATCATGCAACTTCGAAGCATAACAGCCATAGCCCGTCAATTGAGGTAGGACTCCGGATATTGTACCGCTTCCGAACTTGACCCACTCCTCCTCTGGCACAAGAACTCCAGCGTCCAGCATCAGCTGTGAGACGAGTGTGCTCAGGAGCTCAGCATCGGCAACATTGATGGTTGGAACCTTTTCGGTGAATAGCTTGAGCAATGCCTCTTCGACTGTTTTCTGCTTCAAGTCCGGTTCGCCATCGGCCATTTCGCGAATCCATGAGGCGATTCCACTGAGAGCCCAGGGTTCAGAGCACCTCCTGATATCGCCAGAAGTAAGCTTGGACGGCACAAACTTCCTCTTACGGCCGCTAGGTAGTGTAATCACGTCGTACGTCATTGAGGACGGAGTATTCGACTCATACCCATCGTATGGGAGGCCTTGTTGCGCCGCAAGCTGTTGTTGCTGAGTCTGGTAGCGGGCCATCTTCCTCCTCTCTTCTGCGGCGTCTGTCCGTGACCGAACCGGGGCTTGGACTTGGGGCGTGTGGCTGTGGCTCGACAGGGAAATGGATCGCTCCGGGAATGGAGAGTTGAGGCCGGTAGTAGAACCTCCTCCATGGTAGTCCGAACCGCCATCATGCAGTGTCCTCGAGTCGGTGCTGAGCGAGTGGGAGTGGTAGCTGCGAGTTGTTGGATGAACTGAGAGTAGAGAGCTTGTGTCGCTACCGGGGCCTGGGGGAAGCGCCGGAAGCGGTCTATTGGAAAGACCTGGATGGTAGTAGAGGTCAGGGTAGTCCTCCTTGTACGGTGACTCGCTGCCACTCTGTTTCGAGTGCAGCGATACGTGTTCATCGCCATCGTCGAAGCTCAGCCGGTGAGCGGACGGTGCCTGCAGGCCGCCAGTACCGCCGTAGTCGACTTCAGCATCTCGGAAAGCAGGAGCCCGTTCGTAGGCCTCGTGAGAAACATCGTACTCGTTGGGGTTGGGCAGCGGCCGTGATCCGTCCTGGGCCGGTGTTGGACCAACTTCGCTGCCGTATGCCAGGTTGCCAGCATACCCGCCAGCGAGCGCACCCAAGTCCATACCGCCGTAGTCGGTATCATCACTCTGTTCTTCGGGTGGCGGTGGAAGAGGGTTCATAGTGACTGGCTCGGGGAAAGCAAATGGCACGCTGCTGAATCTCTTGTCGTCCAGCTCCGCTTGCTGCATTGCCAACACCCCCGCAGTTCCCTCTGGGTCGTCATCATCATCGTCATAATCGATTGTCGGAATCGGAGCCCGGTTGGCAGTCGGCGCGTTCGAGGTGGGTGCCATGCCGGCGGAAGCCAGATCTGAGTTATACCGCCGTAGTCCTTGAAGCTCGTCGTCGGAGAATTGTCCGTTGATGGGCATGGGGCGGTGCCGACCGCTCAACTCAGCCTCGATGTCTTGGAGCAGAGAGTCTTGTAGTTGAGCTTGGTCCTCGTCTGTGGGAGTGATGGAGCTCGGGTCCCAGGTGGGCTCATCCATAGGCCGGCTGGGTAGAGGGGCATTTGTAGGGTGTCGTTGCAAGCCGGGGGAGTGCTGCTGTTGAATCTGCGGAGACGGAATCGGGGATGCTGCCGAGTCAGACCTGCTGTAAAAGGAAGAGGGATCGGCGTAGTTTGGCCCGACGGGCATCGATGACTGGATCGGGTAGGGTGTCTGCGAGTTGTCCGAAGCGTACGACGCTGCCGAGCTGTTACCATTTGTTGGATAGGAGTTGTAGTTGTTGCCATAAGACTGCGAAAAAGTCGAGTCATAGGTCGGTGCCGGCGAAGTCGCGGATGGCGCGGAGGGGAAAGTGCCCTGGTATGAGGAGGTAGGTGAGTGGCCGAACCCCTGAGAGGATTGAGGAGCCGTCGGAGAACCGTAGCTTTGACTGTAGTTGTTATAGCCGGAGTATGTCGGTTGACGCTGGGGGGCTGTTGTGCTCGCATATGCAGCCGGATTATACGCCGCCGGCTGGTAGCTAGATTGTGTTGGAGCTGTGTATGATGTCGGCGAAGCGGCAGATCCGTATCGACTCGGGGGACCGGGGTGGTATGGGAGAGATGTCGAGGCCGTCGAAGGCGTCCGCGCAAAGGCCTGGGGGTTGTAGCTAGAATGCGAAGAGGTTGGAGGCGAGGAAGCTTGGTACTGGTGTTGGTAACCAGAAAGCGCATTGTTTGTCGATCCGTAGCTGTGCCGGCCTCCAGAATGGCTTGAAGTTGTCGGGCTCGTCAAAAAGAGTTCGTCTTCGCCTCCTCTCGAGGCGGACTGCTGATGACCACGAGCTTGCGCCCGGCTCTGATCAAACATTGCGGCATCATCGCCGTTGTTGAAACTCGGCCGCCGCCCGAGGTAAGCCGACTGATCTTGCGACTGGTCGGGTGTGGGGTATTGTACCGGGGGGATATGGCCATAACGGCGCTGACCGTCGCCTCGGAAAGACATGGTGATCGCGCAGGACGAGGACAACGACGACGTGACTGGCTGTGGAAATCCGTCTCTGCGACAAGCTGCTGCGTCGTCGACCTAAGCAGAATGCCGGGTTGTGCGCGATTGCATCTGTTCGCAGCGAGCTCGATCGGACAGTTGCTCGCTATACGGTGCGGGTTCGTTGGTCGCGCGTTCGTCTGTACATGCGCCGGGGAGAGTGTTGTTGTATGTTTGGCGATGTGGCCGGGATGGGAAGTGAATGATGGTAAGTTGTAGAGTTGTTTGTCCGGATGGTCGCGGGGTGAGCCTCGCGGGTGGTGCTGTTGTGCGGCGCAGGCGGGCCTGGTAATAGGACTGACGTCTTTGGGGCTACCCTCTGGGCAGTGATGTGCGGCGACACTAATTTGGAGAAGGTCGTCGGGCTGATCTAGGCTAGGACTGGCAGGCTCGAGGCGACCGTCGCGCAGCAAACGGGGCGTTGAACAGTCGAAAGGGCGTCAGGTGGTGAAAAGAGCGGTGCGACCTCGAACAACAACAAGTGCCCAGTGAAAATAATGGTCGGCTGCTGTCAGAAGGGCTCTCCGTCTGTTCGCTGGGCGGGTGGTGAGAAGAGGTGAAGCAGTGAAGCAACCTGACGAATGACACGGTGCGACACGGTGCGTCTGCCTGGCGGCGAGAGCGAAAACCAAGCCACAAGAACGGGGCTGGAGAGTCGTCACAGGAGTCCAGTCGCAAGGTCAGAATCGTCGGGGTTGGCCTGCGGCTGGCAGTGGTGCAGTGCTCTGTACAGGCAGGGCAGCGTAATCTTGCGAATCCCGAAAGTGAGTGTCCGAGGTTCTCTCCTAGGATAGTGCTGGTCTTCCTGAGGTCTTTGGTTTCTTTCTTCCCGTCTTTCGTAAGCCCTCTCGCTGCGTCTCTCCTCGTAGACCAGGAAGTCGAGTCGCACGTAGTTCCGCGTTCGTCGGTGTGTTGCGCTCGCTCTTACCCTCACCCTCGATGTCTGACCCCCGTGGGAGTTTGCGGGGTGGGCGACCGGGTGGGAAATATCCGTGGGCTGGCCGACTATATTTCCCAAGTCAGACGACGAGGAGCGATGGTTTCGTGTCGGTCGCTTTGTGTTATGAGGTATGTAGAAGAAGAGAGACAGCACATCTCACTCTCTTTTCGCTAATGATGAATTGGGTACCAGGTTCGGTAAAGGTCAGGTTAAGGTAAGGTAAGGTAAGGTACCTGATGAGAAGATGTGAGTGCAGGTATGGGAGCGACGCTGGGACCAAAATATGAGGCACCAACAGGAACAAACTGCCCAGAAAAGGAATTAGGCCAGGTACCTAGCAGTCCGGGCCGTCATGTGTTATGAAAAGGCCCCAGGTGAAGAAGAAATTGAAGCTGGGCCGAGAGAGTCTTGGCTTGGCCGCACCAGAATGAACTGGGACGGACAGGATGGGGAAGATGAGCGAGGACGTTTGACTGGATCATTTGGGTGTAATGAAGTACCTTCAGGGCTTATGGGCAGTGGGATGGTACTTTGTTCGTGTGTAGCTAGGTGGCCTGGGCTGGGCTGACTTGATTGATACGTCCAATTAAGGTACGAGTACGGATACGTACTTACTTATTTCCACTCACCGGGCACCTCATTCATCGCTCTTTCCCAAATATCTTGGAATACACAGTATCTACGTACCTACTTCGAACAGAGGGGGAAGGAACCTAAGGAAGGAAGGGGGACACTGGAGAAGACGGCAGGACCGGGGAGAGTACCTTAAGGTAAGGTAGAATTAGAGGTGAGCGACTCTCAGACATTGAGGACCGTGGGGTTCAGTAGCCGTCTGATGTTCCCAGTCTAACTTCCCATCAACTTTACTTCGTTCCGGTCCCAGATGAACACAATGGCCCAGTCTCAAAGTCAATGCTGAATTGGCTCGATTACGGAGTACGTGTGATTTTCGACAGACCCTACCTTATCCCGTACAGAGTACCAACAGGATGGACAAGCTGGAACAGTAGTGTACTCGGGGGCTGCGAGCCAATGGCCTATCCGTACGTTGATCTGTTTCGTTTCCTGCCTTGCGACATTCACCCCTTCTTCACGGCCGAAGAATACCACCTTACTACCTCACCACTACATTCTCACCCGCTTAGGTGGTTTCGCATTCTTTGGAGTTTGCTGCTGTGCTCACTGCTGACAACCTGACAGACAGACAGACAATGGGTACGAAATATTGAGGGCACAAGACTTCAGTGAATGGTCACTCATGTCTCTTATAGGTACTCATATGATCCCGGCAGCAACCCATCACGTCGGCTTCCCCCCATTTAGACACCTCCTTCTTTCAGTCTCGTATTTCGACTAACCGCGCACTTGGGCTGCACGACGGTTGGATGACCCTGTCCAAAACCTGGCCGCACGGAAAATTCCTACAATTCGGGGTCCCTGCCGGGTGGATATTAATCTGCTAGCGAACCCCATTCTCGTATATTCTCCCACAACGTCCGACAGGGGGAAATGTGTTGCGCGGCCCGCGGGAGATCCAGCTTCATCAATCGTCGTTTTGGAAACGAAAAAAAGGAAACATACTGATCATGCCCGACTTATCCGCATGGATAACCACTGTCTCGTCTCTCGATAAACTTTTCTGTTCCCAGTCACACAGAGATGAAGACATTTCGGTGGTGGAATGTGTCATTTGGAAATCCGAAATTCGGCCTGTTGCGATTCACCTCCACTAGCACCGACCACAGACTGAATGAAGTCTGGAATTCCTGCGTACCCAACAGTGAACACCGTACCTCTGCAAGCATGGCAAGGAGAATGTCAACTAATACATACCACGTGTCCCACCGGGATCGCTGCCGTGGCTGCTAACCCGCGCGTCGCGTATCCTTGACCCGCCTGTCTCCTGGATTGTCTCACTCAGTCGGTAGCCCCATCATATTCGGAAACGAGATGCCATTTGGAGCAGTATCTCTCTCGGCATCTTGCGTTTACGCGCACCAGCTATTCTGTATTACAGCATGGCGAGGGAAGACTGCACAGCCGGTACTCGACTAACTAACACAAGAAGCGACCGGACTGTGTAAGCTCTGGTCCGTAGGGCTGACTGCATCTGGAGGGCAGGACGCCACGGGATTGGTCTCCGCAGCCGTCAACATTCCCTAGCCATCAAACTGCCTATCTTGACTGGTCGAATGGTTCAGACTCATGCAGGAGGCATGGCGGACACCCCTTGTGCTTCAAATCTGTTCCAGCTGCTCGCTATTGTCCGTCTTTGGCACTCCGTCTTCATTGCTCGACATATACGACTGCAGCCAGTTCCGAACCAGCCGGTGCTGGCCAAGCGGACGTCGACTTGCGTGTGATACTTGATAGTCAACCTCCAGCTATGTGGGCCGAGGTCGACCACAGGTTCCAGGGATGATGGTAGTTGACATCGACCTCTATAGACTGACCCGACGATTCAATGAGCGTTCGCAACCGTCTCTCCTGCGCGCCCGGAAGATTGCAGCGCAGACTTTGACTGATCATCACTCAGGTCTGTCAGATTTGGATGTTTCAGATTTGACATGTTCATGATCTCTGCAGTGCAATCATGATGTCAAAGAAGTTGTCCGCAAGAGCGGCCTCGAAACGACCCCGCCAGCTATATGGCCAGAGCTCCATGCTAGCGTTGATGATAACGTATAGCGCATGATGGATAATGGCTGAAGCTCTCGATGGCACCCAAACTCTATCGACCAAATCTGACTATAGTCGCACGGTGCCGAGTCGGCTATCAACACAGACCAGTCGTTGAATGCACCTGGCTGCCTCCCGTATTATCATCATCAAGAAGCTGTACTGTGGCTTATACCCTGCGAGTTGCAAGTCAGGACCGAATGAAGAGGCTCCGCGGCCTTCGGTATCTCTGAGAGCCACTCCCGGAAATTTCGGATAATAAGTTAAGGTGCGCCGCCGTGTTGCTGACGGCGCCGCTGACTCTGCAGCAGCCATTCGCCGAGTTCGCCGCTGTTCAAGCCACAGTTGGATCGACTTCTGTTGAATTGTCAAGTTGCCAACTGTGGCACTCGCGCGCGCCATACTCAGGACATGGCAGGCCGAGCATCGGCCCTCTTTTCGACGGCATGTCCTAAGACAGAACTGGCAGGACCAAGAATACGGTACCTAAGGTACAGTAGGGTAGCAACTTCCTTTGTTGAATGCCCGTAGTCGCAGTGCCTTCCCGTTCACCATTGCATTTGCACCATCCATTCATTTGTAAGCATCCCGGAGAACTGCCAGACCATTAGCCAACCAGATGCTCCTGAAGCTCAACCCGAACCCACTTGGACCAAGATGACGGCGATGAGATAATGTTGGAGCGGGGCAGCAGCTTCCCCCACCATCCAAGCGCAAGCTGGGCGTGACAGCGTGTGCTGCTGTCCATTCATCGGGACTTGGACCACGGCATAATTAATACCTGCCAGAGTCGGAGAGGAGGGGTAGACTGGCCGGACTTTAGGGGAAATGCCAGTGGGCGAGAAGACGAGCAACCTTGCCGTGCTGCTGCGATCCAGCGGTTCTCTGAAGGAAGACAGGGCGAGGCGAGGCGAGCTTCTGCCCCTCGGAATTCCGAATTGTGCATTTTCCTGGCTACGGAATACCACATCTCTCGTCCCTCATTGGGCGTCCACAGAGTTCGTGCAAGCCGGCCGTCAGTGCCCGCCCCTATCCATTCGCAGTGAGGTATTCCGTATTGAGGTGAGGTGTTGTGTGTGTCTCTCTTCCCTTCCCCAGTGTTCCCCCCGTCTGAGCTGGGTGGCTGGCTCGTCTCAGAGACTCCATAAGGTACTTTCCCCTTCTTCCCCTCTTTGCACCTTGAACTTTCATCATTTCTTCTCCTCAACATCTGCTGCTTGAGCAACACATCCGCAAAACAATATAACCAATTCAAACCCAAACCAACACAAAAGTCATTCAAAATGGTCAAGGCTGGTAAGTGTCACTCTTTATATACACGGATACCAACCTTCCCCGTCGGCCTAGTGCAGAGCCGCAGTGCCGGGGATGGAGGGGCTAACCGCAGTCCGACCATCCAATTTGCGCTGGATTGAGCGGGTTTTGGAACGACATGGGAGAAGCAAACACCCTGATGGCTCCGCGACGTGCCTACAACTGGGAATCAGCTTGCCACTGGCCAATCTTCAAGCTCGATCGACCTCCATCCTCGTGTTCCTTGCGCCGTCTGCTGTCGATCCGTTTGGTTCGAATCAAGATGGTTCCCGTCGTTCCCGTCGTGGAGAAAGCCAAAGGGGGGAGATGGCTTTCCTCGAGGAGGGGTTGGAAAGGGGCACATGCTTTGTCAAGATGATGGATGAATCAGTTGGCTAACTTTGGCTCCCAGTCGCTGTCGTCCGTGGTGACTCCAAGGTCACCGGCTCCGTTGTCTTCGAGCAGGAGTCCGAGTCCGCTCCCACCACCATCACCTGGGACATCACCGGTAACGACGCCAGCGCCAAGCGTGGCATGCACATCCACACTTTCGGTGACAACACCAACGGTTGCACCTCTGCCGGCCCTCACTGTAAGTATTCTTGAGAGACGTACCCGAAGCAACGCCTTCAGTCAGCGAGAAGCAAGTTAGAAATGGTCGCTAACCACGGAACGCTGCAGTCAACCCCCACAACAAGACTCACGGCGCCCCCCAGGACGCGAACCGCCACGTTGGTGACCTTGGCAACATCGAGACCGATGCCCAGGGTAACTCCAAGGGTACCGTCACCGACAAGCACGTCAAGCTGATCGGCCCCGAGAGCGTCATCGGCCGCACCGTCGTTGTCCACGGCGGCACCGACGACCTCGGCAAGGGCGACAACGAGGAGTCCCTCAAGACTGGCAACGCCGGTCCCCGTCCCGCCTGCGGTATGTACACACCAATGCTCTCTAGCAGATGGGCCTTACTAATCATTGAATGCAGGTGTTATTGGTATCTCCAACTAAGCTTGTCGTACCTACATAGCTCCTGTTTTGGGACGGATTGTCATCTGAGGTGGGGGTTGTCAAGCTCTCTACATGCTTCATTCCACAAAGCTGGCCGACTGTATTGAAGGCAGCTGAACGTTGATAGTAGCAGGCTTCCTACTTTAGTATGGCATCCTCAAAAGTAATACAAAAAAATCACTGTAAAACCGTCCCTCTAAATTGGCATAGTGAATAGCATCAGACCTGAACCTAAACGTCCAGCGGGAGTTGCGGGGCTGGTCCTTGCACTGTGAGGGGTAGGAAATGACGTGAACGCTGCTAATACTGGCATGATGGTGTCTCTCTTTAGTAACAGTTGCGACAAGCCGCCATTCATCAGGCAATCTCTGGCTAAGGCATTTCAGAGATGGGAATCTCTACGCAAAAAAGTTGAAACTGAATTATGTACACTGTCATTGCTAGATGAGGTAAGGTAGTTTGCTTCTCAAATATCCGTCATTCATTGCTCAAGTGACGGATTGTTGTTGTTCAAGGGGGGAAGCTGTCCTTAGCAACCAAAACCGCAAGCGCAGCACCTTACATAAGGTAGCTGCAACCCCGCTCTCGCTTAAGGGCACCCGCCACTGCTACTGGCCACCGGCGAGCTGCTACCCTTGCCTCCGTGTGGACTGTAGTCCCTGAACTCCTTTTCCCCACACTTGCTTGCTCGAGACCGGGCGAAATTGAGGCAAGCTGTCAAAAAGGCGGTACGACTGTCGAACGTTTGATCGAACAATCGCCTTTGCTACCTCTCCTTTCCAACCCAACATCTCTCCCTCTCTCTCTCTCCCCCGAAAATCATCTCTACATCCTCTCTCTCCGTTTCCCTTACCAAACCCCTTCTCATTTACCGGTACGTTTCCTGTTTTCTTCCTTTCCAATGGTCTATGGCAAGCCGGGTACCAAGCTTGCCCCTTCAGGGAGGGCGGCAAGCTGATGCTCCTACCCGGGGAACTGCACCTATCCATGCACTTTCTAGACAACCTCACCTAAGCACAATGGCTTTGTCTTTGATGTACTCGTGCACTTGCAGTCACAGTCATCTTGGAAAGCCTTCTTGTGCCTTCAATGGGAGCTGTCAATTGCAGTTACCGTGTTGCCTTTCAATGCCTGGAGCTTGTTGCTTCAGAATGTCTGAGACGGCAGGCAGGCACGAGACACCCAACGGTCACCGCAAACAGCTTGATACGGGCAGTGCGCTAATTACCTATGAGTCTCTATAGTATATCTTCTCAATAGCACCCGGTCACTCCTTGATTCTCCCATCATGTCGAAGCCCTTTTTCGCCAAGGTCAAGAGCGTGCTTAGCGGCGACACCCTCGTCTTGACCGCTCCCAACAACCCAAGAGCCGAAAAGACCTTCTCCCTCGCATACGTCACGGCCCCTCGCCTGAACAAGGAAGGCGATGAACCATTCGCTTTTCAGTCAAGAGAATACCTCAGAGAACTCGTTGTTGGCAAGCAGATCCAATGCACAGTAGCTTATACCGTACCTTCGGGTCGCGAATTCGGCTCTGCTCTGCTCTCCAAGGATGGTCCTTCTCTCCCCGACGAAGCTCTCAAAGCTGGATGGCTCAAGGTCAGAGAAGAGGCTGGCCGTAAGGATGACGACGAGGCTACTATCCAGCGTCTCGACAACCTGCGCCAACTCGAGACCGAAGCCAAGAATGCCGGCAAGGGTCTCTGGTCTGGTACCGGCGGCAACATCCAGGTCCAGAATGACCTCGGCGGCCCTCAGTTCATGAACGAGTGGAAGGGAAAGACCGTTGACGGCATTGTCGAGCGGGTTCTGAGCGGCGACCGTCTGCTCGTACGACTTCTCCTCTCAGATAAGAAGCACGTGCAGGTCATGGCACTCCTTGCTGGAGTCCGTACCCCTACCACCGAGCGAACGATACAGTCTACCGGCCAGACACAGGCTGCTGAAGAGTTTGGAAACGAGGCCAAGGCTTTCGTCGAGGAGAGACTGCTCCAGCGCCGCGTAAAGGTTGATATTGTTGGCGCCAGCGCTCAAGGGCAGTTGGTGGCAGCTATCATCCACCCCAACGGTAACAAGAACATCGCCGAGTTCCTCCTTACCGAGGGTTTCGCGAGATGCAACGACTTCCACTCCACCATGCTCGGCGAGAAGATGGCCAGCCTCCGTGCTGCCGAGAAGACGGCACAGGGCAAGAAGCTGCGCCTCCACCAGCACCACGTTGCCAAGGCTGATGGCGCCTCTTCCGATATGATTGTCGCAAAGATTATCGGCGCAGACACCATTGTCGTTCGCAACAAGGCTGGTGACAAGGAGCAGAGAGTCAACCTCAGCAGTATCCGCGGCCCTCGCACAAACGAGGCGTCAGAAGCCCCCTACAAGGAAGAGGCCAAGGAGTTCCTGCGCAAGAAGATTATCGGCAAGCATGTCAAGATTAGCATTGATGGATCAAAGCCTGCTACCGACGGTTACGAGGCCCGCGAGGTTGCCACGGTCACAGAGAAGGGCAAGAACATTGGTCTCGAGCTGGTTGAGGCCGGTTACGCGTCTGTCATCCGTCACCGCAAGGACGATACTGACCGTTCTCCCAACTATGACGAGCTCCTTGCTGCCCAGGAGAAGGCCAAGGAAGAGAAGAAGGGTATCTGGTCTGGCAAGGCCCCCAAGATTAAGCAATACGCCGATGCTTCCGAGTCTCTGCAAAAGGCAAAGATTCAGCTCGGTACTCTGTCAAGGCAAAAGAAGGTGCCCGCTATCGTTGATTTCGTCAAGTCTGGCTCTCGCTTCACCATCCTGATCCCCCGCGAGGGCGTCAAACTGACGCTGGTATTGGGCGGTATTCGTGCCCCTCGTGCCCCGGGCCGTGGAGGCGACAACGGCGAGGAGTTTGGCCAGGAGGCCATTGACCTTGCCAGCCGTCGTTGCAACCAGCGCGATGTTGAGGTCGACATTTACGACATTGACAAGGTTGGAGGTTTCATCGGTGACCTTTACATCAACCGCGAGAACATCGCAAAGTTGCTTGTCGAGGAGGGTCTGGCATCTGTCCACCGCTACTCCGCCGAGAAGTCTGGCAACGCCACCGAGCTGCTTGCTGCCGAGAAGAAGGCCAAGGAGGGCCGCAAGGGACTGTGGCACAGTTGGGACCCGTCTCAGGAGGAGGAAGAGGAGGTTGAGGCCGTCGAGACCACCAACGATACCCCCGAGGCGTACGAGAACAAGCCCAAGGACTACCGCGATGTTGTTATTACCAACATTGATGGCAACGGAAAGATCAAGATCCAGGAAATCGGCAAGGGCACTGCTGCTTTGACGACCCTGATGAACGACTTCAAGAAGTTCCACCTGAACTCGTCAAACAGCAAGCCTATCGGCGATGCGCCCAAGGCCGGTGACTTTGTCGCCGCCAAGTTCTCTGCTGATGGAGAATGGTACAGAGGCCGCATTCGCTCCAACGACCGCGCAGCAAAGGTTGCCGAAGTCGTCTACATTGACTACGGCAACACAGAGAAGCAGCCCTGGTCTAAGCTGAGACCTCTGGACCAGCCTCAATTCACCACCCAGAAGCTCAAGGCCCAAGCAATCGACGCTTCGCTCTCCTTCCTGCAACTGCCTACTGCGCCGGAGTACTTCTCGGAATCCATCGGCTTCATTGCCGAGTTGACTGAGGGTAAGGAGCTGGTAGCCAGCTTCGACTTTGTCGACACCAAGGAGGGCGTCAGCTACATCACCCTCTTTGACTACAACGCAAGCGACAAGAAGCCGGGCCCGAACGACTCGATCAACAAGGAGGTCGTTGCCAACGGTCAGGCCATGGTGCCCAAGAAGCTCAAGGCGTGGGAGCGCAGCGGCCAACACGCTGCGTACCTGAAGCACCTGAAGGAGGTTGAGGCCAAGGCTAAGGAGGAGCGCCTCGGCATGTGGGAGTACGGTGATATCACTGAGGACTAACTGCATCGGATGTGGGATGGGCATTGGGAGGAAAAGTCTTTGTAGGGTGGCGGCGGTTTTAGGAAAACACAAAAGTCACTACATAATTCACAGTAGCCTTGCATGAATCAACAGGCTGTGTATGAGCCTCGTCAAACTGTCTTGTCCCTTTCTCGCAATCATGGAAACAAGAGGGCATGTCTCGTAGTGTTGTTGAGAAAACGTTGAGTTGAGATGTTGCGATGTTCGCAACAGCTTCCCTCGGAATTACGTAATGGAGGGGGATTCCAACTTCCCGGTGCCGCGGTGGGTTTGGGTCGGGATCGTCGGCCGGTCGGCTCAAAGAGTCCCAGGCGAGGGATGTGCTTCGCCAAGGTAGGTAGACGACGGGACGGGTCGAAAGTCTGGGTATACTGTTGAGGACGCTTCAATAATGCTTTGGCCGGTACAACAGGTTCAATTGTGTTGACCGCAATGTGATGCTACATCATTGTTCGGAAGCGTGCGTTGTTGATGATTGGTATACTTGACCTAGAAGAGAATGCAAGCACCAAGCCAAGAAGATCTTGGTGAGAGAATCGTGAGGAGTGTTACCAGATTTTGGGGCCTGGTATGGCCTTGGGAATTGGTCTACAGTCCCGGGTCCCGAGCGGGAAGTGGCCTTGCCTCCCATTGTTACTATGCCCGCCAATAGTGCGCTTAGAATCCGCGGAAACTGGATGCGCTGGCCGCTCTCCGCGAGATGGCGAGGGCGAAGGAACCGTTTGGTAAGGTAGTGTGGGAGTGAAGGCGAAGTAGGTATTCGTAGGCGGTGGAAGGTCAGAGAATACCGGGAACCGGAGTTTCCTGATTCGAAGTGGGGATCAAGAGAGGGCGACTTCGGGGGGAGAGTTCGGGTCCTGGTCACTGGCTACTGGCTGGTGGCTTGAAGCTCGACGGACATTGGCGCGGAAGTGAAGGGAACTGAACGGCGGTAAAATGGGCATTTCCCAATCCAATGGTTCCAATCCCACGATAACGGGCTTTGCCACTGTTGAAATTTTGACTGTACCCGTGGTCTCTCTCTCTGAGACGTCCCGGCATGGGGGTTGCGCGGTCAGAGAGAGTCTGCGAGATAAAGCCGCCTTGACAACCGAGGGGCAATTGAGGCGGCGGACGGATCTGACGGATAAAGTCCCAAGGGGGACGAGACCTGGCCAATACGGTACGGGACCTTGTTACGACGTCTCTGGCATGGTATTTATTTGGAACCAATGAAGAGCGATGGCGAGCACGTGGTTGAAGGCGAGAAGCACGATGGACTCTCGTAGAACTGTAGTTGGGAGGATGGGCTGAGTCACAATGCCAAGTCAACTTGGATTTTGCCCAATCTTGGGAACGATTCTTTGGTTGAGACGAATGCAGGCCTAAGTAGCGTGCAAGAGACTTTTGAAACGATTTCGGGCGGTATGCCTCTTCACCTTCGGTAACCAATGTCTAGTACGGATAGATGGGGGCAACGACTGCGGCGATGGTGGGTTATTTGGGTCGAAGGAGATGGTTCATATTTCCGACGACGAAGAAACGACGGCAACGGACGTCTCAGGCTAGCTGGCTAGGTGCCTGTAATGAGGTAGCATTCTTTCCTGGTGAAAGGCTGGGTGTTGATTAGAAGTCGCCGGAACGGACGGGGGCCACCTACGGCGACGGTGGGAGGGGAACGGCGATGGCGAACAGCGGGCGTCCAGTGTGTAACAACATCGCCTAACACCGAAGAGATGATACATACGGTACCTCGAAACCTCGAGTCGGGCCTACAGAAGGGCATATCTCTCATTATCCAGGTTCTTTCCGTTTGCCCCATCTCGTGATAACCCGGGCTGCCGGGCAAGCTGCTTTATTCGCTTTTTTGACGCCTCAGCCGACGTCTTCCTTGGTTTTGTCTATCAGGAACGATGGATTGTGCTGGTGAAATGGGGTTAATTGTCCTGAGCGACTCGAAATTCCCATCCACGGATCGCGATTCGCGATTTTTCTCCGTTTTCTATGGGTATCATTACGTCGGATTCCCTCTCTCTCTGGGCCTGTGCACGAATAGTCTAGGTATCCGTACACGAGTAGAGCCAGCAGCCTCGCAGCAAGCGGGTATTTAGAGCGTGAGAGCGATTTTTTAGAAACCAGCCTTGGCTAGCATTGAGGATATCCGACGGGGACTTGCGACAGCCAAAAAGCGGAACCGCCGATGCGATTGCAAAACGTATCCAGCAAAAGTGACATGAGTAGAGCAAAGAGCCACCGACAGCGAGGCAGCATCACCAGCTATTTTGATAATTTGGCATCAAGTTCCCACGGAAAAGATTGGGGGTATGACGATGGTTCTGGGTCATGGAGGGGCGAATGTTGATGGGGGCTCCTTACCTACTTTACGGATACCTCTATCGCTGCAGCTGAAGCAGCAACTGCAGCACCAGCACAGAGCACAGCACTGCACCTGCACCTGCACCTGCACCTGCACTGGCTGTCTGCAAGTCTGCAGCAGCCTTACTCACGGCCGTCCTCGGGGTGTGGGTCACCACGACGTAATAATACCCCGCCAAACGGTGAGGTGGGACGCAGGCGGGAGAGGGGAAAAAAAAGAAAAAGAGAAGACGTGACGTGACGGTCACGGTCGATGGCTGATGTAAGTAAGTCTAGCACTCGAAGCAGAAAGCATCCAAAACGGTACGGAGTACGGAGTAGGGGCCGAGAGATGAACCAACAACCTGCCTCTACAAGCAGTCTGTGAGAAGTCGAAAAAGAATTTGATCGACATTCTAGAAAAAAACTGCATTGAATAACCTAGTCAGTTGAAATGGCAAAAAGGAACATTGGGTCCATGTTTCTAAACAGCCAGGACTCATATTCATGGATACGGATTCTGCAGCATTACCACAGCCATGTAGGTACCTGAGATACCTACCGTCAGCTTCTCCCATCTTCGGGGAAGGCGCGGCGGTTTTTGCTCATGTCATGTACCAAGGTCCAAAGGTGCGATGTACTCCGTACTCTCAGATACGTGACACTTTTAGACCCACACTAGGGGGGGGGGCTACATACCGTCCGTCGTCCGGGCGTGTGAGGTGCGAGGTGTGAGGATGAGGGACAAATTACCCCTCGCCCCGTCCCCCGGGGGAGGTACGGTACGGTACGGTACGGTTGTTCCTCAACAAAGATCTACTACTTCTAGACCTCACGTCCTCTCTTCTTCCCATTCTTCCTTTACTCTCTCCTCTCTCTTCATCTCCTCCTCAAGTCAATCTCCCACCAACAACCGCCACAATTCCTTCATCAAACATCACCATGTCTACCTCTCTCGACCAGCTCAAGGCCACCGGCACCGTCGTCGTCAGCGACTCTGGCGACTTTGCCTGTCAGTCCACCCCGCCTTCTTCCTCCCCGCCATTCCCCCAAAATCTCTCAAAAACTTCCTGATCACCACTTTGCCACCACAACCTCAATCCATCACGGCCAACACGGTCAATGGATCGTGGCATGATACCAGTTTCCAAAGGACGTTTGCTGACTTGACGACTATACAGCCATTGCCAAGTACAAGCCCCAGGATGCTACCACCAACCCTTCCCTCATCCTCGCCGCCTCCAAGAAGGCCGAGTACGCCAAGCTGATTGACGAGTCCGTTGCCTCGGCCAAGAAGCAGGGTGGCTCTGTCGACGAGCAGGTCGACAACGCCCTCGATGCCCTCCTCGTCGAGTTCGGCAAGGAGATCCTCAAGGTCGTCCCCGGCAAAGTCTCCACCGAAGTTGACGCCAGGTTTTCCTTCGACACCAAGGCCTCCGTCGACAAGGCTCTTCACATCATTGACGTATGTTCTCTTTCCCGATTTTGAACAGATTTGACCAGCTTTGCTAACAACCACCCCAGCTGTACAAGGCTCATGGCATCTCCAAGGACCGCGTCCTGATCAAGATCGCCTCCACCTGGGAGGGTATCAAGGCCGCTGAGATCCTTCAGCGCGACCACGGCATCAACACCAACCTCACCCTGATGTTCTCCATCACCCAGGCCATCGCCGCCGCTGAGGCCGGTGCCTACCTCATCTCCCCCTTCGTCGGCCGTATCCTCGACTGGTACAAGGCTGCTCACAAGAAGGAGTACACCAATGAGGAGGACCCCGGTGTCAAGTCCGTCGGCACCATCTTCAACTACTACAAGAAGTTCGGCTACAAGACCATTGTCATGGGTGCCTCCTTCCGCAACATTGGCGAGATCACCGAGCTTGCCGGCTGCGACTACCTCACCATCTCCGTACGTTTGCCACCCAGTCTTACTTCCCACGTGCTCTGCAAAGAACCAGTAACTAACCCACTCACCAGCCCAACCTGCTTGAGGAGCTCCTCAACTCCGACGCCCCCGTCCCCAAGAAGCTCGATGCCGCCGCGGCCTCCAGCCTCGACCTTGAGAAGAAGTCCTACATCAGCAACGAGCCCCTCTTCCGCTTCGACTTCAACGAGGAGCAGATGGCCGTCGAGAAGCTCCGTGAGGGTATCTCCAAGTTCGCCGCTGATGCCGTCACCCTTAAGGACATCATCAAGCAGAAGGTCCAGGCATAAATTGATCTGTCCTGATGCGGAAGCGATGACAAAACAAAAAACCACGCCTGCAGGCGAGACAACTTTCCCGTTGGGAGGAGGATATATATCATGACGTGAGAATGACTTAATGAGAAGGAAAACAAACAAATCCCCCAATCATACACATTACAAACCCCCAGCAAACAGCGCGTCAAGTGATGGAAGAGGCGCCGGGTTGTGTGAAAGTCAACCTTATTTTTTTCGGAGGGAGGCATAAAATCACAAAGATAGACTGCTTGGCAGCAAAAAATCCGAGAAAATTGGTCTCCCAAACTCATCAAGTTTCCACAATGTGAAAGTTGTATTGCTCTAATGACTAAACGCCTAGTAATATGATGAAGCTTCCTTCACTAGGGTAATTACTGCTGGTTGCGTCCCAACTTGGTATGGGATTGCAACTTGTTTTGTACAGTGAAACGTCTCCAGTGGCGTAGACGTTGGCGATGACTTCTAGGTATATCCATTTCCGTCGTTCCCCTCCCTTGAGATGGGGAAGTGTTGGGCAGCCAGCCCACACACATGCAATCGTGTCTCTCCTTCGTTTCTGGGTGTCCGTCTTGGACATGCCGTTTGATATGCTTCTTTTTTCTCCTTGAACAATCCTTTCTTCTCTCTCTCAATTACCCTGAATCAGGTCCTGTACCAGGAAGATGTATTCTCTCTATGACTTGGCCTCATCCACCTCCTCGCTGCTCTTCTTGTGCTTCTTGTTCCTCTTCTTCTCCTTCCGCCCCTCGTCCTTGTTGCACTTGGTGCTCTTGACGGAATGCGTGACGCCGCCGTCGGCAGAAGCCTCGATAACAAGCGCGGTCAGCTCCCCGCCGTTGACGCAGCCCGAGTCGAGACCAAACGTAAACTTGTCAATCTGCAGCCCGCGCTTCGAATCGTGGCCGTAGGCGACCGCGGTACGGGGTTCCTTTTCGGGGAGCGCCTTTTGGTGCGCGTTCCATGCTTTGGGCCAGCTGCTCGAGCCGTCGCGGCGGTCGGTGGGAATGGCGATTTTGCGATCGTGGGGTTTTCTGCGGCGCTCGTGCTCGCGCTGGATCATGGTCTCCGTGACGCCGGGGCTTGCGGTGTGGGTCCTGCGGTAGTCTTCGAGGGCGCGGTGGGCTTCTTGGCGGCGGAGCTCTTCGCGCGGGTAGACGAGGCCGCGCATGTTCATGACGGCCCAGGGGTCTTGGTGTTTGAGGGAGAGGCCTGGGACGAGGCCTGCGTGGACGACGACGAGGTTGCCGCCGATGGATTCGACGGTGCCGACGTCGAGGATTACGGGGAGGTGGGAGAGCCATTTTAGTTGTTTGCGTGTGAGGGAGCGGGCGGTGGCGCGTTCTTTGGAGTCGCCGTGGGGGAAGATTGACGGTTCGAGGTCGTCTTGTTCGGTTTCTTCGAGGGATGCTTCTTCGTCTTCGGAGTCGGCGTCCTCGTCTTGGTCTTCGGGGGGTGAGGGTGAGGCGTTGTTGGGGGTGGGTTCTTCTGACTTCTTGTCTTCCTTGTTCTCCTCGGCCTTGGGTTGTCCCTCCCCTTCCTCTCTCTTGGTGACGGGGTTGCCGTGGGCGTCCGAGTCGGTCACGTAGGTGGTCTTCATGTTCTGGTGTGCGAGCAGCACGCGGTCTTCGTGGTTTCCGCGCACGGCGGAGGCGCCGAGGCGCATGGCCAGGTCGAGGACGCCGCGGGAGTCGGGGCCCTTGTTGATCATGTCGCCAGCGAAAACGAGGTGGTCGCCGCGGGACGTATCAAAGTGCAGCTCCTCGAGTAGCCTGTCGAGGGAGACGCGCATGCCGTGGACATCGCCAACGACGACAAGCCTGCGGCTGGGGTTCTCGCGGGAAGGGAGGTGACGCTCCGGGAGGGTGGCGATGTGAACCGAGAGGTCGGTGAAGCCTGGGCGGGCGGTCTCGCCGTAAGACATGGGCGCATCGGCGGGCGAAGGCTTCGCTACGGTTTTGGCGGGACGGCGGCGGATGGCTGATGTGAGGTCTAGGGAGGCGAGGCGGGCTGCCGCGAGGAAGATTGTGGTGAGGATGAAGAAGGCGGCGACGCAGACTACGGCACGCCGCGGGCGGGTTGGAGCCGGGAACGACATGGTGACCTTCGTTCTTCTGTGGATTTTGGTGTGTGTGTATGTAGGTCTTCCCCTTTTTGCCGTCAACGTTCCCGCTGCGCAAAGTGTTGAGACGAGACGAACCAGGCTGGGGTTGATTGCTGAACCCAAGACAGAGGAGAACCACCACTTATATGGGATTCTTGTCGTCTTTCGGAGAAAGGGTAGCGAAGCGGGTTACCCTGAACCTGTGAGGATGAGGACCTCGTGGGTTTTGTATCCGTAATGGTGGCGGTTGCGCCTTTCTCTACCCGTGCCGTGGTTATCGACCCAAGCTTAAACCACCGCAAGCTTTCGTTTCGAGATTGGGTTTACGCGTGCGGGTTTGTGGCGCCGCTGGAATGAACGAATCGGAGATGGGACGGGACGGGATCGTTTTTTGACGTATGCGGATGGTTTACAGCGTCGAAGGTTTTCCCCCGGGGTGGGACAGTTTGAAAGTATGGGATTCTTGGGGGGGGGCCGCGTGTACGGAAATAGGACGTCGCTATCTTTTTTGTCGAGGTCGATCTTATCGCATTGACGGAAAGGGGGCAGTCGTCGTCGTCGTCGTCGTTCAGCAGGGGTGGCTGCGCATGCGTGGATCTTTAGGAGAATTAGGGTCGTCGGAGATGTATTGCCTCCAAAGTCTCGTCTCCTCAGTATCCGTAGGGGGGAAAAGGTAAGGGAAAAAAAGAATAGGAAGAAACAGTCAATAGAGGAAACCAACCGAAAAGGAACAGGCTGACAGGACACGAGGGAAAGAAAATACCAAGACGTCTGGGCGGGAACGAGGGGAGGAGGGAGGATGAATGGAGGATGCCGTGCAGATTTCGCCAAGAGAAGAGAAATCCGAAAAGACACCACCACCTCACTGACCACCAAATGACCGGAGTTAGCACCTCACTCAAGTTCTTAGATACTGGTAGGCAGACTCACTTCAAGGCCTAGGAGCCAAGGTGGGCTGTTTGCGTCGCCAAGTCGAGTATTTTTGGTGCAGATTCGGTGCAATCCGCCGCAATTTGGTGCAATTTGCTCGTCGACTCTGGGAAAGTCGGCACGCGACGTGGCATGCGACCCCTGCGACTTCCCGCTGGGCGCCTTCCCCGTCCCGTCAGCGGCGTCAGCACCTGCACCTTGCTGATCTGCACCCAATTTGACCCAACTCTCTTGTACCTACACACACACACACACACACACGACACACTACACTTTTGTACGGAAGCCATCACTGCAGCAGTCCGTGGGCGAAGGATCAAGGTGGGCGGACTCGCTCCCATTGAGGTCTGCAATTGGTCCGGGCTGATAGGCAAAGGACAACGGCGGGGCGGGGATGGGGCAGCCGGGCGGAAGCTCAGGATAATCTTCTTTTACCTCAATGTCCATCATCCAACCCAACTCAGAGTTGCTTCTTCTCTAGACTCTACATAGAGTCTAGGCTAGTCTTTGGAGGAACCCCCAGGTGATCTACAATCGCTAGGTACTGCTGACGATCGGCAGGGCCGAGTCTCCAACCTTGAGTTTCTTCACTGAGACACAAACCCTTCACACAACATTCCTCTGATTCTGTTCCCAAGTCCCACTTGACGGGACTGTTGGTATTACATACAGCCTTGCTCTCTCTCTCTCTCTCTGCTTATTGCTTTCGTATCACTTTTCTCAAGGCTCCAGGCGGCGCTTTAATACCAAGGTGCCAAGGTCGTACGTCACTGCGGCACAGCAGCCCATCTCACAAGTTCCTCAACGAAACCAACCCCCCCATCCCCTGTCTTGTGCAATAGTTGCGGCCTCGGCGTACACCCTCTTTGGAAGGTCGACTTGCCGAGTTATCCAGAAAGGCTGAGCTGGCTGGTCTCCAAATCTCTTAGAAGACACAGAAAGAAGAAAGTTCGAGCTGGGGGCCTGATGGAGTTGAGTCCGGGTTAGCAGAAAGTCTGCCGCGCAGGGCTAGCAACGGCCAGTAACTAGCTATGCTCAAGCTCGTTCCGGCATTTAACGTAGTGTAGCTAACTAAACCTTCCTTGTCTTCGGAAATGGAATCGGTCGACACGCCACTTTGATCTCGAGTTTAGAACTAAGAGAATCGAATGAGCTGGCAAGTGCTCTCTAAGTACGTCTTTGCGTAGAGGGGCACGTGAGGGGGCATACAGAAGTCAGAAACATGTCTTTTCAGCGGCCGCAACGACTGTACAACGAACGCCATTGTCAGAGTTTAGTGGTGCTGAGTTGTCGGCCAAAAAGCGCCACTCCTCACAGTCACATGGCCGCTAGTCAAGCCTACCTACCAACTCCCAAATCAAAGAGATTTGAGGAAAATGAACCTCCAGACCGATTGATTGCCCGTTGAAAAGAGAGGCCAAAAATGTAAAATTGCTTGAAATAGCAAAAGATTTTGACCAGCATGGGGGTCGAACCCACAATCTCCTGATTCCACGGTGTGTCGTAGTCAGACGCCTTGCCATTGGGCCAACCGGCCAGACAATTGAGAGCATCTCAGATGTCCGTCGTGGCTTTGGGGCTCGGAGCCCAGTTCAAGTAGTCCGCGAGCCAGCGGGCGCTCGAAGTTGTCGATTTTTTCAGTCTCTGCCGTCCGGGTATCAAGCAAGCGCGAGGCCTAGATCAGTTGCCTGGCTCCTGAAGCTTGCCTAGTAGAGTTGAAAGTGTTTAATTCATTCCCTTCGACGGAAACAATGTCGGAGGTTGTAAAGTTCAAAGTCCACAGAAACGACTGCTTCAGGTTAGCATCTTTGTCTTCGAGGCAAACCCGTTTCAGCAACGCAATTGGTCTTTGACCACTCTTTCTTGTTTTTAATGTAATTATTAACATAAAAGAAACACAGTCATCTATTATAGAATCTGTCCCGGGCCCAAGAGAAACTACAAGAGAAACTACTAGCTTCCTCGGGTCTACCCAGAGCCACCTGCCTCAGACCTCCCACTCATTGCCAATACCTCATAAGAGTTCAGTCTGGTCTTGAGGTCGTTCGCCACGCAGACCTCTTGTGAAGAGAACAATTGTTGAATTTGACTTGGTTGACAACTGACAAGAGAGACACAGTTACAAATGCTTCGTCGTATAATTAACACCCCAAAGTCGCTTCTGACTTTGGCAACCCTTCAATTTTCGCAGCTAATACGCACTCGCACACACAAGAAGTCTCACAAAAACAGCAAAATGAAGACACTCATATTAGCAGTTATCGGCCCCAAAGGTTGTGGTAAGACATCCTTCATCCGATCCCTTTTCGAAAATGCAGGCGACTATGTAGTCGCCCAAGACGACGACATCAGCATACACACAGCCAACCTCGATGAAGAGAACCTCCAGATCCATCTCATTGACACACCCGGCCTCTCCCCCGACAAGCGACACCTCCCAGACACCGAGACAATCAACTATATCAAGAGCTGGCTCGACTCCATGGACGGACAAATAGACGGCGTCATCTACCTCCAGCGTGTGATGGATCTAAGCAATGCTAACTACGCAGTTCGTAACCTGGACGCCCTCTTTAATGTCTTCAGGTCCCGCCGATTTCGACACGCCGTTGTTGCTGCCACGAACTGGGACCGCGTCACTAGCGAGACTGACAGTTCGGTGCTCGAGGGGTACTTCTTTGACCATCTGGAACGCGTGTGTCTGGTCAGTTCGCTGGGGATACGGCTTCAGAGGGCGCGGTTGAGCGACTCCACGGACGCGAGCTGGGATCTTTTGGAAGGTATTCCATATGTTGAGACTCCGGAGCTGTCTCCGCCGCCTTCACCACCGCCACCTACACCGGCTTCACCGTCGTCTTCCGACGTCTCTTGGGTTCCTGATGGTCAAGGTCGCGAGGGTGCCCCATCTGTTAAAACCAAACACATCTGTACGTACTTAAAGTCGAGAAGCAGTTGTCTTTGTACTGAAGGGAGATCTAGCAATAGACTACTTCCTAGGGATGCTGTTCGAGCCCGCGTTAGATGACGAGGAAATTGGCGCAGATGGTAGGGTTGAGGATAAGTCGCCTTGTAGTAATGAGCACGCGGAGGCAGCTTCTATGTAGGTTGTACCGAGGCATCGCCCGAGGGGCCTTCTTGCCAGGCTTTTCAAAGGTAAACGCAGCGGAACGTAAGGTACTCGAGTAGTTGTGGAATCAAGACTGCGGGCCAGTATCAGATGAGATGAATCGAAGGCATTGTGATAGTCATTTGTGTTACCCTGAGGCGTAATAGATATATGTCTCAAGGTTACGGCCATGAAGAAGAGTCCTTGATGTGGCACTTTGCACAGCGTTGCTTACGATTGTGTACCTAGAAGATGGTCCTGGGGTACGTTGTTCAGTAGTACGCGGCCGGTAAAGAGTCTTCATGACAGTTTTCGGTGTGTGTAATGGGGGCTGCACAACAATCGCAAGTGTCCTCATGCCCCTTATCATTGTTACAAAAGGGCGGTTGAGATCCTGGGAAATTCTAACTGCCGACATGATTTGAAATGCCCGATTGGATGTGTTTGCATGTAGTTTGTCGACGTCGGTAATATGATGGTCCCCACTAACGACGATAATGCCCCTAGAGTCACTTGTTTGCCAAGTTTGATCACTTCTTCTTCGTCAGTTCTTCATCCAGTTTTTCGGGTCTAGTGATGAATGAGTTCGATGTATCCGATGTCCATACAGTTGCACTATTGAGAAACCTTACCCTCTGATCGCTGACGTGATGTGGTACTCCGGTCATCAATTCCGTGGGACAAGATAAGTTGTCATTGAGAAGGAAGTCTATGAGGCTCTTGTCGAAGATGCAACATGAGTACCGCGCACACGATGGTGCCATATTTCGAGTTGGCCAAACCAGGCCACAACCAGATCCAACGTGTCGGACAATTTGCAATTGATTACGGCTAGATGAATCTCACCCTGCATCAAGACCACGTTAGCGCCCCGATACAAGGTGGACGGGATTACACCAATACGGCCGCTCATCGTCTTGCAGGAGCTGAAAGATAACCGACATCTTCTGGGATGCTTAATGCTCGCAATAAGAATCTCTTGATTGGCAAGATCAATGTCTAGCATCTCATCCAACAGGAATCCATCTCGGATGACTTCCCTTTAGAGACGACGCCTCACAACGCCCGCTGCAACCTCGTTGTCTCAGCCCCAGTCCTTTCCGTGCCGCTTCGGCAGACCTGTTTGCTACACAAACATCACCACCCACTCTAGGCTTCCTTCGACGATCACCACTGTTGAAAAGGGATGATGCCTCTGCCTCAAACTCATGATTCTGTCCAGGTAAGACCGAAGCCTCGAATCTCAGACTCTTAGTCCCATCACTTGAAACCAGGATGCCGCACGCCACAAAGCATCTTCTCCTCTTGACCGCATCCCTCGCATCCCTTGTCATAGCCCAAGACTACTCTTCCAAGTCAACATGCAAATCCTACCCCGGCACCGCTTACTGGCCCTCCGCAGCAACCTGGTCCCGCCTCGGCGAGTCCCTTGGAGGCGGAGGACGACTTCTCCGCCCGTCTCCTCCGGGAGCTGTCTGCCATCCCGGACAGGCCTCCTACAACGAGACCGCCTGCGCCGACGTCGAGGCCCGGTGGAACTCGTACGAGCTCCACGTCGACGATCCCGTCTCCGTCGTCTGGAGCAACTTCGCTAATGACTCCTGCCTTCCTGACCCGGCTTATTTGTGCAGCGCTGACGGATACCCTGCGTACGTCGTGAATGCTACCACGCCGGAGCATGTCAAGATTGGTATCGATTTCGGTTAGTTTTTTTTTTTTTTTTTTAACTACCTCCGTTCCTATGTTTGCTTGGTATATGTGTGTTGACTGGGGATGTAGCGAGGAAGAACAATGTGAGGCTTGTTGTCAAGAGTACCGTACATGATTATCTGGGTAGATCGATTACCCCTGGCTCGCTGTCTATCTGGGTGCACCACATGACGGGCATCGAGTACCATGCGGATGAGTTCAAGCTCGCGGGAAGCGATATCACCATCCCGGGGAGCGCAGTGACTGCTGGGGGCGGCACTGAGATGTACGACCTCTACAAAGCTACCGCCGAACACGGCCAGGCCATCGTCGGAGGTACCGCCAAGACTGTGAGCGTCGGGGGGTATGCTACCGGAGGTGGTCACTCGCTGCTCGCGCCAAGGTTCGGGTTGGCTGCGGACAACGTCTTGCAGATGGAGATTGTCACGCCCCTGGGCAAGATCTTGACCCTTAACGAGGCCCAGAACTCTGACCTGTTTTGGGCTATGCGCGGTGTAAGTGCGCCCGCCTCACTCTTGAGAGTTTGGCATCAGTACTGACTTCATCAGGGAGGAGGATCAACATTTGGTGTTCTCACCTCCATCACCTTCGCGACCCACCCGTCGCCCCCAATCACGCACACGGCGTGGGCGATGCTCACTGAGCTCAGGTCACCCATCATCCCAGATCTCGCTGCCTACTTCCTTTCGAATGTCCCCGCTCTCGAGAAGGCCGGCCTCGCGGGCTACGCCCTGATCAACTCGCACATGCCGAACCCCGTCAGTTCCCCGGGCCTTCCACCGAATGCGGCTGGCGTCATCGGCATCTCTCTGATGCAAGATGACACGGACCGAGAAGAAGTCAACAGGATCTGGACGTCAATCAACCAGACTGTTATGGAACGCTGGCCCAACGTCACTTTTGCCAAGGTTACTACCGAGTATCCGTCCTGGCTTGACTTTTACGACAATAATTATGACATGAATAAAGGGGGCATCAACAAGCTGCTAGCTTCTCGTTTACTGGACGAGAAGGCATTGACGGGAGATCTGGACGCTCTTGCTGGCGCGGTGAAGACGGCCACTGATAATGTGGGCGGCATGTATGCCTTCTTGGTATCCGGCAAGGGCGTACACAACGCGAAGCCTAGGGGCGGAAGTGATGCGGTTCACCCGGCATGGAGGACTGCCTACATTCATGCCAGTAAGTCGATTTAATTCGTCTAGGAGGCGTTACCCGAGCTGAATATTGTTTTCCGCAGTCGCTGCTGTTGGATGGACTTCGTTCAATGAGACGTCCAAGAGCGAGGCCGGGACGAGCATCTACGACTCGGTCGAAGGGTTCCGACAGTTGGCGCCTGGCGGGGGATCCTATTTGAATGAGGTAAGTCAGACACAACATGGGAAAGGAACAGTCTTGAATCTCCTACTAACACGGTACAGGGTCTCTCGTACGAGAATGACTGGCAACATACCTTTTGGGGCACTAACTACGAGCGCCTACTCAAGATCAAGAAGACTGTAGACCCAGACGACGTCTTCTGGTGCCAGCCGTGTGTTGGAAACGAGGGGTGGAAGCAGAGAAGCGATGGGCGGCTTTGCAGAATCTAGGCTGATACACTGAGGGATTAGTTTTGTCGTAAACAGTTCCGTTCCAAGGCAAGAGCAAGACTAGATCATGTCACTCCTATTCCATCACCTCAATGGACCTCGTGGTAATGACAATAAGATCAAATTAGAATTCGGATTAAGGTCTATAGCCGTGCTTTATGACTTTCTAGTCGGGTTCATAGCCTTCACCCAAGGCTTCCAGATATCCTCGATAGTCTCGGGAGAGTTCCATCCATTCCACTCATAGTTGGTCAAACCCCAAGTATCGGGCACGCCCTGAGCGCCGGAGCGCACACGGTAGCTACCGGCAAGACCCCAGACCATCCAGCTGACGTTGTGCTTGACGGTGTAATCCCTCAGACAAACCTGAAGTGTGTCGTTGCGGAGCGTGTCGTCCTGGCCGTTGCCGAATTCGGAAAAGATGACGGGCGTCAACCGGCTCGCCTTGGGGCAGTCATTGGTAACATTGCAAGCGGCGGGCTTGTCGATGCCAAGTGCGTTGAAGCCGTTGCGGTAGAGACCGGCCTCAATAATGGGGCACGTCCCCGTGTCAACGTCCTCGCTCATCTTGTACAAGTGCAGCTCCCAAACAAGCTTGTCCGCCCAGGCATGGCTGTCGAGGTCAAACACCTTTGGCTCGCGGCGAGAGGCATCGCGGATGGCGGTGCACTTGTAGCACGGCGCCGTCAAGTAGTTCTTGCCCGATGTGAGAGCAGACAAGTCCTGGCCGTACTGCATGCCGCCCCAGAGGATGAGGACGTCCGAGTTAGCCTCGTGAATGGCGTCGGCGCCGGCCGAGAAGTTGCCGACGAGCGTCTCCCAGTTGTAGTACAGGTTGGTCACGTTCCACGACTCGCGCATCTCGTTGCGGAGGGAGAGGGAGACGATGTTGGGGTGGGACTTGGCCCAGTTGGCGACGTAGGAGAGGCCGCGGCGCCAGTGGGTGGTGTTGAAGTTGACGTCGTCGAACCAGGCGTTGCCGTCCGTGTGGGAGCAGCACCACTGGGCCTTGCCGACGTGGACGTCCGGGGAGATGAAGATGCCGCGCTCGTAGGCGGCTTCGGCGATGGCGGACCAGATCTCGAAGCGGGTTGTCTCGCGGGTCCAGGTCGGGTTGTTGCGGATGATTTCGTTGGTGACCTTTGTGCCGTTGACGAAGCCTAGGGCTGTGATCATGGCGACTTCGAGGGGGACGTCCTCGCCGGCGCGGTCGTAGATTTGGTCGACCATTTCGATGGCGTAGCCCCTGTGAGGAGTGTTAGCTGAGGTTCATTTTGGTGTGCGATGTGTTACACGCGTGAGAATGGAAGGGACTTACATGCGAATGTAGTTGAAGCCGACGCTCTCGACATCGTCGAGGATCTGATCAACCGAGGCCCATTCCAGACCCTCGGGAACCATAGTCTCGCCTTTGTGGGTTGTTAGTCTGGTGTTCTCTCAGAACTGTCCTAGATGTTTCAACGTACCACTCATCGGCCAGTTTGTACCAGCCCATGTCACGACCTCACCGCGGGCATTGACGATATCACGTCCGCGGGTACTGAAGGGAGCGTAGGGCCACGAGCCGCTAGTCTGGTTACCGGCCTGTCTCTTCACGGCTTGGTGAGAGCCATAACGAGGCGAGGCGGGAGTCTTCATGTACTGCGCGCATGTTGACGACACAAGCGCCGCAAAGGCGATGGCAAGACCCTTCATTGCGGAAACAGAGACTCACGTAAAGACCTACGTGAGAAGCAAAGCTGCAATGAGAGAAGAGAAGGTCACACTGGCGAAGAAGAGGAGGACAGCCTCTCTCTTAAAAGGACGTAACATCCATCGAAGACGCTGGCTGGGTGCATCTATGGATGGCCCGGAACCATTGGGCAATGGCTTGTTCGGCTCCGCATCCCCCGCACCGTTATTTTCCTCGTGTTTAATGAGCATCGTCAATCGACCCCGATCCGATCATGGACCAACATCGGCTCCCAAGCTACGTTTGGGTTGGTGCTGGGCGAAGGGCGGTGGGCTTTTTACCGAAGCTATTTCAACCAAGGTTTGGGGCCGGTCGAGGCCAGGATTCCCCCCATGGAAACGTCTTCCCCGAGGTGCATCTGGTGACGGCATTGGGCCGCTTGAACTGGTGGAGTCTTGGAGAAAGCTCTAAGCATGGGTTTACCCCGCATTCAATCATGGGGGGATGGTGGAGATGGGAAAGAAGAAAACAACTTAGATTCTTAGTACGGATAGAAGACCTTGACAAGAGACTTTTGTTTTGTTTTTTTGCCGGTAAACGGTGACCCGGGGGGCGGGGGATGCTGTTCGGAGCCGGGCCGAAAGTGGTGGTCTGCCGAGACTAGATCATGTCGTCTGATCTCCCACGATTTTGTCCCCGAGCCCAAGCGGATGCTGTTAGACTAATACCAACAACCCTGCTTCGACTGTAGGTATCTGTTTTCGTTTGGCTAACTCGCGTTGCGTTTGTCAACGACTGGATATTAATATACTCGAATAGTGGCAACTAACTTTGTCTATTGAGTCACTCCGTCTTGAAGATTGACAACTCAAATTTCAAGAACAGCCACTAGAAGCACGCTTCGTTTTTCGTTCCACTTGGAATCAGGCTGCGGCAGGACCTTCACTCGAGATGATCGTCAAGAAGAGGAGACAACCTGCGTGATGTCGCACAGCATGATCACGCGACACTAAACCGCAAAGGGAAACCGAGTGTTATCAGTGTCGACGAGGCAGCCATACAGAGTAGTTCTGGGGCTCAAGATGGCCACTCAAGTATGTTTTTTTTCAGATAACGCAGTGAGATGCTGGTAGTATTAATAGATAAAAGGTGCGGCGAGAGCTCAGGTGAAGTACAAGGGTGACTTTTGGGTGTCCAACTGGTAATTGTACCTGGGATCCTTTTGGATCAGTAGCAGTCTGCAGCTCCTGCAACGACATATCATCTGTGATCGAAAAGTCTCGAGGAAAAGCATGGTGGGCCGACGACATCGCCACCCTACCAGACCGAGAGTTTTATTCTGAAACGGATGGTCAGCACAACTACACCAGATTCGAAATACCATACCTAAACCTGAGCATATCGAACTTCGATGGGAATAAATCAAAGGTAGAGCGTATTGACGAGGTAAGAGCAAGTGCCGAACTCACTGCACAATCAACCCGGGGGCAAACGTTGACCTATGGTCATCTTCAAACCCTGATATATTCCTTCTCCATAATGTCAGCTAGCCAGGAGTTCCGCCTACGGAAGCAGAAATGGAAAGACAGTGACGTAACTGCAACGGAATGCGCTCTTTACTTCTGTACCAACATTTATCGGACAGTCGTTGAGCAAAATGTGCTGCAGGAGAGAGTTGTCAGTTCCCAAGCCAATCGGAATCTGGACTCTTTTCTATCAGATGGGTAGATACGCAACGACATAAGATTTGACGAAGGCTTTCAACACTTTTGTGAACCACTCACTGTTTGTCGGATACTTCGATGCTCCCCGCACAGATCTACAGCTTATCGTTCCCCGAGCTGAGTACCTCGCAGCTACTGGTTTTATCTTGGACAATGATTTGAGATTCAACATCTCGCACAACACCATTGGGAGCCTCATCGAATGGTTGGCAGCCAGAATAACAGGCCGCAACATGTCTGCTTCGACGACAATGACGCCCGATGAGACACAATTGCTTGTGTACCCCCGATCGTTAGTTGAGAGGATTCGCAGTCCACCGACGGAGATAATTAGCAGTCTTGCAGCTTCACAGAACATCACTAGGACCTTTGAGATGGTTGCTGCCAGCCTGACAAAATGGATCCGAAATCGTTCGCTTCAAAGTAATCCACATCGTGGAGTAACGAAGGAATGGGTGATCAAAATCAGAGTGAATTGGACATTCTTGTCACTCCCCATGGGCGCGCTGATAGGTGGGTGTGTGTTCTGCTTATTGTCGATGTGGGAGACGAAAAGGCTGGGCCTTCCGGCGTGGAGGGGAAGCTCACTGGCGACCCTAGCCCACGGCCTCGATGTGGAATCTAGGTCGTTCTTGAGAGAGGCGAGCGATAGTTCTCGTATCGCATCCCAGGCGCGGACTTTGGAGGTCAAGTTTGACGACTCTGAGGGCGGACCAGAGCTCGTCCGTGGTACCAAAACTGGCACTCCTGCTCGCGAGGCGCTGTAGCAGAGTCATGTATGTACCGTGTGAGTTGAGAGACCATCATTTGATATACTAATGATGAATATGGCGTCATTTGGTATTGGAAACTACATGTAGTTCTGGGGGATAAGTCATGATGAAGCGTAGAGGTGAACCCGGAGACGGAGGGTAGGTGGTATCACCGGCGGCTTGTCTTGTGCCGGGTTATGAGAAGGGTGCGAGGCACATCATCCAAGAGGTGAGAAGTCAGTTAATTTCAGGGGACAAATTTTCTCAGATGAGGTGCAACTTGATGATCCACGTTATGTCAAGTAGTATTTTGAGGTCGAACCAGGTTCGAAAACCACTTATTACCTTAGCGAAGGTTGCTCGAAGTCCCTGGCATCGAAAGCGCTATCGGGCTCTTTAAACGTAGGGTAGTTTTCATTGACTGTGCGGTTATTATCATTTCTTGTTTCATAAATCGATTCATACTTCAATAGGCATGAGAGCAGCGGCAAGCTACACGTTTTAGGAAGCCGTCATTTTTGGCCTGCTGACACGCTGGCATCGGTGGCGATGGCGAGGGGACAGATAACAACCAACTCCAAATCTTGACTAGGGTCTCGTCTCGCTCCGATAGGTTTGGTAATGCATTCAGCAGACATGCATCGTCTTCAGTCCATCCCATTGAATCACATCCTGGAAGCAAAATGGTTCCCAAAGCTAGCTCGAGCATAACTTTGACCCTGACGCCCGTTGTTGACAGCGATAGTATATATGGTCTCGACGTCATATTGGTTCTTCAATCCCCAGGCAAAGCTGCTGGCGAGCCAATTTTCCTCTACAGTAAACGAGACAATGGCACAGGGGCGCCATCGCATGAATACCATCCGTCGAGTATCAAGGCCTACGACAGCCAAGGCCACTTCCCCCTCAACATAGTTGACAGCTCCAACGACGCAAATCTACAAGAATGGCACGGCTTGCGCAACATGGAGGGTGACTTATCGCTACATCTCCACGTACAGCCTGTACAGGTCACTGCGAAGGATCACAGGAGATCCATTGTTCCTCTTGGTATCGATCTTGGAAGAACAGAGCTGTTGGAAGACCAAGGGGGGCTGATGGGTGCTGGAAAGTGGTTCATCCCACGACCAGCCGCTGAGCCAGAGATTCTACATCAAATCACAGTGCAGTGGGATGTTTCCTCCTCGCCTCCGGGAACACGGGCGGTTTGGAGTCACGGGGAAGGACCCGAGCCCATCACCAAAGAAGGCACTATCGACATGCTGCTAAATTCTGTCTACATGGTCGGCCCAGTTCAGAGCTTTCCCGCACATGTTGACGCCATGACCGGCATGACCGGAGATGCTTCTCCCAACGCCGGTTCGACCTTCTGGTTTGGCAAACTTCCGACGAATCTCGAGAAGTTATCCGAATACAGCAGCAAGATCTTCCCTAGTATGTCGACATTCTTTCGAGATCCTCAGGGAAGCTATCAAGCCTTCATTCGCAAAGTTCCCAATGGCTTTGGTGGAACAGGGTTCCAGGCCAGCAGCTTGATCGAGTACGATTTTCAAACGGAGGCAGTGTCTGACTTTGATCTCGTGCGCCTCTTCAACGACTTGATGGTACGATCGTGGGCCCGACTAGACACAGAAGACGATGATGGATCTGAGGCTGAGTGGTTCTCGAAAGGCTTGTCCTCAAACTTCCCCTCTGGCTCTGACACAAGCCATCTAATTAACTGTTGCGTAGGCCTGTCCCAGATGTACACCATCTTCTTCCCCTACAGGTTCGGTCAAAGGGGTCCCGATTACTTCCGTGCGACACTCAACGGGTTTCTGTCCGCGTACTACACCAGTCCCCACCTCACAACGAGAATAAGTCAAGGCAAGAGTCCAGCCCAGGTAGATTCTTACACCGCATCAATCCCCTACAACCGCGGCTGGATCTACATGCTCAAGATGGATTGCTACACGCGCCGCGCTTCTGTGCAAACGGAAGCAGGCGTGTTGAGGCCTCTCGATGGAGTTGTTGGAGACCTTATGGAGAAGCGCCGAAGCGGCCTCCAAATGCGAACAGTAGATTGGTTGAATGGGGTCGCGCATTGGTTGGATATGATTGATATTGCTGCAGCACCTTATTTTCAGGAGACCATTATGGACGGGAACACCATGTGGCTTGACGATATGACGGAGGCTTTCGGTGCCAAGGAAGGCACTAGTCGCGTTGTCGAAGTTGACCAGGAGATGCTGTACTTTGGATTCGATGTGATGAAGAGTCTGGAAAGGGGAGTTGTTTCTGCGATTGAGCCTGGATCAAGAGCAAATCTCAGTGGGCTCCAGGATGGTGACCGAATTCTGCGTTTGGACGGATTTGAATTCTCCATGCTCGGCCCAGATCGCGAAGTCAAAGTTCTGGTGGAAAGGGATGGCGAGACGTGCAGCTTTGAGTACTCCCCTCGAGGGCTTGACAAGGTGCCTTGTTGGCAGGTTTTGAAGGTTGAGCCTGCAGGAAAGTGAAGAAGAGTTGGATCAGCCAGTCGGCCCCTGAAGGAGGTGATGCTAGTTATATTTTATTGAGAGACTTTTTCAGCTGCCGCGACGTAATGCTGATCAATCTCGCTTCGACGATTGATGCATGTACCGGACTGGGTGGGCTCAGCTCTCCCATAAACATAAGCAGCTTCAAGTTCAATATCTTCGCCAGTGAGTGCGTCAACTGCGTCAAAATCATGGAGAACTCCGGAAGCATTGTCCGAACACTGCTCCCTTCCATCTATGAGATGGGCTGACGCCTTGAGCAAAAACCTGTATGTATTATTCGCCGTGTCAACGCCCGCCTCCAGAATAACTTCGATATTATGAGTTCCGCGAGGTGCAGGCGGGATGCAATCCAGCCTGAGAACGAGCACTTTATCGTTTTTTCTTGTATCTTCAAGCTCGCCTTGGAAGACTGGTATGACGGCCCTCGACTGTCCGTCAACGGTCGTGGTGAAGCTCATGGTCCAAGTAGACGGGAGTATCGTGTATCGCTGAAACACCCGTAGCGCCTCGCCTCCGATGGTCTCCACAAGGACTGATCGTGGGTTCGACTCTAGCGTACCAACCAGGTCGTCGTATCTTCCGCGTCCACAGAGATTTTCGGCAAAGACGGCGGTGCCAAACGTAACAACTTCATCGTAGTCCCACATGCCTGGCATCAACCGAAGACTTGCTGGATGGTCGAAGATAGCAGAGGATCCACCACCAAAGAAGGTGTCTACCATGGATCGTAACTGTGACGCTTCTGTATAGCCGCCCACGATGGCGACTTTTGAGATTTCGTTGCTAGAAAGATTCGCGCTTTTGATGACCTGGTCCAGAAGGGGTAGTGTCTTCTCGAGTGTCTCCATCTCGGTCGCGTCGAACACCGAGTTCCCTCTCAGCCGCTTCTGCTGCACCGATTCGCCTATCTCTTTGCCAAGCTGGTGGTCACTGATAGTAGCCAGACAATCGAATACACCTGCATCAAGCTCAAACAAAGACACCTCGAAGGTTTCTCTCCCTAGGTCATATACAATGAAGTGGAAATCATCGTCCAGGTTGTCTATGCCGAACCCGATGGCAGCGGCGGTAGGTGCGTTCATGATGCGAAGAACTTCTAATCCAATGGAGGGACCAGTTTCCGTGATGATGTTGCGCTCTTCCTTGGTGAAATACTGCGGCACAGTCACGACTGCCTGTTCAATGGGCCCAAGTGTCCAGCTTTCGGTCGCCTTCTTCAGTTCCTGGAGGGCTTCGATGACGGCATCTTTGAATACATGAGCTTCGTGAGAATTCGCATTTGAATCTACTTGAGAAATTGGGTGTTTGATGGCTCGATGTAGGAAGTACTCGGGCTCCGTGGCATCGCAAACCATATGACTGATAGAAGTTAGCGCTCACCATCATTAGGGAGAGAGTACGGCAGGCCTTGGTCTAACCTGTAATCGAATAGAGCACTTGAAAGACTTGGATCACGTTGTGCGTGATGTGCTGATTCATCTGGTCCCATGATTGTGAAGCCTAGAGTACATCTGTCATCAGCTCTTTTTCTAGAAGCTCTACAGGAAGCTTACTCTGGCCATCAAGCGGTATCCTCCTGGCACCACGTTGAATCATGCCCACGCTTGAGTATGAAGGTCCGAGGCTCTTCATAACACAACTTTCATCAATTACGGCGTCCATGAGTGCTTTGGAACTTTTGGCAGGACACTCACAATGGACATGCAATCAGAGTTATATTCACCGTCCCGGCCACTGACCTCGAATGCGGACGCACCAGAGCATGCTAGCGATAGAGGCAAGATGAAAATCCCGAGCAGACCGAAGCTCTTGGCTCTATGCCGTTCTGAATAAGACGACATGTCAAACAACTGCAATTTGTGTCTCGTGTCAGGCTGTCGAAAGTGCAGAGGAGTTAAATTATCGCAAACACCTCTAGCAATAGACGCGATGGTTATTTGGCCTTGCTTCAAGAAATCTTATAAGTTCGATGTAGCTTCTACTAAGCTTTTGACAGACCAGCTGTCCTCTTTATACGAGAAGCGATGGCTGTTGTGGCCTGTTGTTGGTGACACCAGCTGGGTGCTTAGTGAGCTAACCTGAATATCCCACGCTAGCTCGTATTGCGTGTTAGGCAACAGTGCATTTAAAAATCTAGAAGATTGGACAAAAAAAGAGTTCACAACCGGTGTGGCTACATCTCTTGGTGCTCATACTGGGATTCGAACTCGGAGCCTGTCGTCGAGTAGGCTATGGGCGTAATTGATTGTTGACCTTTAACTACTCCCCCACCCATCCCAGTTTGACCTGACCCGTCGGCCTAGACGGGCGCCTGCTGGTTGTGGTGACGGGAATGGGATTGAGGGGGGTTATGAAGGCTCCTTCCAGTGTGTATTCTGTATATTCAGGAAGTGAGTATGTGATGACAACGCTGGCCTCAACCATGGCTTCACTCCCGAGAAAGGTGCAGGCAGGCAACATGCCTTCCTACTGTAAGCCTCTGGCCAGCGTTCCCTCGTCTCACTATGCACTTAGGCGGTCCGACTTATGGACTTGATTTACAGCTTCTTTCTTTGTCACTGTACGGTTGCAGTCTTTCTCAGATTCGCAGTGAAGATCTACTCAGGAACGGATTGTTCGGTCTCTAAAGGCTTCCAGATATCAACATCCCCTTGAGGGACCTGAATATGTAGACAAGAGGTACTAACACTGAAGTTGCAGATGCCGCGCTCGTAGCAAAGACTTCTTGACGATGCTCTTCTGATGGTGTCGATGATGTTACTTCTACCTCGCAAGGAGCACCTTGCTACAAACATCGTGGTTCGTCGCGATTGGTGTGAGTGCATGTGGTTGGACAAGGGACGATACTGAGAACCTGAGACGAAAGCCAGCGGTCGCCCTGCCCCCGAAACGCTTGCCTGGAGCTACGGCCCACCCGGCCCCAGCCGTTATCAGCCGCCCCACCACAGAATTCTTATCGCTCCCGCAGCTCCGATAAGGCTCTCAACGACGACGGAAGCCAGGCTTCTTCCGTCATCTTCACTCCTTCAAGTCGCACTCTTCCCAAGCTTTCACCCAAGCCTGTCACCATTTCTAGAGCTGAGCCAGCAAGCATGACGACCGCACGATCGGAATGACTGATCCCACGTACACAGTCTTCGTCAGACTGCCCATTCTGCGGGGCGAGTTCACGGATCCCCCTCCGGTGAGTCCATGAGTCCATCCGCCCATAACCGTCCGGGTGCCTTTAGCCGCGGGACCGACACTGATGCGACTCCACGATGCAGGTTAACTGGGATTCCGCCAAGGACGATGTGTTATGGAACATCATCTCCGGCGCAACTAAACAAGAGATTGACTGTGAGTCCTGGCTGGCATTTGAGCTTGTGAACGTCGCTAACTTGGTTGCGTTTAGGGAATGAACTGTAAGTCCTTTCCCGGGAACCGGAACCACTCCATCGAGCTCACCCATCCTTCAGAGCCGCACATTTCGACGTGACCGTCGATTTCCTTCTTCAACAAGTAGCCTACTTGACCGAGCGGCACACTGCGCAGCTTCGAGCCCAGGTCCGGAAAGCCACAGCCGCCGCCAAGGGCTCCTCTGCTCCATCCCCCGTTCCTGGCGCCGAGCCACACACGCACCAACGAACTGTCTCTGCGCTATCCATCCGACGCGATTCGCCGCTTCCTCGGACCGATACCAGCACGCCAGCGACGCCCATAACAAGCTCTCTCCGACCGAATATCACACGGAATGCCTCCTCAGGTACGATAACACGCAACCTGGGCGGCGGCTCTACGACCCGCCAGAGCAAGCCTGCCACCTCGCGGCCATCCAACGACAATCAGCGACGTCGTCTGTCATCACTTCCTATTCAGAGCACTCCCAGGAGCCCCGAACCGACTTCGCCTGACGCCGATGAGCTGAGCTCGCCCACCACCTCGGACGATGAGTCCAGCCCAGCGCAATCGCGCATTATCCGACGACCACCTCGCTTCCAGCAGCGCGACGGCCCGACCGATCTCGAAGACGAAGATGAGGACACCGAGCCCGCTTTTCTCCAATACAAGCCGCAATCATCCAACACATCAGCACAAGACATGGGTTCGACATTACGGGGCGATCCCCGACACGCCCGACGGACACCGAAAGGCAAGGAGAAGATTCACCACTCCGAGACGTCAGATTCGTCGACAAGTTCACCCGCCATGGTGTCCAGGGGCCCCTCGACAGGGGAGAGACGCCCAACTGGCCCCCTCTCTCCTCGCCGCCCGGCTGAACTGTCTGGCAAGAGTCCAAGTCGGAAGGGGTACTCGCGAGACGGAAGCGACGGCACGCCAAGTATGGGCAGCAGCTTCAGTGACTTGGACGGTAAGCTCCGCAATCACTCGTTACTGACGAGCAATGCTAATAGACAGCAGACGCCTCTGTGACACAGTCCGCTCTCGAGGAAGCCCTCGCGAGTAAGATGCAAGACGGCGGCATCGGGAGCAGATTCAGCATCAGTCAAGCGTTTAGAAGCCGCTATATGCCCAAACCTGGTCAACAGTAGCAGCATGTGCATCAGAACTTGTTTTTACGGTAGAACATGAATCGGTTGGGTCGAGAAGCATCTCTGGCGTTTTAGGTAAGATCACAAAGCGGGTCAGAAAGTCCATTTTGTTTAGTCTATGATGTTTGTTGGAATATGATTTGGCGTTTAATACAAACTAGTCTTTGAAAAGTGTCAATACGGTTACTTAGGCGTCTTCATGGTCGACTATTCCAAAGAGTGACCATGTCTGAATCACAGCACAACGCCTTCCGTGTTCAGAAGAGATCGGGAGCACGCCCATCTATCCTCGACTGCGTGAAAACAAAATAGGCGCTATTTTCTTCAAAGATATGCTGATTCCAATCATCATACAGTTACTTCCAAAGCACTCAAGGACGAGACCCCATATTGGCCCAAATTTCGCGACAGACCAAAGACAAACCAAGTGTTGCTAGATGCATCCAAAAACTCAAAGCAGTGGCGCGGTATTCAACGACTGTCTCCCGAATGCTATGATCGCACCCTATCCTGGGTGCGCATCTCATGGCTCTCTCCTCTCTCAGCTTCACAACAGTCAGCCTACAATGATCCAGACACCAAAAACAGAGACAACTTACCATCCGACTCATCCGTCTTCGCCCCTTCATAGGGGTCCCACGTCTTTTTCCTCGCCGGGAGCGGTTTCGTCACCACTTTCCTTCCCCCGAATAGCCCGTCTTCGGTTTTATGGTGCCTCGTCTCGTGCAGTCGATGTTCGTCGTCGTCGTCGACCCTCTCGCCGTGCTCCGCCCGACGCCTCTTGGCCTTGTGTGTGCGGTAGAAGAACAGCGCCCCGACGACGCCAATGAAGACGGTCACGGTGCCGATGATGGCTCCGATCTCGCCGGGTTGGAGGGCTCGTGGTGGCGGCGCTGGCTGGGGGCCGGTGCGGCTGTCTCCCTCATAGAAAGACATGGCTTGCGGCTAGAGAGTGAGGGAGGTGCTGTGTTCTTGTTCTGCCCCGTTGAGCGGCAGAGACGCTCGGATAGTGGTCTAGGGAGCGTGGGTTGCGGGAGAGGCGTTCGATGGCGGTCCGGGGGATGGAAGGGGGGGGGCACCGGCAACCATGGATTGAGACGGGAGCTATCTCAAGGGCGGGCGTCCTGGTGCTCTTTGCGTACACGGGTATCCGTAGGTGAAGCAGGACCATAAACCCGGGAATCTTGTAGGAATGAAGGATTGTCCCGGGAGAAAACAAGGCGCTTCTTCTTCTTCGTCCCACAGCAGTGGAATTGTAGATTGAAGAGAGAAGTGGCGGACTACAGTTTCTTGTGGAAATTGATCTTGTTAAGTTGGACTATCCGTTCATGTCTCTCAGCTACCCCGGCTTTCTCTGCTCTACGTACGGGTTCTCGCGTACGTACTTCTCACCCCCTTCTCCCGAGAAAGGGGGGGTGAGGGAGTTTGGTCTCATCCATCTACGGTTACCCCTTCATCTTTCCTTCTGTCGCCAACGACGGACCGGCTTGGGGAATGCCTCACCAAATGGGAACCTGTCCACCTGCGGCTAGCCGAAACGGCACTCCCGCTTGGTGGTCCGTCGTTTATGCGGCTCTAGATTGCGGTGTTTGCCTGCTAACCAACAGAACGTATCTTTTTGTGCCTGGCTAGGACTCTAGTGAGTCTAGTCTATCCGTTGACTCTCTCGACTGGAGCCTTGGTAGAGAAAACGTGACAAACGAAAATTGTAGATCGTGTTGGAAGAAGGAATATGTTGGTTTGCTTGCTTCCCAAAGGGGCATATAAGAAATGTTGGAGCATGGGTGTCTACCTCCCTTTCCGCAACCCAACAATAACCTTAGATCTCGTCCGCTGTCCGTTACGCGGTTTCCGCCTTTTTCTCCTCCAACATATAAGATCCCAGGCTGTTTGTGTTTGCTAGCTAAGATATTGCCTTACCTTTCCTTGTCTTGCTCCGGCGGGACGATGAAACTGGCGGTCTTGGAAGAGGGTCCTCCACGTACCCAGCAAAAGGACCTCGACAGACATTGACCGTGGACTCTGAAGGTCCTGAGCACAAGTCCAAACGAGACAGACCTCTTTCCGAAGAATCAGTAAATACCAGACGAGAGACACACGTAGTTCCCCCTTGGTGCCAGGCCTCGCAATTTCGAATCAGCTTCCCTTCATTCTGTGACCCCCCAGCTTGGAGCAAGAGATCTTGGTGAGAGCTGTCGAGTCGGCTACACGCATCGACGTTCCCGGTCCCACGAGACAGGTGGATGTCAAGAGTCGGCCTTTTCACCCTCCTCTCCTAGAACGGGAGCCCGTCACCTTCCAAATTCAAAAGCCACTCCCGCTTGTCATCTCTAGCCCGTCACGCAACGAGACACAATCGGGTCTACCTGAGCCCTTGCACCAATACGTCGGTTCCCGTACATGTCTAACCCGAACAAAATGTTCGTCCTTTTTAATGACTCGTTGAACGAAGGAGTTTCGGTCAAAATCGTCATGGTCCCAGAAAAAAAGGTTCGAGGGAGAAACACCGGTTCAGAGGACGAGATTGAGATTGGCCATCAACGTTTTCTTATTCTCGACCAGGGGTAGGCGGTGGGCTTGAGACATGGCTTCGGTTGCTGCAAACCCTTGCATCCGCAAACTCGCCGACCGCGCATCCTGCCAAGGCGTGACCGACATTAGCATGGAACTCTTTTTCTCTGACCCGATCGTGCTGGGGATGGACGAAGAAGTGAGACTCTTTTTTCATTAACTTCTCGCTTCCAGAAGACATGTAATATGCACGATGGTGCCACCAAAATCACCTCCCACCTGCACCATGCGACGCACCTCTGATCACTACTCATCGCTCTTCATGAGACGAGGGGGAAAAGAGAGAGAAACGAAATGGCGTGTGAGAGATCCAGCATGTCACCGGTGCGTCCCATCTACGGGTGTTCGTGCAGGTTGGTGGTACCGTGGTATCTGGGGTCGAACCACCTCAGTGCGCGACGCATCATTTTCAGTCGTTGGCTGCATTGCCGGGGTTGGGGATGCAGGCGGGATACCTGCATGCCCGTTTGCGCGACCCGCCTGTCGCTTTCGAGACTCTTGGTGCTGCGAGATCTTTGGCAGACTGGACGGGATCTCAGGCAGGTAGAAGCCCGTCTGGCCGCGTTGACACTCTTGGCAGTCGTTTGGGTGGTTCCTCAATGTGACACTTTGAGAAGTCGAAAGGGGGGGGGGGGGGGGGTAACGATCCATGAAGCAATGTTTTGTTCTTCTTTGGGCGACTCATAGTCGAAACGAAACGGAACACCTTTGAAACATCAAGATAATCAATATGAAAAGTAATGATGGAATTTGATGATAGAAGTTAGATCGGATTTGAAGGACTGGGCAGATAGAAGTTTGAGGGTAGTTGATAGGGGATCGGGAATAAAAGACTTGACGGCGCTCACTCACGACGAGGAGATTGAACTCGTCACGGTGATTGAGCCCCATACACATGTCAGCCACAATCCCGGTCGCTTGGCGACAGACGAGAAGACAAAGTTCTTCTTTCCTTCTCCAAGGCCTGACTCAATGTTGGGATGTAAGTAAACCACCTCGAGCAATGGCTCTCTTCGGCTGAAGTCCTCATATTGTCAGGCAACAGATACAGATGTAATGCTTAAGGAAACCAATCCGTCGGCGCTTTGTGTTTTTCCTCTACAGTTTCTTTGCTCTGACATCCAATCCACCAATCTTTACCAGCCATCCGTGTCCCCGGCGGCTTCTAAGCCGGCGTAAAGCTCAACAAGACGTCGTTGGGCAGCTTCGTCGTGATGCCCACCGTCTGCAACATAGGCCTCTCATCCCTCGGTTGGATGTCTTTGAAAGTCTGCAAGATCCTCACCACAAAGTAACTCATCTGCGTCAGCGCAAATTGCTGCCCAATGCAAATCCGCGGACCGCCGGAGAAAGGGAGATAATCCCATCTGTGTGAGGTTATCCCGTCAGCAAGAACTCTCATCTCGAGCCAGTAATGTACCGAGAGAGACAGAGATTCAGGGGAGGGGGTAAGATCGACAAGAAGAAGAAGGGGTTAAAACATACGATGGCCGTATCTCCTCCCAGCGCTCGGGACGGAACTCGTCAGCGTCCTCGCCGTACAGATCCTTCCTCCGGTGAAGACAAAACAAAGACCACCGCACGGATGTGCCCTTCGGAATGAAGACGGGCGATTTACCATCGGGCCCTCCGCCAACGGGTAGCGTCGTATCGCGCGCCGTGCCGCGCGACATGCTCGCGACAGTCGGGTACAATCTCAGGACTAGTAAGACGCACCGTCAGCACTCGATCCCAAAGTCCCCTCCTCTCAGACAGTCAGTGAACAACTCACTCTCCTTGAGCACCATGTTCAGGTACTTCATATCCTTCACCTCCTCCCACGTAGGCCTGCGTCCCTCCAAAGCCTCCACCTCGCCCCTCAGCCTCTTCACTACATCCCCCCTCCTCGCCAAGATCCAAAACAGCGCAGACAGCGTCGAGGCCGTGGTATCCCGCCCCGCGAGGATCATGGACAGCAGCTGCGCGCGGATGTAGTCCGGCGTCATCCCTGGCTTCCCAATCATCTCGTTGAGAAACACGTAGCCCCGTTCGGGGTCTTCCTTCTTCTCCGGGTCAGCTTCGCGGATGTTGCGAATGTAGTTGTCGCAGAAGTCGTGAATCTTCTTCAGGCCTTCGTACCACTTCTTGTCGTTGTCGAGGAAGGTGAGCAAGCCGAGGCGGGAGCGGATGGCGGAGCGGGTGGTGATGTATTCGAATGTCGACGTGAAGTCGCGGGCTTCTGGCGACGGCGTCGTGAGCATGTTGGTAGAATGCCCGAACCTAGCGGATTGTCGTTAGTATATCTGTCTTTCTCTCGTCACCTCCCCTTTCTTCTAGGCACTCACATAAAGTCAGTCGCCGAGTCCATCGTCATCATATACAACAACGCCTGCAAATCAACCGTGCCCCCATCCTTGGGAATATTCCCAATAAGATCCCCAACATGCCTCTCAAAACACTTCAAATCCGCAATCTGATTTCTCACAAAACTAGGCCTCATCATCGCCCTAGCACCATGCCACACCTCCCCATTCGCCGAGAAAATCGCATCCTCGCCCAAAATCGGCAGCACCGCCTCCCGTCTGGGCCCGATGATGGGAAAAGCCTCAAACGACGTCGCCAAAATCGCCTTCAAATTCTCAGGCTCGCTCGTCATGAGCACCCACCCGCCGGGCGTCTTCACCCACCAGGTGTTTCCCAGCGCGCCAAAGAGGTCCTGCCACCACTCGAGGAGCTTGTGCTCTTTTTGACGGGCGAGCGAGGTGCGGATCCAGTCGCTGCCTAGGATCGGGTCCTTTTGTGGGTACATGGGCGCCGGGCGGCAGTGGAGGGCCTTCATCTTGAAGAGGTACCATGCTTTCTTGTGTAAGACTAAGGTCGGGAGGATGAGGAGCGTTGCGAGGAGGGGGCTGGTGAGGGCGTGATTTGCTGTGAGGTGGGAGCCGTGGGCCCAGGTGAAGTATCTTTCAGTCAGCGTCCAGAGGATGTAGGCCCCGAGGGCAGCTGATGAAGTTGCGTAGAGGTATTCTCGCGCCATGATGGTCAATATCTTGTGTGAGAGTCCAATCGTCTCTTGGTGAGGTCAAGGTCGAGGTCCTGGTCTTGGAATCGCAGCCCTACCCCTCAACGCTTTTAAAGAAGACTGAATCGCACTTAAAGCTCACGCACGTTTCCGATATCCGTGCCGGTGTGTCCGACGAAAGCAGGTACAACATCAGACGGAAAAGGTTTCCGACTGCGTAGCCCAAGGGTTTTCCTCTCTCCAAAGAATAAGGCCCCAGTTTATTTGTTTTTCGCTTTCGGTACAGAGTAGTCCACTAGACAAAGTAATCAGACCAAAACTTAGAATTACCTAGGCACCGTGGAACTTAGGCTGCTAGAGTTGCATATCTTATACACAACGTCTCCATCAAAGACACGGCTGACGCGACGAGTCGATCCCATCCCAATCCCATGTGCGTGCGTCCACATACGTCCGGCGAGGAGGGGTAAGTCCGTAAAATGATGTAACATCGCCATCTCGTAGTACGTATGGATATCCCCGGGATTCCCCTCATCCCCTCATTCTCCAGAAATCAGACCTAAACTAGCTCTCGACATAATATCTTAGTGCCCACCCCCTTCCAAGAGCGGCAGTTTTGCGCAACTAGCCACCGCTAGGAGACCTTTCACGCGGGAGCGCTACGCTACGATCACCAAGCTAGTTCTTGACCCCTCCGATCCCATTGCCTTCGTGGTCCGTACAGTCTTCAGATAGCCTATTGCTGTGACAGCCATACTCCTCCGCAAAAAACTACCATGGCACCGAAGATGGCGATGAAGCTGGTGAATCAACCAGATCGCTCCATCCTCTTCAGTAGCGCTGAGAAAGACTTTAAAGACCACCTCTAAAGAACGAGAATTGCCTCGGCATAGCCTATCAATTCTCCAAAGAAAGACTGTAATTGTGCCGCCATTGTGATCCTGCACGGTTACACAACCACGTCCTCGAGACACGCAACACCACCGCACCCCACATGCCTCCTTCCCCCCGTGTTGGGGCATGTGAACAGAAATACGAAGCCATTCATTGGCTGAACTACATATCCTAGGAGCGGGGGAGATATATAACTGCGTGTGAGTGTGGGTACGGATATTTGGTGTTTGCACATCTATGGGAAAGTTTTACCATTGACAAGGGGGCCAGTCTCGCCCAGTCGGCGAGTTCATAGTTGAACTGTCAGACTTCAAAGTGACAAGCTCGCCCGGAGGTCAAATCCGAGAGACGCAAGAGACCCCCATCCAAGTACGTAGTATCTTGAAGTCTTGCTACATCACTCAAGGAGCATTCCGCCGTTCTAAGTTCTGGCGTTTCCTTGGTTAAATCAAGTGCCGGAAGGCTTGGAAAGTCTATCCTTCGTTCTTATTCATTCTTATCTGGAGCTTCTACGGATGTCGCTTTGATGCCAAGCTTATGTGGAGAGCTCCGCCACATAATTCGCCGTGAGACTCGCCCGTCAAATCGGCGGACGGAGGTGGAAGCAGCGCCGTGCCGGCCCCGTCAAGCGGAAAGTAACGCCTTTGCAGTCTTCCACAATACCACCTAGGTATTCTCAGGGTCACTTTATGCGAGTTTCTCGTTATCAGAATGGCCAATAGTGGCTTCAATTACAATTGGCATCATCTATCTATGTACAATTCGTCATAACGTCGTGGGCTCTTCCCCAGCTCTCGATTTTCTGGAGCTGATTGTGTCGTAATAGCCGGCCATGACTATTCGGTTTTATTCTCCAATGAATGCCAGATGATGCCAACCCAATGCATATGTAAAATCCAAGTATGTTCCAGAAGTCCGTTCGTCCTCGCCATTAACGCCTTTGATGTTGAATGCAGTTTGCTCCGATTTCCGACAGTGAAACAAGCCAGGTTCTACTCAATTCGAGCCGATCGCTGTGACGCAATGCTGTTGCGCAACGCAGGGTTCCGGCTCTTCCTGCTCAATCTCTTCTCTCGAACCATGGGAATTCCTGGAGGCGGATCCGTGACCGCTGTCGTCCCGCTTATCTGAGAGAGCACGCTTCCTCGCTGTGGAAGGCCTTGGTGGCTGCTCATTGTGTATCCTTTCGTCGGTAAAGGAGATAGTATCCCATTCTCACGCGAACTGTCACTAGAAGCGTCATTGTCGACCCCCTTGCCCTCCTCATTCATCTCTTCGTTCTTCCGCCTGGCACTCAGTGCGGCAAGGCCACCACCACTGAGGAGCGCGGAGCGGAAATCGAAGAAGCGCTCCTTCATGGGCTTCTTGGACGTTTCGTCCAGCATCATCCATATGACAGCCACAATCAGGAGGCCCAGCACAACCATCGTCAAGATTGCTGCGCCGGCCGTATCGCCACCGCCTAATGGTGGTAAAGTTGAGACTGCAGGGACCGTCCGGCCGATGTCGTTACCTCCAGCTCCAGGATCGCCCTGAGAAGTGCCGCCAACGTCTGCAGTATGAGGTGCATTGGAAGATTCGATGAGGTTGCCGAGCGTGATTTCGAGGGCGGCCATCTGTTGTCCGACACCCTGCATTCCATCCCAAGTCCCGTTTTCGGTCCACTTCAACCCGCACATGCGTCCATTCGTACCGCCTTTGCACTGCGAAGCAGCTGCGATAGATGAAGCGCGAATCTTGGACATGATGCCATCTGTCAAGTGCGGGGCCCATTTGGTGATGGCCGCAAGCCAGCGGCTGAGGTATGCCTTGAAGGACTGCTGGTCCAGGTTGCAGAGTTCAACCGTCTCGCATGCCACCTCTTGCATGATATTCTTTTCCTCGCCAACAAAGAAGACATCTGCGCCCTTGACCAGCCCGTCGAGTCGGTTCTTCCACACCTCGTTGCCGGTGTGGTTGTACATGGCGGCAGCGCCAAGAATCATACCGCCGGCATTGTAGGTCCATTGATACGGTACGATGTTTGTGCAGTTGTACTGAATGTGGCCGCCGTCGTAGACGTAGTAGTCGTCGGAAATGAATTTGACATTAACCATCCACTCCCATGTTCTCTCTGCCCAGTCGGAGTAGGACGAGTTGCCGGTGTACACAGCCAGGCGCCCGGCAAGAGCGAAGAAGCAGGCTTGGGAAATGGTGTTCTTGTAGTCGTAACCGTTGTTCCACTGGAAGATCTGCCATCGAAGTCCTCCATTGCAATGGTCCGGATCCCAGCGTGCGGCCTGGGTGTTAAACACAGCCTGCGCCAGGGCAAGCCATTGTGGTTGGTCATCCGGGGGGTTGGGGAACCCATGCTCGGCAGCAGACATCACTGCGAGTCCCCAAAATCCTTGATCGTCGTTTCCCTCGGTTCGCGTCTGATTCTCTGGCATGTAATCGTTGAATTTGCCGACTTGGTGGAGGAGACCCTGAGTGACAACATCATTCCAAGTGCTGTCACCTGTGTAGTACCAGTAATCGATCATGGTGCCCATCATCGCGCCGGCCTCCCACCCTGACACAGTTTTAGTGGGGAACAGGCCAAGGACTTGAATATGCACTTACAGTAGTATGGATCGGGAAGAAGACCTGGGGTCTTGCCAGGTTTGTCTCCGTCGTAGAACGACATCAGATCTTCAGTCATTGACCTCGCAATGGTTTTGATACCGGCTATGCATAACACTTGTGAGTCAAGATCGCCATTAGATTGTCATTTGCGCTCACCTTGGTCACTTGTGTCCAAGTTGTATGCTGTGGTGAACTGGACGGTCGCCAGTAAAAGTGCCGGCAAAAGCCGGCTTACAGACCATGTTGTCCGGCCCCGCATTGCGATCATGATGCGAGAGGTCGGAGTGTGAGGGATCCTTGGCTTCGATGAACGGACCGCATGAAAGATTGGACTGAAGATTCAGGAATCCGGGGGAAGCGTCGATTAAGTGTCAAAACCAAGAACGAGTGGATGCCGCAAGGTTGGAATAAGAAAGCGGCCAAAACTTGCACAATGTCAAGACTTTCTGGCATAAACCGGGCAGACGATGCACATGGGAGTCGAGCCACGTTCGTCAGGTAATGGAGTAGCCCCGATGATGCGAGCTAAGAACCGGCAAGGTTGGTTGGCGTTTTTTCCCCTCCTCAACGAGAGGTGAATTCGTATGGCGGCTGGGTTGTCCACACCACACACACACCAAGACTGTTTTAAGCTTGGGAAAGTGCGTCTACTTGTATGTTGGTGTTGGCATGTACGTGCATGCAGGTTGAACACACCCCTCAAAGAAGCAGTAGCACCTTGTCAGTTTCCGAGGTGGTCAGGCAAGCCCCAGTTTGCCAGGTTCAGAATCCAGGCTCCGCGTCGTCCAGACCGAAGTGACCGGGGGAGGATCGAGGAGGAGCGATGACGGCGGAGTTGCGCACGCTCGCTGCTGCTGCCAGTGCTGTTTGACTGCTGCTTCCGTGTCTGTCAAAAGCCTGCGTCTGCCGTAGTCGTTCGTGAGAAACAAAAAACGAAGGTGTGAGGGGAGAAGCAGCTTCTATCTAGCCCCAAGTAAATACGAGTTTGGTCAGGAGCAGTCGAGGACACCAACAAAGACGGAACCGTCCCAGTCGAGAAACCGAGGGAAGTAGAGGAGCGGCGGAGGTCCACTAATAGCTCCCGAAAAGCAATACGAACTTTGCAAAGAGGATCCAGCAAGACGAGATTCGCCTTCGTTTCTGGCCTAAGTTGGACTGGGGAACAACAAATAGGACAGGCACCGAGGCATGAGAGCCGAGTGCACTTTGGGACTGGTAAGACTGGGTAATTGAGCAATCGCGAAACCAGCTGAACGAGACCCAGTCTTACAAGTAACAATGTCTCACCGCCGTGTGTGCTTGTTGTGGTTTCGTGGTTTGATGCCGTCCAGTCCCAGTACCTACCTAGCCTATTGGTAGGTATTTTGTTTCTTTCCAGGTGCCAAAGTGCCAGTCTGCCCTTGGGCTTTGGCCATGCCTCCTTGCTTCTGTTTCTAGCGTAAGCATTGGCAGCTAAGCTTGTTCAACATGCTTGTGATGCTTGTGCAACCGTCCCATCCACAGCGCGTCCGGCTGTGGTCCGAACCCCTGCCATCCCATGAGCTTGGTGCTGCACAGCGCTGACCCGTTCGCTGGCATCCCCCAGCTCGCACTGCGGGAGGTAACTTGGTAACGTTTCCGGACCCAGATGGGAGCCGCTGGGGCTATTGGATCCTCATGTGCCGCTGTCGACCCAAGGTTTGTTGCGAGAAACACACTAAATTATCAATGTTTCCCACCCTGTGTTTCTTGTCTCTCAGGCCTGAAGCCTGCTTTCAATGCCGTGTGGCCCACTGGTTCATCTTTTAATCACTGACTTTGTGGCTGGTAAAATCCGAATTAGACTTTGTACCTGATCCAAGCCGGACGACGCTCGAGTGAATTGACTTTGTGAACACCATAATGTCTTCTCAGTGTCGTTTACTATTCTGGTCCCTTGGCTGTGCGCTACGACCTTGCCCAGCAAACCGGGGCGGTGCAAGCAGCCAGCTGCTTCTGCTTCTGGGCGGCGGCATGCCGCATGATGCCACTTGTTGGAGTTCCGCTTGAATAACTTGAATGAATAACATGAATAAAACGGGGCTAGCTGACGTCGTTGATCAGCAGAGCTTCTGGGGTGGTTAGGAAGCGACAGGGCCAGTATGCCGCTGGTCCCGGACTTTAGACTAGGTCCAATCAGCACCAAAACAGTCCAAAGCTGTCCGGGCCGCCGCCGCCCTGCTGCTGGGCTGGAAGTAAGAATTGGTAGCGAGCGGGGGAATCGCCGCAGGCCGCCGCCAAGAACCTTCCAAGTTGACTGCCGAAAATACCCAGGGGTCTCGATTCCTTCAGGTTCGGATGTTGTTTGCTTGAAGCGATGTGATGCTTTCGGGGCAGACAATCGAAGGACATTGGATGACCGTTTCCCGCTGCGTTGTTGAATGATCTCGTCCTCATGTTCCCTGCCGTTGAAGGCCGTTTTTGAAACTCATAATCCTGAAGCTTGGCGGCTGCTCGAGCGAGTGAGCCCATTTCCGCGAACGATTTAGCTTCAGAACTTGGTCGCTCCATACCATCTGTGCATCGGGCCAGCCGCCAGCGCGCTTAGAGGCACAAATTCGGAGCCGATCTTATGAAATGGCCCATTCATAGGCCTGGCCGTGAGTAAGCCATCGGCATGGCGAACGCAGCCAGGCTCGCATTCTGAGGCTCTCCGAGCATCGCCGTCGAGACTCAGGAATGCGTTTCCATTCGGCCTAGGCAACGGTAAAGTAGCATGCCAGCGAAACATCGTGGTACGTGGACCGCTTTGTCACCGGCTGGTTCGTTGGCATTGAGTCTCACCATTCCGCATTGCTGATTGCGAAGAGCGCAATTTGCCCTCGGAAAGTCCATTCCTCGGCAAGGAGCCTGAGATTGTGATGTGTTCAACCGACTTTGGTCAGGTTGACTTGCCAGTTGTCCCATTGAACGTTCATAGCCATGTGCCAGCCCGACCGGTAGGCCGATGAAACGAGGTTGCGACCGTCCAGGGTTAGTCGGAATATTGCAAGCAGTAAGATCAGCTTCGCAGCGTGCTTCAGGGATGGTCCTGCAACGGCGACACAGGACGTACGGAAGCGGTACAGGCTCAGATGGAAATGGGGGTTTATCGTCGCCTTCTTTGCGCTCGTGGCGATGTAACGGGTGCTGCAGTGTTGGTGTCTCCGGCTTCATCTAGGTCTCAGGTCCCCGTGATGAATGTTGGAGTAGCGGCATGTGTTTTCAACGTCCATCCAGTGAGTTCCTTTGACGAAGGTTGGATGTTCATTTCGCTTAGTTGCCAGTAACGAACCAAATCGCCAAGATGGGCATCTTTGCGTAGAGTGCTGCGGTAATGGCATGAAACCTGGGAAGGCATTCGAGGAACTCTGGTCTGCGATGTTTGGCTCTTAGACAACTGCTGCGCCACGATGCTGCGCCACAAGATAGACCCTAGTGTTCCTTACGTAAGATCCTGGCTCAACGTCAAGCCACATCGAGCGGGCAATATTCGGACCCGAGGAGCCCATCGCGTTCGAGGACAATACGCGTATCACGTGGCCAGCTTTCACGTGCCGCCAAGGAGCCAACCTTGATGTTGAGGATGTGATCGGATGAGATGGTGGCATGGTGCAAGTCATGGCTCCGGGGCAATTCAGTTCCGTCGGGGTCCAGGCTGTGAGTCGTGACGAGCCTGCAGCACTGCCTCGACGATTACATCAGAAGCCGCGAGTCCGTGGCACTGGCTCCGAATGCTTGGGAGGCGCCAGAAAACACCTTGCTGCGCAGAAAGCTGACGCCAATGCCCAGCCTTCTCAGCAGTGCAGCAGCACAGCAATTTGGGAAGGTCGGAGCAAAGGTCTCCATGGGACTAAGTAGTCCCTGGAACGAGTCTGCGTGACTACGACAGTGGTCCTCTCTTCTCTAAGGGAAAGCCGACGAGGAAATGGCAGTGCTGGCCCGGAGACGCTTCCAGATTCTCTCGTATCCAGGGAACAATCTTTGCTGGGCCTTTGTCATGTTTATGGGCACCCGCAGGCAGGGAGAGTCAAAATGAACAGCAGACTTTTGAGTTGGAAAAAGAGAAGAGAGAGAGCCACTGCGTTCGTGACTGACTGCGCATTTCCACTTTTTGCCAGGTTCCCCAGGCACCGGACGAAAGGTACGTACCACGCACTCAGTTTCTGACCTGCTCGAAACGGCCGTTTTGATTGGCCCTCATCCACCGTTCCACCATCCCTCTTCTTGACCCCCCCCCCCCCCGGGTGCCCCGTCTCCGTCCTGGCGGCCGTGCACCGTCCTCCTCCCATCTCACCCATTGGATTCACTCGTTTTTTGCTGCTATCGGCTGGGTTTATTGCCTTGTCGCGCGCCTCTTGCGCCTCTTCCAACCCTTTGGAGGTCCTGCTGCTAGTTTGTTCCAGTGGCTGGGTCGTTCCCAGCTCGACTAAAATTAGTGGTCTAGCATCCCCCAAGGTGGCCGTGGTTGTAACTTGTCCCCTTCCGACCGTCTTGAGTCCCGTCTTCCTCCCCCCCAACCTGGAAAACCCCCGTGCCCCCGTGCCACCCCCCGGCAAGAAACCGCAGCGCATCCCCCCCAAATCCTCAGACGGGCACCTTGTTTCGGCTGGGCTCTCGCCTCTTTTTCCAAGCGGGAGGCGTCTCATCACCTGAACCTGAACTTAACCACCTCACCAGCCCGCCTACACCCTCCAAGGCTCCAACCACCTTTTCTCCTCTTTCCCAACCACACTTCACACACTCTTCGACCATCAATCAACAAACCGCGACCGATCGCCATTTACATCCTCCAAGAAACTCCGAACCTCGTTCAACTCAAACTTCAATCTCGCTCGTCCGAAACAAGACTTTTATTCGCCAGCTGCAGCTTCGAGCTCCGCCGGCAAACCCCAACTTCATTCAGCCTTCTCACATCTCCGTCACCACAGCGACAATGCCCGAAGACGCCCCCTACGACCCGTACATCCCCAGCGGCCAGGCTGCCAACACAGCCGGCACGCAACAGCAAGGAGGAGCTGGCGGCAATGCGAGGACCCAGGCTCTGCAAGCTGTAAGTTGCGCTGCTTTTTCTTGATGTTTCCATCGCGAGGTGGTTTTTTTGGTTCGACTTTCTGCCCCGGATTGCCCGACGCCTGATGACGAGGACCGACCGAGCTACCCGTTCGACCCAAGCTGTCGCCAACTACGCCTGATTGGGCCATCGCATCAATTCTCCAGCTCGTCAGCCAGAATTTGATCAGAAGCAATATTGTACGCCGTTGAGCGGGAGATGGACAGTCGTCATACCTGGCAACGTCAATCGCGTCCCCTTGACGATTGCCAGAAAGCCGACCGTGTCTCCTGGCCAACGCAATCGATACTAGCAACATGGAAACCTTCAGCGAATTGAACACGGTGCGATTCGATGACACTTTGCGACCGCTCAGCAACTCAGCAGCAAGAACAGCAATCGCTCTGGATGTTCGTCGCTCGTCGTCGGCGGTGCAATCAGGGGCAAATTTGTTTCGCCTATTGCGTACTCGGAACCGTGTCACCAGAGCCATGTGCTAATGATCTATTTATAGCAAATCGACGACACCGTTGGTGTGATGCGTGAGAACATCAACAAGGTCTCCCAAAGAGGCGAGCGTCTGGATGCTTTGCAAGATAAGACCGACAACCTGGCTGTTTCAGCTCAGGGCTTCCGCCGGGGCGCCAACCGCGTCCGCAAGCAGATGTGGTGGAAGGACGTCAAGATGCGCATGTGCTTGATTGCCGGCATCATCATTCTCATTCTCATCATTGTCATTCCAGCCGGTATGTCTCCCCATTTTCTCGAGGGCTATTCCTTTGGATCGCGTCTGTCTGTCTGTTCTGTGGCTCCAATCACCGTTATGACTGTAGTCGTCGCAACGCGCTAACGTAACCCCCTCAGTTGTTGCTACTCACAAGTAACAGATACCACACTTTTTGCATTACACTAGCCCCTTGGGCTCATGGTTCGCCCTCATGATATGGAAATGAATTGCAGATATCTCGCAGGCTCCGAGCAACCGTGAGAGACGAGGGGATGAGGCGGCACACAGAGCCACCTCTATGGGTTAATGACTTGGGAAGCGCGGAGGTTGTTCGAAACGGACTCCGATCTACTCCAACGGTCTGCATGCAAAGGCCTGCTGCTGGCCGGCTTCGGAATTCGTTCCGAGGAAGCTAGCTAGCCGCATCGGCCCGGCTGCGGATCAACCGCATGTATGTATGAGGGATGGCAGGCGTTTGCGTAATTTGAATTCTCACTGGCCCTGGTTTTGATATCCAGTCTGGTCGCTTGTTGTATATGAATGAAGTGACGAGTCTTCTTCCACAGAAATACTGCGAGTTATTTTATACCGGCGTCCGAACTTTCCGTGATCCTTTGGATGATGTTCCAGTTCATCGTTGATGCTTGATCTGTGAATCCATATTCGTGCATCGCATTACGTCTCGACTAGAGAGAATGGTGTCACTGAGCCAAATCGGTCAGAACTTGGTCAACGATCTCAGAATCAAGCTGCCAGGGCCTAGCAAATGGGGCCACAAGGGATTCTGAAACGGCGACTCTCGCCAGTCTCGGCTGATCTGCCCGCTCTTGAAGAGTGCGAATGGGCTCGGCCGGGTCTACTACGTCTACGATCGGGGCCACGATCTCGAGCGGTGTGCATATGCGTGTGTGTAGATGGATGGGAGCAGGTTATTGAGGACCAGCCAGTCAGCCAGTCAGCCAGTCAGTCAAGTCTTGCATACTGCCCTGGGCCATGCCAAATAAGGTAGCAGTAAACCCACGGCAACGGCAGGTTCCAGGTCCTGAATGGTTCATCTCAAGCTCGGCAGATCTCTGCGCCGGTCCCCGGGATTGCGTCGGAATTTGGGCCCAGCGGTGGTACGAAAGAAAGTACGGATCCGAGAAGGCGTTTAGAGTTGACATGTCCACTCTTTTTTCCTTCGTTTCCACATGGTTCAGGAACGACTAAAGAGGAGGTAGGGTACGAAAGCTGAGCCGTTGTCTTTGTTATTTTTTTTATTGAGGATCAGACTTGTTGGAACTTGGAAAAGAGATGGTTTGCTTTAGGTGCGTGTTGGTTAGTTGTCGGTCTGTTTCTTCATGTGTGGTCTAGACATTTGCCGGGCTACGTATGCACGGTCACAATGTTAAAAAAGCAGTTAGTCAAGAGTCAACGTCAACAGTCCTTCCCCTTCCCCCGAGCATCTTCACCGGGAGCACTCGACAGATCATAGATGAAGGATGTCTGGTTCTGCCTCGGCTCGTGTTAGGCATGCAAGCTGCGGTTTCCTCGCTCTTCCCCCATGGCTCCACCTAGCCCAGAGAATTGAAATTTTCAAGTAACATTTTTTCCAGGTTGCAGAAATGCCTCTTTTAGTCTGCAGTGCAGCAAGAGAGAAAGAAAAAAAAAAAAAGGTGCATGGCTATTGCAGATCCCGGCGGCCCAGCACGCATTTGGTGATCTGTACGTACCGGGGTGATTCCTTATCAGATCCGACCAATAACCGGGGTGTCCACCGTGATGGGGCCCTTCTTCCCGTTTTGAGGTCTGCGGGTGGATGAGGGAAAGTGGTGACGGGTGGTGCAGCGGGAGTGTTTCTTTGGTCGGGATTTGACTTACTCGAGGTTCTCATGGCCTTGAGGGGGAGGGAATCGTCAGTAGCAGGGTGTTTGTAGAGTCGGAAATACGACAAGAAAAGACTACGGCATCGTGGAAGATGAGAGAATAGCTAAATTAGATGGCGCATAGTCTGTTCTTTCCCCGTGGCCGCGATCGCATGTCACCGACGACCTGCCAGCTGTCAGATGGTGTGCTAATGCGGATGCAAAGTGTGGGCGGCCGGCGGCGAACCGATGCAGACTGCCAATGACAGAGCAGAGCGGTACCGGTCGATTTTTTCCCTTGGAAGGTGCCCGCCCGCCAATTGCTTCCCGCTCAGGTCCTTCCTGCGGCGGCCCTGCACTGCACTGGGTGACGGGACTGGTACAGTTGCTGGGTGCTCGGTGCCCCTGCCCCTCCTCCACACCTCCACTGCATCATACCGGCTCTGTCGCCCACGCACCGCACCACCGCCCACCACACCACCAAAAACGTCCAGTCACAGTCTCGCAGGCCTCAAAAAGTAAAAAGCCTCGTCTCTCCGATTTCTCTACACCTACGCTTCTCCCTTCTCTCTCTTTCTTCCTCTACTCTCTTGCTCTCTCCTACCTTCTTCCCTTCCCCGTCAATCATCCGTTATAACCCCCCGGGCTGTTCAATTGAACTGGAATTGGACACTCTTCCCGGCAGCTAGAAGAGTCAGAGAGAGTCAGTCAGTTAGACCGAGTTCGAAGCTAATCTACCTGCGTCTGTTGTGAGGTGTTTGTGTGTGTGAGTCTTTCTCTATCCCATCGAGGTCTCCAATGCTTCGTGAAGGAGCTTCTTTGCCTTTGAATTGTACCCAACCGTCTTTCCTTTCCCCTCTATACCTCTCTTCGAGTCTGTCCTCCTCCGCATTGCTCTACCGCTGTTCCTCGGGATGCCGACCGCAACCAGCATGGGGACGAGAGAATACGATACAGATAGAAGAGAGCATGAGGAGGAAGAGTAGACAATGGGGAGGAAGAGCACGACTTATGCACCTGTGCTTCTCAATTGCTTTCTCCGCCGACGTCGCAAACTTAGCTAACCTGTTTTCCCACCAAAAGTCCAAATAGTCGCGATGCTCTCCGCAACCTCTGCCGTTTTTCGGGCCGGCGCCCGCCGCGCCGTGCCTCGTGTCGCTCGTCGCCAGAACCTCGCCGTCACCCGAGTCAACAACCCCTTCCAGCGCCTCAATGCCATCCGCGCCCTCTCCTCCACCAGCTCCCAGTCCGAGCAGGCCAACCGCGACCGTACCCGCGCCATCATCATTCGCACACTGAGTCAGATCGGCAGCCGCCGCGAGGGCCAGCAATACCTCTCATACTTCACCTCCGTCTCCTCCCAGAAGTTCGCCGTTATCAAGGTCGGCGGTGCCATTCTTACCGACTACATTGATGACCTCTGCGAGAACATTGCCTTCCTCTACGAGGTCGGCCTGTACCCCGTCATTGTCCATGGCGCGGGCCCTCAACTGAACCGTCTCCTCGAGGAGGCCGGTGTTGAGCCCCAGTTCGAGGAGGGTATCCGCGTCACCGACGGCAAGACCTTGACCGTCGCCCGCAAGCTCTTCCTCCAGGAGAACATGAAGCTCGTCGAGAAGCTCGAGAGCCTCGGCGTCCGCACCCGCCCTCTGACCACCGTCCTCACCGCCGACTACCTCGACAAGGAGAAGTGGAACCTCGTCGGCAAGATCAGCAGTGTTGACAAGGCACCCGTCGAGCTCGCCATCTCCCAGGGCTACGTTCCTATCCTCACCTCCATGGCCGAGACCACTGAGGGCCAGATCCTCAACGTCAACGCCGATGTCGCCGCGGCTGAATTGGCCCGCGCGCTGGAGCCCTTGAAGATTGTCTACCTCTCCGAGAAGGGTGGTCTGTTCAACGGCGAGACTGGCGACAAGATCTCCCACATCAACCTTGACGAGGAGTACGACCACCTCATGTCTCAGTCCTGGTGCCGCTACGGTACTCGCCTCAAGATCAAGGAGATCAAGGAGCTTCTGGAGACCCTGCCCCGCAGCTCCAGCGTTGCCATCATTCACCCCAGCGACCTTCAGAAGGAGTTGTTCACCGATTCCGGTGCCGGTACCTTGATCCGCCGCGGGGACAAGATCGCCTTTTCCGACAGCATCGAATCGTTCCCCGACCTCGCCAAGCTCAAGCAGACCCTCATCCGCGACCGCGAGGGCATGGACGCCGAGGCCACCGTCGACCGCTACATCGACTTCCTCAAGGGCACTCCCTTCAAGGCTTACTACGACGAGCCCTTGAATTGCCTCGCCATCGTTCTTCCCCCCAACGAGAACCGATCCCACCCCACCCTGGCCACCCTCACCGTCACCAAGGAGGGATGGTTGAGCAACGTCACCGAGAACGTGTTCCACGCCATCAAGAAGGACCACCCCAAGCTCGTCTGGACCGTCAGCGAGGAGGACGAGAACCTCACCTGGTTCTTCGACAAGGCCGACGGAAGCTTCTCCAGCAAGGGCAACCAGCTCTTCTGGTACGGCATCGACAACCTCCAGGAGCTCGGCGTCTTGACCGACGAGTTCAACGCCCATGGTAGAGCCATGCTCGGCGACTCCAACCTCGAGGCCCGCCTCCGCCGCGCCGCCCAGACTTCGAGCCGCAACCTCAACCAGTCTTCCACCCCCGCCCAGGCCCGTGGCTTCTCTACGATGGCCCGCCGCCCGACATGGGCTCCGGCCGCTGCCACCCTCTCCGGCAAGCGCACCTTTGCCACGTACACGACCACCAACCCCAACCCTCCCCTGGGCAAGAAGAACGCCTCCAACGACGTCCCCTCCCGCGTTGCCCTGATCGGTGCCCGCGGTTACACCGGTCAGGCTCTCATTGAGATGCTCAACGCCCACCCCAACATAGACCTCAGACACGTCTCGTCCCGTGAGCTTGCCGGCCAGAAGCTCGAGGGCTACACCAAGCGCGAGATCACCTACGAGAACCTGAGCCCCGATCAGGTCACCGAGCTCGAGAAGAAGGGCGCCATCGACTGCTGGGTCATGGCTCTCCCCAACGGTGTCTGCAAGCCCTACATCGAGGCCATCGCCGATGCCCGCAAGGCCGGCGCTGACCACCGCAGCGTCATCGTCGACCTCTCCGCCGACTACCGCTTCGACAACACCTGGACCTACGGTCTGCCCGAGTTGACCGGCCGCTCCGAGATCTACAAGGCCGACAAGATCTCCAACCCCGGCTGCTACGCCACCGCCGCCCAGCTCGGTATCGCGCCCTTGGTCGAGCACCTCGGCGGCTCCCCCTCCGTGTTCGGTATCTCCGGCTACTCAGGCGCTGGAACCAAGCCCTCCCCCAAGAACGACGTCAACCTGCTCAAGGACAACCTCATGCCCTACAGCTTGACGGACCACATCCACGAGCGTGAGATCAGCGCCAAGCTCGGCACCGATGTCGCCTTCTCCCCGCACGTTGCCTCCTGGTTCCGCGGTATCCAGGCCACCATCCACATTCCCCTCAACAAGACCATCACCTCGCGTGACATCCGCCAGATCTACCAGGACCGCTACGCCGGCGAGAAGCTCGTCAAGGTCATTGGCGACTCACCGCAGGTCAAGAACATTATGAACAAGCACGGTGTTGAGATTGGTGGCTTTGCTGTCCACAGCAGCGGCAAGCGCGTTGTTGTTTGCGCAACGATTGATAACCTGCTCAAGGGCGCGGCTACTCAATGTCTTCGTAAGTCACCCCTGGCGTCTTGAAATATTTGATGAAAGCACGTTTACTAATTTCTGACTACAGAGAACATGAACCTCGCCCTCGGTTACGCCGAGTACGAAGGTATTCCCACCATGTAAGGGGCACAGGGCGTCCAATGATCAAGGAGCGGATTAGATTCACAAGAGGCTCGGCGCGGACACTCAAACTTATCTGGAGTCATAACCGGTTCAAAAAGCATCTTCCCATTTTACTTTCCCAATTTTTTTTTTTTTCCAAGTCTTGTTTCTCCCTGGCTTCTCTTTTCTGCGTGGTCTTTTTTCACTCTACCTCCAATTCCCCCCTTTGGATACGATCGGGGGCTCTCTCAGACTTTTCTTTATTATCATCCTGCTTCTTCGGGGAACCCCGGGGGCGGGTCGTTCGTTCCGTGGGGACCGTCTCTCATGACGCGAGTTGTGTATGCATGTATATACCGGGTTACGAGTCAAAAGAGGTAATTATACAGATTTAAAGCATTGCCTGAAGAATATCGTGAGGATGATGCATGTATGATGTTGCCGACGTGATTAGGTAGACGTTGTCTTCTGCCCACGACGTGTATTCTAACCGAGTACTATGCGTTCCGTATCTATCTGTGTTCAATCTCGATGTGAAAGCCAGGAGATAGGCCGCTCTGCCGGGACAGCAATACGGTCGGTAGGTGTTTAAGATGGTTGAATCGGTCTGAATAAATGGGGTAGCAAGCCTGGAAAAGACGAGGGAAGTACTTAGCTAGCGCTTTACTTCCTACCTAGTAAGGCGCTGCATGGTTCGGCTGGGGCCGCCCGCATGACAAACATGTATGCTACGACCATTGGATCGGGGTTACTTAGGAGCCGCCGTTATTGTCATGATGAGGAGCCTGTCTATTCTTACTCTGCCATTGAGGTTATTTTGGCTGTGTGAAAGTGCCTGCGAAACTAACTCCACCGGTGCCAAGACGTGGCCGGCAGGCGTATTTATTCTCGCTACGACTTGTACGGAGTACTCTATTGCTAGTTGGATACGATGGGTAGCGCACTCTTCATCTCTTCAAGGGCCGTTCGAACCGCGATTTCGTACTTTGAGGCTTGACAAGTCGGCTTCAAGGAGGAACTAGAACATGCTTCCTGCCAGGCTTGCGGCAATAACAGCCGCTCTTTCAACGCGTATATCGTGTCAAGGGGCCTATGAGTGTCGCACCAGGATCCCACGCTGGAGGTTCTCCTCCGCGCTCCCCTCGTCGAAGCACTGTTGCCGGAATGAGTATCAATGGAACTCTTCGTCACGCTCGTCTTTGGAGATGCCAACAGGGGGGCTGAGGTATGTCTAGGGCGAGGGCGGCGGTATCTTGATATCAAGTAGAAAGCTGTACTTTGAGGTGGCAGGATCCAAGAGGCAACGTACAGCTTGCTCCTGCGGCGGATCCTCTTTGATGAGCGAGGAACCTCTGCGCTAAGCAGGATGGCCGGCTTGCGGGCTGCTGTTGCTTGGCGTCCATGTCGAAGACGAACTCATCCAAGGTATGGCATATCAATCGCTGCTCTATACTCTCTACTGGTCCTTGGTGTATTCGGTCATGAATACTTGCGGTCTGCCCACCTAGAACATAGTGGAAAGGCGTATTTGCGAGTTCGCTCAAGACAGCCTCCCTGCCGAGAAACAGCATCTGCCCATGGATAGCCCTCGACCTAAGGTAGCAAGACTAGCCCGACGTCAATGAGAAACGAAGAGCTGGAGTTAGACGAGCCCGGAGAGCTTTCAGACAATTCACCGTCTTCTACCATGATACTTAAACTTAAACCCATTATCGTGTTATCCGGCACGTCAGGAAGTCGGCTTTAATGCTTAACTCACCATAAGAGCCCTGTAGCTCTGCCCCGCAGCATCTTTGGGAGAATTGGATTTCCAATTTCATCAAGTACCTACGGAAAAGGTGATTTAAACACATCCCTTTGAAAGCACCTCCCTACATAGCGGGAGGGGAGATTCCAAAGGACACTGGGATACCACACACAGAATGGAAGCAGCTTTGTAGATATTTCGTGTCGAACATGACTGATTCGCCGCTGGTACTATATAGTCCGACCTTTCGTCCTCCCTTCAGAATTCCAAACATCCGCTCGCCACTTCTGATACTTTACTGGGCGTACACTAGCCGTCTCATACTCGTCTATCTTAAATACGACTTCCCAGCCTGTCGCGTTATCCTGAGGGTCAGTAAGCCTCCTCGACGTAAATTTCAATACTGCAGACCGATTTGGCCTTCCCAAGTTGAGTACAATCTTATTGGACGTGGGCAAGCCTATTTGCGTGAGAAGTTCGTCAAAGCCGAAACAATCTGGCTCTTCGGTGTTCAAGACAGATTTGATGTGGTCCACCTTGGACTGGAATCCGCCGTATCTCTCAAGGAGGGCTCCCTTGATTCCCTGAGTAACTGGGTGAACCGTGTGAGGATCAAAGGTGAAGACGATGTCCGTCCTGCGACCTGCCTCAGGGCTCAGTGGGTGGTCTGTAGGTTGAACAGCGTGGTAAACATGGAAGAGTATCGACCCGCAAAGACGCGTGGGGTATGCTACGAATTCATGTCCCTCATCATGCCATTTCGACCATGGCCAGGCTTCTGCTACCTTCATATTTTTAGGGCAACGGAACCTTATTCTGACTAGGTCCCATGAGCCTTGGGTGAATAGCCGAATCGGATAGCTCGAGACATTGACGAGCATGCTAAACTCCCGGCGGTGGAGCCTGTCTGTGTGGAAGTTGTGACTCGAGACACATTGGTCGAGGTTCTCCCGCACAAATGAGCCGCCTGCAACTTTGACGAGACGGATAGCAACTTTTTCCTGGCTTTCCTGGCCACGATAGCCGCAAAGCACGTGGTAGCGGCGGCCGCCGGTCTCAGGTACTTCCTCCCAGATGAGCTCGGTGTAGACTTTGATACAATTTTTCATGACCTGAAGCGTCGGCCTCTTGATAGGCGGCGGGTAGATCTTTGTTCGATGACGGTGAACGGCAAAGTCGTCTGCGGATTCAGCAAGCACACCGCCAAGGATCCGCTCGCCGTCACGGAAGGACTGGTGTGGTGGTGGTCTGTGGAGGGCCCTCTCCCACGCAAAGATCGTCACATCGTCACTCTCGCGCAGTATCTCCTTGTGAAGCCTTTGAAATGCCTTATCCTCTTCACCGTAGAAGAGAGGCATATTGATGCCGAAGATGCCCATGAGACAATAGGTGGCATCCTCGACACGGGTGGTCTCCCGCCCCGCGGCCCAGGACATTTTTTCGGCGACGCAGGTGTGCGCCAATGCGCCCTCGTCGCCGCGGAGGACGTCAACGGCGATAGCTGTGACAGCGTGGAGTTGGTCGATGAGGCCACTTTTGCGGCCGACGGAATTCCAGTCTCGGTCGTAGAACTCGACTTCCTTGGGCGCGATGAGTTCTTGGAGGGTCCAACCCCGCGTAAACCAGCGACATTTGTCAAAGTTTCTGCTGCCATCGATATCGCTGTCGAAGTCGGCGTAGATCTCAAGGTCAGATAACCAGGCATAACAGATAGCCGCGCGCTGGTACCATTTGAACATTGAGTTGATGGCCTCGGTGAGCTCCGCACTGCTCGACTTATCGATACAGCATGTGTCAATCCAGGCGTACGGGATCCTTCCCTGGTTAGCTAGTTCGCAGGTGCTTAGGATTTTGACGAAGCCGGCCTTGCTAGTGGTATCGCTCCAAGTCGAGTATGTTGGATTCCTCATGTCCTGGAAGGACACTTCATCATCTCCCCATGTGTGAGAGAGGATCGCGTAGGGAGGTATTTGACTTCCGTTAAACTCTTCGAGCTGGCGCGACCACGTATTGATGAGCCACATTTGAAGGCGTGCATGAGGGTTAATGATATTGATGGGGTGGAAGATGTGGTGGAGTTGAAATCACAACGAACGGCATCAACCTGACATACGTGGAGGTGATGTAAGGTACCTTACTACCAACTGTGCCTTCCATCTCACGCTGCGACAATTGCAATTGGGCAGTCACGTCCAACACAGCCCGAGGGGAGCAGGAAAGCGCTTATCAGAATCCGACCCTCTTTCGTGCATGACATCTCACTCACAATGACACCCTGAACTCTTGCCAAGGACGATTAAAGCGTCAATCATCGCAGTATGCCACTCCAATTAAATGTAATTATGTGAGAAACAAGATGATTCTTCTTCTCGAGTATATTGTCTGCTCACCAGAGCTCCAAAGAATGAAAATTGTTGTGAGACACTACGTCGCCTCTACTTACAGGTACGCAACAGCCAGGCAGCCGAAGAACCCCATCATAGCAAACTTGAGTGAGACACCAAAGCTCCTCGAACTGGCCCCGGCCGGGGTGAAATTGGCAGTTGGCTTGACTCCGTCAATAAAGGGGGCATTGGCAGCCTGGACTGCTCCGGGAAAGGCAGCTATTGAGGTTCCCGGGCTCAACTTGGGCGACGCTGGGTTGAGGACACTGTCATATGTTAGTAAACCTGAAATGTTGTGAGCTGGAAACAGAACGATAAGACGCTTACCTATCAATGACGTGCATAACACCGTCGCTGGTAATGATGTCCTTGATGGTAACCTTGGCAGAGTTGGCAAAGACTGTAGTATCCTCCTTCCGCAGCGAAACCTTCTCGCCCATCAAACTCTTGTATCCCATCTTGGTCGCCACGCCCGTTGTGAAACGAATCTGGTTCATGAGAACATGGTACTGTAGAATCCTAGAAAGGTCCGCAGGCTCCATCGACGCAACCGTAGCCCCAACAGCCTGGAACGCAGCGTTCGTCGGCGCAAAGATAGTCGCAGCCTGCAAAGAGTTGACACCATCGACCAGCCCAGCCTTGGTCAGCGCGCCCGCCATGCTCGTGAGACCCGTATTCATAGCCGTGTCGGCAGGAGATCCGGGTAACGTCAAGACGGTGTCGATGATGTGCAGTACGCCGTTCTGGAAAGCGACGTCGGCCTTTGTGATGACGCTCATCTGCTTGTATCCGCTGAATACCCTGCCCTGGTCACCCTTCCTGATGAGTTCGACTTTCTGGTTGCCCGTGACGTTGGCAGTGGGCATCTCGAGGAGAGTCTGGGCGAATTTGGGCTGTTCGTAGAACATGGTGGCCGTGGTCTTGCCGCTGACGACGTGGTAGCTTAGGAGGTCGGCGAGGAAGGTTGCGTTGGTCGCCTTTTGGGCAAACGTGGGGTCCGCCTGCATCATCTTCGCGAAGGCATCGTTGGATGGAGCGAGGATGGTGACGTCCTTGGCTTTGACAAGGGTCTGGTTGAGGGCTGGTACCATCGTCAGGAGTGCTGCTTGGTGTTAGTGGTTCCGCTCTATTATCCATACAGAGCCTATCCTATGGAAGATCATACAGGTCAGAGTACTCAAGGTATCATTATTGGTCTTGAGCACATCGGTGAGAGGTGGAGCCGCTGCCGCCAGTGCAGCAAAGGCGAGCGTGAGGAAGCTCGTCGGCTGCATTGTGCGGGAGCGGGCGAAGAGAAACGGGAAGCCAGCCCGGTGGTGGTGTTGAAGAAAAGAAAGGAAAGTTGAAGACTTGGATTTTAGGTTCGAACCAGGACGACAATCCACGGGAACGAGCCGTCTAGTAATACTTATACTGACAAGTCTCAACCCAACCTTCCGGGTCCGAGAGGCGGGGGAGGCATGTCTTGACACTTTTTCCCAAGGTCAGACGGTTCATAACCACATAGGATAATACTTTCGGCCTGCCATCTACAGCACTGCAATGCGACTACCAAAATAAGCACCGGAGGTGGGTCTCTTATGGACCCGGCCATGTTTTGTGTCCTGATGCAACTTCATCTTTCTTTGCTACGCTCGTAACGACCCGTTATCTGTGCAGGACGCGTGGATCCTTTGGTCGTGGGAGGACCCGCGGGAAGCAGGCTTGACACTTGTCTCCCGGCGCGCGGCCGTCCCGAAGCATAGCGGACCCATCAGCCTTACTACATACCTTTTCACGATAGCAGGGAAACGTGGAAGAGGAGATACAGAGGCTCTTGCGCCGGGAGAGAAGGGGGGCCAAAACGTAGTGGGCGAATCAGAAGATGTTTGAACACATCCTGACCATCCATTTTTCCCTTCTACGGTGCGTGCTGTGTAAAGGTTGACGGGAAGTGGTGGTGGACTCTGTTGCTCTCATTCGTTCTAGGATAGCGGTGCGGCGGTAAGGAAAGGTGCTGTGCGGGAGATCGACGAGTAGAAGCGGCGGGATGACGGTGAAACATGCCTCAGAGCAACAGGCGGAAACGCATCCATGCGCAGTGGGGGCCCTTCTCAGACGGAGGCAGGGAAAGTTATTTTCAGGAAGGGCGAGGCGTGCTATCGGTAGAGCCGCATCTTCGAGAAGGCTACCATAGAAACTGAAAGAGATTAGGTTGAGCTGCACTGACTTATTAGAGATCATCATAAAGGTAGTGCCAAGTCACATCGGCGACATTGGCAGAGACCACGGAGTCTGTTTGTGTAAACTTGGAGAAGAGGAACTTCATGATCTAAACCTGCAAAGACTGGAACCACTTGCAATGGAACCTAGCGGGAGAGACCGGAACGAGTCGAGATGCTTGAGATGCTTGAGACAAGCACTGACAGGTTCCAAAATGGAAAAGGATGCTGGGGGTTGAAGTTATTCGCGGATCGAAGCCCCGGGTGGAGATGGCCGGAGTGGGCCCGGTCGGGCGGTCCCTGGTGCAAAAAGACAGTGGACCGTGCTGCCTTACCTAAGGCAAAAGATCCAGGGATGACTCAGCTAAATTTGGTGCAATTCCCAGAAACTCACTCCCTGACAGACATGCATCGCATCGCACCGCGCCGCACCGCCTGCAAGTATTTTGTCTTGGATTCCACACTCCCGCGGACAACCAAGCCTGCATCCGCGGTCGCCTTGCCCGTTTTGCTGTAGCACAATGCACCGCAGCAATCTCGCCTATTGCTCACCGTGGTAGAGGTATGCTGGACTTCGGTTGACCGAGCGCACGGCTATCACGGCAGCGTCGGTAACTCTTTCGACAAAGCTTAAACACGTTCCGTGGCTCTCAGCAAGGATCGACCTTCCGCACGCAGGACGCTGGCTGTCGCCTCGAGTTGGAGGCTTGTTTGGTTTTGGCCCTTTCCTGCGCTGAACGTTGGTCTCCAGCCACGGCCGATGTCGAGACCATGACCGCCACTAGTCGCTTGATGAATGGCGTGTTCGTACGGAAAGTAATAAGGTACTGATTGACAAGGCGAGTTCTCAGCTTGATGAAATGAACTGCTATATTTGGTGGTTCCTATACGCGGACGGCAGAAGGGGCTTCTTACTAAGGGCTACCTGCATAGTTGACTCCGAACGACATCCAAAGTTCCAACATCTAGTCGGTGATAGGCACGGAGAATACCGGAGAATACCGGAGGGAAATTGCGGGTTTCCTTGGCTTTTCAAACATATTGCCTTGCTCTGGCGGTCTATTTACAGATCTTGAATACTCACTCCTCGGGAAGCAAAGGTGGTGTTGCGATAGCCGCCGACCTTTCTTAACTTTCTCCCACAACAACTCTTCTCGATTCATCGTGAGGCCTCACTGTCCTCCATCGCAACTCGAAATCTGTTGAGCGATTGGACTAGTTTGCCAATTCACGTCGCATCCCCACGGGGTTTCTGGCTTCGCTCGCGTTTCCACCTAGCCCAGCCGTCGTATCGCAACCCACTCGAAACCAACCAAGACCTTGGCTGCTTTCTGGTGACCAAGTCACTATATATACTCATTTTCGACAAAGCTGCAGATTCGGCAGTGAAGATTCCGGGCCATCGGGGCACGTTATCACCAAGATCGACCGAGCAGGATTCCTTCAGAGTTTCCATGAACGGCAAGACCTTCAAACGGGATGCCCGTCGCGTCGGATCTAGAAACCATCACGTGACGGTTTCTCAACTCTTGTGAATAGGCCGCCCCGAGATCCAAGTGAGCCCAGGATCACATCACTATGCCTTGCCCAACAAACAATGAACAACGCATCGCCCCCTCTCTGCTATGAAACGCCTTTTCTCTAGCCACAGTATCCGCTGCTTGGATCCTTGTCATTCAAGGTAAGCTCGTTTAATCAGCCATGATCCATCGCCTTCAATGCTAGGAACAAAAGTCCAATTGCTGGGCCAGTGCCACAATCCATGGCACTGCGCCACACCCTCAATATCTGAAAACACGTCATCCGCCCCCTTCCTCGCCCACGCCGCAGCTCGTGTTGCGCGTTCCCTTCCAGGCCGTTGAAAGACTGGAAAGTGTGTTCGCCTTCTTCATGGGGAGGCGCAATATTAAGGTTCAGAGACAGATCAGTGATGCGCGCCTATCTTGTCAAAAGTGATCCAAAGAACCTTCTTTCTTTTTCACTTCATGCTTGTGAACCTCTAAGAATTCTCGAAAACTTGGAAGATCTTCTTTGAAACACGTTGCATCTGCATCGCCAAGAGAACATCGTCTTCACCAAGATGGACACCACGCAGGAATGGGAGCGTCACACGACGAGCTCCATTGCGGAGCAAGAGCTCTTCTTTGGCTCATCGCCATCAGGCCAAGGCCAGCCTCAGTCTGGGCGGCAGCAGCAGCAGCAGCAGCAGCAATATCAGCCTCGATGGCACGATGACGCCCAAGACGACTCACCCGTCGAACCAAGGAGCGGGGTTCCGGCTGTGAATGTGATTCCGGCTACGCCCTCTACCCTTCGTTCAAACAGTGTGCGCTCAAATCTCTCTTGGCGGGATAGGGATGCCGAGAGGCAGGCGGCGGCGGCCGGCGCGCTTCCGGAAGTTGAGGAGGAAGATAACATTTACGATCCGCCGAGCACTCATAGACCGGCAACACCGCCCACCCAGTCCAAGGTTTCGGCTCACCACACGGCGTCAACTTTTGACTCGCCGACTCAGACGAAGGTGGATGAGGATTATAATGTATCGCCTATGACCGAGCCTGCTATTTCACACAACGACACGGGATTCTCTCATGCAGAATCAGTTGACAATGCAGACGCCGAACGGTACTACGATGCGTCATACTCTCCTCAAAACGAGCACCCTTCTTCATTTGATAAAGGGAAAGTCGTTGAGACGCACCCGGAGCCCGCGGTGCTTTATCACAACACCGAGCACTCAAACACCAATGAGCGCCGTTCATCGATCGATAAGGGCAAAGCCGCAGAGGCGTACCCGGACTATGAAGAACAGCCGCCCGCACCGAATCCCAGGCCAGTATCAGAAGTTCCCGACTTTTACGCTCAAGAACATGGTGGTTACGGTAGAGATCATGCGGTCCAGGAACAAGAAGACCGCGACTATGCAATGGCCTTAGCACTTCAGGAAGAGGAAGAAGGTCAATCAACACCCCTTCCACAACGACACACCCAACCAGCATGGAACAGCAACGGACCCCTCTCCTCCAATCCCTTCTCATCACCCGAAGACCAGGACCGCGCCCTCGCTGAGCGTCTCCAAGAAGAAGAAGAAAACGGGCCCCCGCCCCCCTTACCAGCCCGCCCTCACCCCAAAGCCGTGGCAGAACTCCTCTCTCAGAGTCAGGAACCTCCTCCATTCTCAAGAACGCCCTCCATAGAAGGCATCATGCCGCCTCCAAAGCGCCAAGGCTCCGACTTTGGCAACGACGACCCTTCAAACCCGATTCACTACAGCCGAGACCCCCACAAGCTCATCACCTACCTCGTTCCCTTCCCTAAGCCCTGGCTGGGCTCCAAGGCGCCGTCCGACGCCATCCCCACCCGCTTCCTCATCTACACACCCCCGCCTCCGCCTCTCCAGGCGCCGCCTGAGGGCGTAAAGGAGGGCGTCACTCACAAGGTGCAGCGGAAGTGGCAGACTGAGGTCAGACAGGCCAAGATGAGCGACGCAAAGACGACCAGCTGGGCGGGATTCAAAGCCAAGTGTACGCGCGGGGTGGATAAGGCTATGCAGTATACCACCACGAGTAACTTGGATTACCTAGCTCGTGTTACGCCTCCGGCGAAGCCACCCTCAGCGATATCACGCAAGCTTTCGCTAAAGGGGAGAATGAAGAAGGATAAGAAGGACAAGAGCGCTTCGGGAGATGAGAAGGACGGCAAGAAGAGCCTTGAGGAGAAGAAGCGTGAGAGTTCCGACATCAAGGGGGACGACGCGGAAAAGCCCCTCCACGATGACGAGAAGAAGCCCTCCGAGGACAAGGATATCGATGAGAGAGCGAGGGATGAGAAATTGACCGAGGAGAAGGGCGACAGGGAGGAAGAGGATTACTTTAAGTCGGAGCAAGTCAACAAGGACGAGCAAGACGAGCTCATGGAGGATGACCCGGCTCACACGTCTCATGAGACCAAGAAGACGGTCGGCGTTGAGGAGATTGTCATTGTGTACTCACCCTCGATGAATATGACCCCCGAGGCCATGAGGGAGGAATTCGTCAACTCGATGATGCGAACAAAGTCCAAGGCACAGCGCGACGCCGTCATCGCGACTGGTCTGCTTCCTGTTTCGCTGGCCATTGACTTGGTTATGATTGCCGTCTCTGGGCTCTTTGAGGTCAACGGTAAGTCTTCTTCGCTCAGAATCCAGCCTTTCCGCTTACTGACTCTCTCATAGCTGTATGGGCATACTTCACGATCAAGGGCTCCAAGACGGCGCGCTCTGTCACCAAGCGTATTACTTCCTCCTCCAAGAAACCCGAGTTCATCGACCCCGAAAAGTCAGAGGCCGAGTTGGCCAAGGAGGACAAGCTCCATCTCAGTTTCAAGCCGGCTAATCGCATCGACGTCTTGACGCGATACCTGGAGGCCGAGTGTCACCGCGTCGATTCGAGATTATTTCCCCGATACACCTCTGCACCCACAGAAGTGTAAGTTCTTGTCCCTAACTCACCCATCTCAGTCTATCGGTCAAAGTAATGCTAACTCATGAATCCAGGGAATGCCTAGAGGCGATCGGCTGGTCTCCCGCCCTTACACGCGGTCAGAAGAACTGGGAAGATGAAGCGTGGGAGGTGAACGATGTCAAGGAGGATTTGAGGGTCGTGATGCACAAGGCGGCGAAGGAGTGGCGGAAGTGGTGCAATCGGTATGAGAAGAACCCGGAGAAGAGCTTGACCAAGTGAGAGAGCATGCTTTTGATTTAGAAGCGCTGCATGATTTGGAGCAAATACACGACATTCATTGTCTCTTCTGAGCTGGAGGTTTCATGTTTCCTCTAGTTCGAGATTATCCACATCTTGACTGCCCCCACCACTCCGTCCTGGAGACAGGCCTCGCCCTGCCATGACTTCGTGAGATTGACCCACAGTGAAATTTTCATGTGAACCCCATCGTGCCCTCACGGCTCCGCTTCCCAGCCTGCGAGCTAAGAGTCCCATCTCGAGACGATCTAGCATCAAATAATCCGATATGGTGTAGTGGCCAACATGATGCCCTCTCATCTCCGTGAGAGGTTAGGCATAGCCCCGAGTTCGATTCTCGGTTTCGGAAATTGAACTTCATCTTTTGCTTTTTGACCTATTTTACATAGATAGAATACTACCTAGAAGATCTTACTTGACCTTGCTTCCTCCCTTTGTGTCAATTCATGCATTTCTCCGTACAAAGCCGAGGATTCTCCAGTCTCATAAGGCTGACCAACTTCAATCCTCGTTCAAAAGTGGAACTGCGTTCCCTTCTGCCATTCATCCATATCGTTATGCCAAAGTAGCCTCGATACCCAGCTAGCTAATGCCAAATCTCAACTCAAAATCAGTGCTCGACCACAGTTTCCAGAGCGCTCCTCAGAGCCGACTCGTTGCGAGGGGTGAATGTGACCTTGTAGGAGCCTGGCGTGATAATCAGGTTGGTCAAATCAGCAGCGCCGGTGATGGGATCAGTGTCAATCTTGTCCGTCGATGACAGCTCAAAGCTGGCCAACATGCGGAGGAAAGTGATGTACAGTTCGCGGTTGGCCAGCATGGTTCCGGCACACATGCGGTAGCCCATGCCGTAGGTGAACATGGGTGCTTCGGGGTTCTCCAGCCAGCGCTCGGGGCGGAAGACCTCGGGGTCGTGCCAGAGGTCGCCATCTGGGGAAAAGTCAGCAAAACATTTCAGGAATCATTCGGTTTCGAGTAGAGAGTATAGACTGACCCATGTTGCAAGCCCAAGAGTTCAGGAAGACTACGGTGCCCTTTGGTACCAGCTTACCCTCGTACATGAACTCCTTGTTCGTGGCACGAGGCAGTGAGAGGCGAAGGACAGTGAAGAATCTGAGTAAGAAAGTCAGTCAACGTCGCAGATTGTCAAGAATGCCACATCTAAGTCGTACCTCAAGCATTCGCGTACCAACGCGCGGAGGTAAGGAATAGTCTGGTCATCATGCGCATCACACAACGGGTTTCCCTCGTCGTAAGTCTCCCTAATCGCCTCGAACGCCTTCTGCTGAATCTCGGGGTGCGTCGCCAAGAACCCAATGCCCCACGTCGATACTGCAGTAAACGTCTCGAAGCCGGCAGAAAGCATCGTGAGACTGATCGATGTCAACTCGACCTTATTCAGCTTAGCCTCCTCATCGAGCATAACGTTGGCCTGAATACAAGGCTCGTGCGTTCCGGTGCGAATCTTCTCCTCGAGGTCGCCGTTGAGCTTCGACAGGTACTTGTCGCGGCGGATTCTCATCTCTACGGCGTGGCGCTTTCCTGCCGAGAAGGGATTGTAGCGGAGGAGGGGGATGTAGTCCTGCATGTTGTCCGTGACGCTCCTCGTGCGGGTGATCTCGCCCTCGACAGTCGTAATTTCCTTGAAGAGACCATCGTCGTGGCTGGGGAATCGCATGCCCCAGTTCAGTGTGACTGCCAGCGACAAGCTGAGTCTCTGGACCAGGGGTAAGGGGTCGACGGTGACTTTGCCTGCTTTGCCGTAGTTGAGAGCATCTTTGAGGAAGTCTCTTGTCTCGAGATCCAGGTGGGGGATGTAAGCCTCAATAGACGGGCGGTTGAGGGCGGATGCTGCGCCCTTTCTTCTCCTCTTGAGAGACTCATTGTAGGGAGATGTGCCAATGGTGGTGCCAGCAGTGTTGGCAACAATCTAGAGTATGAATGTTAGAGATCCCATCTTCAATGCGCTTTTACAGTGATGCAAACCTTGTGGAAAGTGTAGAGCTCGGGCCGTGAAGCAGTCGCTTGCGAGTTGTTTCCGAACATGACCTTGGCCGCAGCGGCAGTGTTCACAACCAAGACCGGGAGGTTGCCCAGCTGGACCTGATAAACGGCACCAAACTCCTTTGCCCAATCCTTGTACACCTGCGAGGCATTACCGCCGAGCTGGTGCAGGTTTCCTATGACGGGGAGTCCCTTTGGGCCATGCCAAGCGGATAGACGAGCTTTCGATCTGACGACTTCGTTGGCGATGAAGTACACTAACACCGCCACGCCGAGGAATTTGGCGAGAAACTCGGTTGGTCGGTGAGTTGCCTCGTTGACGAGGCCTTGTACGAGTTCTGCGACGAGCATGATGGGCAGACTGCTATTGGTGAGTGGGATCGTTGACTTCGTTGGTATTGATGACAACGACAGACTAGATGAGCAAAATCATTTATAATGTAAGATAACTCATTGGGCGGAAATCTCACAGTAGATTTCACAGTTCCCCGCGATTTGTCTTGTTCTTGGCCTGGGCCAAATCGCGGGGTCCCGAGAACACTGTTTGGCTTCGGAATGGCAGTTCCAAATTCCGCCCCCGCGTCCCGGCGTTGCACGGAGGCCGCACAGGTCACACTATGACGTGGGATTGGACGGAGTAAGGTAGTTCGGGATGGAAAGAGGTAGGCATTGGTCGGAATCGTTTTCTGTAGTTATTTCGTTTTCATGCCTTCCACAGAATGAGCAAGCTGTAAGGCGAGGAACTCGGTGAGAACTGGTCGTGAGTGAGCCTGGATCCTGAATGTTCATCGCCGGCTTCAGACTCTCAGGCCGACTCGCATGTCATAAAAGTTCATCAATTATTAGAAATGCATGCCTGTCGGAACGGCAAGGCTGATAAGGAGCAATGGGCAGGTATCGTGGGCTGACTGACGCCTGCCCTGGGCGAAGTGGGACAACCGGCTTAGTCATCACGGCCGGTTAAGGTGGGGCAACCACCCAGGCCGTCCCCACCTACTTCGATCGGCCCCTGCCCACAATGTAAATAGGAAGAACAAGAACAGCAATTATCACGGACATCGACGTGATTTTTGCCGAAGATACACCCTCATGAGGAAATGTATCACGCCTGTGATACCAACAATGCCATTTGCTTCAGTTGTTGCAGTAGCCTTGTTGTCAATCAGTTATTGCCAACATCATACAAATCATTAATAGTATGGAGGTCAAGCGTGGCAAACTTCAAAGGAGTCGACGAATACACTAGCGTTCACTGAATTCTGATTCATAAGCATGGCGAAAGGTTGCATGGCTTGTAATACATCAGGTCATTTCATAGCATATCTACAAATAAATGAGACACATCCATGGAGGCGTTCATATCATCCACGAGGAACGAATCCTCAGGACCTCGCTCTGGATCAAGGCCGTCACCGTCAGTACCCAGAACAGGTAAAGGAATCCCAAAATCTCCCCCGCCATCTATCGAGTTGAAAAAGCCGTTCAGCTCCTGCGCCATCTGGGCCTCGGTGAAAGGCTCAACCGAGCCTGCTGGCCATGTGCCAAGCTCTGGGCCGCGCAGACCATCATCGACAGCTGTCGGCACGCTTCCAGGTGGCATGTCCATACCTCCTGATGAGGTAGGTGGTGTGACTAGCGCGTGGCCTTGCTGCGTACTAGGCCCTCTGGCTTCCCTCGACTGAGGGGCGTTCAATCCGAGCTTTCGCCAAGCGAGCCGTAGGTCGCTTATTCTCCTCCACAGCCGGCTCGAGACATACGATCGGGCACTTAGACCCCTGATCAAGTCCAATGCGGTATGAAACTCATCACGGACTGAAGCACCGTGTTCCATTGGAGACAGGGTTACAACTAGGAAGATGACTCCCAGAGCTGAGACGAGGAAGTGGTTGAAACACATTTGTTGATTCTGGTAGATATCTGTTGATTTGTTGAGAGAGTCAAGCATCTGGATGGTGTCCTTGGCCAGGATGACGAGTGACTGGACCTTGGACTTGTTGGACTTGAGACTGGATGTGGAGTGGAGGAATGGTTGAAGCAGAAGGATCTTCATCTGGTTGGCTCGCAGGTGAAGCAGAACCTGCAGCCGTTGAAGACCTCTAGACGTTGTAGAGTTCGTATTGGGACTCACCGTCTGCTCATTTGAGGAAAGCCTCAAATCTTCCGGGAGGTCTTCATACCACTGATCTATGCGGTACAGCAGGTAGGAGATTTCGTCGTCTCGGATGGCGCCCGTTGCTCTTGCCGAGTTGTACGATGTCGCCCAAACCTTGTCGCCAATTCGGCTGTACTCAACCATGGCTCTGAGATACGGCACATTTTGGTCCTGTAATTGAAGAGGTCAATCCTTGTCTCTCTCACACTCGTATCTGAACATGATAACTCACGGGTTCCGGCAATTGCTGGTCAACATCGAAGTTATGCATCACGAAGGGTAATCCTGCGCCAAAGCCCCACCTTCTGTCCAACGTGTAGACACACCAGAATAGCCGCATGGCCATCTTACGTTTTCCAGCATCCTTGAAAGTTTTGCTGATGGTTGCTGATTGATGGAGACCCATTTCTAAACACCATCGGGCAACAATGCCGACAAGTCTCCAGGCTTGCAAATCGTCGCCAGTCATGAAGCTGTAAACCGCCTGGAAGGCCTGTGTTAGCAGGCTTGAACACGCTGACCTAGTTTTAGGTGACACCTACGAGAAAAATGTAGAGCATAGTCGACTTAATGCTCGCCGATTCCCATAGCTTGTCATGTGATGACTTCCTCACATCGAGGAATAGGGACCTGCCAAGCTGACTTGAGCCTCCCGCTTCTACGGTCAGGGCTGTGGATAGCACCATCTTGACCAAGCTCAGATCCTGAGGATCAATGATTGTCGGTCCTGGAATTGCAGCAAAGGCGAATCCAAGACGAGAACCGCTGTTCATAGCATGGTAAAGGCTTCGAACTCGTTCGATAAGCCACTCAATGTCGAGAAACGGGTACTGGATCCCAATCTCTTCTTCATACACATTACACAGCCTTACAGCTTCCTCTTCGTTAATTAGCCACAAAGGATCTATTGACCCGACGTCTAACCCAAGGGCTGTTTGAATGGATGGTGAAGGTGGGCGAGTTGGATTGGCAGATCCAGGCATCCCGCCGGATTCGTGATCGGCGGTGCCGATACCGCGTGCCCGTAGATGTGTTCTTGCGAGACTGATGTTGAAGGTGTAACTGGCTGATGGTTGAGGCTCGTCTTGGCTAGTGGATGATTCAATGTCCACGACAATGGGGTCAGGTTGAAGTTCTGAGTCCACTACTGGGTCATCCGGATTGCGCAATGGGACCTGGAGATCTTGGATCACTATTGGTGCAACCTCAGAGTGTAGAGGACTTGAATGGTTTTCCGATGGCTGCTGAGACTGATGCCGACGTAACTGGTCCAGACCTCCTTGTAGGGAAGCGACTTGATCCCTTAGAGACTGAATAGCCTGTGAATCGGTATCACTAATAAGTTAGTCAATAACATAAAGGACCGTGTCCATCTCGAGCTTTGGACTTACGCGCTATTTCCTCGGTCTTTGCGTGGTTTCTTCGAGGCCGGGTATGCACCTGAGGCTATTAGTCTTCCTCGCTCTGCTTCGGCATTGTGTGGAATCGATTAACCCACAAGTCAATGCTTGACGAGCGCAACGGAAACAAGGGCTCTTGCCATTGCACTTGCTCTTTCTTTTTCGGCACTCAAAGCTGCAAGGTTTTCGAAACGTAATCATTACCAACGTCTGCTTACACCGGAATCCCGAATATGGGTCTTCTTACCAGGCCTTGGAAATGTATTTCCCTCGAGTGGTCCGGGTCTTTGGAACACTCGGAATTCCGCTCTTCTGAGAACCGGGGAATCCGGCTTGCGGGCCGTCGCCGCCGCCGACCGAGCTGGGAGATTCTGGAGACTCCATGTTCCAATCGAAAGTAAAAGTAATAGCACGTGATCTCCTTCCGCTCTCTTCTTTTCTTCGTCCTTTTTTCTGGGGCCTGCTTCTTTGGGCGAAGCAGTCGAATGATAATCGAACGATAAAAGAGGTCGAGGGAAAAGGGGCGGAATTTGAGAGGTAGGGTTTCCGGGGGGTTTTGAAGGATCTTGGCTGGACATTAACCCCCGCCACCCCGCAAACTTAAGCCGCTAGATCCCTGGGGTAAGGTGACATTCAGTGGGGATTGATCACTATCCGTCAAAGCCGGCGTCACACCCGAAATCCTTCCCGGCATGCGTTCACCATTTGACTAAGTGGTAGGCTATGATTGATCCCTCATTCTCCAGGTCTTATCCCACAGGGAGACACTGACTCAGAAATTGTAGTTTCTTTACTGGGTGGTTGTGTGGGACGGAGATAAGTGCAGGAACCCATATGACTCGGTTGCTAATCGGACTAAGCTTGGAAGGGATGGATAGTCCTGTGCTAAACAGTTGCGGAATGGCGGCGTCCGCAGGTTTCACCTCACTAAAACTCTTGCGACTTGAAAGCCGCAATATAGCTCTCATCGTACCTAGATATTCTTAAGATTTCGTTGAGCGCATTAGATACACGTGTAGCTTAATACTGGAATAATAATACATCCATAAAGAGACAAGTCTCGCGCTCAGGTTGGTCGATCCAATCACGAAGAACTGCCCATTCAAGTAAAGGCGTGAACAGCTTGTCATGGATATGTGTACACTTTCTGCAACGTCCTGTCAATGCCACATGAAATTCCCAAAGGGGGTTTCAAATATTACTCTCATCCAAATCGAGGAGATCTGATACTATGGGCAGGCGCGGATCGAAGGTTCTTCTTAACGATCGAATGCCATCGGTGTCCAAAATGCCTCTGTCAAGGTGGGATGGCGGGGTTCTCGGCGGAATTTCCGGTGGTTCCTAACGCGCAGAGCTAGGACGGAATTCGGAGAGACTTCCGCTGCAGCGCTGGCTGGTGTACTCCACTAAAGTTGTTTTCTTGTAAGGGCCGCCCTCGTGTAAAACATTGACAACGGCTGCTTTCCATCATGACGCAATGATATGGATCAATACCTGGCATTCGAATGTGTCTTACGAGGATCGGGCCTTGCGCTTACAATTCTGTTGCTTATAATCCTGTCGTAGGACATAGTTAAAATCGATACTGCCCGCAGTAACGGTTATGTCCGTTCCCAGATCGCAAAGGGCCCCCAAATGCAGACAGAGTTGGCCCAGGCAGCTAAATCTTCTTTCTTATCAAGTTTTATTTACTGAAGCAATCTAAATTAATCATGTCATGAAACAAAAGACTCTTTGTCAATTACCTTTTTACAGTATCTATCAGATTCCATGTACTGTATGGAGTCTTACCTTGTTCCGTCGGCTTCTTCGGTAACTTAGCAGAACAGTAAGTAGTAGCCGACTGTGAAAGGCGAAGTTCAAACGCCTTCTTAGAACACGCGACGAACTCATGCGAAGAATTTGGAGAGTAACTCCAAATGATCACCATATTGACGCGAAATAAGCAAGCCAAGATTGAATGGTTTACTGATGAGGCGTCGATAGATTTGTGCAAGAATGGGGTTGTAGTAGTGTATCATCTGAGCAACCTCAACTGTGAAAGAGGGCCCGAAGATAAGGTACAGTGAGGTGCCACGTATCTCAATACCGAAGTTACATAATAGTGGACGCCTAGGTCGACCATCTTCAACAGCGAAAAAAGACCGTCTGCATCTCGCACAAATTTCCAAAGGACTACACAAAACATCGAAAAGTCCACTGCTGCAATATGAGTTTCACCTGCGACTATTTTGTTGTGATTTGGAGAGTCCATTCAGTCGAGGATGTACATGTTGTATTATGACAGGAATATTTGCAGGCACCGTCGGTACTCAGAGGATGCTCAAGCTGTTCGAAAAGTACAACATCAAGACGGCGTGATTTATTCCTGGTCACAGCCTCGAAACGTTTCCAGATGATATGGCCGCTGTCAGAGATGCGGGACATGAGATTGGCCTGCATGGCTACTCACACTAGAACCCGACCGACATGACGATTGAGCAACAACGAGATGTACTAGACAAGACTTACAGGATGCTGACCGACTTCTGCGGCGGCAAACCACCAAGAGGAAGTGTCGCACCTTGGTATGACTGTACCCCATGCTTTGATCGAACATGCGGTCCCTGACTAGCATCTAGGTGGGAGACCAGTGCGGAAGGCGCTCGGCTTCTCCTCGATTACGGCATCGACTACGACCACAGCATGGCACATCACGACTGCCAGGCCTACTTCCTCAACACAGGTGAATCCTGGACCAAGATCGATTACTCTCAAAAGGCTGAGACCTGGATGAAACCCCTCGTTCGGGGCAAGGACACGGGACTAGTCGAAATCCCATCCAATTGGTACATCGACGACCTGCCCCCGATGATATTCATCAAGTCGGCACCTAACAGCCACGGTTTCGTCAATGCGCGCGACGTTGAAGATATCTGGCGTGATCACTTCGACTACTTTTATCGCGAGTACGACGAATTCATCTTCCCCACCTCATGTCATCCAGATGTCTCTGGGAGACCGCATGCTATCTTAATGCACGAAAGGTATGATATTTGTATTTTTTTGTTCTGCTTTACTGCTGATTGCTCGGGCGTGAAAGGTATGATATATATATGTCGCAAAAACGACGCCGTTAATTGCGGGCAGCAATTAACGCCATATATACCCTACGACAATATATCATTCGGCTTTGAAGAGAATTTGACGGCTTATCGATTACTGACGACTTCGTAGGCTGATTGAACACTTCAAGAGCCATGAAGGTGTTGAACTTGTGACGATGGCTGAGATGGCCGATGAGTTTAGACTCAAGAACACGCCGGCTCCAGGAGCGTTGATGCCCGCCGCACCTGGCTTGATGCTGCGGAAGTAGTGTTTCTTTAACTTATGTTGAGTCAACTTGATTCACATTCCGATCTTTCCTTCTCAATTTTATGTATTATGAAGCGGCTAGGCTGCTGCGAGTTCTGCAAGCTGGGTGCGTAGGAGTAATGTTGTAGGGATGTTTAAGGGTTGATAATGGGTACTGTGTATCATTTGGAATAACGATGCTGTCTTTTTCAATGGTTGAACATTGCGTTGAATTCGGTTGATCGGGGCAAAGCAAACCGAGCGCTTGTTCAGATATACGAGGGTCCTCCTCATTGCAAATCGTGGACACATCACTCCATTGATCTCTTTAGGCCAAATGTCCCAACCCACCTAAAACGCGGGTTAGACGTTTTTACTTTGCTTCTTTGCACTCTGTCATCAACGAGATCGTTTCGAAGCCAAGTACCTATCCTCAGAAAATGAGTCTTTCGACATCGTTTGCGGCGGACTCCGCATGGCCGCTGTGGGACACTGAACCCATTGACGGGGCATTCGAACTCGACCTTCCACAAGGAACTATCGATCAAGGAGTCGTCAAAGCAGTCTCAAGACCATGGGTGTTTGGCTACAAACCGACAACGAAGCCCAACGGGCGCGCGGTGCTCATTCTGGGTGGCGGCGGTTACATTGAGCTCATGGTGGGACGTGAAGGTGTCGCCGTCGCACGCTGGCTCGCTTCCCTTGGTTTCGAGGCCTTCGTACTTGTGCACCGATTCCCGACAGCCGAAACAGGGCCTCAAGCTCCAGTCGACGATGCCAGACAGGCGTTGCGTCTGATCGAAGAGAAGAAGGCGGCGCCGGCGGGTTTAGCATTGTGCGGCCTGTCCTCTGGCGGACACCTTGCGTCCGCGCTGTTGGCCGAGTACCCGGTATCGTGGGCGTCTTCTTCCGGGGCACCGGTGCCGAAACCGGAGTTTGCCATCATCGGATACGGACCTATCTCTACCAATGCTAAGGGGCATACCATCGTTCCCAACAAGGCGCCTCTCGACCCGCCGGCGAAACAGGAGCTTTACGACGTTGTCATCCCCGATCAGCAGATATCGCGCCCGGCCCCGCCGACTTTCATCGTGTATTCTGCTAGCGATCCCGTGGTGCCTGTAGTGAACGCATACCGGCTTGCGCAGGGGTTGCAAGCAGCGGATGGATCTATCGAGCTCCACGTTTTTGCTGACGCGCCCCACGGCTTTGCTTTGGACACGGAAGGATTGCCGGTTTCGAAATGGCCCTCTCTGGCTGAGGCGTGGTTACGGCAGAGAGGATATCTGGCATAATTGAGTGAGAGACAGTACAATACCAACCTCTAGAGTCTATTTAGACTGTTACCTCCTTATTGTATCGTGAAGTTTGCGGGAGATCAAACCGCGGTGAGACGAATATTTGATAAACTCAATGGGTGTGTACTGTAATTAGTGACCCCCGCCGCTAAACGAAGTTGCATCAGGCACCCAATAACACCCTAACCACCAGCCATCGAAGGATCATGCAGTCATCTTTAAGCGCCCGTTACGCGCCTACCAGTCGTGCCAGTTTGGAACTGGCACCAGAAAGAATAGGAGCTGAAGCCAGAGTGTCGGAAACTAATGCAAGGCTCCCGGGGCTTGCCCCTAGGTTGACACACATCTAACCAGGTTCTTTCGGTAGTGAGGCTTTATAGGCCCATGGTCATATTGAATTACCAGCCTTGGTTAGATTCCTGGCTCGGAGAAGCATGAGCTGCACTATTTATCTAGATAAGTCTCGACTTCGCCCGTCTATAACAGGCGATCGCAGAATTGTTGATGTCACTTGACGAAACCAGTCTTCGGCACTCTTGACGGTGCAATGTCTTTCCAGGATCGTCATTAAAGGAGAAACAACACCCTCAGAGAAAAGCCTTCCGCTTCCATTCATTTCATGGCAGGACCTGATCTTCCGCTGCTTTCAAGATGGCGCCGAGGTCGGAGTATTCGCAGTCTTCGACGAACACCCGCGGTCTTTTTGATGAGGATTTTACGGAGAACAACAAGAATGCTTTCGTTGTCGGAACACATCCACTTCTCCAACGGGACGTTGAGCTTGATAGCTTCCTAGGGAAGACATCCATCGGCAGCGAGGACAGAAGCGCAGAGGATACGTCCAATCACGCAGCAGCTTGGTGTCCAGCATGGCTTCGATCAGGGACATTGTTAGCTTTCACCGCTTTGTTTCTTCTCTTCGGCGTTTCCCTCCTTGCGATGTTTCAGTTCTCCCAGCAGAATAATGGTTTGGTCACCACACGGCAGAGCTTCGTTTATTTGTGGCGGTTTGGCCCAACTGCAAGTAAGTGAAACCAGTGAAGACTTTGTGTTCCGAAATGTTAATGTTCAATCTTCAAGTCCTCACTCTGTTGTCCATCTTTTGGTCTAGAGTTGAATTGCAGGCCATCCGATACATGCCTTGGATCGCTTACCGCGACAACCCATCGATCGGCAAGGATGGATGCTCCCTCGACTATACGGCCATGTTGTCGCCCTCGATTCTTTATCAATCCTTGCGGAGAAGACACTTTCTTGTCTTCATCATCGCTGTGGTGTCTCTTCTCATGAAGATCCAGATTATTCTTGCCCCTAGCTTATACAGCCTGGTCAGCTTCCAGGCTGAGCAGCCCGTCGAGGTTCGTGTGCTCAACTCATTCAACGTCAGCACTCCAGCGATGTCAAACAGAGAGACGAGTGCATACTACATTGCAAAGGCACTGCAGAATTTTGAAATGAAGCTACCATTTGGCGTCACCAAGAAGGGAGCTTATCAGACATTCTCGTTTCGTCAGGGCTCTGGACGAGGGACAGAAACAGAACCGATCACAGTTACTGTCGATGGGTACTTTGCAGAGATGCAATGCCTGAAGCTTAGGAACTACTCGCATACCGACCTCAAGGAAACAGGTCCTGCCAGAAGCTACTATGCTTTCAACGCCAGTCTTTTGTTCGATGGTTGTGATCAGCCAGTTCCAGTCACCACCGATCGAATGATGTGGATCAATTCCAGTCCTAATGAGACGACATTACAGAGCAGTTGGAACGTCAACAACCTACTTGATAAGCCAAAGCCCTGCTCAAATCTGCCGCAACAAAACAACCAATCTTTGTACTACGCAACTCGTATCGGGCCGTCAGCAGAGAACACATCAAATCCCGCTGTTCTCAATTTCGCGGCGACTTTGTGCTCCTCAACGGCCTGGGTAACCCCAGTGGAGATAGTCGACGACGGTGTGAGCCCGAATATGACGGCAATACCGGGCGGATCCAGAACAACAGTCAACGCGGATCTGTGGTCCATGCTGGGGAGGTCCATCCCCGAAACAGCTGGTCTTTGGGGCGGCTCGGGGACCGGTATGATTTTTGGACCGATCATTACAGGTTTCCAGTTCAACGGAAAGGGAACGAACAATGACACTGACCCATCACTGTTCACCAATGATGTTCTTTATGACGCGGTCATGAACACAAGCAGCATCTTGGCCCCTTTGATTGGCCACTACCGTCTACGAGAAGAAGGTGTTTCCCAAACGACTGGGAAAACAATCGTCACCATCGAAAGACTGGTCATCAACCAGTGGGTTTCACTGTTGATGACAGCGCTGTTCTTCCTACTTGCTACCCTGACCTTGGTCGTCCTACTTCGCTACAGGAACAGGATGTCAGTATGGTATAGGGATCCCGCTACAATTCTCGGCAACATGCTTTTTTTCCGAGATAACATGGGTCTGTCGAACAATAGCATGGACTCTCAGTTGCGTAACTTTGATAACGAATGGAGCTCTTGCGAGTTTACCCCTTTAGTACTGAGGACATGGACACGAGTGCCGATCTCTATCCTGGTTCTTGGGATAATCGGTGGACTGTACTACACCTTGAGCATTTCCGAAACACAAGAAGGGCTTGCCTATATAGATGCTGATGGTTACCTGCATCTGCTTTGGACATCAGTCCCAGCGCTGGTAATGCTTTGTGTGGCTTTGTACGTCGGCTGCTGCGACTCCGCATATCGAGGTTTAGCGACACTTTCATGCCTGTCTCTGAGACCGTCCAGCGCGCGACTGCTTGATATGTCGTTCCTCGATATGATGGGACTGAGGGCATTATACTGGTCTATCCGAAAGCGTGTCTGGGCAGTCACGCTGTCACAATTGCTCAACTTCCTCTGCGGGTTTCTTACAACTCTAGCTTCGGTTATGTTTACCGTTGACCCGGTTCCTAGCTCCACGAATATTCAGCTACGACAGATAACATGGTTCGGATCCCGCCAGATGACGTTAAAGAATGCTGGGTCCTTCACAGCCACGCGAGATTCGTTGAGCAGCCTAGTTCTGCGCAAGGGCGATGGCGCTCTAACCTACCCGCGGAACACCTACGATGATCTCGTGTTTCCGATCCTTGACGGACTGCAAGGAACAGAGGTTTCCCCAAACATTTCTATCCAGCTCAGTGTTCCGGCTGCCAAGCTGGCTCCGATTTGCGCCAAGTTGCCTGCCAGCACCTACAACATCACGTTCCGGAACTACACCGAGGAGGACAAGTTCTTCGACGTCCATATGGTTGAGTCGTTTGAATGCCCCAACGGAAATCGAGCGCAGCTTCCGGGCATTATCTCTATGAGTGCCGCTACGAACCGGCTCGGCCGTTCATACTTCTCGGACATCCTCGAATCACCGGGAAATACGTATTCTATCAACGGCCTTTGTAAACTTGGGCTGAACATGAGCGCTCCTGACTACATATACTCCCCATTTCGGTTTCAGACTTACGTTTGGGGAGAGTTTAACAAAGAAAAAAACGATCTCGATCACCTTTCTATCTGGAGATGTAACTACACCTGGGTTGAGGTGAGCACCAAGGTGTCATTATCCATGGAGTCAGACAGTATATACATACTCGACCCTGAAAGACCGCCGGAACCCGATTTATCAGCGACGAAGCTCTGGGATCCTCCATTTGACGTCCCTCACTTCGACTATCAATTCATCAACTTCCAAGCGGGTGATGCGTTCCCAGCCGTTAGCCTCAACGAACCGCTCGCTGGATCAATGCAAAGGCAATTCACGGTCTTGATGGAGCCATACGGTCAACTACCACTCAGCGCATTGGGTGATCCTAGTCAGGAAAGCAACGTTCTCGATGGCCTCAAACATAACTTGGGGTTCATTGGTGCTCAACTCGCAAACTTAGAGAATCGCTTTAGCGTCACTGAGAGTTCCAGAAATCGCCCTCCACCGTCTGACGGTCTCCCATCGCTTCAAGCAATTGTTGTGGACAGAAGCAAACGTCGCTTGGTCCAGAACCCCACAATCACATACATATTGATGGCAGTACTGGGCTTAGTGGCTCTGGTCAACATCCTGGCGGTACTCTCCGCTGCTACGAGATACCTTAGCGGAAGACCGTGGTTATTTGATATGGAGGTGAAAGGTTTGGCACCTGATGGTTTCCATAGCATGACGTCCATGGTCGCACTGCTTCATGGCTCGAATGCCCCAAGCCACCTACCACAGAGTATTCATCTGCTATCAAAGGGCGACCTCTATAGTCGCATAGATGATTTGAGCTTCCAAATGGGTTGGTTTCAGAGGGCCCTAGATCAAGCTAGATACTTCACTATTGGGGTATTAGGTGACGAAGAATTCATGTACATGGGTAAGGAAATGAGCATAAAGGGTGCAATATGAAGGCCTTAGTATGTCGAGGGGGAAAAGACGAGACTGAACCTTGGAAGAGCTTAGTGCGTGAGTAACTGGTATGACGGAGGAAACTTCATCTTAGTAGAGTGTGTGTGTGTGTTACTTAACGCCATGGCGGCAAGGGCGCAGCCGCCCTTGCGGCAGACCTCCCGGGGGGTATGTGGCGTGGAGAGCCGCAGGCTCGGACTATCTACTCTAACGTACATATCTCCTCATGACGTCCTCCAAGTCTTACCCTTGGGCTACTCTGCGTTCTATCCGTCCCTAGTTCCCGCTGGTTCCCTAGTTCCGTTATATACATTTTATCCCTTAATAGGGATGCTTCTTTAATAGAGACCTAGGCCATAGCCTTGTCCCTAATACCGCGGGCAGATCTTCTGGAAGAAGTCTGTTACGCGTAGGAAGGCCTGGAAGCCTTGAAAGTCGGTGATTAGCCCCTTAAAGTACCGCTCGAGCGATCCCATAGGTCCTATGGGCTCTTGCGGACCAGAAGGGTAGAGGGTAGGCCACCGTTGCCTCCTCGCTAAAGTCCTTGGGCAGTAAACTAGGTGGTCTACTTCCTTTACCTCCCCACAGGAGCAGGTAAGCAGTGCTTCTGTATGGCTGAATCGTTCATGATACTTTTCAAAGTCTCCATGCCCTGAGCGGGCTGCTAGGAGGTGATGAAGGGTAGCCCGCGGTAGGGCTAATTCAGGGGGACAGGTGAGGGTGGCCTTTAGTCCTAGTTGTGTATATCGGGCTTTTGCCTCCTGCTTCCACCATTGTGCGTGCTGGCCGTATAGGCGCTTCCGATAAAGCCGCTTAATGCCTGATTAGGTGGCTCGTTGACCCCGTGGGACTGGGACCGTTGTGCCTTCTTTAGCTAGCTGGTCTGCCTCCTCGTTGCCTTGTATCCCCTGGTGCCCTGGGGTCCAGTGGGTTGTATATTATGTATCATGGCAGCCTCCCTAATCTCGAGGAACGCCTCCTGCGAAGACTCTGGGACGTTACCACGTATCCCCTGGATAACGCTAGTGTTTTCGATGCAGATATGAATAGGTTGGCCCTGGGAGGTCAGGAGGGCCCGCCGGAGCCCTGCCCTCTCATCTTAGTAGAGGTTGACAAATTGCAACACCCAGCACAGGAACCCAGGACATTTCGGTATCGCATCTTAACAAAGAGAAAGGCCTACGAAAGAAATAAGTAATCGAGCTCCTGGAACACTTCTTGTTCAGACGATCTGTGATCAGGGTTTTATGGCATTGTGAGAGCATATCTCAACCGCCCAGTCTTCCGGCCAACAGTTACTCGTGATATGATATGTTTTGAATTTTCCGGCCTCCATGAGCAGATTGGACTATTGTTTCTTGTAGTTGCCAGTGATTGCCTTCCATCACCGTGCCGTGCCTGTCACCGGCGATCAATGCGAACGGATTGACCCCTACGGCAGCACGGCATCGGCCCGCACATACTGCTGCCGTTTTCGGTATCGGATTTTCATATTTCAGCATTTCTTTCGTCCCATCTTCATCACTGATGCGAATGGATTACTCATTTTGGTCAGTGTTCAACAGGGAACTGCTGCTGTCGGCCTGCCATCTAGCTTGTGTCAGCCTCGGTCACACGTCAATTGAAAGCTTACTGGTTTCCCATTTCTACAGATTTTGAAACACCACACGAAACCATGCGAGCTCCGGCACCCTAATACTAATACTGTTCAGCCCCAATTACCTCCTCATGTAAGGGATTCTTTGTGTGCCAGATCCTTGTTCTGTGCTGTAGCGGTGATTTGTATTTGTTGGTGTGGACTCATGTCAGAACTGCAATCCCAAAGTATCGCCGCTGGATATTTGTCCATTTACATTGTCGTGGAAGCACCGACATCTCAATTTCTTTCACACCTCTCATCCTTCACATCAGTAGTAATCTGGTCAGTTCTCGAAGTCAGACATTTGCGCGTGCTGGCCACAATCTCCGAACTACTTACTACTCGCGCCATTCATCATCATCGGAACGCCTATTCACTACCGTCAAGATGGCGATTCCGGAACAGGGCATGGTTATGATCGTGGTGGGGGCGATATTGATGTTCCTCAACACCTTCTTCGTCGGTCTACGAATGTATACTCGGATCTTTATCACGAAGCATGTCCGACCCAATGACTATCTACTACTCACGGCTCTGGTTCGTATCCCAACTCGCAGTGTATGGATTCGTCTTGTCTAACGCGATGTTCACAGGCCGCATTTGGAGCTCTCTATGCTCTCTTGATTTTAGGCGTCCAGGGTGGAATCGGCGGCAGCATCCTTCAGGCGACACTACCCGGGATCGCTAGCGCTCTCAAAGTACTTTTTTTCCTGGAAATCATCTACGTTGTTCTTACTTCCGCAATGAAAGGGAGCATTGCTTTGACCTTCATTCGGCTGTCGCGTTCGAGGATCCTGACTAAACTGTTTTGGGTATCAATTGGCTTGGACGTGGCCATCAGCCTTGCCTTCATCATCTATTTGTTGGTCCAGTGCCAGCCGATTGACTTCGCATGGAGAATGCTGGATGCGGATGCAAGGGGACACTGCCTTCCACTCACTGGTCAGCTCTATATGGGATATGCGCTGTCTATTGTGACGGCAACTCTGGATGGTCTTTTGATGATTTCACCGTGGCTCATGATGAGAGGCCGCAACCTGAACTCAAGATTGAAGATGTACATCTACGGCATCTTCGGACTGGGAATTCTGTAAGTTCTATCTCGAGGGGCTCATGAAGCCGTTGCTAACAAGAATGCTAGCGCAACGATTGCGAATATCATCCGCCTTGTGGCACTGGTCAAACTCAAGGGATCGAAGGACCAACTTGGTATGTCGTGATGTCTCCAGTCTGGTTGATGTAAACTAACTGTGATCACAGTCGACGCAGCCCCCGTATTCAACTGGTCTGCCATCGAGGTCAGCATCGGTATCATCATTGCTGGATTGATCGAACTTGGCCCGCTTGCCGCCAAGTACAACATCAAGGGCTTCGAGTCCTACGTCGGCGACGACACCGAGATGCTTACAAAGCCAATCACTCACGAGTCAAGGGTGGACGATTATGAAATGGAAACACGAAAGATGTAATAATGAGACGAGTACAGTACAGGGTGCGCAGAGAGCAAGCGACGGGGTGATGATGGAAAGTCTCAAGGCAGTATTCTCTGTTGTTGTTGTTGTTGTTGTTGTTGTTGTTGTTCTATTTAACGCCATGGCGGCAAGGGCGCAGCCGCCCTTGCGGCAGACCTCCCGGAGGGTATGTGGCGTGAAGGGTCGCAGGCTCTAGCTATATACTATATAGTACACGCCGTATCCTGACGTCCTCCAAGTCTTGCTCGTGAGCTACTATGTGTTCTATCCATCCCTAGTTCCCACTGGTGCCCTAGTTCCGTTATAACCATCTGGTTTCTTAATAGAGGTAGTTTGTCGTTTGGAGGATAGGTTATGACCTATCTCCTAGTACCGCGGGCAGATCTTCTGGAAGAAGTCTGTCACGCAGAGGAAGGCCTGGAAGCCTTCAGAGTCAGTGATTAGCCCCTTGAAGTAGCGATCGAGGGAGCAGTATTCTCTGGCAGAATACCTTTTGACCGCCATACTCAAAAATAGGATGCAGACCCATTGAAGGCAGTACTTGACTTCTAACTAACGATTACATCTTACCATGGTCTTAATAATGATATAATTCCAAACCTTCCCGCCTTGATATGTGGATGATACACACGTTTCTCAATGGCATCAGTTCAACGAAATTCAAGAGTCAAAGTGCTTCGGTCTGTTCCCGCTACCGCTTTTTGAAAGGCTTTCACTCAAGAATTTTACTTGATACAAATACTTGGCTGATTCCTAACTCAAACTAGTTAGGCTGGAAAAAAGTCGCCCACACACCAATCATTAGGGTGCACAGTAATCCGTCACACGGTATGAAGAGCACTAGGCACGCCTTTTTCTCTTTTCATGTCCAGCTAAAACCGGAGGTTCTAGGCAGGCACAATCAATACTGGGAGATGATTGGCAAAATCAACGAGCGACGGATGCGGCGCGGAGCAAGGCTGTGTTGTCAGACGATTGGGGGGCGGGGCGATTTGTGAAGACTCACACCGGAGACACTCCCAAAAAGGAATTTCCTTCTCCTCTGGATGCATCAAGCCGATAAAGTCGTAGGATCGCCAATAAGGAGTCTCTCCACCACATCCAAATGTCCCATCTCGTCACTCTCGTCTCCCGTTAGTTTGTTAGTTTCTCAAAAGTTAACAAGTATTAGCCCAGTAGGGCTGACATTGCCCAAAATGGCGTCAAGATACATGGCTGTGAAATGGCCGTATGACCTCGAAAAGAGGCAGCATCAAGGCGGAAGGATTGGCCCCCAGAGCCAGCCCGACCGAAAATGGAAGATGGCGGACAATAACGTTCCCCTTGAGGCCATATAAATCAAAGAGCACTCTCGCTTCCTGTTCGACTTGCAATGATACTAGGCCTCGGAAACCAATCTGTTCTTTCACACAAAGAGGTCACTTTTGCTCAGTCTTGCTGTCAGACTGCCCCTTGATTGATACGTATTGTGTCACAATTTCTTAGGAACCTTGAGTCTTCTCTCTGCAATGCGTAACTACGAAAAGCTCACGAGAGACGAAGATCTCGAATCGGCAAAAGACGAACGTCTTCTATATGAAGATGAAGTCCTGCCCGTTCACTTCATAGACCAAGCGGCAATTATTCGCAAGATCGTCTTCAACTACACCTTTCGCTACGATAAAGTACTCGACGCAAGAAAGTTTCACGAATGTCTGGTCCAACTTGTGCATACGCCTGGGTGGCGTAAAGTTGGAGGTCGTCTACGAGCCAATGTAAGTCATGATGTTCAACTTTAACACCAAAAAGCCGTTTTCTTGCCAGTGCTGACTATTGCGTAGAGCGAGGGAAAGCTCGAGATCCATGTACCACGCATTTTCAACGAGGCACGTCCGGCTGTGAGATTTTCTCACGTCGATCACCTCAACACCAACATCGATTCCCATCCTCTTGCATCGAGACTTCCCAAACCAACCGGCTCTACGCCATCTATACAGGAGGGTAGCCATGCCTTCAAGTCTTTCGCTGCGCCCGTTGATCTGCCTAAGAGCACCGACCATTACTTGAAGAGCGACGAGCCCTTGTTGTGTCTTCAGGTTACATCTTTTGCAGACTCTACACTAGTAGGGCTCACCTATCCGCACTCGCTCGCCGATGCCATAGGCATATCAGAGTTGCTCAAAGCATGGTCAAACATCATAGTGGGCAAGAGCTATTTGGTGAAGCCTCTCCAGGGCACTTATCGAGACGTGCTTGACAGCGCAGGGACAAACCTCGACAAGGAAGCCTCGCAGAGAAAGTTCGCTCTAGAAAGTCAGCAAACCCGTGGCTTGGCTTTGATTTCATTCATTGCCCGATATGTATGGGATATCGCGACTCGTCGGACAGTGCAGTCCCGACACATCTATCTGCCCGCCAACTATCTGAGGCATCTGCGCCAAGGAGTCGAGCAGGAGCTCAAGGAAACACATGGAGGGGTAGCCCCTTTCGTCAGCGACGGGGATCTCATCACAGCTTGGGGTTCTAGGTTTGTTATGTCGTCACGACCATGGAAGAGGTGCAGTGCAGTAATATGCAACGTGTTCGATATCCGACGGCGTTTGGAGAACACGTTTGCTCCCGAAGGCCCTTACCTACAAAACATGATCCTGCCAGCAACAACTGTCCTGTCCAGACAGGAGGCTGCCAGCGCCACGACGGCACAGATTGCTCAACATCTGCGCCAAGCAATCACAGAGCAGACCGGCGACGTGCAGACCCGAAGTCTCCTGCGTCTCGCACGTAAGTGGTTCGCAGCTCTAGGCACGATGCCCTTATTTGCGCGGTGGGACTCCCGAGTGATTGCCTGCTCCAACTGGACCAAGGCAAGATTCTTGGACGCCGCAGATATCAGCTCTGCTGCCTCGGGCGACGTTGGCGAAGACAATCCCTGCACTGGAGTGGTGGGGAACTCTGCGGCGGATGCGGCGCAAGATCATGTCAGACCAGTCATGTTCTGGGGCGCCACCATGAACGCAGATGACAAGACGCGCGATGCTTTTATGATCTACGGCAAGGACGGATCTGGAAATTACTGGGTTCAGGGGTTTTTGAGAAAGGAAAGCTGGGCACTGATTGAGGAGGAATTTCAACGCTTCGGAAAGGAGTCGAAGGAATCTATCTGACTTGGGTCATATCTTATCGGCGTGAGACTGAGCCACTGTAAGATACGAGCTGGCAGGAAAATGTACTAAATAATTCCATGTAACCACCCTGCTCAAATCTTGTTGCTCAAGTTTCGCTCTTCCCGTCATTATTAGGGCTGCATATGCAGGACATGACTGACATTTGGAGGCGACAACAACGACATGCCAAGTCCTCGGAATCAACATAGGAAGAGAGAACTATGTGCCAGAATAACATCGCAACTGGCCCGGCTGAAGATAAGAAGCGCTGCCAACAGTTGCATAACTGCACGTGGGCGGCATAGCTACGGACGTAAACACGGCCGTAAGGCGCCTTCGACCCTTGAGGCTCCAATGAGCTCATAGCCCCCACGCGCTGTTCCCATGACCAGAAAATTAAGGGAAATTCGAATGTTCACTTTCGGGAAGCAAGTCGCCCGCCGACATTGGCATTTCCAAAATGTGAGCAAGCCACCAGACGCCTCCAAAATCCAACGGGGCCACATGCAACTATCTTTGCCAAGCACTCTGGCAGCCTGTCTTTAGCAGCTTGGGTGTCCTGTACAGAACTCTGGCATGGGTTATTGGGCTGGCCTCGCACGGCAGTATCATGGAAGGTTTTCTCACAACGAGGACTACGTTTACACACTCACCTTCAGCGCCGTGTTGATGCATCGTCTGAGGATACGGCTCGGCCTGCTTGGCTTCACAGAAAAGCAAAAGATTGCTGCTCACCACTTCTGGCGGGATATGGGTCCTCTATTCCAGGTCGAAGGCAAAGGCACTGTGGAGGACTACCCAGCAGACTTCGATGGGTGTATCGCTTTCTGCGAGGCGTATGAGAATACTCCCCGAGAGTATAATGAAAAAGCTCGATATATCGGTCTCTCTATCTTCAACCTCTTTGCCTATCGATATTTTCCCCCTGGCTTGCGATGGTTCGGCATGGCGTTTCCTCGGACGCTGTCTCTGCCAACGACGCTGAGCGCATTCCGTATCGAGCCGACCAACCCCGTGCTAGCAGCCATCATCATCTTCATCGTTAGAACAGTGTTCCTTGTCACGGAGGTTTTGTTCCCCGATCCCAAAATTCCATTCTTCGAAAGGTTGGAGACGCTCCCAGAGATGGAGGCACGAAAGCGAAAAGAGGAGACTAGGGCCTTGGACAAGTCCTATGAGCAGTTCATCATGTCTCAATTGAGTGGCCCTGGCTGTCCGTTTAGCGCAAAATTGCAATAGTTATCCCAAATTGAGAACTTCATACCAAAGATCAGTTTGGCAGAAACAATGAGTTTGACGTTACTTCTCTATCATCTACCAAAGAACAATGGCCATCTAAGCTTCGCTCTAAGGCTTTATTGTCTCCTTCTCGAGCCAATCTCGCCATCCTTGGTCGGCAAGAATATGTCTAACTCTAGCTTCAAGCCATTCTGTATTTCCCCAGAAGCCCCAAGAGGCTTGGAAGCGGCACCAATCTACCAAGGCAGTCTCCCAGTGACGCATAAACTGATCCCAATCATAATCATCGGGTCCCTTCTCTGGTGGTTTATGGCTCAGGAGGGTGGTCCGATACTGCTCCAGGATAGCTCTCTCACCCTTGTCCATGGCCAACTGATCCGGTATATCTTCGTAGTGGGTGAGCATCTCAACGGGTACCGAACAGGTGAACAGCTTGGCAAGATCGCAGCTGCCAACCCCCAGTCCGGCGTACTGGAAGTCGAAGAAAGCCACCTTGTCGCCAGCTTCAGTTGTGAAGAGGTTTTCGGACTTGACGTCGCCGTGGATGTATGTCTCAAAGGGCCTGCCGGATGGTGTGAGGAAGCCGGCAACTAGCTCGGCAATTGAGGAAGATGAGCCCTCGACGGGGTCGCAGAATGCCGAAGACCATTCGGAATAGTCGTCTCGGCATAGCGATCCGTATTCCTTCCGTCTGGTAGCGAGGTATGTGTAACCTCCATTCAGCCACATCTTGGGCTCGGCGACACCATTACCAGCCTCCCTTCGTTTCGCCTCTTCAAGCGGGGGTAGCACAAATTGCCCAAGGTCATCTGGCAACGATGCCCAAGAGCTGCTGTGATACTTCGCCAGCCAGTCCAGCGCAGCATTGACCTGCTTGCGGTTGAGAACCAGTCTCTTTTCACCAGCTACAGGAAACTCGGGTCGCAGGTCCGTGATGATGGTGGCAGTGAGACCTTCAAGTTCTTCCTTGCGGGGTTTGCTCTCCATGTCTAGAGTGGAAGCGAGGCACTTTGCGACAGCGACGTCATCTGATAGCCTTGGTGCTATCTCTTGATAGAAATATTGCTCGACCTCGTAGCTCAACATCTTGCGCAGGTGGCCCTCGTCTGTTCCCTTTGCGCGTGGCGGTGAGATGAGCTTGATGATGAGGCGATATGTTCCATCCTCTTCTGAGTGTATCGGGAGCGGCTTTTGGTCCGAGTTGGCGGCACCATTGGTGTCGGCAAGCTTTGCAGTCAGGGCACAAATGTGGCCGTAGCCTGCCCAAAGCGATTGAAGCTCGGTGAGGGAGATGAGTTCGAGACCCAGCCATGAGAGCATGATTTCGGCGACGCGACGAGGCTGCTGGAGAGACGCCATGGTGATGGATAGCGTGGCCGCTGCAAGTACAAGTTGAGTGTTATCGATGTTGATCCCCGAGAATGGTGCCTGAGCGATGAGATGAGTGAAGTTGGATGAGAGTTGATGAGATTGAGTGAGCGCCACGTCCATTTCGAGAATGTTTCTCAGGTGGGTCCCGACGACTTCGCTCAGTCTCAAGCTGCCATGAGGTGTGAGAGAAGTCTGCAATAGCTACGCGAGTATCCGGATTTTAGAAAGATAGAAAGCTTGATTCGGAAACATAAATCCAGAAGCAGAATTCTCGACTCGTCAGCGCAGCTGAAAGTGAATTATCGATCACCTAATATCTCATGCAAGTCCTGGCTCGGCCTTCATCAGCCGTACGTAAACCATACTATCACAGCTGGCGCCACCTGCGGGGGACCCTGGGTGAAAATCCGAGCACAATCATCGTCATCGTAAACTTGCTCACTCCCACGACCTCACCATAAAAAGCTACCGTTCACCGGTCAAGGCATCATACTGGGAAGAACAGTCGGAAAGCGCACAACGCGTGCTAGTCTGATATACGGAGTAATCTCAACAATCTGCCTCTGGGCCATCAAGGTGTCTTGCAGCCCCACCGGAAGAGATTCCTACTAAAGGGCCAAGGCGGACTTCAAGACGCGGTCGAGACCTCTCGTTTCAAAGCAAGCCTTCGATAGAACATCATCTAAAGAAAATCAGTTTGTATTTCATACCAAAGAAATGGGCCGAACGCAACCATCAGTTGGGCAGCCACCGGCGGCATTTCGGAAAGCAGCCCGAGCCAAGAAGGCCAAGGTCACCTTGAACCAGCTGATTCCGTCGCTCCTCCCTACGCACCCACGGGCTCGTCGTGGAATCGACTCAACTGAGCTTATCACTGAGCCAAAGCCAGCGGCAAAAGAGACCCGACCCCTCAAGACAGAAGGCGCTGATGTTCCGGAGACCAATGGGGCACTTCATATCAGACTTCAAGTAGCCGACACTCTCACAGCCGCTCACGCGTTAGTGACCAAGAACGCTGGGCCAGGTCGTCCGGTAGACGTAAGCAACAAGGAAACACGGGTCGCAATTCTCAACATGGCCTCACCTCTCACGCCCGGTGGTGGCTTCGTCAACGGGGCCGGTAGTCAGGAAGAGTCGTTATGCATGCGGACTACGCTGCTGCTATCTCTTAAAGACGAGTACTACCGTCTGCCGGAGCTCGGTGCTGTTTACACCCCAGATGTATTGGTTTTCCGAGATGAAGATGCGGACGACGTGTTGGAGAAAAAAGATCGTTGGTTCATGGATTGCGTCAGCGCTGCCATGTTGCGGAATCCGGAAATTGAGCGAGACGAGGACACTGGCTTCAGCCACTACGTGCAAGAAAAGGATAGACAACTCATCCTGGAAAAAATGAAGATTGTGCTGCGGATATGCCAGCAAAAAGGTATCAAGAAGATCGTGCTCGGTGCTTGGGGATGTGGCGCCTACGGAAATCCAGTCGCCGAAGTGGCCAAGGCGTGGAAGAAGGCACTGCTACCGAAAAACGACGGAAAAGAGAAAAGAAAGGGGCACAAGAAGACGTGGAGCGGGATCGAAGAAGTCGTCTTCGCCATCAAAGATACTGGCATGGCCGACGCCTTCGAAGAGGCTTTCGGAAAGGGCATTGAGAGAGACGTAGAAGCTGAGGTGGATGAATCCGATGAGGAGATTGATATCGCTCAAAAGAATAAGGAGGAGCTTCAAGCAAGGATTGCCGAGTTAAAGCAGCGCATCGATGCCACACCAAATCCGCAAGTCAAGACGGGTCTCAACTCAATTCTTGCTGGATTAATAAGCCAAATGCCTGCTGATTCAGAAGATAGCACCGACGACGACGAAGATGAGGAAGAGGGAGCAGAGGATGACAGCGGCGACAGCGACACAGATTCTGAGCAAGCATAGATCTAGGGATAATGACTGGATGATCTAGTAACTGAAATCATTATTCTCCTTTCAGGGCATGTTGAGTGCTGGTTTTCAGAGAGCATAGATTGGACATTGACCCTACGCAAACGTCGGATCAGGGCCGAGGTGTCATCCGCCATGGGCCCGGAAAGATTCTGCGACCAGCCTCAATTCTAATCGATTTTCACAACCTCGAGCAGAAGCCCCCCTCCCCCTGCTGAATAGTTTTGCCGGTATAGCCGATGAACCGATAACCTAGTCCCGGCCGAGGCCAATATGGCCAAGTACAAGGCGGTTGTGATCGGATGTCTGATTTCGTTATCTGGTTTGGTTAATGTGGCACTTTTCCCCCCAGCTCCCGCCAGCCCGACTACTTTTGACGATGTATTTCTCTTGAGAGCACTACCAGCGTCATGAACATGACGAACCTGGAAACGGTTCAAGAACTAAGTTGGGATTGCGTTCTCACTTGCATGGGGTTGTTCCCGGTAATCATGAATGGACCTGAACAACCTCTGGAGCCCTTTTTTGTCCTTGGTTGTCTAGGAGTCAACATATGTCACGACTTCGTAAACCGAAAGGAACTAAATGGAAACTTGGTAATCTGCAAATCTTCGCCATGCAACTTCTTATTGACAACTATAGTCTCTAGAGCCTAGCTCAGGTCACGATTTCTAGCATAGATCCTTCATCTTCTACAAGTTGTGAACGGTGCTGTTCCTGGTCCACCTACGGAACGTCTTTCCGTAGTAGTAAAAGATTGCTCCACAAGCACAGAAAAACACGGTCAACGCCATGTTGGTCATGAAGGCCGGTATAAAACTGTTCACGTCAGTATATGGCATCGGCCCAGCAAGAGTGACTTGACTAACCCTGCCTCGATCGTCCAAGGGGTGATGAATTTGCCCATGCCGTATCACCAAACGTTCTTATTAACCGTGATGGCAACCATAAGAGGACCAGTCACTGGCTTGTAGTAGTACAGTAGTCAGCGAAAAGGGCTTCATCCTTTTTTACAACTCTCTGATCTCTTTCCGCACGGACATCCAAAGTTCTTGGCGCTTACACAGTACGATTTGTTATCATATCATTTGAAGTACATCCAACAGTCCAAATAGGCTGACCCCACTTGCAGTTCTGTTTGGCTTCTATTCACAGAAAATCCACTTGTGCATAGGTCCCGCTGTAATGCACGTATTGCACCGGATTACGATTCATAGATGCTGGTCTGGGGGAAGGGCGTGTATTGGCTCAGTAATGATTATTATGGCTCTACTGTAAGTAGTATGTAAGATAGTCTTAAGCGTGTCTAGCGCCTCTTCAGATGTCCCTTCAATGTCTTCCATTTGGCTTTCAGCCCTCGTCCTGGCTTCTGTACGCGAAGCGAAACATCCATCTCTTGTATAACAAGCTGTAATGAGCCTATTTTCTCAGACAAATATGTACACCGTTCGTTCTGTGACCCTCGTACGGATAAGAAGCCGTTCTGTGCTTTTGAGTAGTATGAGATAGCTTTGCTATTCTCGCCAAGCATCTCAAACAAAGAGCCGAGATTTTGAAGTGCGTTCAAGGCAGGAATATAGGTCTTTATGGCGTCTGCTCCAAGTGCCTTCTCGTAGCCTTGAAGAGCCCGCTGGTACATGGGCTCGGCCTCCTTAAGTCGGTCCTGGTCCAAGTAGAGGTTGCCTAGATTACCGACCGTCAAGAGTGTTGACGTGTGGTCTGGCCCTAGTGCCTTCTCCTTGCCTTGAAGAGCCCGCTCGTACATCGCCTCGGCCTCCTTAAGTCGGCCCTGGTCCGAGTAGAGGATGCCTAGATTGTGGACCGTCGAGAGTGTTGACGTGTGGTCTGGCCCTAGTGCCTTCTCGTTGCCTTGAAGAGCCCGCTCGTACATCGCCTCGGCCTCCTTAAGTCGGCCCTGGTCCGAGTAGAGGATGCCTAGATTGTGGACCGTCGAGAGTGTTGACGTGTGGTCTGGCCCTAGTGCCTTCTCCTTGCCTTGAAGAGCCCGCTCGTACATCGCCTCGGCCTCCTTGAGTCGGCCCTGGTCTTTGTAGAGGTTGCCTAGATTACCGACCGTCAAGAGTGTTGACGTGTGGTCTGGTCCCCATGCCTTCTCGTTGCCTTGAAGAGCCCGCTCGTACATCGCCTCGGCCTCTTTGAGTCGGCCCTGTTTGGAGTAGAGAATGCCTAGACATTCGACTGAGTCGAGTGTCGATGTGTGGTCTGGCCCTAGTGCCTTCTCCTTGCCTTGAAGAGCCCGCTCGTACATCGCCTCGGCCTCTTTGAGTCGACCCTGGTCCGAGTAGAGGATGCCTAGTTCGTGAAACATCCATGCATCTTTTTCCTCCGCCGCATCTGTCGCTATCTTTGTAATGCATCGGTCTGAATGTTGTAAAAGTCGTCTTTGTACTATCCAATACTCTTGCTGCTCGTTGCTTGGGACATGTGATGCTATACACCTCAATGCTGTCCAAGCCATCTCCTCGTCGACTCCTGTGTTCAGCACATGTATTATCCACGCATGGACACATCCATGCACACTGTATCCTCGGGACTCTCCCTTAGTCTCTTTTATAGTAAGGTCCGCCTCTACTAGTCCATGTTCGCAAAGAAGTCTCATTATTGTGTTGAAGATCAAGTTGTCTTTCGTTATGTCTTGTAGCCAAACCGGCCCCTCTGAACCCATATCCTGCAGCAGTTCGTACCATAGGTCCTCGTTATCGAAGTATGCCCAAAGTCGAAGGAGGGTAGCTGCACCTCTGCTTTGCTGCTGAATGAGGTTGAATGAGATACCCCACGTCGAGTACAACGCTTGATCGTAATCCAGAAGCTGTGGACTCTCTCTCTGTAATCGCAGCCATGATTCGTCGTACAGCCGGAGATACTCAGCGCAGCTCGTCGACACTTGGTTGAGGTACGCTCCAGCCGTCGAAAGGGCAAGCGGAAGGCCGTCAAGTCGCCGCGCAAGCGTATAAGCATCAGGATCTATTTCGATGAATCAGCCCCATTTACGCTGCTCGCTCGAAACACTTACTCTGGCTCAGATGGGCACGATTGGATGTTGACTCCAGTATAGCCAAGCTGTCATTGACGTCGCCTAGCTTACTCAGCCGGATCAACTGCCCGAGTTTCACTGTTGAGGATCGGGTTGTGACGATGATGGCGCCGTGGTCGGTTTCAGGGAAGTACGGACGGATATCGTACGCCTTTGAATATGCTGCCTCCGGTTGGCTTATGTTGCCAGATGCAGTCCCACCCTGCTCCGCAACAGATTGGGCACTTTGACCCGCACCGCCGCGGCGATCAAATCTGACATCGTCGTAGTTATCGTAGACAACGAGCCAGCGGTCGTTCCTCGCTTCACCCAGCCATCGCTTGACTGCTTCCGTCGTCTCGTCAAGGTCCTGATTTATCATGACATTCTGTACATATGCCACAGTCGGGTGTTCCCGCAAGATTCGCTGCGCCGCTTGTTGTAAGCTTTGCTTCAGTGATGTCTCGTCCCTTGCGTTCAGCCAAAGCATGGCCGAGTAGTCGTTGCGATGCCGCTTCGTATACTCTATCGATAACTGAGTTTTTCCCATGCCACCTAGACCCTGCAGCACGGCGGTGCGGCGCTCACCCGTCCATTTCAGCGCCTCATGCAGACATCCAAGTTCGTCGTCTCTACCAACGAAGCGACTCACCCCTACAACGCCTGACAAAACAGGGGCAAGCGTATACATGGTAGGAGTAGGGTCGGCTAAATTAACATCAGTCAGCATGCGTTAGCAGCAGCTAAGGGCTTAGGATTTGGTCACGTACAGATTGTCCTGGGAATCCTGCAAACGTAGCGCTCCATCAGCGCCTTTGTCGCTGAGGCCGCCATTGCAGCGGCGAAGTCCTGCCATAACTTGTTTTTGTGACTGTCGGCGTAGTCACATACCCCCTTAACAATAACACACGGGATCTCCTCCCAAACGCCCGCCCCCTCCATCTCAAAGGCAATAATGTTATGCTCTTGAGCAACCCTGTCCCGGTGTTCGCCTGATTTCATCACCGTATCACCTGAGCCGATGCGCCCAACATGTATTCGCGACTCGAACATCGTAGACTCCAGTCGTGTTCTTACTACTTGATGTGCAACATCGCATCCAAGCTGGTCGCACGACGCTTTAATCGCTTCGTCACACGCAGTAGATTCGCTACAGCCACAGCCTAGCTGATCTCGGTGTCTGTGAAGATAATCCGGCTTGAAAAGTGAGTCCTCTTCGGCTGCAGGACGGTCGTAGTAGATTCGGTCTTGTGCGTTAATGGCCATCTGTTGGACTTGCGTGAGGACTTTGGTGATCCGGCGCTGTAAGTCGTTCCGGCCATGTTGCGTCTCGTAGGTGGTGAGAAAAGAACGCACGTCTTTGTTGAGTCGGCTCAGGTTGTCTTCAACACCGTCTTTCCTGCGAAACTTGCCAGGGTATTGTCGGCCTAGGTCATACTGCACGATGCTTTTGCCGATCACCACGTCCCCAAGCAGCACCTCATGATCGGTCCCCGGGCTAGGCACTCCCCCACAGATCCCAGTCAAGAAGGCTACCTCCAGCCCAACATAGATGGACCGGAGCCGGACTACCTCGTTGGCTGCGCTGACTTTTCCCATGTTAGGGAGAAGAACCAAAACAACATAATGAACTCCAATCAACCCCAGCGTGTGATTGTTGTATTGCCTGGGCGCGGGCCCGCGCCCATCTCTATCATCGTTCCATATCTCGTCGAAAGCCTGGATGACGGCATCGTATTCGCGGGGCAGTGCGCATATCACGGCGATACGGAAGTCCTCGAAACGGCGTGGTTGAGGGTAGCTCGTCATCGCAAGTTGTCGAATGCAAGTGAATGTCGGGCCTCGTCGGGGTCGGGGTGTATCATATCATGTCGTCGTCAAAACTTGTTTTTTCTTGCGACAACGTGTTCATGCTCTGCTTTCGAGAGCTGGGAGTTATGAGGCCGGAGATCGTCGTTCTCCTTGCTGACGGAGAGGAGGAGTTGGCATCCTAATCGACAGCCTTGTGCGGCGTAGCAGTATCGCTGACAAATCAACCTCATGACTTGTGACTGCCAAGTGTGCAGAAGACTTCATCGCGTGTAATGAGCTTAAACAACAATGACGGTAAACAGTAGCTATCGGGTAAGTTGGGCGATGGTCCTTACGACGTGGAAAGGCCTGCGGTTGGAGGGGCTGAAGCATCGGTAATATTAAATGTTTAATGGGAAAGCCATCCAAAGAAACGGACAGCGGAAATACTCCTAGCCGTAAGAACGTTCATCCGATGCTCAATTGCGCTACTCTATTTGGCCTTAGTTTAAGTGAACCAAAGCAGCAGAATTAATCCTCCAACGGAGGGCGTTACATTCGCATCGAATCTTCTAGAAGCTGACCTTAAGTCGGTTTCTGAACTATGGATCTGTTGTCAACCCTCCTGTCTGCAACACACATCTTCCTGCCAGCCATGGCGCCTAATCTTACAGCCTCGCAGCATTTCTTTATCCGTGATATAATTCTTAATAGGTCGCTCAGTAATGCCTAGATGGCTCGCTTCGTCGGGTGCTGCATCGTAATTTATCAAACATCTAGATGGCTGATATTGGCGGAGATGTTTCTATCCTGAATGTGAGCCAAACTTGGATGAAGGGCCTCGTCGGCTTAGCACGATCCACAGGACAAAGGCCGTTCTCTACTTTAATAATCTAGGCCAGGGCCAGGTCATCCGAAGTGGGCTGTTTGGCAAAATCAGACCCTAGCCTGATGACAAGGGAGCCAATTTAAGCTCCTGTCGTGCACGGACCCAGTTGGCAAGAGACCTATGGCTTGGGATACCTGCTAGAAGAGATAGATGTTGCTGATTCTACGATCCAGTAATCCAGACTCACAACTAGCGCAAGATTTTGAGTATGGTCAGGCTAGGTAGAAGTCAGGTAAGCCATCGGCTGGGTCACGTAACATCAAGCAGTTCGCCACTTTGCGGAGTGAATCAATCGTTTGGGTCTCTAATAGGCCGAGCAGCTCTTTTATACTTTCTATTGGTTATTCACTTTGAATTTTTATCCTAATTTTATAGTGGAATCTCTAAAACCCTGGGACCATGTAGATTGCATCTATGTGTAAGACCAGGGAAAAAAGCACCAAGTAAAAATAAGCAGGCCATAAGCAATTGAAGCAGTAGCAGCAAACATTGAGCAGCGAATAATGTTGTGCATAATCCATTTTCCAAACACTTGGATCAGGTGGGGTGAAAGCTGTCAGCAGGGCCACGATGGTGGGTCGGTACAGCAGTGTGAATCCAAACTGTGTTGGTGCCAAGACGGCAGACGTCCGTGCGGAAAGACATCAGAGAGTTGTGAAAGGGATGAAGCCCTTTTCGCTGACCACTGTAATGATGGTTTTGGTGGTGATAGAAGTCAAAAAAACATAACTTAAGGGTAAATGATGTTTCGTCTTGTACCGATTGAAGTGCGGGGTAAAAGCGGGTATTTAATATGGGTCCGGTTCCGCTGACGTTAAGCAGCAGTCAATGGGATATCCCATCGAGTGCTGCAAGGCGACAGTACATTGAGATGCGGGGGAGCAGCCAATCGGGCCACTTCGGGCCCCTTTTTCCAACCAACCAACGTAATTGATAATAGATACTTCCAATTACTAGAGATTCTGCGTATGAAATCGGTACCAGCAATCTTCTGAGTTACAGAGAGCTACATCGCACTCGAGGCAGCCCATCCTCGTGTACTTCCCAGGGATACCGGGCTCAACCTCCGGAGGCTCGCGGGGCCGAACAGTGGCATTATCACATTGCTCCGGCGTACAGTCGGCAGTGCAGGCGGCGGCGAGGTCCTCGGGCAGCAGGGCAAAGATACACGACTTCGCCGAGCCCGTGGAACGGCCAGATCCGTCAGAATCGTCAGAATCCATTAATTGAGTATTGGTAATGATGGATTTGGTAGATGTACCGGAGTGGAAATCATAGGGGCAACTCAAGCAGTGGATGTACCAGATGCGGTGCGGGGTAAAAGGGGGCCCGTTATGTGGAGCCAATGTACTGTCGCCTTGCAGCACTCGATGGGATAACCAAAGATTTACCTCTCATATCGAAATACACTGCTCGAGACAGCACAATCATCGAACAGCATTTCCTCAATGATTCTCTACATTACTCGATATCGACTCAACAATCTCAAACCAATTGACTAGTTCGAAGCTCCGAATTTACCATGACTGAGACCGTTCTTGTCTTCGGCGCCACGGGCAATATCGGCGTGGCCGTCATCATTGGTGCTCTGCGAGCCAAGCGACATGTTATTGCCGTTGTGCGCAGTCAAGCCAGTGCTGAAAAGATGTTCAAGTACGTCGGCAGCCGCGACAATATCACTGTGGTTGAAGCCGATCCCACTTCTGAGGACTCTCTCCGAGGAGTTGTCGACCAAATTCGGGCTGGTAAAGTCCCTGCTTTCCAGCATGTGTGGGCCTCGCGTACGTATATTTCAGTATTTTACGAGATGATCATACTTTGGGTTCACATAGATTACTGACGTGTATGCCAGCTGGAGGAATTTACTGGGAGACTCCTATCCTGGACATTGACCCTGCGGCTCTTCGTGAGGTTCTGAAAGTGAACTTCGAGTCATACTTCTGTAAGAAAGCTCCGAAGACAAGAGTAGAACACTTCCTGGTTACTAATGATGCACCCAGATGCCTATCGTGCGACAGTGCCCTACTTGCTTGAGCAAGGGTTTGCCGACAGCACTTGGACCTTGTGTACAGGTGCTCAAGGCGACTATGGTTTCCGCGCCGCTCCCGCAGTGACGCAAGGTGCTCTCTTCAGCTTTGCCATTGCTGCGTCTCGGGAGAATGAAAAGACAAACATCCGCTTCAACGAGGTCTACCTCGCCTACCGAGTTCAGTTCGAAGTCGACGATGAAATCAGGAAGGCGTGGGCTGGATATCACTTGACCACCTGCGATGAATTTGCCCCCTTGTACCAGCAGCTTCTGGACAGAGTGGACATCAGGGGCAGCAGAGTCAAGGCCATCACTCCGAAGGATGTTCTCGAACTCTCTGTTGAAAAGAGATACAAGGCCTGATCGTGTACAATAAGAGCTATAGATGATCACAGTGATGATAGGTGGGCCGAGAGATACTGAAGGATTTCGATCAATTCACGTTAGGACATACAGAAGTCAATTTCGATCATCGGTTGATGAATACTTAATTTTAGTAGGCCTCTCATGGAAGGCAGAAAATTTACTGCTTCGGATAAAAAGACTGGAAAGCTGTTGGTAAATACTACAACTCGCATTAATTCTAGAAAGTACTTAACTTAGCGGCATGCTCACTAGTACATACTGTGTAAATCCGGACTGTCAGAGGCATTACTTTGCTCGAACCAGCTGAGCGATGACCCAAGTATCTCTGCCAGCGCACGACGCCTATATATAAGGTAAGGCAAAGGACTTGTGCCGAGGGGCTGGTCCGTGGTCCGAGTCCGGGCCGGATCCGACACTTCGGTTTCGTAACTGGCAAACAAGCTCACGATAACAAGAGTTTAAAGAGATTACAAGACGCGAGTTATCGGCGCCCCACTAGATGATGAATTAAATTGAAGTGCACCCAGGCTGTTAAAGAGGCACTCACTCCATGACGCTGTTTACTGAACAGCCAATGAATGACATAACCGAAGTGCTCGAATTCGATTCAAGCCGCAGGTCCAGGACTCTCTACTTTAGCCTCTCGTACTTCTGAAACAGGGACGATAGCGGCTTGGTGTGGCTTTACGTCGCAAATCCCCACCACACTATGATGTCGAGTCAGTCTCGATAGCCGGTGTACTCCGTACGAATCGTCTGATCTTGGGATGGCAGTAGAAGCCAAGACAACGCGGCTCAAAGCCTATTCAACATCTAAAATGAAAACAAGAAGAAATTTCAGGGAGCCAGACAGAATATTCACAGATTTCAACTGGGCTTGCCCTGCGGAGGAAGGCATGACGGGTAATGAAGCTAAGACAATGTCTGTGGATGCGATGAAGAAGTTCAGACGAATCATGCTCTGCCTGTTACGCCCCCAGACGAACCGGAAAGGATTGCCGACTACATATTTGGCCGCGGTAGCCGTCCCACCGTTCGCCACTGCAGTCTTGGAACGGGATGGCAAGGGACCCGCGCATTAATCCCCATAAATAGCAGCAACCCACGCCTCATGACACGCGCGCTCCTCGATTAAGTTGATTAAACTTTTTGATAACGCAGGTTGTCCTTGTCTGAACAGAACACATTCTAACAATAACTGAAAATAATGTTGATCTTCAATTTCCATTCATTTACCAGAAGCCGAACCGCCTGGATAGATTGAGCTGATCATGTCTGGCCCTGCGGCTCCTCCGGGCCATCTGATGAAAGATGCTGATTACGAAGCGGAGAGACCAGATACAAATATCAACGGGTGACTGACTGAAAGCTGATAAGTTTTATCAGTCTTTTATCAGTCTTTCTGAAGCCAACACTCGTTCCAAACCCACATTCGTTTATCACTATGTTACAGTCACTCACTCCTTTGACTCTGTTAGGCTCGCTCCTCCTGGCCTCGGGTCAAGGAGCTTTGAGTCATGGCCTTTCCGATCATGCCAAGAGATCGATCGAGTAAACAATGCACATGTCCAGCAAGCGGGCTTTGAATGGTTTCTATGTCATCGACCAACAGGCTGGAAGTGAATGGGGCTGCACCGAGGAAAAGATCGCCGCGTTGGAGGGAGCCGTCAGAGATACGCAAGCATTGGCGTTCATGGCTTCTACCGTACTCGCTGAAAAAGATTCCGAGTTTTCTGGCGCTTACATCTTTTGGTTTGGTGGTAAGTTTAGACTTCTATATCAGACAGTGCCTGCAGGATGATGGTGTTCGACAGTTGAAAACAGAGGACAACACCAAGGCCGCCACAAAGAACTCCATAAAGACACTCAACTACGACCCTGTTCAAGATTTTCTCAAAGCCCCAGGCGCACGCAACCGCGTCGATGATATGAGAATAGACAACCTCAGCCCTACCGGGCTTACGTACATGTGCGCTGCTGCAGATGACAGCATGTGCGCCGGCGGAATGGCTGCAGCGGCTCACCAACACGGAGCCGGAGGATTATCAGGCCACTCCATTGTCTTGTGTGACAGTTTCTTCGGGGCCAACTCACAGCAAGACATGTTGCGGACTTGGAAGGACACGCGAAGACTTAGCGCCTCCTCCAGCTTTTGGTTGCTGCACGAAGTACAGCACTTGGGGGCGATCGTAAGTGATGGTCGACGATGCGTCGATGTTCCTGATCCCAATGAAACTGGTAAGCATCGACTGCTATTCTGTCTCTATACGTTCTTGTTGTCAAGAGCTTAGCTAATAAAAACAGCTGTTCGAGACTCAAAGGCGCCGATAAAATTAGAAACGCTCAAAACATGGCGTTCTTTGCATTGGAGGTCATGGCAGATCCCCAGGGTGGTGCAGCACCCGGAAAGTCAAGTACCATCATGAAAAGAGACACAGGCAGCGTCTTGCTCGGAGGGCCTGAGGACCTTATGGCCAGAGCAGATTACATCCCAGATGCAAAATACGAGGCGATGCTTCGTAGGCAGGCTAAGGCATCGTCAACCTGGATCACGACGCACCGAAATGGCACAAGCTCTCGTGTCCCGACCGCTCAGTCGAGCAAATTACTCTCGCCATCTTCGAAGAAGCCTACCGGGCCGGCGTCAGCCTCTCGTTCAAAGCCTCCGATGCCTCCTGTATCTTCGGGACCTCGATCCAGCAACCTAGTACCACCATCATCGTCAGGACCTCGATCAAGCAACCCAGCGCCACCACCATCTTCAGGGCCTCGATCCAGTAACCAAGGACCTGTCTTTACCACCAGGCCACCTGTCCCGGTGAGCTCCTTTTCAGGCGCTTCATTCTCGTACTCGTACTCTACAGCCCCGCCAACAACTGAGGAAGGTGGAGTTCCTGTTGTCCCCATCGTTCCAATCCCCATACCTATTGCACCAGTTGCACCAGTCCCCCCGATCGTACCCCCAGTCGGTGGTGGTGGCGGCGGAAATGGCGGTGATAATGGCAACAACGGCGAGAACTCGAAGCCTGCGGAATTAAATCCTCCGAAGACCTCAGAGCCTCCATCCTCTCCTACGTCGCTTCCACCTACATCGTCCTCGAGGCCATCGCCTACCTCATCGGAACTAGCCACCCGATGTTCTTCCAAACCACCATTGTCAGTGCCCACTGGAGGCGATGCATCACCAGATAGAGATGGGTTTCCTCAGGCAGTATACGACGGTCTTGCCGCGGAAGCGCGTAGCACGAGCAGAGCGAGCAGCTCGAGCTCTACATCCTCGCCACTCATGGTTATCACTGACGTGCCCGAACCTGAGACAACCGTTGAGGTGACGCCTACTGCTACATCTACTGCCGCTCCCGTCAACCCCGTTGCTTGCTACAACTTTGACATTGATGCCTATGGATACTGTTGTCCTGGCCCGGGTAACCCATGTGAGAAGGATCTTGGAAAGTGCTATTTCAACGGAGAGGGCGTCTCTGGTCGTGCGAGTGGAATCGTGCCGGACGGAGCGCGCTGCCCGTCTCCTCCTGGTGCTGAATACCGCAGAGGTCCTTGCGAGGAGTAGTGTTATCAAGATAGGCGCTAATAACCATAGCCGTTTCCGCGCGGCCTTTTTTGGGAGTCTTCCTTTGGTTTTACCATGAACGGCAAATTGATACCTTCTTTAGTTCTGCGCACGGGTTGTAGCTTCAAATTGTTATTTTGGTGATGTCCCAAGACTCTGCTTTGACATTCAGTTGTCTCTTGATATCTTACTGGGCCACCTATGCTGTATTACTGAGGTCATACACACCTTTGCGAAACCAAGGAACTTAGTTCCAGGTTCTGCTGTATGTTTTAGGAACATCACATCGGGTTTTTGTTTGCTTTCCGACATCTACTTTTTTTTCAGGTAGTGTTTGAATAATGGGCTATTGCGATCTCAATTTGGTCGATTTGAGAAAGTCTCAATAGCAACGTGAGCCTGGAAATATCAATGATATAAGGTAAATAACGTCGAATGGGGGTGTTGGCTGTTTTCACGGCGATACCCACATATCCTTTGATATGGCACCTCCATTGTCGTTGTTGAAGACTAAAGGCAGAAAGTGGTAAACAGCAGTTTGCTTCTCTACGTAGGCTCTAGAACTTCCTTCGTTCTGACACTCGTCCTACTTCCTTCGGCCTGAACTTATTACAAGGCTTTAATGGAGTGCTCCTTTGCTATTAGAAAAGATCTCATCATGGTAACATGGTTTAACATCCACTAGATAGCTTGACGCATTCTTGAAGCAGTATTGAAGACTAGAAATAAGCCATGCTCGGCTTGGGTACCTACTACTTAGCTAGAAGATTTCGGGCCGTTGAGTGTGCCACATGATTAAGACAAGACTAAGTCCGTAGACAGCATGTTTTACAGCAGAGCGTCGATTCACAAGTGGGGCTAAAGGCCGATTCTACGCGCACTTAATTTGCTACGAGCCATGGCTCATTATTTGGCCTTACTTTATGAGCCTTGATATGATTAATTTCAGTCGTAGCTGAGACTCCTAAGTCCAGTAAATGTTCCTGTGTTGACCCAGCTGTGCTGCTTCGCCTCGGTGCGTTGGCTACTAATAATTGAGCATGCAAGGGGCACAAACACACACACACACGATACGCCACTGAGTCTCAAACGGGACCGAAGGATAGTCCCTAAGCTTTTTATGCCATCAGAGTGACTTTTTTCGGCAAGGCAACGGCGGGTTGGGCTTCCATACCATGGCTTTGCTTGAAAGACTGGCCACTGCTGAGGTGCCACGTCCGTTCTTTCTGTCCTGATATCTCAATCCTTCCGTCGTCTTGAAGCTAGACTTTTCATAACGCTGTTCCAGTCATTTTGAGTAAGGTGCCTCTCAGCGCCATCTAGGTGTTCTAGATGACGACAATCATACATGCTGTGCCGCCCGCCCGCCTGGTTTGGGCAGCATCAGCCAATACATTCTTCTCAAGACGTTCTCGGGGTCGCCGGCTTGGTATTCTATACACGGATGTGTCTCTGTCACTTTTTGGACAAAGCCTAGCTCTTTTCTGGCGTTAGATCGACGATAATGCATGAGAGAAACGTGAAAAGGCACTGCTCGGTAAGCATTTTTTTCTCTCTCTCTCTTAGCTGCATTGCAGATCACCTCGCTCAGCGGGCTGTTGAAGCGGCACACAAACAAAGTCCCGTACATATGTGTCACGAAATCCATCACCTCTTCAACTGGATTGGCCCCCAGGGAGAAAACGAAGTGATCGCGACAAGCGCTCATGCCGCCAGAAGAACACAATATTGACAAGGCGGTGAAAATCTGCGACGCTGCTGCTTGTGTGTCGGCCGGCTGCGATATCACTTGTAGTCACGGAGGCTCCAGCTTTGGGGGCTCTTGGGGGCCATGCGAAAAGCCCCATGGTGTTGGTTTTCCTGCAAGCCAAAGTGGCCGCCGAGATGCACCCCGGTCTTCGATCCTTGATATCGGGGTCATCATACCATCAGGTACTTAGACTGATAGAGAGGCAACGTAAGCTATCTAACCTACCCAGATGGGCTTCAGATACATATTTCTACAGGGTAAGGGATAATGCGATGTGTCGTCGTTGCAGGTTCTTGCGGACTTTGCTATGGCAGCACTGCGTCAGTCAAAATATCATCTCGATGATGAGCCGTATTGAGAATAACGTACCTACCTATACCCTGACGCCACGTTATGAAACCTGCTGCCAACTCCGCAGTGGAAACTGATCCGCCGTGCACTGGGCTGAATGTCTTTGCCCGAAGAAATTTTCCCTGTTTCCGCGCAGTCAGCGAGCGGGTAGATGCAGAAAAGGGCACTTTCTCCTACTTGGAAGTGCCAATCCCGACGCGATAGAGGGGTTTGAAGTGCTGTTTACTGAGGCATTTACCCCAAATTCTAGCTCAGTCGATGATTTCCAAAGGAGGTCAGCTCCTTCGCATTTTCGCCTCGAAGAAGTGAAGGCTTGTCCTCCAAAGGCCTGATAACGAATCGATAGAAGAACAGCTTTGCATGGCAAGGGGCCTAGGGCGGAGTGCAACTGATGCTTCTCACACGATCAAGCCCCTGACCTGTCTTTCTACAAGTGCCCGCTCAAAGTAAGGGGCTTGGAGATGCTCTCACCCGCATACAGTCCACAACTCTCTCCGAGCTAAAATTCTAGTACCGTAAGCCGCCATGGGTCGCCAGGGCTTGGGACGTCCCCATGATAATCCTGATCATTCGAAAGAAATGCGACTAACTGCTCGCCCGGTCTTGTCTAGGCAGCAAACTGAACTAAATCTTCGAATACGCGTCATGCAGGCTGACATAGGTTTACATCAAAGGTCGCTGGATGCTGATTAGTGAATGATAGGTCCAGAGGTCAGAAAGCTCACGACACGAAAATTTGGGCCCGATGGGCATCTTGGACATAGAGTGAGGCCCAACGTATCGAGACCACTCATTGGCCCTGTTGTCGCTAGGTCAGTGATATGCGTAAGGTATCAAAACGAGTCTGATCAGTGAGCCAGCCAACTTACTTCAAGATATTGACAAAAGCCCGGCCGTTTGACCATAATGCTTTCTCATCCCTCTCTTGAATATTTCCAAGTCGTACTCGTTGATTGTCTCCTGAAGTCTTCAAGAATGAATTCACCCAGTATGGACTCACATCCCAAGAGACAAAACTCCAGGCGACGTTCCGAAGCCAGGGTTCAACCTCAGCACCGCTCAACGGCAACCTCCCCATACGCCCAAGCCCCAGTGCAGACGGCATTCCCACAGCCGTATACCGGATCATCAATCTACCCCTCGAATCCATCGGCTCTGCCCCCCACCCATGAGAATTCCGGGCAAGGCTTCCCTTCTTTTGGCACACAAAACGCTGCTGAAGATTCGCAGCCGGATCGTTACCCCCCTGCATATCATAATATGAACACAATGGCGTACTCGTACTCACGCAGCGCCCCAGCATACAGCATGGCTTTCAACCCGCCCATGCCGCCGAACCCCAACTATGGTGGCTCGCCATACGGGGCTCAGCCAACCGCGACTCAGGCGTTCATGTCATCTTTGCCGCACCACAGTAACCCAAATAGCCCTTTGACGTCTTATTCTGGTTTTGCGGGTCACTCGTCCGCCGCAAGCTCTTACGGCCATACCTATGCCGTCAGTTCTGCGACAACAACACCCAGCGCATCGAATACGCCTACGCAGCCCTTGTCACCCACGCTCGTGGGGGTGGGTGCTTGGGACCATAGGCAACCCATAGAAGATGATCAAGAGCCGCGAGTTGAACGAAGCCATCGCGAAGGGCGTAGGTTGCACCACACCGAGTTCCCATCCAAATCGCAGCGATCCGAATCGACAGAAGTAAATCGATCCAGCAGGTAAAGATCTCCAAATTGACTCTCTTTAGTAACCTGTTCTAACTGATCCCCAGTCCTTCCAGAGAGGTAGGCATCTACACAAAGAGAACCGGCGGCCGTTCTTCCGCGTCGTGCAATGATGACCAAAAGAATAGCAATGCTCGGCATCGCAAAGACGACGACAAGGACGATAGTAGGAAAGGTAGCGAATGGAGACGATACAGTGGCTCAGATAGGCGTGGGACAAGAACTTACTAGTTTGGATTGTATCTCCTTGAATTTAATCTTGCTTGGTGGATTTCCAATCCGGCGGGCGCGGGTTCCTATTGCGCTGACTTGGGATTTGCTCCGCCTTTGTCACCATAGTATTCAGATCCACTCTACACGGTTTGGCTAGGATAAAAGTGCTCTTCTTCTTTCGTCATTAGTACTATCCGTAGAGATGTTTTAGAGCTCAGTTCTCTGGGGTTTGGTCTTTTAGAAGCATATGTAACTTGAAAATGTTTTTCCACTTTCATCCCTGGGTGAAATGACACATCGGCATTCGGCTCTTACCACAATTCATAGCGCTATTTGGTCAAAAGAAATGAAGCTGTCAGATATTAAGCGACTCTCGGCCAAGCACATATATTTTGTCCAATAGGGCACCTTGTCCTAGCGAGGCTTTGAAGACCCATGAAGTTGAAGTGATTGATTGGACTTAGGCTGGTAAGAAAGTGAGGCGGAGCAAGCAGGATACGTCTTCTCCGCCCGGGTATCCGTCGGTCGACTCATCCCAACCAAAGATCTTTGCTTTTCTTTGCATGGCGCTTCTCATGCAATTGGCTCGGAACCTTGCCTAGTTCCCATAGAAGCTTTGCCAGGGCAGGACGCAGAGATGGGGGCCCAATCAATGGCCTGAACTTCGACTTCGTACGCATCGCCACCCTTGCTCTTCGCGCCCAGTCAATGGGCCTTTTTCCCGAAAGAAACCCTTGCTGCCGAAGCTTGTCCACTTTGCACACAAATATGAGCGGGCTTGGTCCACCAAATAGCACTTGACAGGTTGAAAATCAAGGAAAGAGAAGCAAGATGAGTGGCGCGGACCGAACGGTGACGCCGCGTCCCGCCTGGCGTGGGATGAACGAGACCAGAGTCTAGAACTCTCCATACCTGACCCCTGAAGAGCCATGGTAGAGTTTCCGGGGTCGTTTGTGACCACTGGACCTATCAATCATGTGATTGAGAGAGCTTTGCGCGAAGCACTGCCAATCACTCCAACGTTGCCAAATGTGCGAGGCTGAGGACAGAGTCCAGGAACTTCCAGCCCATGTACAACCTGGTGTCATGGAAATCCGATGAGAAGACACACTTTGACATAATTGGCAACATCTGGTAATCGAAGACAGGATCTGATTAAACCCAACATTCGGTATCAATCAGCTCCGGCCTCTGGTGGCACCGGACAAAGCACGAGCCCCCATGTTAGCGTCAAATCAGAACTCTGGAGCAGGACTACTCCGCGAATCCCTATTTTGTACGGAGTACGAATACTAAGGTTTCTTACGAACATGATTTCAACTGAGCTCTCACGTACCGATGAGTGGAGCACGCGCGTATGAGAATCAGTCCACCTTCGGACCTTCCTCGCTCCCGAAGGATGATCTGTAGGGATCACTTGGCGGGATTGCTTAACTTTACGACTAGGGAAACTGTGCAGATACTCTGGATCGAGTCCTATCTAGGCCATGGCAATGGTCTCTATGAGTACCTTACTGGGTAAGTAGGGCGCAGACAGGGGCCTGGGGTTGTCCGGAGTCCGGACGACCAGATGAACTACTATGTTTGAGTGCCTTCAGAGGATCTTCAATCCAGCTTTCTGTCCAGTTGCCTTTTCCAATTAGTCTGAAGTATAAGTCTTCGCTATTACTTACGGTCTTGCCGAGATCTGGAGGGTTACCAGAGTCGGCCTGTGCCCGCATCGTGAGATTGCATGTAAGATTTCCGAATTAGGCATCATGGCGCCAAACCTCGAATCGGCCGACTGACCGATCGATCTCCTAAGTATACCGTGTCATGAGCCTATGTCATCATTCGGGCTCAATAGGAAATCTTGGAAGGCCTTGTCTCAGATCTATCATCTGCTTGATCACCGTGGGCAGCTGGAGTTTAGCTTATGACCGCCAGTTGGTAGAGCGTACATCAGGTGTATGGCATCGTTTATCGAGCGTCGGCGACGTTGATGGCCAAGGAGGTGGCCTATGCACGATGGTCTGAATCCCAAACAGGCAGGTTCCGCCTAATTGAATCTATGTGCTCTCACACTAAGGTGACTGGTGGCAGGGTTGAAAGATGAATTACTTTCTCTGTGCTATCTAGGAGTCGATCGGCTGTTTACCTCATATCCTAGTTTTTCACGATGGCTTTAGTCCATTTCCAACTAGAATTTTCGAAAGTCGCCGGCTGTTGAAAGAGTTGTATATCTTAGTTCAGAACTTAAGCCTAGCCTGTTTTAACAACAACCGCCCCGGCTTCTAGAGCGGAGTCTAAGTAGTTGAATCGGCCCCTTGCACTGGGAAACGGTGGCTGAATGCTAGCGTGAGCTAGATTCGAGCCAAGGTTGCGTGATCTTTGACTTCATGTGCGATCTTGTAAGTCTAGGAACTTGGTCAAGGGCAAATCAGGGACTCGCACGGAGAATCCGCATGTGGCATATGACTTGACTCTAGTATATAAGGCGTCTTTCTTCACGGCCAAGGTTGATATTTTCCATTCCGCATCAGGCACTTCCCATCCATCAGTCATTCTTTGATCATTCTCCAGTCACTCTCTACTCGTCAGTTATTCAATCGCTACTCATTACCTCTCAATACAACTTGAAAGGTAGGTTGCTCCCTCTCCTTGAACCCTTACCCGCAGGCCCTATTGCTTAGTTATACTAAAGCTTGTACAGAATCCCTTACGTCCAACATTCAAGATGCGTTACACCACTGCTCTCATCGCTGCTCTGCAGGTCGCTGGCCTCGTCCAGGCTAGTCCCATTCCCTCCAACAGAGATGTCGCTGTGCCTGTCAACAGCCAAGCCCTTGACATCCGCACCCCCGGAGACATCGCCAACCTTGATGCCGACAAGATCGTCGATCTCGAGGTCCGCGGCATCGAGAAGCGTGCTACCGATATCACTCTCTCTGCGAACACTGGCTACTACAAGCGCGTGACCTACAAGGGTGCCGTCATCCTGCTTCACATCTTCTACGACCTGGCTGTCAACCACGTCGTCTTCTACTGGACCATTGACGGCACGACCCCGGCTCCTGGCAGCATCCCGCTCGCCTTCGACGACCCGATTGGCGGTGGTTTCCCTCTCAGAGACTACACCCACGACACTCGCTACAACCTTGGAAGTGCTATGCGCCCTGGCGATATCATCAAGATCACCCCTTAGATGCTAGTCGGTCTAAAGCATGACGGTCACTTGGAGATGACCATAGTCAAGCTCTTTGTTCAAGATTTCGATGGATGAATCATCAGTCTGGTCATCTCAACTCAATGTATTTCACAAGCCGGCCGTCATTCAATCACGTCAGACAGTCAGGATGGCTCCCTGTATTTGATATAGCGACAAATGTAGCAAGAATACATATCTCCTGGAAATCAGGTATCCCTACGCAATTTGTGTGAATGCTGTAAATATTTGCCGGTAATCATAGGATGAAAGACAGCTTTATGAAAATTTTCTGACCACTCTCCTTCTCATATTTAGAATATCGAAGGCACAGGGTCATGTTATGTTTCAGTGATAGGCGCCGCTTCATGTCTCGCACCACAAGGGCCGGGTACTTCTACATCACCCGTCATTTTGGTTCGCAAGGTGACTGTTGGTATTCCTTTCACAGGGAATTTGGTTCGAACCGTAGGGTCCTGGGGTGACGAAGTATCAATATCTCTGTATTGATTGATTCTGCGTAAGGAGTAGAAGGGAGATTCCAACCGGAGGTTGGGTGGGTAGTCGAGGTCTAATTGTACTCCCTCGAGGTGGCCCATGCTCTGCCCTTACTCGCGGTCGAATTGGACTTCCAATCCGACATTGACATCATCCTCCAGCCTCTCGTGACTTGGTGTCCTGGCCAGACTAGCGCTTAAAAGTTGCGTTGTAACTACGTAGGTACCTGGTGACTACAGACAGTAGGGTGTTGCCAGCCGTTGTGAGAAGGAGATATCGACACCCCTCCTTGCGAGCCTTCTCTCCACCGACGCCCCAAAGTTCCTTGCTCACTGTTCTAGCCAGGGAGGGAGATTTCACCTCAACTCGACCACGCACAATGCCATACAAACGCTCGATTGGTAATGCCAGAGGGCCAGGCCGCCTTGCTTGATGCTGCGCGAGGCTCTGCAGCGCCAGCCCTGAGAAGTGTTCGGGCAGCTAGAGAAAGATATTTCGGTGAGGATGGGAAGCCAGTTTGGCTGGACAGGTCTCACTGATGTGCTGGCAATGCGAAGAGGCGCTCAGCATTCCTTCCAGGCCCTTCAGGGGGTCTAGAACAAGGCAGAAGGATGGGGCTTTCGACCTTGTGAACGGCTCGGATGTACGACCGCACCTCCGAATGTTCGTGGTGTCTGAATATCTGTAACCCAGACCCAGAGGGTGAGGTTAGGGGGTGACAACATCCAGGGGCGGTGAGAGCTGTCTCAGTATCTATGTATATGTGTCATTAGCAGCAGTGCGAGAAAGGGTGTAGGTACTTCCTCATTCCTTCTCATCCAATACCGGTGCTCATTCCATGATACCTAGATAAGGCAACCTTCGTATTCTATCTACACATCGCCTCACTCTCCTCACTTCGACACTAGCTCGATCATGCCTGGCTTCCAAGTTTGTGGCAGGGGGACGGTGATGTATCAGAGTGGTAGGCGGGAACTTCCCATCTGAAGGCTTCTGGCGTCATCATAGTCTCGTTCGCGTCTACATTTCGCCCTTGAGGACTTCCCCAGGCAGCCAACCTGCTTGTTCCCTAGGTGGATTTCTAACAAAACGGAAGAGTGACTGCTGGTCAGGATCAGGCCTCTAGCCATTTTGACTTCACGCGGGTCAGTCACAAGATGAGGGTGTGCGTCTCACCCCTCAGCCAGCAAGAATACATGGGGACTTCCAGTCGGTGGAAGTGGGCTTGGAAGCGGGCTTGGTCTCATAGGGAGAGCGAGTGGTTGCAGACAGCGGGCGATACATAACCCGTTCACACCCTTTCATCCAAGGTGGCTTCATGTTCCTTGGACCCCAAGACTGAAGAGTCTCGCTCACCCACCATCACGAACATCTAGCGGTGAAAGATGGTGAACACTCGTCATTCCACTTCAGCCTCGCAAGGCCATCCACTCAGCACTGGTAGCTGTATCGGGGCCCAAGCTGGATCCGCAGCGTGGGTAACACCTCTTTTGACAAATGCGCTTGTCTAAAACCCTTCCAGATCATCTATGAATACCATTGTGGATGACACTTCAAGCCATGGCAAGCATGGGTCTGCAGAGATGTGGCATCCAACGCCTTCACTCGCAGAATTTGTGGATGCCGTGCAGAGCTCGCATGAGAGGCTTGCAGATCGAAGCACCTCTGGCAAGCAGGCCAGGATGGAAAGGAAACGTGCTGCCGCAAGCGCGCTGAGCGCCATTCCCGGGCTGGATTCTCTTTTGAAACCTCTCAAACAAAAGTCTCAGCAGGTGACTGGAGAAAACAAGGGAGACTTTGGGAAAAGGGGATGCTGATGCTGCGCATCAAATCAGGCTGAGACAACTCCGACAGGTAAGATTCCACCGGGCCCCAGCAATGATAGACACAATACAAGTGAGCTTTCGTTCTGGTGTACTGACTTGCAGCCATAGGGCTCTACTATTAGGAGTCCGTTCGCGATGTTAGTGGGCAGTGTCATGGCGGATGATGTCTGGTGTCATCCACGTACGGGGGAAATGGAGCGGAGGCATTGGGGGTTGGAGGGGGGATGCGTGGTTGCTGGAATGTAACGTGACTCTGAAATCCTGAATTCTCAGGGGAGGCTTATAATAATGGATTGGTGTTGTAAGGACATCTTCTGTGGAAAGGCGAGACTCCGCGGCTAGAAATTCCTCTTTTGATAGATGCACCAGACTCAAGCTTAACAGTGTAACAATCAAGATCAATAAAATGTATATCCAACTACCTGCCTAATTCGCTTCCGCATCATAAAACTTCGCGTCGTGTTTACTAGACCATTTGGGCCACCACCACCAGAAAAACGGACGACGGACCTCTCGCGGCATACTTCAGAGCTGTAGGCTAGATAATGGAGTGCAGAGGTTTCTCGCTTGTTGGAAGCTCGGCGACACCACCACTGCAAACGATAAGGGTTGCATCGACTGAGACAGCCCCCAGTTTTCCCGCTTGAGAGAGCTCAGCTATGTTCAAAAAGAAATCGATAAGTGTGATTGATCTCCATTGCCTGCGTCTATTCCATATTTCATCTCGGCACGCAAGAATTAGCGGCGGCCGGCCCGTGGCTCCCTTGATACACTGCGGCCCGTTTTCCTGGAAACAGCATGGGATTTAGACATCGCATCAGAAAAGGAAAGTTGTAAAATATTCCGACCCACGGACAAAAGCCACCCTCGTTGATCTTGAAACATCTGGAGGAAGAAATCCGATGGCATGGCACTGGGGCTTCCCGCTTCCAGGATCAATGATCAACTCTAACTTTTGTCTCTCCTTCAATCTCCTTGCTCATGTCACATCGGTCTACCGATTGAGAATGCCAGCCCGCCGACAGAGGAAAGGATCTCCGAAAACTTGCAGATAGCTGAGGCGCCTGCGGAGTTGGAACACTAAGATGAGCTAGATTGACGGCTCCCACGCGCGTAGCTGTCGTTGAGAGACATGTCTCGATATCGATGCGGGGAATAGCAAATGCAAGATCCTCGTGGTTGTTGCTGTTGTTCAGCCTGAGGGCTGGAAGGGAAGGTTGAGATGGACTCAACGAGGCTTTCCTTACAACGACGCAAACAATCCAGGGAGCTTCTAGCAGTTGGAACTTGTCGGCCAGTTAAGACGGCCTTGCTTTGCCGTTTGCTGTGCCGCCATGGCCAAGTCTGGCACTCCCCCCGAACACAACGCCTGCAGGCTACACCATCAACGATCAGTGTTTTTCAGTTGACAATTCCCGGCGCAAAGGATGGCAGCCGCTGATGGAAAGTTCGTTTCAAGATTTCCTACTTCCTTGCCCGGAAGACTACCCAGAGTCGGGTTTACCAGCCGCTCATTGCTACATCACCAGGGAGGAAAACATCCATGGGATGGGCGCCAACACAGATCCTTCGCCAGCCTGCCGCAAGATCGACTGTTCTTTCTCCCAAAATCCGGGTCGCTGGCTGCAGAGCTTACCGAATCCTTGCTGTTCTTCGTTATTAGACCCCAACGGCCCCAGCTTGTCCCAAATTATCTTTCTAGGTTCACCTTCGGCCTTTCCGACTCTCCAGCATTATAGCTAGCAAGCGAGTTTACGGTCCACAAATGCCAGCAACCGGTGAACAGTCGTCCCCCTTGGTGCAAATAGCAAGACGGCCCCTTCTCTAGCAGAGTGATTTGGTCAGGGGGTAGGGTTCTACTATGCGATACCATGTCGAAAGGCCGCAGCAGTCTGCCTCGGCAGTGCTGCCAGTGCACCTAAAAATGAAGCTGTTGATCAAACCCCCATGCGCCAGTAAGCCTCCGTGGTCCTGCGTTGATTTCTGCCTTTGCCTTTTCCAAGAACTGACCTATCAACCTGGCAGTGGGTACTGCCCCTTCATAGCACATTTGATTCAAGAAAGCTTGACGCTTTCGCACACCGACAAGAGGCCGGGATCATCCCTAATCCCAAACGACACTTCCCTTCATCCATGGCAAGAGCCTTTGGCCTTGCTTTGCCGATTCGATGTCGAAGCTCGAGTACGATCACCCATGTCTGGAAAGGCTTCACGTATCCCGGTGATGGGTAGGCAGAGTGCCCAAGGTTGTCACGGACACACATCAAGCTTGGTGTCACTCATCGGACTATAAATATGGCGGCGCTTCGTCGAGCGCTGACGAACGGACCTTTCGGTCATCGTTGCTTCAGTACGATTCTTCAAGATAAGTGACACGCGGCTTCTTGACTCAAGAACACTATAAGTTACTTCCTCTTGCTTCATCCTGCAGTCATGTCGACTCCTATCCACTACGGCACAGACGGCCGGCAGGACTACAAAGCAAGCAATGGACAATGGTATCCTTACACAGAACCATCCTACTCGAACACAAACCAGACGTCAACTCAGCAATATCACCAAGCCCAGTATGTCGAGCAACGTCCAAGCTACCATCAGCATGCAGACAACACAGCGGAAGCTGGAAGGTATTCAACATTGTCTTTCCTCGGTTGTTAAGATACTCGCTCACTCATAGTCATAGTTTCCACGGAGGAACCGACCCTTATGGCGACAACGACCTTGCCACTGTTTCTTCTTCCACTCGCATTGGAGAGAAAGAAACGGCTAAATATGTAAAGAAGCAAGAGAGGGAACAAAGACATCGAGAGCAATTGCGCAGGGGTGGGCATTTCTCCCGGAGGAAACATGAGAAGGAGACAAAGAAAAAGATTGAGGAGACTTTAAAGCCATTCCAGCAGAAGTAGCCCAGTAGGTGGGAAGTGGAGATCAAGATACCAGGTTAAGGGGGGTTGAGCAAACCACCATTGCGTTTTGTCAAGGTACACACGAATGCCGGGCTGCTTTAACTTTGGGTCCTTTCTTGTTTCTGCATAGCAGGTTTCATGTATCTTCGACGGTATCTCCTTGTGTCTGTAGAATGCTCTCTTGTATACTTAGTACTACTGTGTTTCACGTCATCCACAAAGCCCCTTCCTGCCCAGCATAGCATAGTTGTCTTCTACTCTGGTTATTCGTCAAGTCAATACGGCTGTTCGTTCAAGTCGAGCTTCCAATCATGGACACATGGATCTGGGATAACACCGGTGGGTCTACACCGACACGGCCCTCTGCTTAACTTGACCCTTAAGTACCTTAGTCAAGCACCTTAGCTTACATTAATCCCCGATATGACATCACGTCACACTTGCTTGGATGCCGATCAGGGGACTTGTAATCGTTGGTGCGGTCAAATCCGCTGCGGCTTGTTGCAGCCAGTGGTAATTTTTACATCTGTGTCTGCAGTAGCAGTTCTAGTGTTCTACAAGTCTAGTTTCTACATCTATAGTCTATACACTCGTACCCTTGTTCACCACTCTTCCTCCACTTAGAAGGATACTTATTCGACTCTCGCCCTCTTCTGGCCGTTGCCGTTGGTGTGGCCGTTGGTAACGTTGGTCTCGCCCTGGGCAGCAAAGTACTCCAAGCTTCCCTTGGGGTCGGCCTTCATGCCCTTGCTGCCGTTCATCCAGCCAGCGGGGCAGACCTCGCCGTGCTCATCGGTGAACTGGAAAGCCTCAACAAGGCGGATAGTCTCCTCGACGTTGCGGCCGACGGGCAGGTCGTTGACGGTGATCTGGCGGAGGATGCCCTTGGGGTCGATGATGAAGAGGCCGCGGAGCGCGACGCCCTCCTCCTCGATCAGGACGCCGTAGTCGCGCGAGATCTTGTGGGACTTGTCGGCGACGAGGGGCAGCTGAAGGTCGGAGCCGAGGCCGCCCTGCTTGCGGGGCTTCTCGGTCCAGGCCAGGTGGGAGAAGTGGGAGTCGGTCGAGACGCCGAGGACGGTGGTGTTGATGGCGTTGAAACGGGGCAGCGCGTCGTTGTATTGAATAATCTCGGTCGGGCAGACGAAGGTGAAGTCAAGGGGGTAGAAGAGGAGGACGACCCTGTAGTGACGAGTTTAGTTTTAGGTTGTCTCATTTTCAGCCCGCCGTTCTGGCTACGGCTAGTTCAGGGCGAATCCACATACCATTGTCCCAGGTAGTCGGACAGCTGGATGTCCTTGAACTCGCCGCCGGGAAAGACGGTGGTGGCCTTGAAGGCGGGAGCAGGGCGTTGAACGAAGGCGGTGGAAGACATCGTGACGGCAATAACGTGTATCTTTGCGGAATTGGAGGTGAACAGAACAGAAAGAGCTATTGTGGATGAGATGATGACAGTGTCGGAGCTTTGCGCCAGGAGGCGGAAAATTTCCTTATCTATGTTTCACTGATCTCAAGCTTCCGACTCAGATCCCGGAGTTGTGGATACTTTCTTTTATCAATTGATCCACAGATTGCTCCATCGTCTCATTTCGCTAATCTTTCACATACTGGTCATGGCGTGATGCGTTAAAGCGCTCTTAACGCGTCGCGTGTTTGGTGTTTAGACTTTTGATAAGTGGGGAGGTGAGAGATAGGATCTGATTGAGTCTTACTCTTCCTCGTGATGAACTCTATGTTGAAGCTTTGAAAGTGCATTGTTGAGATGCCAAATGGCAATGGGTTTTCAAGTGCTTATATGAACCATCCCCTTTGCCTTTCATTTTTGAATAAAATTTGAACAATTGATGAACCGACAGTAAGTAGACAAGTTTGCAATCAGGTACCGTATATAGATCATCGCATCATTTCAGTCCATCGGTCATCTAACTCAGCCTAAGTACCATCATCAAGTAGGATGTTTCCATGCCATCCAACCAATCCATATCTGTACTCCGGCCAGTATGATGCTGATAATACCTACACAAATTGAAATGCACAACGCAACTAGTGCAATAAAAAGCGCATTTCCGTCGTTGCTCTTTCGGTATAACCAACGCTCAAACTTACTTCGAGGTGGTCGACTTTGCATATGGTCATATAACCGCGTGATTCGCTCGCCCCAGTGAAAGTAAACAACCCCATCCAGAGACTCTCCGGGAACAATGAGGCCTTTGTAATCTTGACATCGGCGGTCGAAGCTGTTTCCCCTCTTAGAGACCAACTTTTTCAGGATTCTCGCTGACTTGTGATCCGCAACTGGGAAGAGCACGTATTGCAGCGAGTGCAGAGTCTCAACGAGTAATTGGGTGGGCAGAGTCCCACTGAAGAAGAATCAGCTCAAATGTATCATATTGGCTGAATATCTCAACGTTTACATAGAACTTGAACTCTTACCTCTTGAGACTGTCCTCTACACTTTTCCACAATAGATCGCAGCCCTCCACCTGCTTCGTAAGGTGCGTCTATAGAAATCCTGCATTATGAAAGATAAAAAGAACGTTTCTCTCGTGGTCAAAAAGGAAGTGTCTTGTAATGTCGTCTGTTTCCCTAATCTCGAGTTTGGCCCTTTTCTCAGCTTCCATGCCGTCAGAGACTCTTCCATGTCTCTAGTTATGGGGATTCCTTGATTCTGTGCCATGGTGCGACAGCCAGGGATTGAGCGCTGAAAAAAAGTCGATGAATTCCTCCCCTACACCCCAAGATGTGGGCTTGAAACCTGCCACAGTATAGTTTATCGTATGATGCGTAGGGGCGTAGCAATCAGTCATTATCAAGACTCGAACGGCGAGTCCTAGAATCTTACTGATTTCCGTTTCTTCTTCGGTAGGGCGGCCATGTTTGATACGCTGCTGCAATTCTGCCACTACTTTTCTCCTGCTTGCTCGGGGATCCTGCTTCAGAATTTTAACCGCTTCAAGAAAGTGTTCATGTGTCAAGGTCTCAACTTCAGGACTGATGGCTTTCCCTACGTCGAACTTCTTGCTTGAGACTGCCTCTTCGTAGACTCTGAAGAAAACACAAGTCATCGCGATTTCCGAAAAGCTGAAGGGATATCTCACATTTCTCAATCTGCGTGGGTAATCTCATTTTCCCTCGAGTCGTTCGTGGTTTATGGTCTCAAGAGAAGAGGGGTTGGAAAAGGACGAAGAACACATAATAATCCCCAACGCTGACCGATACCCTGCTCTGTACTTTATGTCCAATAGCATGGTTACCTGTCTGACGGACGGCAGATTCGCCGCTTGTACCCATCGGTGTGGCTGTATGGCTATGCCCGTCGGCATACATAAAGCCCAATCAAGTTCAGTATGCAAGAATGCCTGATGAGTGATATAACGGGTCTAACCACTCAGCCTCTACATGAGGCATACTCATCCTCAAAGCTGCATGAGTTTGCTGCTAGGCGCACCGCCTCAAAACCTCCCAAGAAAAGCCCCCGCTTGAGAGGCACATCGTCGACTTGACGACAGCATTGATTCTTCGACGTATCCTGTCCTCCCAATCTACAGACAATCACTCGATCTTCCAAACTTGATGCATTCAGTCTTACATGTAGTACCGATGGATCCGAATCGCCTTTTCCCTGCAGTAGATCAACTACAGAAGTACGTTTTTCAGTGTCGAATACCACCTCCCTGCCTAACCGTTACAGGAATGCTCGGGCCGAAGATCATTGTCGGCCGCGAAAGCCTCCAAACTTCACCTTGAAGCCGAATCACGATTTCAACCAGCGTTCTCAATCTTCCCCGATCGACAGCCATGTTCCTCTGGAAATTCCCAACGCCGCTAGTGCCAGGTCTGTCACCCTCTCGATGGGGAAGTCACCGGAGGCAGCATTCACAACATCAGATCAAGCGAAACGTCCAGTTTCTCCCAATACAACAATCTGCGCTACCTTCCCAGTTCAGATTGTCGACGCCCCAGTAGTATTACTAGCTGCAACATCAACGAGCCAAGTTCCCGAGCATGGTATTTCGCGAAGTCTACCTGGTAATTAACACAAAGTGGAAGATTTGGCCCATCAAGGAGTTTCCGAGGAATGACAGCAAGGAATACTCAGTTGCTGTGGATCACCTCAAAGGAGCTGTCGATAAGCACGAAAGGCTTCAAGAGGTTGCTGACAAGATCAATTATCAACCGGCTATGGTAGGGACCACTCATAAAAAGGCCCAAGCATCAATCATTGTTCTTTGTCGTTAAGAACACTCGGACAACCTTAAGTCTCTCTTCAACAACAAGTTTCTCAGTCGAATCAAATGCAAGAGTCGGTACTATAAATTGGGTTGGTTGTCGACTTCTAGTATGCTCAGCTCCAACGACGAAGAAGAGGCTATGCTGTGGTTATACATCTGGCCGTGCAGCACGGATCCAACAATTCGCAATTCAGGCTTCGAAGTTGAACCCGTCAATATCACGCTGCCATCCTCCGGAACAGTCTGTGGTGCTTTAGTAGAGTACTGCAATCGTAAAGCGACCATCGGCCTAGTTCTCGAGGTTGACGGTACCACCCGTCTTCTTACGGTTGAGCACCTTTTCAACACCGAAAGCTTGGTCACAAAGAGCCTACAGTGAGTGGGATAGTGCCACATTAACTTAAGGACAATATCGACTGACTGATAATACTTTCTAGAGAGCAGACTCTGCAAAATGCTACCGAGTGGGCATTTGACAGCGATGAGTCGGAAGGGAGCGGCTGGGGTTCAGAAAACCCCGACATCTCCGAAGACAGCGAATCTGAGGAAAGTTTGGGTACAATCTTCAAAGACAACTTCAACGCCACCAAAGGATTGGTGGAGCCCCAAATTTTAAGATCTGAAGAATCGCCCACTCATCTAGCCACAGGACATCAACTCACAGCCGGAGGCCTGGAAGACGCCGACTCCACGATACTCCAAGCTCGAATTATTCCCAACATAACCCCAATTGATGATTCAAGTCCATTCCTTGACTGGGCATTACTCAGTACGACAGATGTGTCACCACCGGGAACTGATCTGAATAACTACATCTCCATTGATGGAGACAGCGGGATATTGCTCCAGGACATTGCAGATGTCCCTTCATCGCACGTTACTCCAGTATATATGATATCCGGAGTTAAAGGGGTCAGAAAAGCACATATGGTTCGAGAAATGAGTTATCTCGGATCCCGTGCCAGACAGGAAATGTGTAAAGTTTGGACATTAATCTTGCCACCAGATCAAGGTAAATGTCTAGTCCTCAGTTTCTTCTTCATTATCCGCATTATTAATGATTATATCCTTAGACATGCTGCCTGGGGAGTGCGGTTCGACTGTTATTGATCAGATGTCGTTCAGAATATTTGGGCAGGTGGTTGGCTCGAACCACCTAGGCCATGCCTATGTTGTCCCTTTGAGGAGCACAATTGAGCAGATCGAGATTGCCTTTGGCGCTGGAAACATACGGATTTTTCAGAATTCATACACTTCATCGCAAACTCACATTGCAGATTGTACACTTCAGAGGAGCCAGAGGAGCCCGACAAACATTTCTGCGCATTCAAATAAAGTTGAGGAGGGAGATGACCACACTGAGCTCAGTTCAGACGAGGACGAAGCTTTTGACGATGCAAGCCCTCAGCTGTCTCTAGAGGACAATGCCGACTTCTTTCAACCAGTTAGATACGACACGTCCGAGGCAGATGCTCACGAAGCTCTTGTTCGCCGGGCCCGTTCCCAGCGCGCTCCGACGGCCTCCCATGCACAGGCTGTAAGCTATAATTCAGGGCACAATCCTACGTCCTCCCTACAGACATACCCGCAAGTCAGTGCGAGTACTGTATTGAGCCGCTTCGAGCCGGATACTCACTGGTCTCATGCTCCGCAAATGAGTTCCCAGTCTGCCCCGTTTGGCCCGACAGCCAGCTATGCACAAGCTACCGGTCATTATCGTAATTCAGAAACGATAGCCACCACGCACGATGAGATGAGTACCATACAGGCGGTTCCATCAGTAAGCGCGCATGAGGCATTGACCAGCATCACTGGTCATTTGGTGACTGGAAGCCAGGGGTAAGACAGCTAGAGTCACGATCCCTCTCAAGAGACCAAGCTGACATATTGTAGTCTTGGACCAGGCCTACAATTAATGCAGAGAGTATACTACGCTCGCCAATATTCCGGAGTACCGCTTCTTCATACGAGTCAACTCCAGGGTACCTCTTTTTCGCCGTCAGCGCCATCATATTACGTTCAGCAGGTTGACGCCTCACTGATGCGTTTACCGGCATGGTCAATCTCATCTCGTTTACCGCCCCCGCGTAATCACGCAGCTGTTTTAAGCGGTGTGTCTGACCTTGGCTATGGTCAAGGACCCTCAACGACGCAAGCGTACTCATATTCCTCTCAATTCGAAGACGATTTCGGCACCAACTCGCGTCAGCCTTCAAGGCGAAGCGATTCCCGGAGAGACACCTCATCTCGTAGAAGTCGTCGTCACCGCCAGTGATGAAGTTGCCTGGAATCCCCGACCAAAAGGCCGCTCGACGGTAGACAGTAGACTTTCGGCGGTGAGCAGCAGGAAATCGGATATCAACTCATGTATCTTTCCCATTATCCACGGTCGGTCGTAGCCTAGGCAGATTGCTTTGCAAATGGGTCACACGCCATACGCATCTCATTTCAACGAACCATGACTGTTTCGCAATGATTGTATTCTGCGATGTCGGGGTTACGCGATTTGGAAAGCTTGGTACATGTGTCTTTCGCCAGTAAGAGCACACATCAACATGGTTACGAAGTACCTAGTAGGTAGACCTTAGCGAATAAAATAACACTGAAAGTCAAAGTGAGTGTGGAAAAGGGTCAAGCTTATAAGACTACAGATACATAAGAAGGGCCGAGTGGAAAAGGCGTGTGGTAGACAACGTCGTCGGTGCTGATGCTAAGCAAGCTTCGCGCCAAATTTAGGTATGGCATGTACATGAAGAGACCATTGAGTTGGACATTCAGTCCTAGTGTTCTGCATTTGGCCTACTATTCTTCCCCTAATGCGGAGGTAGGTCGAGGTGCCGTTTAAATGACCCATGCCGCCTTCTGCATTGTGTAAGATGCAAGGGCACATTCAATGATGAGGTTATGACACGTCACTATTGCTGCCAGAAGCCACTTACCTAATATGGCATAAACAGACCTTTCTTTGGGGGATGTATCGAGCGGCTCAGGCGACTACTTATCAAGTGGGGTTGGCAAAGCTTCTCGTGCAAAGCGAAGTTTCCGCCGACCAACTTCAAGCTTATGTTCGTTATAATCAGATATCGTGCTGAGCTAATTTCTTTGGCAGCAAAGAATTTGACCCATCTGTGCACATGTTCACCTAGTTTACTGCCCAAGGACTTTAGCGAGGAGGCAACGGTGGCCTACCCTCTACCCTTCTGGTCCGCAAGAGCCCATAGGACCTATGGGATCGCTCGAGCGGTACTTTAAGGGGCTAATCACCGACTTTCAAGGCTTCCAGGCCTTCCTACGCGTAACAGACTTCTTCCAGAAGATCTGCCCGCGGTATTAGGGACAAGGCTATGGCCTAGGTCTCTATTAAAGAAGCATCCCTATTAAGGGATAAAATGTATATAACGGAACTAGGGAACCAGCGGGAACTAGGGACGGATAGAACGCAGAGTAGCCCAAGGGTAAGACTTGGAGGACGTCATGAGGAGATATGTACGTTAGAGTAGATAGTCCGAGCCTGCGGCTCTCCGCGCCACATACCCCCCGGGAGGTCTGCCGCAAGGGCGGCTGCGCCCTTGCCGCCATGGCGTTAAATAACACACACACACACACACACACACACTGTGCACATGTTCATGCACGTGCGAATAACGACATGTGGCTCCGCGTGTGACATGACACCAGTGATTGCGAGTTTGTCGGCCAAGGTAGTTTCTGCAGCTGACGAGGAAAAAGCAATATGCGGAGTGGGGGCTGCGCAACATTCCCATTCGGCTTCTCCAACCAGCCTCACACGATTGATAGCCAGGGGCAGATTGTGGATGATGCGGAGAGCGCTGGCAGCCACTCGTGTTCCGTGTCCGTAGGTAAACACGGTCGGTGACTCGGTGGCCCTTCCCATTCATTGTGTGAATCTTGTGCAATCTGACGACGTAAGATCTCGTATAGAAATCTAGCACACGTAGCTAGAGCTGCGCACACAGCCGACCGCCAATGCCCAAGGCCGACTCAGTGAGACAGTGGGAGTGTATGCCGATTTCCAAGAAGGGGGGGCTGCATACCTACTCCACGTCAGGTGTCAGCAATGAATGCGCAGGTAGGCAGGCTCTCTTCATTTCTCCCTAGGGAGCCGGAGTGCATACTTACCCCTCCCAGTCGGCTTATCAGAAAGCTCTGCAGAGGCTGGGGGAAAACGCACATGTTTCCAGCGCAGCAGCTGTATGCCTTGAGAAGCGATATTTGAACTCTCACAGTCTCACCAATCGTTGTCTAACGGTGCATTATTGATGAGATAGAAAGACCCGCTGGTTATGAAGAACGGTCGAGCTCGGGGGCATGTCTCTGCAGGTTGGCGAGCTGCCGGGCTGTTGCGAGCGTATTCGCTGCGTGTTCCAGATCGGGACGCACCCCAACTCGTTGGAATTCCACCAGACCGCGACCCCGCCTTGCGAGCTTCCGTAACATGACGGTGTTCTCGACAAATGTTGAACATAAAGGAGCACTTATGCCACTGCCCCCTTTCTTCAGACCTTCTTCGCCATTTTGACACCCTGACATTTGCAATGCGGCTTGACATCGTCAACTTTCGGCTCTGCCACAGGCCCCAAGGGTGGCTTGTTCATCCGGGCTGATGCTTGGGCTGACTGACAATGGACTAGCCCCCAATGTGCCCGTCTGGTCTCTCCCAGGGTGAGCCGCCTAGGACATTGTGAAGTGGCAGTGTTAGCTTGCGGTCGTTCATCAGCATCGGTGCCAAAAGTCTTGACCGAAGCAGCAAAGCTTTCACCGCAACAACTTTGGGCAGACACACACAGCCTTTGCTCCGCCCCTCACCATGGCATGACCCCTTCTCGTTTCCTGTTCTTTTCCTCTCTGTCAAGAGCTTCGAGTGCCCTTTGACGAACGCTTGTTGCCTAAAGGCTAACATCGACTCATCCAGCTCCGACAGCACTGTAGCGGCACGACCCGCAAGGCGGACGCTCTGCGAACCAAAGGCGAACCACGCCCGTCCCCACTCTGACGACGAGCTCTCGCTTCTTTCCCTCATGTCCCTACTATCCGTTACCTAGTGGTCTGTCATCCTTCATCGAACCTTGGACCAGTCAGCAGTGGTATCAACAAACCGGATTTCGTTGGTGAAACGCTGCCCACCAGGGGGCGAAGAGTTCGTAGTCGTCGCCTACAAAGAGCGTCGACAGGGGCTGCACGGGTCCTAAGACTGCGTGTGGTACGTCCAGTCCTGCGAGGCGTCTTAGCGGAACTTCGGAAGTGGATTAACATCTACCTACCTCAAGCTCCGCCGGCCACTAGTGCGCACCTTACTTGGAGATGCCACTGAATCGTTGCTATTGTTGCCTGGGGCGTCAAGAGTCACACCTCAGTCAAGTGGCAATCTTTATAAAGACGACAGGTCTTCCTTCGGACTGGCCTTCAGATGAGGTTCGGAAGACAACCACCAAACAGTACAACAACCAAGCAACCTTTATCGATACTTTCCCAAATCAACCCAACGAATCGAAAGGCATCCAACCATCATCAAAATGACCAACCATAGATCTTCAGAGTCTAGTCGGAAGTCATCGAGAAAGACCACGACGTCCTCAGCTTCATCGCCGTATGGCCCGGGCCAACCCTTCGTGACCACTCAGTACAACGGGTGGCCAGCAACCGCACCGGTATATGGACAAGCCGTAAACGGGCAACAGTACATCTATTCGGCCCCGTCGTCAACGTCTACGCCGCAGCACCCCTACACCGACAGCACGAGTCAGCCCTCATGGGACAGTTCATCGGGGAGTCAGGGGTACGTGATACCATCGACTACTTATCTTATTGGGTTCTCCTAACAAAGAAATAGTGGAATGCAGTACAGCGATCCCACCAGGGACGCAGATGTGGCCTCTAGTCGGCGCGAATGTGCTGAACACGCTCGGAAGCTTCAGGGCACCACTCAAACCCCTTCTGCTTATCGACTCAACCACCAACAGCAGTTAACCAACTTCGATCAGACGTTCGGAAGTCAACCATCGACGACGACCCAGCCGTTTCAATCGAGATCTCCATACGCCCAAAACCTCGAAATCGACTCCACTACAAGCCAGAGCTCAAGCAGAAGGGACGACAGGCGCGGTGGTTCGTCCTCCTCCGGAAGCAAGCATCATTCTTCTTCGTCTCGTCGTCATAAATAGGGCGGACTGTTTACCACATTTGTCCAGGTACGCATCATCATTTGACACTTGTCGATCTCTCTTCTGACTTTTCGTGTATCAGTTGTGCCCAAGATCAACTACACTAGTAGCTGATGATACAGAGTACTAAGTAGTCTCTGTTGAAGACGTCGATTATGTGCTGGTAATGATTATAGACCGTTTCCTTTGCCATACTAGACCATCATTCCCTTCTAGAACAGAGAATGGTCTGCAAAGGCCACTGAAAAGCATAGCAGAAAAGAAAAGAGAAAAAAAACGTACGGCGCAAGTTGCATGCATTTCTGGTTGGCATCATGGCATCTGAAGTCAAGGAGTAAGGAAGAGGAGTAACAGAAGGAAATGTTTTATTAGGTTTGACTTACATCGATATTCGGGTTTTCAGGCTGCGTCCTTGCTCTGCTATTCGTCGACATCGTTTGTTTTTGTCTTGGATTGATTTAATAGACTTGTAGGATATACCACATACTTTACTTGGTTGCGAAGCCTCTAGGATCTTGGTCCATGTGTGAGGTGAGTCGGGTCTTTATACTCTCATTACTCTATGACATGTAGTCGAAAGAATGACTCAAACGACGGAGTCCCCTGCGGCTCTCTGCCATGTCATGTGTTGGAGCCTAATAACGTGCCGTGTTGCTGTTGTGACGCGCAGCTCTGGATATCCACTGGTTGCAAGTGAAGCTTGTCCTGAGGTTAGGTTTCGCTGGTCGAGCTCTCTGATCGAATCACAATCTGATGGAGCCTAGGCAGACAGCCAGGGACTCGTGGCTTATAAAGGTAGTTGTCTGCCCTCTTCCACATCATCCGGGTTTTCGCCTCTCTATCTCTTGAGAATTTATCGCCTTCGCTCCTCGATTCGACGACTCGAACGGCCGATGTCGTCCTCGGCACGACTCAGCGGCGGCATGATGAGGCTGTGGCGTGGCGGCAGACGACTCCAGAGCCGAGACCTTCACTGCAGTCTCAGCTGCGCCATTCACCGGCGCTGCCGTAGTCGTCGAACCATGAATTGCAGTGCAGTCGCGGCGGTGATTGGTCCCTTTGTCATCGAATGACCCCTGTCTCTGCAGCAAGATCTCCGTTTGTGTACCTGCAAAGCAATGCTGTGCTGAAAAAAGTCGCCTCACGGAGATGGCAACGCGCGCGATATCGCTAGCATTCGTAATCGAAGATCGCGACATCGACAATCCTCTCGCTGGAGGCCTCGAGATGAAATGGAGGAGGTGAGGTTGAATTGATCTCCGGCAAGGTCAAAGCGGCGCCGATTCAGGCGGGTCTGGCCGAAACTTAGAGTTCCCGTCCGAGTCTCCTGTTTGCGGCAGGTGTCATTCACCCGACAAGGAGCAAGGAGCCAACGCTAAGTGCGGAAAACAATACACCAAACCATCGGATCATAATATATCAGTGAAAGACAAACGATGATTTGCATGGTATTGTGATAGAAATCTGGGAAGTCGGTTTGCTTTTGTACCTGGCCATTTGAGGTGCGTAAGAAAACACGCAAGTGTTGCCTCACTTTTACATGGTGAGCATGCCACTCCTTGGAGGCGCAGTCTACCAGAATTAGCGGACGAATGCGAAATGATTCCTTTTCCAACACTTCATTCACGGAGGATTTGAGTCACCCGGGACCAATTGAGCGGATCCCTAATTACTTACCTTAGCTATCCGCAAAGGTACGGGAACTTTGGTTGTAATTAGCCGCTCGAGTCCTAGGGCGCAGAGGCCATGTGAGGGGACCCGACTAACGTTAGAACTTGGCGATGGCTGCCGTTCGGCGTGTGAGTCAAATGGCGCCCAAACTCAAAGCTGACAAGATGTTTATCAATGTGCCTTATTTATCCGGGTTCTCGACATCTTTCTCCTAAAGGCCGTCGGAAGCATTCATTTTTGTCATTCAGCGCAGCCGATTCTTACCAGCGCCAGCGACCTCCCCATAATCTAACTAAGACGGACGCTCCGATAGATCGGACTTGCACCCAATCACTAGTAGCGCTTACACCCGCGAACAAGATTCAAGTAACACCATATACGACATACTTAATCAATCCAAATCAGGAGAAATCATGTCCCGCAAGCTCATCGAAATCGACGGGCGGACCGGAGAAGGAGGTGGACAATTGGTCCGCGTCGCCATAGCCCTCGTAGCAGTAACAAACCAACCAGTACGCATCACCAATGTGCGCGGCAACCGTCCTTCGAGTGGCGGAGGAAGAGGCCGTAGCAGCAAAACAGGCGAAGGCAGCAAAAAAGGAGGCGGTGAGCAACCACGCGTTCATTTATACACAGCCCATCTCTCAACCAACATGGTAAACTAACATCAACGAAAAACAGGTCTCAAAGCCCAGCATGTCACCGCAGTCCGCTGGCTAGCAGAAGCAACAGACGCAGAAGTAGAAGGCCTCTCCGTAGGCAGCAGCACCCTAACCTTCATCCCTCGCCTGCCGCCCTCCGCCGCTCTAGACAAAGACAAGTACAAGTCCCGCAAGATCAAGATCGTAGCGGACACGAGCGCGGCGAGCACGCTCCTGATTCTCCAGGCCGTCCTCCACTTTCTTCTCTTCGTGGGCGGAGACGCAGACGCTGGGCTCACCGGCGATACTTCATCGACGCCGAAGCCCAAACCCATAGAGCTAGAAATCCAGGGCGGGACGAATGTAGACTTCTCGCTCTCGTACGAGTACCTAGACCAAGTCCTCATCCCGCGCCTAGAATCTTCCTTCGAGGGCGTACGCGTCGGCCGGAAACTGGTGAAGCGCGGATGGAGTAGAGGTCCGCAGGGCAAAGGTTCCATCGTGCTCACGATTCATCCCCTCAAGCCAGGCTAGCCGCTACGTCAGATCTCGCCCCCAAAGAACCCATACGAAGGCACACCCACCGACCTTCGCGACGTGGTGCACTGCATAGACGTCACAATGATCGCCCCTTCAGACGCAGGGGCTCTCTTGCAAGAGACGCTGGCAAAGGACATCGCCCTCGCCTTCCCCGACGCCGAAATCAACTTCAAGCCCTTTGAGGACTCTTGCAACGAGAAGCGGACATACGCCCTTCTCGTAGCCCGCGACGCCTCCAGGACGTTAAGTTGGGGCAGGGGCGGTTACGTGTCTGGGCCATCGTACAAGCACGCCTGTCATGGGAAGCATAGGTCGGCTGACATCTCGTATGTCGTGGGGGAAATCAGCCGCAGTGTTGTCTCGAAACTCGTCGATGAGCTTTCGGTATCAGGCTCAACGGTAGACAAGGTCCTGCAGGATCAGCTCGTCATCTTCCAGACTTTGGCGGAGGGGACGACGTCGTTCCCGCGTGCTGCTGCGCCGAAAGTTGGCAGTGGTGATGACGTGGACGTTGCGAGTCAAGACATGGCGCAGTTGGATCTAGAGGAGAGGATGAGGAAGGACAAGACGGATAAGCCATTCGGATACGGCAGCTTGCATGCTCAGACGGCGAGATGGGTGGCATCGGAGATTTTGCCCTCGGTGGAATGGTATAACAAGGGGACGATTTGCAAAGGTGTTGGAACGAGCTTCAGCTAAGAAAACTAGATATCGAATAACGCAACCTGGAACCTAAGTAGAAAGGTTCGAACACGCAAAATCAGTCTGCCTCCAACTCCGTGCCAACGACAAGCGCCATATAACAGATGCCCCCAAACAAACTTTGATTTTCCAGCCCTCACTCTGCCTTGCCAGCGGGAGCAATCGTCCACTGTCCCTCCTTCAGACTGGCAGGGCCACACTTCCACGAACACCCTCTCCTCAAGAACGGGACAGCCCCCTCGTTCTCCTCATCCAGATCCGTCCATGGACGAGCCTTGACGACGTGGCCATCTTGGCTTTGCCTGCTCTCAACGAGGCAAATCTGCCACCATTCCAGCCACTGTGTTGTGGGTGCCACGAAGGGCTTCTTGCACGCAGAACAGGTAAGCCCGCCGACCTCCCGCTGGTCGGCAGCACGCTCAAGGAGGGCTTGCAAGTGAGGCAGCGAATCAGGGATGTAGTCGGGCAGGTCACCGAGGTCAGAGCTTTTGTAAGCGCTGCGCAACGCCAGTTCTATCAAACTGGGAACGCGGCTACCCTTTGGACTCGACAAGCTTCTTCCAGCGGACTTGGAGTGGTAGGGTGCCGATGACGGTGGGGAGATGAGTGATGTGCTGTCTCGGGCGTCCTCCAGTCGCTCCGTCTGCACAATAACTCCCTCAGGATCAAGGCGGAAGTCAGAGTGCGAGAAGCCCGAACTATCGAGGTAATGGACCGGGGACCGCACAAAGAACCTGCCCGCGACACCGTCAAACCCAGGTTTCCATGCCTCGGCTAGTTCCGAGCCTCCCGAAGCGTCGCTCTCAACACTTTCCAAGTTAGCCAGGGCAGGTCGCTCAGCCGCCTGGAAAAAGTGATTGCCCTGCAGAAGCAACTCTTCCAAGGCGGAGGGAGCTGCCATTAGATCCAGAAGCTCAGCTGGGAGGTATCTAAGCAGGTTTTGGGCGAGGTTCAGGGTGCGAAGACCTCGCACCTTGCCAATCGCAGGAGGCAGCTCTCGTAGTCGGCACCCACGCAGGGAAAGTACTGTCAGGTGCTCCAAATCAAATATCGCCCCTGGCAGCCGCTGCAGAGGGTTGCGGTACAGATACAGCTGCAAAGCAGGATCCTTCTGCTCGAATGGCACGCCTTCAGCTACGACCGGAATGCAGGAGAATTCGGACAAAGGTCGAATGGTAGCATTAGTGAGAGTCTTGAGACCCATCATGCTGTTTCTAGTTAGATCTAGTTGGGTCTCTGCAATGGATCGCACACTCACGATAGATCAATGTACTCGGTTCCAGAGTCCAGACATTGCTGCACCCTCTCCCGCGCTTCCAGCTCCTCGGTCGAGATGACATTGCGCCGCCGAGCCATTACCCGGTTGAGCTGGGGTAGCTTCGACTGCGTCGGCAGGTCGGGCATCATCACGCTCTCGTCGCCATCCGTGCTGTCGCTGCCCATCCAGACACCACTGTCCAGGTCACGCTTCAAGGTTCGCTTGCCCCTCAGCGCTGGCCGCGGCTCTCCGGTTGCAGAATCGGAAGATGCAGGCTGCTGGTGGAACCAAGAGCCGACATACTTCTTCTTCTTTCGCCGTCCCTCGACATAGTTGTCCAGACCTGGGTCGTCATCGCTGGAAAAGACGGCAGGGTCACTGGAGTTGGACCATGATGGAGGCGCGACAGAATGGCTTTCAAAGTTGTACCTCCGCTTTCTCGGATTGTTGCTAAAACTCTGGGTCTGGGCGTTCCATGAGATAGACGGCAACAGGCTGGGAAGACTGGGTTCGTCGGCCATGGCGAAAGATTGAAAAAGAGATGTAAGAGAGACGAGTCTGCAATGTGTGCGAGGTTGCCGGCACCAAGAGATTGGGAAGCTCCCGTCCGAGGCCCGCCACCACGACCCTCGCCCGCGAGTGGGACAGCGCGTCGTGACGCAAGTGGGGGGCTCAAACGCGTTCGGCCAGGATCAAGTCCCACAGGGGTATTCCGCTCACACGATCTCCGAAGATAGCTCCGAATACCCTTGTACTGAGTTCTGAGTGTTCTCAAAGTTCAAGCTGAAAAGACCTCGGAATTACCAACTTGTTCTGTCTTTTGAGAAGCCATGAAAGGGCATTGTTTACGTCTTGACGCGACCAACTTCTGCACAGTGGCTCCCGCATTATAAAGCTTCTATCCCAAACAGGCCTAGCCTGCTTTTCCCCGGGAGTCAGGAACACCCTGGACTCCACCCATGCACAGGCCAATCGATAGCCGTTATCTTCAGCCTTCAGGGTCTCCGCAGCGGTAACACGCGGGGCATCAGATGCACGAAATCCAGGAACCAAGATTATCTACCTTAGGTAGCCCCTCGTCATGTGGTGACACTTCAGCACTAGCTGCCCAAGACACTCTCCTTCAACCCGCATTACATCTCACTTTCGCCTGGAGGTCTGGAGTAATATGTTGATCAAACGTTGGTTCTTGTGCAATGTCAGTTTCACACAGACGTGTGGCCTGAGCCTGTCTATTGAGGCAAGTCTTGAATGGCCGAGCTTCGTTTTGCAGGGCAGGATACCTCAGTGCACAAGGAAGTTGCATCTGAGGCCTGCAAGTGCCATGACTTCGTGATGATAGCGACGCAGAACTCATAATGAGTCACGCTGCGCAGGCTGTAAATCCTACGGATGATCAAGGTATCAACACCTTCCCATTCAAGCCATCCGTGCCACTTTCGCACATGACGGCGCACTCGCGCTGATAATTCGAGGACATTTCTCAGTCCCAGTCATCATCGTCGCTGTCGTGTCCTTTGGTCTTTGACACGTTTCCTTGCCGGATGCCTTTGCCCATCGCCCTTTCCTCCTCTTCATCGTCTGCTTGCCTCCGGCGCTTGGCCACGCGCATGTCCGTCTCAGGTACAGCGCCTACCTCGACCAGCAGGTTGTCAAGTTGGAGCATGTTCACCTTGACGCCTCCCATCTGCATCAGCGTCACGACCTGCTTGGCAATATCGCCGTTCTTGTAGACTAGGATCGTCGGGCAGTTCCGCTCGGGGTAGTTCTCGATGGCCTTGTCCGCGCGCATTTCGCAGAATTTGACCTCTCCATATTCCTGCGCTACCTGCTTCCACAGCTCCGACAGCACCCGGGACTCGACATTTGTGCCCAGCGATGACGTCAGGTTGACAAAAACCGGGCCATTGTTGGACGCTTCTGTGACCTCGCGCGAGTATTCGGGTTTCGAAATCGGGTAGACGGTGCCGTGGAGAGCCTTCTTGGTAAGCTCGTTGAGCTCCTGCATCCTGCGCTGACGGTATTGCTCCAGGAATGCCTCGTCTTCGTCGTCCTCCAGCTCGTCCAGCTCATCGAGATCTTTGCCCTCCAGTCGGTTCTCATGCGCTAATCTGCGTCCTTCCGCGATGGCCTCTTCGATCATGGGTGTCGGACTGGGAGGCTTCTCTGGGATGACGCCATGTTTCCGGAGAATGTCGTTCCTGGCAGCACGTGTCAGGAGTCGCCGAGTAGCTGTCGCGAGATAACATACCACTCGGTGTCTGCATTGGGGTCATCGATTGGTACTTGTATCCTCTGGTCCATCGGCGCTGCCATTGTGACGGTGTCTTGTGTGCGACAATTGTGGGTGAAATGAGTACGGGAGAGGGGTGAATGTTGATAGCCAAAAGTCCAAGGTAAGTTGGTGGATGCGACTATCAATGATATGGCCAGTGACTTCAGGCTACAGGTTAATGTCGCAGATGCCTAAGTACCCAACTGCCTGGAAAGAATGACATGGAACATGGAAGCGGCTCAAGGTGACCAGCGGCCAGCCCAACACTGGCACCCCGCCCTCACCAAGCTGTTGGCGGATGCGCTTGTATTAGGTAAGACGTCGGGGCAGCGAGTCTAGAGCCAATCACAGGCGGGGCAGGAGTGTAGGCGTCAGGTCCCGTGATCCAGCCCTCCTCGGCACACTGTCCTCCCCTAAATTTTTAATGTGGGTCGCCGGAGAGAGGATTTTTGGCGGACGGGTCCCCTCTCTGGCTCACAATTCCACCACCCCATCATCACCGTTCTTTTGCGAGTGCTACAATCTGCTCTCTCAACACCACCAGATTCCCGTCAAGCCCGACAGCACTCGCATCCGATAACCGATCAATCAATCCTCGATCAGATCAGTCAAGATGGTAAGGCCCTCCTGCTGCTATGGTATTTTATGCCTGGCAACACCTGTGTGATGTTGTCTTCTTCCACGACGAAACGAAATCCGAACAAACCGACCGCATTGGGAACACGCGAGTGGCGGAAAAAAAAAAGCATTGCAAGAGGAGGAAAAGATGGTTACGGCTGGGCTGTGGAGGAAGGACACGACGATTGCGCATGCGATATTTGATGAAGGAACCATCATGCTGATGGCTTCTCCCCCAGGTTCTCGCCGTTGATCTCCTCAACCCCTCCCCGGCCGCCGAGGCCCGCAAGCACAAGCTCAAGGTACGATACACCCACGATGCCTTCACGACATCTATACCTTACCTTTACCCCTCCACACCATGGACATGGTGATGAAGATGATGATGCTCACACATCGGACAGACCCTTGTGCCCGCGCCCCGCTCCTTCTTCATGGACGTCAAGTGCCCCGGTTGCTTCACCATCACCACCGTCTTCTCCCACGCCCAGACCGTCGTCATCTGCCAGGGATGCACCACCGTCCTCTGCCAGCCTACCGGTGGTAAGGCGAGACTCACTGAGGGCTGCTCTTTCCGCAGAAAGTAAACTGTTCGCCTCGACGGTTTTCTTTTAGCCCTTGGGTATTAACGACTTGGACGGTTCATCACTGGTGGGACATCTCGGATCTGCAAAAGCAAGCGACCTGGGCATGGGCGTATAGACAACCCTGGCACGGGCTCTTAGAGTCTGCTGTCTTCGAACAGAACATAATCAGACACCTTTGCGGATAGAAGATGGAGCTTCCAAAAAATCTCTTGACCAAAAAACACAGGGGCGTTTGGGGTCTCCGGATATCCTTTGCATCACCAATCGACGCATCTTTTCCTCAGTTTTCTTCTCTTTCCTCACGCGGCCGACAAACAATCAAAAAAGGCAACCAATCGCTCACCACGCACTCCCTCTTCTCTGTCTCGTTTCGACGCCCGTCTCTTCTGATGCGTTGCGTTTGCTCAGTCAGTACACGACACAATGGGAGTCTTTATGTCGTCTCTCTGCAATGGGGGTGGACAGCTGGAAATGGCTTTCCGCATGAGCGTTTGGGTGGTCCACGGGATGACCTGGACGTGAGGACGTGGAACCGCTGGTTGAGGATCGCTTCATACCCGGAGTGCAGTGAGTTTCGGAGGAATCAGCACTGCTTGCGAAATTCAATGGTTTCCACAAACGCCTCGGCCGGCCTCTGAAAATGTGTTTTCTCGTGATGTGTCTTTGATGTAGTGAAGTGACGTGCTCGCGTGTACCTTGACGGATCTGCGACGACCCCCACCAGGCGCCCACTTATTCTTTATGTTGAAGTTGCTGGCGAAGAAGATGCTCGTGTGACGGTGGGCTCGTGTGTCTCGACCATAAGATTTGTTTCAGCTCACCGGCCTCTCCGTGGTTCCCGAAGAGACTGGACCGTTGGACATATCTTAACTTTGTGCGACACTGCTCTCCGCAACCTAATGACAGTGTAAGTGGCACACCTCACTAAATTGGAGAGCTTGATGCTGTGACTCGGAGTTGTTGTAGTCTAGGGATGCCTTGATAGCTGTCTGTGTGGAACGGAACGTCTGCCCAAAGGAAACACACTGAAACTTTGAGACCACAAAAAGATAGCTAAGAAATGAGCCATGAATAACGCTTTTGCTGTTACACCGCTAGAGCTTCCTTCTCCTCACGGCCTGCATGCTGCCCTGTTTGTGTGTTGCCTCAATTGGACAATGGAGGCGCACATCAAGACCGTTTTCAATGATGATCGCCTATCAAATGCGTCACCTTGCTGCAGTGCCATGTCAATTGACCCCATGATATCCAAAGCCAATGCCAGACACACTGAACCTACGGGCGCTAAAAAAGACGAAGAATAGAATCGAGAAACAATGATCATGAAAAGCATTGTTCGAAAGCTGAATATAACACAAAACACGGCTGAGATACAACTCCGCCTCCTTTGCCCTCTCGGCCGATTCTGAAAAGGCCGTGTCGCCCGTTGTCAAACGGACTCCCGTCCTTTGGAGTATGGGCCATGGCCCGTGGAGCAGCAAACTTGGAAGAAACCAAAGAAGGGGGAATGGAAACGCAGGGGCGCCAATCATCCGCCGGTCAATGTCAGTTTCAGGGCACATGGTCCCCCACCAGCGCAGCTAAAGTGGTTTTAGTGGGTTCCGGCCGCGCGAGTCTCGCGAAAAAACGCGCCCAGACGCGCTTTCTTTCGCCTAATCGCAGCTGCCGCGGATCGTCGGATGTCCCATGCGTTGTCCCTCCGTCTCTCTGGGCTCGCAACCTTGGAAAACCGCCCGACCCAGCAGCGGCCCAGGTCCGTCATATCCCCCACCACCACCACTAAACCTCCCATCATCTTCCCAACCACTTCTATTCTCCCCTCCTCCCCGCTCATCTTTCTTCCACGACATCTCCTTTCGCTTCTGTACGTCATTCCTCGCTTGCGATCGTTTCTACGGTTACCATCTCCTCCGACTTTTTTTTTGGGCGACGAATTGGAAATCTCCACTCTACACTACCGAACTCCCGCATCTCATGATACTTTCACCTGCGCCGACCAAAAAGCAGTCAACGCTTGGACCACAGCCACCAAAACGAACCTCACTTCCTTCAACGTCAACTTCGACCACTCTCAAAAGGCCGACAGTGCGAACGTCACCTAGATCCTCGACCTCCTCAACGACTAAGCAACCATGTCGGTCCCGAGAACGAAACGTCCCTTCGCCGGCGCATCAAGCGACCCCTCCCAGCGCCAAATCACCTCCTTCTTCAGCACCCGCTCCGGCCCGGCTCCTCCCCTAGCCGGTCCCTCTCCCAACGTCCAAGAAACCATCCCCTCGGACGTGCAGTCCAACCTCCTCTCCGTCGGCATGCGCATCCGCAAGTCCGTGCCGGAGGGCTACAAAACGGGCTCCTACAGCAGCTTCAAGCTGTGGACCGACGCTACGGACTGCCGCACCCCCGTCGTCCGGACAACGACCTCCACCAGCAACACCCACCGCAACCGCGGCGCCGCCTCCCAGCGCGAACTCCTGCCCTTCTGCGGCATCAACAAGGTCGGAGGCCTATCCAGCCAGCCGGTCCACTCCAGCAGCGATGAGGACGCGTACGAAGACGACGGCGGCGTGCCTGGGTTGGACGATATGCCGGGCCTGTGCAGCTCCCAAGAGAGCGTCGAAAGCGTCGAGAGCACGGCCAGCGACGGACGGAGCAAGAAGCGCTTCTTTGCTCACGATGAGGAGAGCGACGAGCCGGTACAGATGTGGACGGACCGCGCGGCGTGGTTGGAGGGCGAGGTGAGCCCGCGGAGCCTGGCCCCGTCTGGTTGGGCAAATGCCCGTCCGCTGGCAGTCCCGAGGAAGAGCCGTCACAGTATGAAGATTAGGCTGGGACAGGAGAATGTCGTCCTTGACGATTTCGAGGACGCGGATTTCCTCGTCACGCCTGACACTGATATGAGCGATGCGTAGAGGAGAGCTCCTTCTATGTGGACAACTAGAAGGGAGGGAACTTTGTGCCATGATATTGTTTGAGTACCGAGACGGTACGGAAGGAGTTTAGGTAGCAGAGAATCACGGAGCGTGTTTCTGTTTCACTTGTACTCGGCAAGAGCTGCTTTGAGGACATTTGTTCAGTAGGGTGCGTGGAGGAACCGCGAGAAAGATTATCGTCTCTTGCTCGTTGGCGGTAATGAATAGTCTGGATTGTATTACGCCTCCTTCTATGGCTAATGGTCTGCGCCATTGTGTTTCTTATTGTATTGGTATCATAGGCTAGCGCGTTACCCCGGAGCCCTTGCGGGCCAGCAAAATCCGAGTACCCTTTTGATAGGATCTCTCTTGGAGCCCCTTCCATCCGTTGACCTTACCTCGCTCAAGGTCGTTGCTTGATGTTACATACCTGTGAAAGGATCCCGAAACTCGAGCAAATCGCGCTGCCCGTAAAAATCACCAGCGACGGTCAGAATCATGTTGAGCGTAGCCCGCATGTTCATCCGCGCCCGCAGCTGATCCGATACCTCCTTGTTGTCGCCCTCGCCGTCTGGGATAGCCTCCTCCGCGATGGGTTCTTCTGACGGTGCCTCGGACGGCGCATCCTCGACGTCTGCGGCAGTGTCTATCTGGGCGAGGAGTCGAGCGCGTGCTTCCTCGAGCGTTTCGGTTGGTGCCGGTGCCGATGCTGGTTCTTCTTCCACGACCTCGCCTTCGTCGATCTCGCCGTCTTCGGAGACGTCCATTGGCTCTGACTTTTGGTCGTCGTCGATTTCTCCGTCCTCGACTTCGCCGTCGCCAACTTGGTCTTCTTCACGTTTCGAGGCCACGGCTCGGACATCAACCTTACCGCTCGGCGTCGTCTCCTCCCCACTCCCCTCCTCCTCCCTCTCCCCATCCCTCTCATCAACCTCCATCTCCCTCAACGCCTCCTCATCATCAGAACTCTCATCAACAGCGTCATTCACCCCCAAATCCATCCCCTCCCCCTCCAACGCATCCCTCAACGCCGCCATATCCGCCAAACTCTGCATCATCAGCACCGCCCGCCGCCCTAGATCCCTAACCCACCCAACCTCCACGTGATTCATCTCCCCACGCTCCGGCAGCCGCGCAAGCAAAGCCCACAACCACCGGCTCGTGCGCTCCTTCATCTCGCTCCCGCGCCGGAGGAACGCGCCGCCGCCTAGGAGGACGCGGAGCACGCGCAGGACGCCTTCTTTGTCCATGGAGGCGACTTGTGCTGGTAAGGGGTCCGCGTCGCGGAGGCGGTTGGACCAGGTGGTGTAGGTTGCTGATTTGGGCGCGAAGGCGCCGACGCGGAAGTCGTGGGGGGATCCGGGGTAGAGGGCGGCGACGGCGGAGGCGGGCGGGGTGGAGTGGAGGGTTTTGCGGAGGAGGTTGAAGCGGGTGAGGATGGCGGCGAAGTAGGCTTCGCGGATGGCGGACTCGGGGTCTCCTCCGGCATCGCTGCCTTGGTCTTGGGTGTCGTAGAGGCCTTCGTTGCCGGGCCACTCGCCTTCTTCTACTTCGTCGTCGTGGCTGGTTGTGTGGGGTTTGTCCCAGTTGTCGGGTCGTGCTGTGTATGCGCCGTCTGCGTAGTATCCCCTGAAGTCACCCTCGCCTGTGTTGTAGATGTCGCGATCGCGGTTCTCCTCCTCTGCGTCTTCGCCGTCGCCATCATCGTATTGGAGCTCTTTCGGTAGTTGAGGGCCGATAGGGACCTTTGGCGCGACGAGTAGGTGCGGTATGCCGTTTGATTGTGTCCTAGAATACTCACCACATCAGCATCGCCTTGCGCTACCTCGAAGACCAGTTCAGCACATTGGAAGAAGACAGTCTAGTGGAAAGGGGAGCGACTCCTTACCTCACTGATTTGAGATACGCCATGGCATCTCCATCATCCTCAAAATCCAGCTCCGGGTCTACCGGCACCGTCGTCGAGCCCGCGACGGACGAGAAGACGTACTTCTGTCCCCATGTCGGGTCGATGTGTGCGTTTTGGTGGTCGCGCGCCTTGTTCTTGTTGCGTTTGGGCGCGGGTTGCGCGCCGTCGTTGCCGTCGGAGGCATCGTAGCTACGTTTCGAGGCCATACTCGTGAGAGGACTTTGAAGCTATTGTCGCTGGACCCAGGGGTATGTTTTTTGAGGGGGCCGAGGAAAAGTTGGCGACGTGGTTTGGGTGTAGCGCTGGTGTTTGCGAAAGGCGACGAGTCGCGAAATTTCCCCCTGGTTAGAGCTTCTGCCTCCTGGCGCTGATCCCCAACTTTTCAGTGGAGAATTGTCTTTATTTAGTGGGGTCGTTGATAACGTCGTGGTCGGGCTAAAGCCTTCCGACTGGCTTCGGGACATTGAGGCTGCTTTTCCGACATCCAGTCCCGTCTTCAGGAGCAACGTCAACAACAACACTCACTATCGTATGCCATGTTTTAACAAGACCTGATACTCGAAGTTTGTTTGGGGCATCAGCTGCAACTTTGTGTTGGTTGTTGGAAACAATCATGATCATCAAGACCGATCACTACAATTTTATTACTTTTTACTGAATGCATTGCCTTAAATATTCCCAATTTGACTTGCAGAACTGTAGAGGGGTTCAAAAGTATATCAACTCATTAAGAATCTAGATTCCAGTCACTACGCTCGCAGCTATTATGCCATTTTAGGAGTTAGTCTAAAAAGAGGAATGAAGAAGGCTTAGAAGAGACTGAATCTTGGAGTTGCAGCGAACTCCCGCTCATTCCGAGCTCTGTCTTGCCTCAATCTAGAACACGAAGCTAGGGTAAGTTTTCGGAACGGCAAAATGATGACATTGTACGCATAGTATGCGATTTGAAATAATACAGAGGTATCATTGCATGAGGTGACCTAGACGCGATCTTTTGGGTGAATAATCGGTCAACCCCTACAGCCTTTTCCATCCAGCCACAGCACCTGCCTCGCTCCTTCCCACTGCTACGTCCCTCCTTCCCTTCCTTAACCTATCTCCAGTTCCACAGACACCTGAGGGTGTATAGACCCCCTCAATTCCATTCCCGTCACTAGCATAGCGGCATCCGTCTAGGTCGGCGAGTTAGGTCAAGCTGTGCGCGTGGTATAATACTTAATAAAATCAATAAGTATTCCTATTAAATCAGAGTTCGGATTGACTGAGGGGCGCGCTGTTTGACCTCGGTCAGGGGCGTGAGTTCTATGGCATATTATCCCCCTCACTTCTCCTTTCGGTTTCCTCTTTATAGTCTGACATCTGAGAGACTTCTATATTTACCCCTGGCTTGGTGTGCTTGGTGAAGCCGAGGGCAGTGTTGAGTGATTCGAGGCATATTGCGCTTTTTTAATCACTTGGGTGATTCCCTCAAATTATCCCGAAGCGCATGTTTCCTTTCAAAACGAGTAGAAAGATGTGGCCAAGTAAAGCGGAATTTGGTTCTCTTGAACGGTTCATTCGATTTCACTCGCCGATCCTCCAAGCCCGGGTTTTAAATGGCTTGTAGTAATAACCTTGCAGCTGAGCATTCTGTCATACTTCCCCTGAACCGGCCCGTTGATCTTTGATCCTCACTACAAGATATGCTGGCATCTACACTCCTTGAACGACGAGAGGTGTTATTTCATTGGGTACATGCAGACACACTCTTCACTGTACTCCAAGCCCTTGAGGACATGGTCGGTGTACTTGACCTCTCTCGAGGAGTGCTAGTAGGATTCAAAGAAAGAAGAGTGTTCAAGGCCTCCGCCGAGATAGAGGGCATCCCTATATCTGATAACAACAGTTCTCAACAACTCCGCCGTAGACAACATGGCCGTCTTTTTGTTTTCGGCTGTGTTGGTAGTTGTTGATGTCGACCTCTTGGAACCAATCACTTGACAGGTAAGCAGAGTTGCTATTCCTCAAGCATCTCATCCGTTTCAGAATGGCCGGAGCTAAGACGAAGCGCAGAGTGGCAACTTCACAGGACGAGAACCCTAGAGGGCTACTCAGGTTCATGGTCTCATTTTCTCTATACTTTGCACCTCTTAATGAGGGCAAAGCCCAAGATTACATACACGTACGCTGGCGGTACTTTCACGTTACGAGAATCCAGGATATCGGTGTGATCAGGCACCTAAACGTTAAGCACAAACGGGCGATAACATGAGCTGCTCATCATGTTACGATTTCGATTTCTTCCCTGGTGCGTCTGGATCAGTGACGCTCGGTTGATCAGCCGGGGAGTGTCGATTGTTTACCGTTGTCAATTTAATGTGCCTGCATGATGCGATTATCTGTTCGGTTGGTGGTGGCTTAGGCAACGATAGGAACGTAATTGAGCTGGCTGTACCGTATCAACTCCGACTGTAAAGTACGGGATAGAATTGCTAGGGAAAGACGTGGCGGTAGTATATCTATTCCGTAAGTTGGCTGAGCTGGAGCATCAACACCACCAGGTGGGCTTCGTCGTTCACGTTCCGGTCCACACGGGCATAGTTCTTTAATTGGATGGTGGTATTGCTAATTAGGTGCCCTAGGTCCCTCATAATCTGTGTTGCAGGTGAAGGCACCGCTCAGGCTCACATATCAATTCTAGGCGTTTGTCCAAGTATATTCCTTACGCTATATACCTAAGAAGCCCATTGAGAGAGCGTTAAGGGTTGTGGTGAACAGGATGGGGACTGGGGAACAGGACACTGTTTCATCACCCGCTTGTAAGATACCTAGAAATGCGTTTCCGACTGGGAGCATTGAGATATAAGTGACAGTCTCAGGTTTTCACACGCTTAAAGAAGTTCGTTGACTTTGTAGTAGTAGAATTGCCAATTGTCTAGTTACTACAAGTAAGTGGTGTCAATCCAGCTGAGGTGCAGGGGACCTTGTAGCTTCCCCGCGGAAACTACTGCAGCCCACTCTTGTGTACGAAAGTTTGATGGCAGGAGACCTAAGTGGCCCGCTACCTTCTATATCAAAGAGATAGATTGCCATAATTGTATTCCTCCAAGTTGATAGTCAAATCTTGTGAAGGCTGAGCTCCGTTGTGCTAAGGATTGAGTTGGAACTAATCTCAAGAGTGACCAAGACTGGCTGGATTAAGGTAAGGTACCTCCGAAAAGAACCGTTGTGTCACTCTCCACCGGCTGTTGGAGGAGCTAGCGGTGGACCCCTGTCCAAGCTCCAGGCCAAATTCCCAATTCCATCCATCGACTTCAATCTCCCCGAACTTCACAATCGCATCCCGCAGAACACACCACCAATTGCGACAATGGCGACGACAGTACCAGACCAACCGCCCCCTCCGCCCGACAATGAAACAGTCTACGGCGGCTACACGCGATTCGAAATCGAACTCGAGGTAACATGCTTCCCCCCAAAGCTCACACCCAAGTCTCTCAAGAGTTCCTGCTAACCTCCTCGCGCGCGCGCGCAGTTCGTCCAATCCCTCGCGAACCCCCTCTACCTAAACCACCTCGCGACTCAAAAACTTCTCACCCGCCCCGACTTCGTCGCCTACCTCGCCTACCTGCAATACTGGACCCGCCCGCCGTACCTAAAGTACCTCATGTACCCCGGCCCGACGCTGAAGCACCTCGAGCTCCTGCAGCAGGAGCAGTTCCGGCAGGACGTCATCAGCCCCGATCTTGTGCAGAGGCTGATGGACGACGGGATGCGGGCTGCGGTCGACTGGCACCGGAACGATGCGTGAGGCCTTTGAAAGGCGGACGGAATGCGCCTTCGGTTCTGGGAGTACGCGAGGGCACGGCGATCAACTCGAATTCCTCCATGGAATGGGATGACAAGCCTTGGGCGTCGCGAGAAATGTGCCGCGAAAACACGGCCAAGATGGAAAGAATGGAATCGGGGGGCCAGGGATCGCGCGCAGGATGATGCGAGGCGGGGAGACGCGCGCGGCTGTGAAGCAGCATCACAGCAGACATATCACGAAGTTACGACTAAGATAGGGGAGGGCCACAGGAAAGTGCCAACATATAATCCAAAAAAGTCGCAGATAAAGGTTCGCTTTGCAGAGCGGCCCGGCCCAATAGGAAAGGCATGTTCCTAAACAAGCTCTAGAAACGGATAGTCGCAGCTCCATCGAGTAGCGTATAGCCAAAAGAAAACAAGAATAAATCCACGCATCGTCCCCAACGCCTCGCAATGCCCAGTGAAAGTCCCGAAAAGAAGTCTTCCTCGTCCATCCTCAATTTTCTCTCCATCTGTTTCCGCACGACATACACTGCAAACACATCAAGTTAACATTCTACTATTCCCTCCCTTTCGATAAGACCACGGCAAAGCGTACCTTGTAGAACGTAGTCATGGGCTCATCAGCACTACGAATCTGGACCTGGAAGAAAGCAGCCTCATCGCCGTTGCAGCCGTCCTTGGGGCACTGGGCGCGCGCCTTGTCGGCATTGTCCCACTCGCCAGGTCCACCGAAGACGTCCTCGCGCTCCTTGCGCTCAAAGTCGCGGCGGGAGTAGATCGGCTCGGTGATGGCGTGCTCAAAGGGGCAGGTTCGGCACTCGAGGCGGTTGCGCACGCCCGCGTAGGCGGAGACGGTGAGGATGTTGGCGCAGTTGGGACAGACTGTGTTTTGTCTTGTTAGCGAATGCGCCTGGTAGGTAGACGGGGTTGGGTTGGATGGGAGCTTTGGAGTGGGATGGAGTCTTACAGAGCAACATCTTGGCGGGATGTGTGGTTTGTGGTGTCGTCGCGGAAGTGTACTGTGCTGCTTGGTGATGTGCTCGGCTCACCGCGAACCTCGTCTCTCGGTGTGATCGTCTTGGAAAATTCAGCGGGCCTCGAATGCGACGGTGGGGGACGAAGCTGCGATTGACCAGTACCTTAAGTTAGGCCGGAACAGTCACCATCGACCAGCGTCACAGGAAAAAAACGTTCTTGGCAACCCTCAGAAAAACGGTCCCGCCGGAAGCCCGCCGCAATAATGTTCCGTGCCCCTCCAAGAGGCTCCCGTCCTCACCCCGCCTTACCCGTCCCGTCCGTCCACTTGAAGTGCGAATAGCGGGGTTAACGGACTGTTTCCAGGATCGCTGGGCCTTTGTTCACTGTAAGCACTGCAACAATGGAAGCTACCGGTTGCTGAGGTTTAGCCATTGGATCCTCTGGCAACTGCGCTAGGTTCATGACACCTGAAGTGCCTGATGCCTCAGCTAACAGGTAACATACCTTACCTTAGAATACGGAGTACCTTAGGTAGGTAAGGTAGGTACATGGGCGGCAACTGGTGGCTACGTATCTCGAGTGAATCAGGGGTTTGGCGATCACTGCCACCTCCTTGACACCCCCAAACCTGGAAACTGCCGCGTAGCCTCTCAGCCCCACGAGCCTTCAGGTTTGGAAAGGAACCTACCTAAGTTTGGGTACCTACGTAGCTGCACCTCACCTCATCCGAAAGCCAAACGCAGCCCAAAGTTCAAGTGACGACTCGCAACATCTCCCCGAACCCAGATCTACCTCACAGCGCGATCGGACGTTGCGCGACTCACCTTCTTTCTTCCTCTCCAGTCTACTGGTATTCTTCTCCCGCAACCTCACACATTCACCGCCTTGGACGAAGCCATCGTATCTTACCCTATCGTCCAAGCCGCCCCTCACCTTTCCCTCCCACGATAACGCACCTTGAAAAAACAACGGCTACCAGGGCACTACTAAATACTTTTTACCCCTCACCGTTCTTCTACCTCAACCCCTTCCCGCCGTGACCTCCGATCCACGAACCCCACCAAAGCGACTTCCTCCCCGGCCCAGCACGGAAGGCCAATTCGAAACACCACCTTCTTTACCCAGCACAGCACAGCACAGCACGGCAACGGCAGACACTCGTCATTCTACTTCTTCCTGCCTTCGACACGATAGCCTCGTCGTGAACAAAACCGCGCGCACACCCACCCACACACAACCCCACCACAATCATGGCAGGAGATCACGAGGAGCACGAGGTTCGTCTTGCCCACTTCTCTGCCACACAGAGGCAATCCTCCCACGAGAAAATGTAAAGAGCTGACATGACACCTGCAGGGCGCCTCCGTCCAGGAGCTCCTCATCGAGGCCGCACGGCGCGACAACACAGAACTCTTCAACGACGTCATCGCCGGTATCAAGGACGAGAACGAGCTCTCCCGTATCCTCAATGAGACCACCACCGTCATGGGGAACCACCTCTACCACGAAGCTGCCTCCCGTGGAAACTGTACGTCTCGCCTGCCCTCGCACACTTCCTCTCGACCACTCGAACCTTCCTCCGACACCGCCGACTCCCCCTTCCTTTCCCACTTCTCTGATCCTACAAACAAAGGCAACATGCTAACTCTAACGTCTCTCTCCCACAGACGACATAATCGACCTCCTCCTCGACCAACCAAACTTTGAATGCGATCCCATCAACCGCCAAGAAGGCGACACACCCCTCCACACCGCCATTCGCTGGATCAACAACGAATCCCAAGCCAACCGCGAATTCGGCAACGCCCTCGTCGACATGATGCTCGAAGCCGGCTCCAGCCCACGCATCAAGAACAAGGGCGGCCTCACGCCCCTCCAGCTCGTCGACCCCCGTAACCCGGCCCTTCGCGAGCTCATCCAGAAGCACGAGTACGCCTCGCTCAACGCCGGCGACTTCATCAACGTGGACTCTTCATCCGCTGGAAAGAAGAGCAAGGGCGGTGCCGCTCCGGCGTCGGCGCCCCCCGGTGCACCCCCTTCGATCCCTAATTCCGCCGCACCGCCTGTGCCGTCTGCTGGCTACGCGTACGACGACGAGAGTGACGATGATGCCGAGTTCAGTGGTAGCGACGACGAGGAGAGGGCCGAGTGGGATCGGAGACGCAAGGAGCGTGCCGCGCGCAAGGGTTGAATACTTTCCGGTTGTAGGAGCGTTTTGATTACCTCCCAGTGAATGAGAGAGAGGGGGGGGAGGGCAGGAGGGTTTTGCAAATTTTGAGCATAAACTTGGTTGCACTTTTTTGTTCTTTTTCGCCGGCACATCTGTTTCCATGTCAAACCCCTCGCCTCTTTCCAATACCCTCTGCCCATTCGGCGGCGAAGGGGTTGGAGGAGGCGAGAGTCAAGACAACGTACAAACAACGACACGGCCAGTACGGAGTATGGAGAGAGAGAGGAAATAGGAAACAGGCGATGTAGGAAAGAAGAGAAAGAGCAAAAAAAAAATCCACAACCGTCAGACTTTTCCAGTGTAACGATCATGGGGGTCAAGGGTATTTTCAGGCTGGGCATCATCTCACGAAAAAAAAGAAAGCAAGAAAGAAATGAAGAAGGAAAACACCTCTTGACGAACATGGGGTGAGAGATGGAATGAGGCAGTTATAGAAAAACGGAGTCGGGACATGAGGCAGGCCGAGTTTTTCTAGGTACATTTTGCAATCAAAACTTCCAGACGTTGATAAGTTGTGTCTATTCAGGTTCAAGCCATGGAAAGTTTCGTGTCTCTCGTGTTGGAATATTGGAACTCACCACCAAAAGTTCTACGGTTAGAAAAGCATACTCGGTTGGCTTGGGTTGCAATACCTAAACTTGCTATTAGTTGATGCATGCTCTGGACGGCCTCCCGGTTGCACGGCGGCGGATCCCCCGTCTCCATCGCTTCCCCTTCCGAAAAGCTTAAAACTCTCCGCTTGTCACATAATTACCGGCAACACAAGTACCTAAGCATAGGTTTGTGTTGGGGGGGGGGGGGGGGGGGGGGGGGGGGGTTGAAAGAATGAAGGAAATCTAGTTTACGTTCTCATGATACCCATTCTACATCAAGATTTTGGCAGCTGCTCTTCACGTTCGTTCCATCACGCTGGAAACTACGGTCTAAATTGTCAAAGTATGAAGTGTATTGTATTTATCATGGGTATAAGCTTTCTAGGTACTCGAAAGGAAGGTTGCGGCTATGCCGTCTTCTAGCTCACACCGTTGAGCCACTGTATCGCCGTCCTTCTGCGCCATGCATCTATCATCCATGCCTCGTACAATCATTCCAGGGTATCCCAATGCCAAAATCCAAAGTTGCAAAGAAGCACGTCTGATTGCGTGGGTCCAGCCCGTCGTGCTTATTCCAGAGAAGGCAAATGCAAACAGCTCAAAGGCATCTACCAGCCCAACAGCATGGCAGCGGTTGTGGCCGCCGCGCAGATCGCCCACAGAGACGAAGAAGCCAGGCCTGGAGCAGCGTTCTTTTCGCTCTCAGACTCTATGTAGGATTGATTCTTAACCAGATCCAGGTTTTTCTGACTCAAGAAGCCGGCGCTCGCTAGCTCAAACAGCTGCGGTCCCATGGTGCGGAGAATGTTAGTGCTCCTTCCAGCGGGACAAAATACAACCTCCCAGCCGCCGCCCGATGGGATGATGAAGGTCGATGTTTGGTCGTCAAAGGCGAAGCTATACGCATCAGGACACAGGGACTTGGCGTGTCTGGAGTACAAGCCCGGCTTGCACTTATTGGGGTCATGCCATTTCCCTATACAGCAGTCGGAATCCTTATTCGTGGCCGCACATTGGCTCTTGCACGGACTGAAGGTCGGACGTTGGATGTTGTCGTCAGGGTACGGGTAGACACCATCACCAGGCTTGTCTGGCGGGTTGGAAAGCAGAGGCCATGGGCACCAGTCTTTGGAACTCTCGTTGGATTCAGTTGGCTCCCAAGGCACGGGGTAAGTGCTGTTGGTGTAGACGGTGCCGCTTGCCGCGCGTTGTGAGAGGAAGCCTGTCGTGGCGATACAGGCGCAGTTGGTCAGGTTTGGCGGGATGTAAGTTGTGTTCTCGGCGGGAATGTAGTTGATGCCCACAGGGATGTTGTAGCCGTCGACAAGGGAGATATCGTAAAATGTTTGGCGCCCAGACACACCACCGGCCAAGTTGAACTCGGCGAGAGTTGCGGGAACAGCACCCTGGGTTGATCAGCATTCGTCTATTTCGTTCAGGATGGCGAGACTTACACTGAATTCACAGTCTAGCTTTCCAAAGCAATCACCCGTCTCACAGCCTGCCGACTCTCCATTGACGGTACAGTTGGTTCTTCCCCAAGCGCGGCCTTGCCATGTTGGCCCAACCCACATATCTCGACTGTCACCCGAGGCGAGCTCGAAACCACCAATGCCGGGGCCGACGCCATGCTGCGTCGTGATGCCGGGCCATATCGTGTTAGGACACGAGTTGGTGACCTTCAAGGGGATTCTCCCATTCCAGTCCTCGGGCGGGCCTCGTCTGGCGGGGTTGTACCGCTTGTTTAGTTGAAGGTAGTCGGTCTTGTAGTTGGGATGATAGCTGGGGAACACGATTGCGTTGGCTGTGGGTAGCTGCGAGGATATGGCCAGCGCGACGAAGAGGCTCTGGCCTGTTCTCGAAGGCCGCTTGTCGCCTCTCTTTGAAGACGACGGTCTCATGGTTTCGGAAGCTGGTCGTCTCTGACAGTCTTTTGGTGTAATCCAAGAGAAGTAGCAAAATGATAGTGACAACACGTCGTGTAATTCGTCGACTCGAAGGATCCAATGTATGTTTTACGCCGGGATGCTGTGACAATTCATGGTTCGGAGGGATCCAAGCTTCCGCGGTCTGGACGAACGACGATCTGGAGTAGATATAACAACCGCCCAGCACCCAACGGTGGTGAGCAATTAGACGCCACCAATAGTCTGCGACGGACCTGCGCCGAGTGACGTACGGGAGCGTCGACGTGAGAGCGAATGCACAAAAGCAAGGGGCGGCGGGATTGCCCAGAGGGCGATCGGCCTGCCTGATCCAGGGGCCAATTCCTGATTATCCCTGCACGCGCGATGTAGCGTCAGAGGTCGACCAGGTGGAAGACGCAGGTTGGTTGGGCGGGCGTGGAAGGGTGGAACAGGAACTGGGTCGTAGGGCAGGGGAAAGGAAAAGTAGCTTATTTTTCTTCGCGCTTAATAGACAAGCGTTATCCGACACTAATGATGCAGAAAGGGACGTCGTCGCGTTTTGTAGGAATAGCCTCGAGTGAACGAGATTGGTAAGATGTCGAGGTTCAAGAAGAGAGAAGAACACCCAATCGCATCACTATCCGTACAATGCCTATTTACCTCACATGAATTCACCACATACTTGCCCTCAACTGGAGGAGGGGGGGGCATTGGCCCGTCCCATTTACCTGCTGCCGCTGTCAGTAGTCGAGGGTGCAAAATGCAGGGCCCGACCTTGGGTCGAACCTCCCAGCGGTTCATGTTCAGACGATGACGCAGGCGCAACTGGCTGCCAGGTTTCCCGCTGGCACTGACCGGGGGTTGATCTGGTCTCCTTCGGCTCGTTAGCGATCAGGGCCTTCCTTGCTTGGCTCTCTTCCTCTCCCCGCGCCGTTTACCAACTGGGCCGTGGGCGCAACGCGGTCTCCACACTGAAGTTGCTGTGGCTGAGTCGAGGCATGCTAGGACTGGTCAGCATCGCAAGTACTACCTCGCCGTTCTTCCACTGAGAACTACATCATGTCAGTCCTTGTCTTATCTCTCGACATAGCCCCCACAACGTTGCTCTTCACCGTCATGACCTTGGCCAGGAAGCTTCGTCAAGATAGAACATGGAACCATCTCTCAAGTACAGCATAAGGTGTTTGGTTGGGTATGTCTTGATTCCGAGAACCGCTAGCCCGGCATCCATGATCCTCCACTCCACGTGGTGCACCGAGTTTGCAAAACACAATTCTTGGCAAGTCTTGTTCCAATCAGACCAAGACTTGGTCAAGAGCTGGCTTAGATACTACCTACATAGTTTACGATTACAGCCAAAAAGTACAGAAGGTCAGCCCTCCTCACTAGGGGGAGGGGGGCTTACGAAAATTCCGAGGGGACTTCTACCAGCCTCAGGTGTAACGATGCAAGGATTTTTACATGAAGACAGCGGGACTTGAACACGCCACGCCATCCATGAGCCTTGGTGATAATGTCGAATAAAACCATCATTTAAAGAGGCATCGAGGCGGCGGCGGCGGGCGGTGTGTCCGGGAACCAGAGGTTCATGGTAATTGGGATGAAAGGGTGATGGCCTCATCAGGTTTGCATACGACCTGCCCCCGAACCTTGGTGGAGCTCCATACGACCTCATCTGGAGCAGGACACTGCTGTCTTTTGAAAAAATTCTTGATTTCTCCCAAGCGGGGAGTGTCGTGCGTCTACAACACTTGACAATAGGCCATAATCCTTCCGCGTCATAAAAACCTCCCAAATCCAATCCTCGTCTTCCAGTCATCTGTTCTGGGAGGTCTCTTCGTGATATGTACTCTCGGCCATTATTAGCCTCGGCTGTCCTTCTGGCCCCTTATCACCTTTTCGAGGTATCATCCGAGTGTATGGAAACGAAATGCCCAATGCAAGCAAGCAAACATTATCAATCTCTCTCTCCTCTTTCGTCCACCACCTTCTTTACCTGAAGCGCGCTCTGCAGCGGCCCATGACCTCGCCTTGGCACACCAACTCTGCGCTGAACTCGGATCCGTCAAGCGTCAGGTAGATATCGAAGTAGACACGGTAAAATGTGCCCTGTGGTGTGTCCATTCTCTCAAAGTCCTTCTCGAGGTTCTTCCGCGACAGATCCGACGTCAGGGTGACAACTTCCTTGATGCCTGTGTCTGAGGTTAGCGGTGGTCAATTGCGAAAAGGCATCTTTGAACTTACGAGGATCCTTAGTATACTCGGGGCAAACATCGTCGTCACAGGCGTACAAAATGTCCTCATACATGAGCGTCGCGCCGGGAGCGACTTGACGGAAGAATGAGACCTTGACGGGCTCGCCAATCTTGACCTTTTGACCCTTTTGCACAAAGATTTGACGGGTGAACTTGCAGCGGTCCTTGCCATCGAGGGATGGCACGCGGTAGGCCTCAGGGTGGTATCCTTCCTTAAAGGGCTGCAAGGTGGCCATGAGGTAGTGGCGACGGGCAACACGGTGTGTGACGACGCGCTCGGTGATGCCGGCAGTAACGGCACCCTTGACGATAGCGGCCACGGAGTCCATGGGGCGGACGACCTTGGACTGGAACTGGGGAGGAACGTGGAGCTTGATCTGCTGGAAGAGGTACTCGGAGGCACCGAATCCACCAACAACAAGAATGTTTTGCAACGTCCGGTTCTGGGCCTGGATGGCAATGATCTGGTTTCTGACGAGCTCGAGAATGCGGTTAACAACGGGCTCGAAGCACTGCAGAATCTCCTCGTTGGTGAACGTCATGTAGCCCTCCTCGATGCCGGCCTCGGGGAACTCGGCCTCAATACCAACATCGACGGCCCACTTCTGACCGTTGTTGCGGAAATCGGCCTTGATACGGTTCTCAAAGTCCATGATACACTTGGCGTACACGCGGCCCGCCGTCTTGGATCCGTCGGGCAGCTTCATCTTGCGAATCTTGGTGCGCAGGATGTTGCTAAAGTTGCGGTTCAGCGCTGTTGAACCGCAAGAATCACCGGATCCTGCCGTGCACTCGGCAACGGTGAAGGGGTTCTCCTCCTCGACTTCGTACGCAATCAAATCGACAGTACCGCCACCGCAATCAACAATCAGCACGGCGTCGTGGACCTTGAGGTTCAGCAGTCCTGTCTTGGAACAGAAAATGGCGGCAGCCTCGGGCTCGGAAACTAGCGTCAACCGGTTGTCGTTTTCGTCTCTCAGGAAACCGGCTTGAATAGCGGCGGCTCTGGTGGCGGCCTTTCCTGCATCGTTCCAAATGGCAGGAACGGTGAGGTAGTAACGGATGTTTCGTTCTTCACGGTTAAACACTTCGCCGAGCGTCTTTTGCAGAGCCGAGCGCATAGCCTGGCGGAGCTTGAAAAGATAGTCGGCCGCAACATCGATCTCGGACTTTCCAGGAGGCAGAGGGGGCAGGTTGATGGGGTCGATATATGTGTTGCCGGACAACATGAGCTGCAGCTTGAACCATTCGACCTTTTGCACGCCGGGCTTCGGGTATCCAGTAGGGGCGAGGGCATCGGCGATGTCGGGACCCCAGCCAACAACCTTTTGGTACTGGTCGTAGTAGAGCACTGTGGGAATCTGGGGACAAACCGTGTCAGCCGAGGACAAAAACAAAACGTAGCATAGTCTCTCTGGGGATGCGTATATCTTCCTACCTTCTGCTTCGTGTATGAACCAGCGCCGGGCCATTCTGTTATAATGTCTTCCTTGGCTTCGTTGTTTGTCGCAAAAGCGAACGCCACACCGGAGAAGGTTGTGCCCTGTGGGTCATGTCAGCAACGCGAAATATGACAGACATTCTCTTGATCCAAGGAATCCACGTACGAAATCGATACCGACAATCAGCTGAGCCTTACTCCTGCTGTTGCCTTCAACCTCGGCCGCGCTGCCGCCTCGCTGGTACTGTGCCATGGGGCCACCCTGAGGAGGACCCGGGGGAGGATAGCCACCGCCGCCACCGCCGCCGTACTGAGGAGGACCACCCATGGGGTGTCCCTGACCGCCGATGGGAGGGAGCTGAGGAGGATAGCCGGCGACGGGAGCACCGGTGTTGATGGGGGGAGGACCGCCAACCATCTGAGAAGGCGGGGTGCGAGCCGGACCTTGACCCGTCATCGGGCTGGTGCGACCCATGGGAGGAGGACCGCCCTGAGGAAAGTTGGCCGAGTAGCTCGGAGGCCGGTTACCGGCGCCTGGGTGTTGATTCATGGGAACGATTGAAGCGGAAGAGGTCGAGGCGATGGAGCCTGGGCGGACGGGAATCTGTTGCGGTATTTGAGGGGCACCGGAGGGGTGACCACCTTGAGGAGGAGGGGTCGGGCTTGGGGTTTGGTTCGGATCGGGTGTCTGGATACTAGCAGTTGACTTGCGTTTGCCGAAACCAAAGCCTTTCAGGCGGGAATTGGAAAAGCTCATATGGGATTACTGAGTCGGGAAGAAGAAGAGGGAGAGAAGCGAGGGCCCAAGGTGGGCAGGACCAGCAGAGGGTATATCGATTTGGGTTGCAGGGCGTCGGCAGCCGTGCGGTGCGGTGCGGTGCGGTGCGGTGCGGTGCGGGTGCGGGTGTGCGGTGCGGTGCAGCAGAGCAGCAGAGCAGCAGAGAGGAGAGCGGTGGTTTGTGGTGGTGGTGGTGGTGGTGGTGGTGCTCTTGGTCGAACTCGAGTAATAATCGGCGGGATGATGGATGGCCTGGGCTTAGACTTTTAGGACTTGTTGCTGCGGCTGCTGGGCTTGGGCTTGGACTTGGACTTCTGGGCCGGGGTGTCGGGGTTGGGGGAGTGAAGAGGGGGAGGGAGGGGGGGTGAGGTGGTGGTGATTTTTTGGTGGTAGCTGGTCCGGTCCGGGTCAAGTCAGACCAGGTATCCGTAGGTCAAGTCACGGTCCAAGGACGAGAGAAACGAAGCCTTAGGTCAGCAGAAGACAAGAGCTTTTTTAGGACTTGACTAAGACTTTTCTCCAGGACTGGGAAAGGAACCAAAAGTCTAGGACTCTTTCTCTTAGCTGCTGGGTCTGTCTGCTGCCGCTGCTGTTGCTGCTGGGACGGGTCCGGAGCTTGACAGGACGAAAACGAGGACGAAAGGCGGGAAGGCGAAGGGGGAGAAAAAAAAACGGTGGGAAGGAGTGAGAAAATAGAATGCGGTGCTGGGAATGGGGGGGGGGGGGGGTGGAGGGGGTGGAGGGGGTGGAGCGTGCAGCGTGGGCCGTCTCCGTGGACCGTGGGCGCTTGAACGAATCCGCCGTTTCTGGGA